GGGGGGGGTGAGAGTCTGGTGGCTTGGTTCCGACAGGTATGCCTCCTCTACAAATACTCCAATTGCCTTTGCTAATATTCCAACAAGTCGGCAGCGCCCTGTGGGCGGGCGGCACCCCGGTCCAAGTTGCTTTGGTGGGAGTAGTGGTGTAGCCCTGCGCAGTTTTCTGGAAGAGGTGCCCAAGAGCGTTCTGTATGTTCTTGGGTTCCGCTTCCAGCAAACTGCGCTGGACTATGCGACTGGTTCCATAATCGCAGCTTGAGCACTGGGGACGAACCGCCAGCCCCGAAACAATTATCATCGCCTGGGAGGTTGTATGCTTGGGGGGCAAAGCCTTTTGTACGAGTAGAAATTACAAAATCATAAAACCAACTTCTAAGACCTGAATGATTAGTGACAAGTGATATGAATTAATTTTCTGAGTCTGTGGGACACATAGGTAACTTGGAATTGATCAACTCTTACCAGTATCTGTAAACATATATTATTGACCATTATACATATTCCGCTTCAGCGAAAAATACGAGGATCAATTGGAGGCCAAGAACACTGCTTGCTACCTGCAGTTGCAACTGCAACTGCATATGCATATACCCTGACCCTCGCAGAAGATGAAGAAGTCCAGCCAATGTGGGAATACGAACCTATCTGATAGCATGCCGAGTCCACGAATCAACCTTTGAGTCCTTGACAGCTCCATTCTGGCCGTAACGCGGGGGTCTGGAGGGGACGAATGGAACCTCCCTTATCATCATATACTTGTACCATTATCGCTTCACATTACGAGTGTCGACGACAAATATTCCGCCCACCAATACGAAGTATTCGATTGTGCCGGGTGTCATCGGCGCATCCTGTAATGTTAAAGGTTCCAGCTATGGCGGGGATCACGGAATATTCCCAGAACGTGAAGCCAAGCTTTGGCGAAGCAGCCAAGTCGAACGGACTCGATCCGGCTTACATTCCAGGGCAACCTCACCAAACCACTACAACTCTTGGGAAGTCCCTAAGTCGCGAAGCACAAGGAAACAACACGCATGTCCCGGCGCCGTTTGCAACTTAATACCGCCACACGTGATTCTTCAGCTGGTAGAGACCCAAGGTACAGTTCCTAGGTACTGTGCAGTACTGTACATGTACTGTACAAGGTACTAAGCGTCCAGAGGTCCAGGATCAGGAATCCAACCATATTTTTGCATTTACACTTTCTGTGTTGCCCCAGCAGCCAGTCGGCACTCCTACTCCTCCACATGCTTATCGTTACAATGGCAATGGCACGAAAAAGGTGCTTGGGTGGCTTGGGCTGGGCTAGTCGTGGTGGCGGCGACGGTTAGGCCATGATCCATCGTGGTGCCATCACACCACGAATCCACGATGATGCTGACGCCCGTTTCCTCTCCGGCGGATATCTGCGGGAGACGGGTTCAGTGGTTGCTGACGGCGTGCGACTAATTCCCTTCAGCTGCCTGGCCGCTTTGAAGGAAGGGTCCATTAGCCCCAAACCCTATAGTCTTCTGCTTCTATGCGGACCACTACGGGTAGTAGAACGAGTCGCGCTCTCGCATCTCGCATCTTCTCTCACCCGCCCACCTCTACTTCTTTACTTCTTTACTTCCGTAGAATGCAGAGCAATCCCTGACTCTAAGTTGACCAAACCTTCTGTTTGCTCTGACTATGAAATGGCCTCTACTACTATCAAAATCGCGGACTCGACTCCCCCAACCAAATCAAGCGCAAGTACTAGCACAGGCATCGGCGGCGTCTTTCCTCTCCGAGCCCGCTCCTTCGATAGGCGCAGCCTCCGATCAAATGATCATGAACGACAAGGAGCTGAAGACGAGGACTCGGGCCTGCGTAGACCCGGTGATTATAAACAGAAACAGGTATTTCGTGCCTTACTCACCCACCCATGGCCACTGCACTTACACTCCCGAAGGTTTTCAGAGGGAAGTACTTGGTATGGCTAGCCTACCAATCAGTCGGTGTGATTTACGGCGATATTGGAACAAGTCCGCTCTATGTGTTTTCATCTACCTTTAGCACTGAGCCATCTTACCGTGACCTTATTGGAGTATTATCCATAGTTATTGTAAGCAGTTATCCATCACCCCTCGACTCTTTCCTGTGTTGCGGAAGAGGTACTTTGCAATTCGGGAACACCTATGATTTCGGATGAAAGACACTGTTCTACATGCAGGCTTGTGCGCTGATAGTTATCTAGTGGTCCTTGACGATGATGGTCACGGTGAAATATGCTCTCATCATATTACATGCTGATAACGAGGGTGAAGGTGGAACCTTCAGCACTTACTCTCTTCTATCCAGATACGTAGGTGCATCGATCGGTGCGCAATTACTCGTACTCTAAGTAACATTCTCTTAATATAGGCCAATATCACGAAGCGTGACCCTCGCGAGGCTTCCCTTGTCAAGATGGAGCGGCATCTAACAGGGGATCTCTATCGCGCAAATCAAAAAGTTCGCTCGGGGATTGAACAAAGTACTTTTGCTAGAGGTCTCCTCAAGACTATCGGGGTTCTTGCTGTATCTATGGTCATGGCTGACGGGGTCTTGACCCCGGCCCAGTCCGTCCTAGGAGCTGTTCAAGGACTCGACGTCGTCAAACCCGACATCACCAGCGCAATCGTTACTGGAACCACGTGTGGTATCCTTATTTTGCTCTTCTTGATTCAGCCATTTGGTACGACCAAGTTAGCATCATCATTTGCCCCAATTGTCATAATTTGGCTTTGTTTTAATGCTGGCTTCGGTATCTACAACCTCGTGAAATTCGACCACTCAGTTCTCAAGGCCTTCAACCCTGCATACGCCTTTGGTACGTCGTCTCATTCTTCTGAATTTTGTCTGTGGGAAGCGTTCGAGTGTGTCTTGTCTAGCAGTCCCCGTATTTTGCCTTAACAAATCCACCGATACTCGTCCAACTGTCGCATAGAAAATATCTGAGGTAGCCCAAGCTAACAACTCTTAGATTTCATGGTACGTCGTAAGACTGAGGGATGGAGAATGTTAGGAGGCGTTCTCTTAGCCTTCACCGGGGTCGAAGCTCTCTTCGCAGACTTAGGGGCATTCAGTCGCAGAGCCATCCAACTCAGCTGGTTCTGCCTTGTTTTTCCATGTCTACTATTGGCCTATGTTGGCCAAGCTGCATATATATCTCGCCACCCAGGCGCCTATACAAATCCGTTTTACAACGCCGTGCCTCCGGGGATGATCTACCCATCCTTGATAATTGCTATATTGGCTGCGATTGTAGCCTCACAGGCAATTATAACGGCAACGTTTCAGGTAAGCTTTTCTCCTTTAAACTGGGAACCTTTGCTAATTTATTTCCAGCTCATGTCTCAGGTCATGAAACTTTCGTACTTTCCGCAAATAAAAGTTGTTCATACCTCCATGACCTTCCAAGGACAGCTTTACGTCCCTCTCATAAACTGGTTGCTCATGATTGGCACTGTTCTTGCTGCTGCTATCGCACGAAATGTGTGCATCCCCATGTGTCCTCTAATATAAGAGCCTCCGCTAACTACTCTAGACCACAACTCTCGGGAATGCATATGGGTAGGCGCTACTGCCAGTACGTATCGTTTGACATTTACTGACGCGTTAACTATATAGTGTCTGTGTCATGTTTGTTACATTCTTTGACACCTGCATGGTATCGCTCACAGCCTTGATCGTGTGGAGGTTCAGTCCATACTTAGTCTTCTTTCCATGGCTGCTCATTGCATGTCTCGATGGCCTTTACCTATCCTCGGCCCTTGAAAAGGTGCCCGAGGGCGCATGGTTTACTTTAACCCTCGCTAGTGTCCTGGCTGGTATATTAATTCTCTGGCGATTTGGGAAGGAGCAGCAATGGCAAGCTGAGGCATCTGACCGTTTCCCGACGACCCATCTAGTAACATCAGATAAAAACGGCTCTCTTCGACTAACTTCTAGTTTCGGTGGCGATACTTTGACCACCACCCAAGGCCTGGGGATCTTCTTTGATAAAGCGGGGGAAACGACGCCGACCGTCTTCACTCAATTCCTGAGTAAACTCGTGGCAGCTCCTGAGATAATGGTGTTCTTTCATCTTCGGCCACTCGAGACGCCATCTATAGCACCAGAAGACCGATACACTGTGTCCCGACTCGCGATTCCAAATTGTTACCGCCTTATCGTTCGCCATGGCTACATGGACGAAGTCATCAGCCCTGACCTCGCCTCTCTCATCTGCCAACAAATCAGTGATTTTCTGACCAGATCGGCAGCACCAGTTCCTATACGCCAAGTTAACTTCACCTCGCCAACTTCCCCTGGTCAGACCACAAACGTAGAACACTCAAGCACCGGCTCTTCAACATCCCCTACCGATGCAGAAAAGGAATCACAGAGAAGGCAGGAAAAGCTGACCGTGGATCTAGCTAAACTCGACCAGGCCTTCAACAAAAGAGTCCTGTATATTATCGGCAAAGAACAGATGAAAATCAAACCTGGGACTAGAATTTTGCGTAAAATTCCCCTCGCGGCTTTTCTGTGGATTCGAGAGAATACTCGCACTAAGATTGCGAATTTGAGGGTTCCAACTGATAGAGTTGTCGAGGTTGGTTTTGTTAAGGAGGTTTAGTTGGAGATTGGTGTTATATGGCAGTGTTTTTGATGTGTATGGGATGCCACCAGGGCGATATTTGGTGCGATGAAACGGGAGCCAGGAGTTAAGAAGAGTGGTTGCCATTGCTCGTGGACTGGGCTGGTTGAAGTCTGCCACGAATTTCGCTGTCGAGCTGATAGACACGGTGCAAAATTGGCTGTCTGTACATCCCCCACGGTGCGCTTTGGGAATGGTATATAATCCAATCCAAATATAAAATATTCTCTGATGATGGCGTAACTGGAGTAGGACGCAGGCTAAAATTTTGAGGATCCGGGAACTCTCCAGCCACAAGCACAGAAACACCCCAATCAACTGCCATAATTCAAAGCTTCTTAAGGATTCGTTTGAATCTCCTTTTTGCGCTTCTTAGATATTAGTTTGGAATCCGCAGCGTAAACGGCGAATATACAGTCACTGTACGAAGTAACATTCCCGTCGATGTTCTTCTCGGCCATGGCAAGCGGGATGGCCTTCAAGGGGCTCTCGCTCGCTTAACTGTAGCCTTCGCTTTACAAAAGCGTCAAAACAAAAGATATAGACGAGACAAAAATAATATTTAATTCCTAGGATTAAGTATCAAAGTAGCAAAAGAGTTCGGCCCGGTCGATTGCCTACATCTCTTGTCGAGTTTTGTCGTTATATTTTGTCGTTTTGTTTTGTCGTTTTGTTTTGTTGTTTTATTTCCTCAATTTCTATCGTCCTTGGCGATCCCGGAAGTACAATTTGACCCGAGCCACTTGACCAAGTGTCACGCCCTTGTACTTCGGTAGCGGATATTTGTCTATTTTGTCTTATATAGGAGGTGTCCGGGTTTATGCCTAGGCAATTTCCCACCGCCTGTAGTTTTGCTAGGATAATCAAAATAAGCGGTCTATTAAGTAGTTATGTGAAGCCGATTATATAGTTAAGCTACTAGAATAATTGCACGAAGCCTAGATCTATCAACATAATAACATTTAATAAATATATTGTTTTGTAATCTTTAATTACTTGAAGGATTTAGACCATGCACTTAAAGGAAGATATCCTGGAAAATTGTTATTCCAACTTGTCTTAGGCTTTCGGCCGCGGTCAGGACCTCAAGTCCTAATCGTTTTCGGCTAAGAATTGCTTTTCATTCAGACCAGTACAGTACAACGCTTTTCTCCTTTAATATCTAGGCCATATCTATTCTCAAATTCCCTTTCTTTAATTGAAATTACCAAACTATGGTGTAGGTTATAAATCTGCCAGTCAGTAAGCGGCATGATCACAAACTCTGTTGGTTGACACAGAGCCCCTTTTATACTCAACCTCGTTAAGCGACTTCACATCACCTTTAGTATCACCTTTCAACGTCCAGATAGTCACGAGACTAGAGACCAGGCCAAGTTGTTTTCACTTTTGATGCGTAAACAGTGAATATATCCACAGTGTGGTTAGCTTTCGTCTGTTGAGTCTTCGCCTCTTGCTACTTCTTCTCCTTCTCTACACCCGACCTTCTCAGTTTTCGGTCTCCTAATATTTTCACTTCCACTTCCACTTCTTCACGTCAGTTTGCCTCTATCTCACAACACAGCGCAAGAATTGCGCTCTGCAGCACCATTTGCCAAACAACAGCAGTATTTTGCTTGTTATCATAACGACTGCTCTAGTTGTAGCTTGAATCACAGTTGCCGCCTTCCTTTTTCTTATAATGGGCTGGTATAAGTTGAAAGAGATAATTGCCACCAAATGTCATCGCTCTAGCACTTTACGCCAGATGGAACTCGAGCATGAAGAACGAAAGTTCGCTCTTGTGACGCCAAAGAATATTGCGCCGCGACGGCGACGGCGGCGACCGAGATATAATAAGGACGTACAGGGGGTACGCTTTACGAGACATTTGACTATTGGCCGTGATCTCATCGGCGTGCCAGAGTTTCATGAGGATGAAGAAGAATCCGTGGCTGAGGAGAATAATAAAGGCTCCCGACTCAAATCTATGCTAAAGACCATTTCAGCTTCCGCAGCAAATAGATTCCGGATTCGCACAACTACAACTACGTCTCCTAATCCTAAGCCACCAACAACTCCGGAGCTTAGCCAACTCATCCTAAACCCCCAAGTCACCTACGAACAAGATGGCCATAGCAGACTCATGGCTCTGCCCTGGGAAGTCCGTCAACAAATCTACCACGAGACTATCGGGGGATATCTCATGCAAATTAGGTTTGAGGATGCTTACAGGAAAATGACCCATTCGCGATGCAAGCACACGGATATTCGCACCTGCGAGCGAGCTGGGTGTAAGACGTCGAATAATAAGCAGCGGGGGGCTCCGGATCAATGGGGCCAAGTTAATTTGTTGGCTATTTTGCAGACTTGTCGTGTAATGTGAGTTTGTTCTCCTTTTCATCGCCCTTTTCCTCCTTCCTAGAACCTCCCTTGCTCTCCTTTGAACCATCCCTCCCTGATTGCCGTGTTCGCAACAACCCTGTTTTGTCTAAGCGCATTTACTTTCTCAATCCCTTAATAACTAACCAAGTTTTCAAAAACAGCTATAGCGAAGCAATCGAAATACTCTACACAGACAACCTATTCTACTTCGCCAATATCCACGACGTCCTCTGCCTCTCTATGACCATCCTCCCTGAGCGTATGAAGCTAATAACACGTACACAATGGAAGTATGTTGCCCTAATACATAACTGTCGACTTATCGCTAACGGTTGAGTATCAGAACGTGCCGCGGTGATGCCAATCTCTTCACAAAGCCGGTCTGGATCCCCTGTTATCCGCCTGGTCCTTGCGTTTGTGTGTCTTGCATGACAGAGGATGTGTATACAGATGTATCGGTATGTTATGAAACCTCCTTCAGCATGATATTTATGCTTTTTGTGTTTGGTCGTCAAATGTAACCGTTTGATTCTAGTGTACCTAGCTAACCATTGCAAAGGCTCGTCGCTATATCTATTTAGCCTGGCTAACACAATTTGATGGCATTATCCTTGGACATAATATTAGATATACATTTATTACTTGAATCGAAAGGGAAAATCAGCCGATAAGTCATTTGGCGCTGGACGTCTAAGGCATCTAATGAGCGCAAGAAGTGGGGGGGGGGGGGTTAAGCTCACTTGTGTAATAAGTACCCGAGCCTTGCCGATGTGTGGGATATAACGGCCACGATTCAAAATGTTGTATGATATTGGAGTATGCAAAGAGAGGCTGCGGAAGCATCATACGAGACTGGGATTTGCAAAGATGCGAGGTGGAAGATCATCAATTTTACTGAAAGGGTCATCTGTTTAAATGAATCCTCAACTTGAATAAACCACCCACAGCGTTTTAAGCCAAGTGACTATCAATGAATAGTCATGACTGGGAATAATTTGTGATTCTATCATTCTATAATAACGCTTGTCGCTTCTATGGATGTGGGGGTTTGCCTGTGAGTTCTTATTTCTTGTCGTTGATAGTGGTTGGAGATGTTTGTCGACATTGGTGGCGCGGACGAGTCTATGGATGAGGGATGGGAGGAGGATAGAGGGGATGTGAAAAGGGAAAAGCCATCCACAAAGTAGAATCGAAGATCCTTCTCCCGCAAAGCTACATCCAAGGAGGGGGTATCGAAATCAAGCAAAGGAAAAATATAAGGGAAGGTGAACACTAGTAAAAAGGTCACCGCCGCTTAAAGCATGAAAGGGATGTTGTCCCTGGACGGATGTGAATAAGTGGTTGACCAAAATATAGCACACTCAAAAGGGTCAAGAGGCAAATACACTCATTTCATAGATCATGTTAAATAAAGCAACATATGGCATAAGCAACATTTCGACAAAATATCCATGTGTTTTTAGATATGGGTTTTCTTTACATTGAACTTCACAAAACAACCCGCTAATTTAAAAGCAACGCCAGAAGCGCCAGACAACCCATTCACCAATTCAACTTTTTAAGCAGCAGCAGCAACCTGTTGGGCAACAGCAGCAGCAGCAATGTTCTCGGCGGGCTGGGCAGGATGAACACCCACTCTCTCCTTGGACAATAGGTCTACGAGGAGGGGTGAGGGGCGGTTGTCTTTGCCTACACCAGCGGGGTAAATGGCCTGGTTCTTCTTATACCGCTGCACATTATCAATGTACATGTCGAACAGGTAAGAAGAGTCCATTGGGCCACCCTTGGCTTCTGGGTGGAATTGCGTGGAGAATATAGGGCGGGTCTTGTGGATGATGCCTTTGATATATGTTAGAAATGGAGGTGCTAGGTAGTTGGGGAGTGAAATATACCTTCGTTAGAACCGTCATTGAGATTGACGAAATACTCCTTGAACTCGTCAGGCAGGGTAGGAGTATCCACAGCATAACCATGGTTTTGACTGGTAATGTGGCATTGACCAGTGGTCAAGTCCAATGCTGGGATGTTATGGGCACGGTTTCCGTATTTAAGCTTGATCGTCCGGGCACCAGTTGCAAGGGCAACCAATTGATGACCAAGGCAAATGCCCATAATAGGCACTTGGGAAGTCTCCATCAACCGGGTAAGATGATACACGGTCTCTTGGCAGTGAGTGGGATCACCAGGACCGTTGGAAATGAAGACACCGTCAAAGTGGTGAGCAACCTTGTGGATGGGGTAATCGTATGGGAAAACGGTGGCGCTTGCACCACGGTTAACCAAACTCCTCAGGATATTCTCCTTCACACCACAATCGATGACTGCAACATGCATATCGCCATTTGAAGAGCTGACGTGGAAGGGCGCCTTGGTGCTGACCTTCTTGACCAAGTTGATCTGCTCTGGATCGATAAATGCCTCGTCCTGGTCTGCATCATACTCCTCTCCAATCGTGATTCGAGCCAACGACGAGCCAACCTCCCGCAAATAGGTGACAATAGCACGAGTGTCAACGCCTGATATGGCTGGGACACCCTCCCGCGCACACCAATCGCTCAAGCTCTCCACGGCGGTCCAATGGCTGTATTTCTCAGCATAGTCCGCCACCACAACACCAACACACTGAATGTTGGGAGATTCGAAGTATTTCAAAAGGCCATGCTCGTCCCTAGCAGAAGAAGGGACGCCATAATTTCCAATGAGGGGTTGGGTGAAGACGAGGATTTGTCCACGGTAGGAAGGATCAGTCATAGATTCGGGGTATCCGACCAGGGAGGTAGTGAAGACGGCTTCACCGGAGATGTTGGACCGGGCACCGAAAGATTTGCCGTGGAAAACGGGGCCATCCTATATTGAAAAATCAGCGAATGCCCTCCTATTGCCAAAACCGCAGTGCTCATACCCTAATTGTGAAAGTCGCTCGATCATGGGCGACAGGTGTAGCCCTGGGGCGGCTGACTGGCATAGCACGGCCAGTACTCCCCTCGACGGTTGCCAAGAATCGAGTCTGATGTGCCATGCGGGTGTATATTTTTTCTGAGGGGCGGAAAGCACCCTGCTTCACGAATCGTGCAAACATGTTGGATTATATTTCGAGATGGGGAAGTGTATAGGTAGATGTTGGTATGGTGTAGAGAGCTGTTTCAGTTCACTGAGGCCTTCCAGATGTGATCTGTATGTCCCAGTGTTAATAGGTATATGTGGCGGTGAGGGATACCTTCGCGCGAGAAGAATTTGAGGATCTAACCTGAAATATAATCCTAGTGGATTGCACGTTAGCAGCTGATATTGTAGAGCAGTGAAGCACACAATGTACAAAACGAGTGGAGGGTGTGTGCAATTACAATGGTAATGGTAGAAAATGTTTGGAAGAAGGATGTGGAGGGGCAATAAATCAAGCAGGCCGAGGGAGCGGCGCCGTCTGGTGGCGGCCGGATCTGGAGACCGACGATAGCGCGAGCAAATTCAAACGTACCTGGGAGGTGAAGACCGACGGGCGCCCTGTCATACGCGCGGCTAGAAGACTCTTTTGCTGAAGAAGTAGGAGAAGGGAGGAGAGGTGAATATAAACGTGGAATCCAGAGCGTGCAATTGTTTGTGGTTGTGTTTGTGTTTGTGTATGGGAGTTGGAGTTGGAGTTGGAGTTGGAGAGGGAAGAAGCCGGAAGTGTGACTGACTTGTGTTGTGTTGTGTTGGGTTGAGTAGTAAAGAACTAAATTTTACTTGTCGATAGCGCTGCGGCGGCTGATTGGCACCAATCCGTTCCTGGGCGGGCGATGCGGGGCGGTGTGGAAATCGCGGGCGAGAAAATTGTTAAATTTATGCGTTTGGGTTCAGGTTCCTTTGACAAGAGGTTATTTATTATTATTATTTGAATTATTAGAATAGTTTCAGTAAGCTAGAATAAATAAGTATATTTATTCATGGTTCTATCTTTTCTTCTCCGCAAGAATATGTAGAATATGTCATTGCAATTGTTATGTCCGGCCTCGGAGCTCAATTTTAGCACTCAAGAGCCGTGCGCTACCGATATATCTGGTGTAGGAAGACCAGGAAAGCGACCAATTCAATGGATGCATCGTCCAGATGCTAAAAGAAAACGAACCTCCAAGCAGATAGTTCTTTAGCTAGAGCAGTAACTTAAAAGCTATGATATGATATGACTCACATCGGCGAAGAGGTTGCAATTTGCAATTGGATTTGCTTGGACACTGCACCGTACTAGTGGTAATAGGACTACCCTACATTTTAGACTTACTCTATAATCCGCGTACAAAGCTTGGCCTGAAGTGTAGGTGGTATTAAGAGACAATTCTTCTCTTCATATGGTATATATTCTAAATCGATACGCCTCCAAGATCCCGTCCTGTACAATTACATTGCGAGGTCGCTAATCTATAATGCACCCAGCTCCTTTAATTTCGAGATCATACCATCAACATCCGCAACCTTACCGCCTCCTTGTCTTGGTGCAGGTTCTAAATATAACAGTTAGTCGGGTCTTCTTAATAAAGCCGCACACCACACATATCCGCAAGGAGGTAACATACCGGTGACCTTCAGTGTCTTCAGCCGACTTCTCACATCAACCCCCAAGTCCGCCGCGGTAATCTTCTCAATCTTCTTCTTCTTCGCCTTCATAATATTCGGGAGACTCGCATACCGCGGCTCATTGAGCCTCAGATCCGTCGTGATAATCATCGGAAGCGTTCCCTTTACCTTCTGCACGCCCCCATCGACCTCCCCATCAACAATAACACCCTTATCCCCCTCAAAGCTAACCTTGCTGGCCTGCGTGGCTTGCGACCATCCCAAAAGTCCAGCGAGCATCTGTCCAGTCTGCCCTGAATCATCATCAATGCTCTGTTTACCCAACACAACCAGATCAATCTTCTCCTTCTCGACCACGGCTTTCAGCAGCTTCGCTATCCCGAGAGGTTCGATTTCCTCGCCATCTTTGGTCTCCACATGGATTGAGCGGTCTGCGCCCATGGCCATGGCTGTGCGGAGGATATCCGCAGATTTAGGCGGCCCTGCTGTGAAGGCGATGATGTCGGCAACGCCTTGGGGGTGGGATTTGCGCTCGCGGATGCGGACGGATTCCTCGATGGAGAGCTCGTCGAAGGGGTTCATGCTATGTTTTACGCCCGCGGTTTCGACCGCCGTTTGGGCTTTGTTGACTCGGGGTTTGACCTGGGTTACATCAGTTCTGATTTCTGGAATAAATAATCGGGAGACTCAGGGAGCGGTGACGGGTTATGGATGAAATTTGCTAGAGCTCGAAGGTGATGAAACTTACCGCATAGTCAATTACCCTTTTCACAGGGACGAGAATGCGAAGGCCAGACATGGTGCCTTTGGGACTATGGACGAAGGCTGAGTGAGGAATATAAGCAGTGATGATATTCCGGACGAAGCTTCAATTATCGGCCATTACCCGTCGCCCCCCACATTCTTCCAGCCGAGGTAGCCTCTGCACGTGACCAGCCTGCTTTTCCCGATGGAGACTCTACATCGAGTTTCCACTCCCGAGTAGGCAATCAGTGGGTTTGTATAAGGTACGGTAGCTATCTGCTGGTTGTTTGGCTCATCTACCTTATTGCCTCTCTATTACGTCGGCGCTAAGCTTAGTCTAGCTATTCTCCTTTACTCGAGGGATTTCTGCAGCATAGATATCTAGCCTGAATTGTTGCCGTCTTATACTATAGCCTATTTCAAGTAGCATCCCGATTCTCTGAAGTCACTAAGCCCATGCATGTTGTTTTGTCAGGATAACAATATACTTTCACGGTCAACACGACCTAACTGACCAGAGCCAAGAATGACGTTATGCCTTTTTGGAATATCTAAAGATGATAGGATTGATATCATGATGCTATCCAAAATATGATATTTTCAAGGGGAGGCGGGAAGAAACATGGCTGCTGATCCAATGGGGCTTAGGACTGGCGGATGAAAAGGGTTCCTTGTAGTGCATGCATATAATTCTAGATTCCCATCAGCCCTACCGCTATATCTTTGATAAAATAGCAAGGATACAATCTGTGAATGTTTCTCGTGTAACGTAGATATTTTTGCATCCCTGAGATACCTGCATTATAGCTCGTTGCACATAGTTGGAGCATGTCGCCAACATTGGCCAACAATCATTGCGACCAGGAGATAGCAAGCAAACAGCGAAGCACAAGAGACGAGGCCAATGAACGATGAGTTAGCGTGACTGGGATTTTCAACCTAAGGTATCTTTCGTTCAAACAAAAAGAGGAAAATCAAGCCAGTACTCGTGGCCTGCCGCTCTCCACAACCTAGCTACGATCCAAGCTTTTCCACTTAGCTATTAGGAATAACAAAGTGGCCACTTGCGCATGGAGGAAAACCTTCCTGTTCGTTGAGTCTGGGAAATTTGCGATCAATGTCATCTCATAATGTGTACTTCAACAACTCTATAAATGGGGATACGAAGTACGAAGTATGTACATTTACCAGCGGCCTCTGGATCAATATAATTTCGTAAGTACTGTACAACCTTAGACTTTCCGCCTTAGATTTAAGGTGCAACTCGAGCTGTGACGCGTTTGGAAATTGTCTGCCGCCATCCGTCAAAGCACAAAGCGCGACTCGACTCGACTGATTTAACTTCCGCCTCATCCAACGTCCCGCGTCTTCTAGAACAATGCGCTTTTACTCCATTTCTCTCCCCAACACCCGCCATGACTGACTGGAACAAGCTGAAGGTCGTAGACCTCAAGGCCGAGCTCAAGAAGCGCGGCCTCCCCCAGACTGGTCTCAAGCCAGCTCTCGTCGCCCGATTGACGGCTGCAGAAACCGAGGATGGCTCAGAAAGTGAGGCGACCGTTCAGGGTGACGTCGCAAAGCAAGATGCCAACTCTGCGACCTCTCCTGACACCATCTCCCCTATACAACCGTCCTCCGACCAGAAGATAGACATACCATCCGATGCGCCACGCCGAAGTCCTTCAGAACCCAAAACCGAGCCTGCTGCGGCCAAGGCTCCGTCTCCTATTCCCCAAGACCTTCCTGCTGGCGAGGCGCAGACAGAGGATCTTCCAGCGCCATCCCCAAGCGTCACTGAGTCTTCGGCGCAAACAAATGGTCTTCCTCTGGCCCGCCCAGAGGAGCCTCTCGAAGATGGAAACAAGCGCAAGCGGCGGTCTCAAAGCCCTCCTCCTACCGATACCGATCTTCCACGGAAACGAGTGCGCCAGGTCGAGGCGCAGGAAAGCACAGGTATATCTACGTCAAGTAGAGGAGCTGTAGAAGCTGAGGCGCAAAATGCAGCGAATGATAGGGAATCGGAAGCGGGTGCTGGGGAGGTAGCTTCATCTACTGATGTTGCCGAACGCGCCCCTGAGGTCAACGATGTTGCGATGGAGGATGCACCCATCGAATCTTCTCCCAGGCGAGAATCTAGAGCCGGCCAGGTTTCTGGGGATCATATGGTGGTTGACGAGAAACCGAAAGACGCATATGTCATTCTGCACGAGGAATCTCCTTCACGACCACGAAATTCGAAATATAAAGATTTATTCTCTACGCAAAATCCGTCGCCGCCTTTGGAAAAGCCAACACCACGAGACTCTGCCCCGGATGCAGTAGAGACCGAACCGGATCATGTCATCTCGCCAGCAATACACCCAGCAACGGCCGCTCTATACATTCGCGATTTCATGCGACCCCTTAACCCTGGTCAGCTCAAAAACCATCTTGCAACTCTTGCAGCACCTCCCGGTAGAGATCCAGACCCCGACGTAATCGTCAACTTTTATCTCGACCCAATTCGTACCCACGCATTTATCCACTTTACGAGTGTATCTGCTGCTTCCCGTGTACGGTCCGTTATCCACGATCGTATCTGGCCTGATGAGCGCACTCGAAAACCACTCTGGGCTGACTTTATTCCTGTCGACAAGGTAGAGGAATGGATCCAAACGGAAAATGAAATTCCTGGAGGACGTGCGATGGCCAAAAAGTGGGAAGTCTACTATGATGTGGGTGAAGATCGCAATGTAACCACAGTGCTCCAGGAAGCAGGCGCCGCCCCTCATGGAGAGCCTACCAGAAAAGCTTCAAATGCACTTCAACCGCCTCCAACGCCTACCCAACCCCGAGGCGTTGAAGGCGCTCCATCTGGCCCACGAGCAGCACAGATTCGAGGACAAAGAACGGCAACCAACCTTTCGAGACTTGACCAGCTGTTCAACTGCACCACAGCAAAGCCCGCATTGTACTGGAAGCCTGTCGATAAAGCCCTTGCCGACAAACGACTTGATAACATTGACCACGCCACGTCCAAGGAATATGTTAGCAATAGAACGGGTGGTGACATCAATCGATACACTTTCGAGGATGGTGAAGTCGTGGTTGATCGTGGTCCAGAGATCTTCCCTGGTATTAGGCCCCCAATGCGTGATGGCCCTCGGGGCGGCGGTCCTCGTGGTGGTAGAGGATACCAGGGCCGAGGTGGTTATGGTCGAGGATCGGAGAGATATGATAGCTACAGGAACGATATGAGAGATTCGAGAGATAATCGGCGGTATTAAAGGTTGACATTTTCTGAGAAATTTGGGCGTGACATTTCGGGGAGTTAAGAATGGATAATGCCTTACGTCTTACATTTTGACATCAAAAGGGAGAATATGTGTCGTGGTTGTAAGATTAGATGGTCCCTAACTGTGAGAATATGTGGTGATACCCGTAGGAGATGATAGGATCTTCTTTTTAATAGAAAAGCTTCCTCCTAAATTGGATTCTTCATGCTCTTCTATATGATTCAAATATCTAGGTAATAATATAGGAGCTATTCATTCTCACGATTGACAGGGGCGCGACAAGGCTGACAGGGCTGACAATCTTGACGTGCACGGGCCACTTTCAATGCCAACCTTCTCCAGATCTCGAGTCTACAAGCCTGAGCACACGTCAATCCAGTTCCATTGCCAACCATGGCCCATCTTTCCAACCCTCTAGCAACAGCAGAGCAGCTATACCAAAAAACTTCAGATAATTCTCTTCCAATTGAGATCCAAGATGGCATTCGCTTCTACACGGCCCGCCTTACACAAGCTGCGGGCCTGCTTTTGCGCCTCGGCCAGGATATAACAGCGCAAGCCAACGTCCTCCTCTTCAGGTACTGGCTCGTGGATGGTTTTATGAACCATGAATTCAGCGTATTTCCCCCTCCCATTAAACCTCTAGAAGTGTCCCCGCTAAATTTTCAATGCAGGACGTCTCAGCATCAATAATCTACCTAACCGCCAAAATATCCGCCTCGCCCCGCTCCCTCCGCAGCATAACAAACGTTTACGCCTACCTCCTCTCCCCATCTTCCCCATTAAATTCAAAACCCGAGTCCCTCAAGACAGCAAAACCACCGAATCCAGAATCCTACTACCTCTCCGAAACCAGATACATAACATTCCGCAACCGGCTTCTCCACATCGAAGGCCAAATCCTCAACGCCCTAGGTTTCAACACACATGTCGCCCTCCCACATCCCCTCGCGATCACCTATCTCCAAACGCTTGATGTATTCTCTTCGTCCATACGCAAGGGGCTAGGGAAAGAAGTTGCGAAACGCACGATAGAATATCTCAATACCGCGCTCCTTAGTCCGCAGATGCTGTATTTGACTCACCAGCCTGCTAGTTTGGCCACTGCTGCGATCTATTTGGCAGCGAAAGATAGCGGGATTAAACTGCCCGATGTCGAGTGGTGGGAGGTTTTTGATTGTGAGAGGGAGGAGTTGGGGTTTCTGGCTGTGGGGATGGGGAGTTTGGAGGGTATTGTTAGGAGGGAAGTAGAGAGGTGGGGTGAGAAGGGCGTTATTAGCAGGAGTGATGTGAGGGAGGAGCTTGGGAGGATGGGTGTGGGCAATGGGAATAAGAATGGGATTCGGGATTCGAAGGAAGGGGAGGATGAGGAGGCGGAGATGGCGAGGATGTTAGATGAGAAGATCCCGGAGACGTCTTGAAATGACCAAGTATAATAGCTTGAAGTCCTCTCCTCCGGCATTAACGGAAGGATATCACCTTATTTAGAGACATGTACACCAGTAACTTTGTATAACCAAGCACTTATAAACCATGCAACTTTATATCGAAAAGGAGGTACCTGCGACGATTTCGACTAGCGGAATATATAGAAGGCGAACTAACTAATATCCCCCTTTTCCTCAACTTAGGGGGCTCGGGTATAGGGATTCTGCTTATTAGCGTGTTCTCAAAGTTTCAGAAGCTCCCCCTCCACAACCCCAGCTGCCCAGCTGCCCAGCTTCCCCGCTCTAGCTCCCAAATATAACAACCAGAATCAGCATTTCTATTCTACTACCAGTGCCCGGAAACAACTATATCCTCAATGTCTTCCTCCATCCCTTTCAGGCCGACATCAATGAAGCCATTCTGTTTCCATGATCTCCCAGGCGAGATCCGCAACAAAGTATACCGCCTCATTCTTTGCGCGACGGAACCCCCCAACACCAAATGAGACAGGCTTCGAAGGGGTTCTGAGTCAGATCACACAATTTCGGCCCAGTATCGAAACCCAGATACTAAAAACCTGTCGGTCGATTTACACGGAGGCCAACTATGTGATGCTCAAGATGAATCTCCTCGTGAAAGTTATAGCCAAGATGCCAGACAACTATATTCTTCCCATCCTCATAGTAAAACGCGTGCCAATTCTGGAATTACCTCTGTCAAAGGTCAAAAACTTCAAAGCCTTTGTCATGTCCCATGAAATGACCATACGCGGTCCTGAAAGGGGGATCCCATTCAATTTTATACTTCGCCATCGCAGCCTTGATCACTTCTGCAGAGCGCTCGAACTCAGCCCATGGCAAGCTAGCCCGCGCGATGAACTTGTCTCCCACACTGTTGCCCTTATCGATCCTTACGAGGGCGAAAGTTTGCCTAATTCGCCGGCGTTTTACTCGCGTGAGCTGGAGGAGAAGCTCATCTCTCCGTATAGCGCCGCTCTACGAGGATTCCCCGACTTCAAAATCAAGGGTGCTATCTCGGAAGATCTCAGTGCTGCTGCTGTTGAGGAAATCACTCGCCCGTTAACTGACACACCCGAGAGCGTCCTTCACGAAGTAGAGGAGTTGAAATCAAAAGGAAATGAATTCTTCAGGAATGGAGACGGGAAAATGGCCAGTCAAAGTTGGACTAAAGCTTTATTCATGGCACTCCACATTCTAGGATCTCCAGCAGGGGAAAAGGTGCAAAATGCTGGAGGGATGACCTTTCTCAATCGGATGGTTGCACTATATTTTGATTGTTATTCAAACTACGCTCAAAATTATCTCAAGTCGATGCGAGAAAATGCAACGGATCATGAACTTGTACGCTCCTTCGGTAATGGATTTTTTAATGCTATTTACGGGGCACTTGGCACATCGGACAAGTTCCCAAATGCCACCTGGGAACCGTCCGATCAGCAAATTGCGAAGGTCTTTTATAGAGAAGCGGTCGGGTGCAGACTTATTGGAGAAGGATTTCTAGGTCAAGCAGAGACAGCTATCCAACGTGCGAATCATGTAACGCCTGGTGATGTTGAGATTGAACGGGAGAGGGAAAGGATTTCGAGATGGAGGAGAAGTGTACATTACATGGCTGAGTACTCGAGTATGGGATTTCATGCATCACCACGTGCAAGAAGTGGCGTGAAGAACACTGAGAGCATTGCTCTACATAATATGATGTGTAGTACAGTAGCCTCAGAACTATTGAAAATAGTCATGGTGGTTAGTTTAATAGATATGTGTATTGAGATACTGATGTCATTTTTGCTCTCATTTGTGTTTCCTAAGCATCATCATGCGTTCTTTTCAACCTCAACTACGGCCACCACACTAACCCAAGCCTGTTACGAGTCTCTCTTGTTCACTTTGGCGACTGGGTCCCAGCTTTATCACACGCAGAATGCTATGCAACCTATGCAACCCCCCCACCCCGGAGCTTATAAATAGGGGAGGCAATCGATGACTAGGAAAATAACTCGGAACTATAACTTCGATTCAGGAACCCCCTAAGACGAAGCGCCAGGCACTCTGCATGTACTTTTAATATGTGACCCAAGAATTATCTCACCTGCACGTTTTGCTTTTACCAACTTGAGACTACTTGCAAGGAGCTCGTCGTACATTCCGAGTATTCACGTATAAGAATATGCTTAGAGGATGAAGCAATCAATCCTAGCAGTTGTCTAATATTTATAACTCACTTTAACAGAATAAAGATCTTGAGAGCAATCACAGCAGCTAGTATTATAACTATTAGTTACATAGTAAACTCAGTGAGCAATATGTGCAATGGGTATCTCCACAGAAGGTTTGCACCTCAGCCCTGGTCATGGTAACTCTAATAGCGCCACCTATAGTTCCAATACCTCAACCTACAATGCGTTTCCCGTGGAGATGCAAGTTTTGGTTTGAAGCACATCAGTATCTAATGACTTGTTTTTTTCAAGTGCGCCGGATTGTGATACTGAGGACTTGACCTCTAAAACATAGACTTCCACACCGTAACTCACGTCGAAGCCGGCGGGATTTCTGACAAAGGGGTGGCTTTTTTTTAGCATGCAAGCCTGCCATTTTGTACAATTCTCGAGGAATGCCAAAAGTGGGTTCGGATATCGCCGTCCTCAAGCCCCCCTGGGTTACCTAGAACACAGGACATTAAAGAACTAGAAGCGCTTTGTATATTAAATTCCAATACCCGACACTTATCAGCTCTATTATCGAAATTAAGATTTTGTCTCGGCGCTTTCGGAAGTGGTTCCTTGGGAAATTGGGAGAATAATTAGTTACTTGCCGTACGAAATGAGAAGCCGTGGTGTCATAGGGCGAGGAAGCCTTGCACGTATCGCTTCGAAGTGCGTAGTACAAATATACTTAACCCCTTTTCCCCATTTCGGTCTCGGTCCGCTCCCACGAGGTCCGTCCCTAGTGATCCCCACGCAGGCTCTTAGCTCCCTAATAACACTACTTGGTGATCCCTACAGGTACAGTGCCGTATGTACCTAAGGTACCTAGCAGGTAGTATCACCCCTAACAGCTGAACCTTAACCTGTACTTCCCCAGATTCTCTGCAGAGTATCAGCTCAAATCTGCATATCGCCCAACTCTGCCAAAGCTACGCCTCAGCAGTATTTTATTGGAAGAAACTATCCGTCCACCGTTCGTCTCACATGCGCGAACCAGCACCATAAATGAAAGCTGCATGGTGCGGTGTGGGTGATCTTAACCACCACCAAGTCAGCAGGACGCAAGTGAAGGACATATCCTATCACGCTCGAGCAAATGTCCGCCAGTCTACCAGTCCACCCAATATCGTCAGGAGCCCTGGAAACTCGCACATCACCAGCAGCAGTGCCCAACGTTGAAGGCTGTCGGGTCCGACTGCTGGGATGGTAGGCCCACAAGACGACGACACAAGGAGGGCTAGGCGCCGGGGATCCTACAGCGAATGGATCGAAGAGCGGCCACGCAAATCTCGTGGCAATGAAAGGGTCACACTCGAACCAGAAGATTCGGGGCGCCGCAGGATTAGGGTAGAAAAGCTCGAGCGCAGCACTTCAACCGACCGAACTGCAGCAACCCCGAAGATGACCTCGGAGTCTCACACGACGTTGCCGAGTCAGAATTGCTCGTCAGCACGCAAGAGCAAGAGGGAGAACCGTCGGAGTCCGGAGCATAGAGTTCATCGAAGACGAAGACGGTCGAGTTCGAGAGATCGCTCGCCCATACGCCCCTCGAGTAAGTCGCAGCCGATTGTCGATCGAACAGTAGATACTGCGAAGCTTGGTTCGGAGGATGAGTCTAGTGAGGAGGAGGAGATGGAGAGACCTACACGGATAGAACACATCGAGGATCGACCAAGGAGGCGGAAGGTTAAGGTTGTATACGTTACGGAAGGAGGGTATAGCTCCTCAAGACACAAAGACCGGGGGGTAGGAGGAGGCAAACGATCGGGACATATTCCTAGAGAAGATGATCCTCTGCGGAGGTTAAGGACTCAACCTCCTCGTCGAAACTCCATTGCTGAGGCCCCATCCCCTTCATTATCCAGGAGGTAAGACTATTCAATTCTCGCACGTTATTGTAGCTAATATTGGGACCTCTAGGGCCCCCTCCACGAGAGAACCAGCTTCTATGTCTCGATCCAGTCTTAGGAGAAGCCATACTATCAGTGCACATGTACCACCTGTCAAGGAATATATACCATCCTTAACCACTGCGAGTGCAAACACCGCTAGACGGTCAAATTTCTTGGGCAGTTTCTTTGGGCGTCCTCCTCCACAGCATCACGAGCCTGAAAGATTGTAGGAATCTCCGTTGCCCACTCCATGGTCCTTATTGACTGTCATTAGGGTCGAATGCTTAACATGTCTCTCTGATGATATACCGAGATCTAAGTCGGCGAAGCTGAAGTGTGGGCACCGTATGTGTCATCCGTGTTTGAGACGTATTTTCAAACTATCCGTTACCGACCCCCAACATATGCCGCCAAAATGCTGCACCTCAGACCATATTCCTCTTAAACATGTCGATAGACTATTTGACATAAATTTCAAGAAGACGTGGAACAAGAAATTTCAAGAGTATTCTACTAAAAACCGAATTTATTGTCCTGCTCGACGATGTGGCGAGTGGATCAAGCCTCAGAATATCCACAAGGAGGATGGGAAGAAGTACGGGAAGTGCAGTCGCTGCAAGACTAAGGTCTGCTGTTTGTGTAACGGCAAATGGCATGGTTCCAAAGATTGTCCGAAGGACGAAGAAACCAACAAACTTCTGGAAACTGCCAAACAAGCTGGTTGGCAGCGGTGTTATAGCTGCAGGACCATGGTTGAGCTCAAAGAAGGCTGTAATCATATGACTTGGTAAGTATCTCAGCTACCCCCCACGCAGCCATCTATCCTAACCCATCACAGTCACTGTACGGCAGAGTTTTGTATGATATGCGGGGTCAAGTGGAAATCTTGCAATTGTCCATGGTTCAATTACGACGCTGTGGAGGCAGACCATTTGCAACATATGCAAATTCCTCAGCCAGTCGATAACCAATACGCACCTGTCCAACGGCCTCGGGAGCGGGAGCGGCTTCGACGACCACGACCAAATACTTACAATGAAGAAATAACCCAGCGCCGACGACAAGAGCGAACGGATGAACAGCTTGCGCGTCGTCTACAGACCGTCTCAATTAATGACGATGATGATTACCAAGGTGGTATAGGTGATATTCATGGCGTCGGGAATGGCGCAGATCATTTCATGAATCAGGATTATATCAGAGCGGCCCAAAACATTCTCACAGGGACCTTTGATCAAGCTACTGCAGCTGCCAACCATGTTATGGGCGGAGGACAAGCACGGGGCGGGCCTCCACGACCGCCGCAGGCCGCACGCCCGATGGTTGAACGATATCCGGCGCCTCGTCCATCTATGAGAACTCCATCGCCGCCTCCGATTTTGAGACGCCATACAATGGCGGAGCATGCATATAATACTGCTCCAAGCACTCGACGCTCTGAGAGGGTTGTGCCTAGGCGGACGAGAACCGACTATGCGAGCGAGGCCGCTGTCCATGCTCCACTGACGAGAACTCCTGAGCGTTCCTCGTCTTCACGCTCGCCGAGGCCATCAGTTCTTGCTGGGCTCGGTGGCGCTAGAAAGGGGAATAACCGCGTGGATGCGTGGAGAACTTATGTAGAAGCAGGTGTCACCCCCGAGGAAGGGGTATTATCAGTTGTATGATTATTTGGTGATGCATATAGTGTGATATATCCAACGCATTATAGCGATGTAACGAGCTATATATAAACATTTATCTTATAGTTCCCAATTTTTCTGTACGATACATGAAGCCAACGTACCTAGGTAGTCCAGGTAAGTGCCAGGTGCATTCAGCCACATTTACGAAGGTACCTTTTATGACCACCTACTCACATATGAAGGTATTAATTTAAGAATAGGTAACCTTAATTTATAAACTTAAACGGCTTATGAGAATTTGTAAAATTGCATCGTTAGAGAGACGTCTGTTGTTGTAGAAACTGCATTGGGAATAGTCTGGAATAAGGCGAGCCATGGATGGCATAAATCTGCATAGCCACAGCCACAGCCACAATATCGTCATCTGTTATCTCAACCTCGGGTCCCTGGCTGCGTGACTGCTCGCGTGGAGTTCCAGAGGCACATCAGCAGAACAACAATGATCCTGGTTCTTCCAAGAGAACCACCCTCTTTGAAACTGGAGCCCACGATTACAGAGCCGGAATCCCCTAGGAAACTTCGCAATATGGATATATAACCTTCTACTCAAACTAGGCGTGCATCGCTCCTCCGGTTAGGCTCCGGACGAAATAGAAATCGCAACACACCCCACTACACTAAGCATAAGCTCTCACAACGAAATGTTGCTCCTTCACCAAACCGGGAGCCTCAAAATCGGAGAGGTGATCCGGTACACAGTAACTTACACGCCCGCAAATGACCGAATCCTTCCATCTCCCTCCCACCTACACCTCCGAATCAAGAACAGCTCCACGATAGCTCTCCGGGCAGCGTTCGTCCATGGGCCCTACACCCTCTACACCGCCGCCTACCCATTCACATTCAATCCGAACGAGAAGTTAGAGAATCCCCGCGCTACCGGCGTGCCTGAATTTGAACCGAATCTCAAAGCAGGGGGGACGTTTACTACTCGGCTTGCGGTTCCCGAAGATGTACGCCAAACTGCGGGGAGTGCGGGTAGCCATGGAAGGCGGTTTGAGGGAGAAGGACAAATCCAGGATGTCAAGAGCATGAGTTGGGTTATTGAGGTTTCAAGCCAGATTATATTCTCCGCATCTGCGGCGGTCCATTACGAGATTCTGCTGGGAAGGGATGCGAAGAGTTTGACTCTCGGGTTTGCGAATCAATTAGCAGGGGGGACTTCTCCTACTCAGGCGCCCGGGCAAGTCAGTGACCATCAGCAAAGTCAGAGAGCGAAGGATGGGCATCATAATGCGCAGCCAAAAGGTGTCTATTCGAAAGCTATTACGCTAAGAGTGGATGATACGGCGAGTCTCTGGAATACACCTAAATTAATAGAACGGTCTGATGAGGGGAAGGAAAGGGTGAAAGAAATACACGGACCTAAATCCGCCGATATCTCCGAGGAGAAGAGTGATAAGGAGGGCTCTCGGCGAAAGAGACAGAAGAAAGTTCATTTAGTTGTTTTGACACATGGCCTCCATGGTAATCTGGGGTCCGATATGCTGTACATGAAGGAAAGCATAGATGCTACAGCCAAGCAGGCGAAGAAAGACGCTAGAGCTCGCCGAGCAAAGAAGAGGAAAGATGGACAGGCAAATGCAGCAAAGGAAGGGGATGGGGGTGAAAATCCTTCTACTGTGGAGACACGGAATTATGAGAGGGGAGCGAAAGATCCTACCGACGCACAAGATGACAATGCCAGTGAAGATGAAGATGAAGACGAAGAAGAAGTCGTCGTTAGAGGCTTTTTTGGCAATGCCACTCGAACAGAAAGAGGTATCAAATACCTGGGAAAACGCTTGGCAAGATATGTTTTGGCTATGACATACCCTGAGCAGCCATATCGGCCTACGACTAAGAAGACTGCTGGGGAGGCTATTTCTCATGCCCTCAGACCGGCGGGTTCGGCAGCCACAGAGGAGGGAGGAGTTCCAACCCATGGCCACAGCACCGTCTACAAGGATCGACAGCCGGACCAGCATTTGCCCTACAAGATTACAAGCATCAGCTTCATTGCCCATTCTCTTGGTGGCCTCGTGCAAACGTATGCCGTTGGGTATATTCAAAAACACTCTCCGCAGTTTTTCGATATCATCAAACCAATTAATTTTATTGCTCTTGCTACACCGTTCTTGGGACTGAGCAATGAGAACCCTCTGTATGTCAAGTTCGCACTAGACTTTGGCCTAGTCGGTCGCACCGGCCAAGATCTTGGATTGACATGGCGGGCTCCAACAATTGCTCGAAGTGGATGGGGGGCAATCGTAAGTGGAATGGGCGACACTACCAACAATTCTGAGAGCCATCCGGAATCAAAGCCGCTGCTTCGAATTTTGCCTAGTGGCCCTGCGCACATCGCGCTGGAAAAGTTTCGAAATCGAACGGTCTACTCTAATGTTGTGAATGATGGGATCGTGCCTTTACGTACAAGCTGTTTATTATTTCTGGATTGGCAGGGTCTTGGGCGTGTGGAGAAAGCGAGAAGAGAGATTGGGCTAGTTGGCACGCTCGCTGACTGGGGCTGGGCTGAACTCACTGGTCAAAACACAGTTTCGCCACGAGGTCGCCCATTCAGGGAAGACACCGGGGATTTCAGCGATAATGAGATTCAGGGCGAGAATACTCCCACAAGAGAGGGTCATGGGGAGGAAGTGCCTCAACCGGCTCCGACTGCCACTGAAGATGATAACCGAAGCCTAAAGAGCTTTACCCACGCCCGTCCTACCTCAGCAATATCTTCCACTGGGAGCGACGATGGCCCTTCTAAGCCGCAAGCATCAAACAATGATAGCGCCTTCGCAAGCATCGTCAAATTCTTCCAACCTAACCCAGTGCCCAAACAACCAACGCCCAAACAACCAGTGCCCAAACAACCAGTGCCCAAACCACCAGCGCCCAGATCACCACCCGAATCCCCAAAACGTAACAATATTTTCAAACGTAGCCAAACCCTCAGTGTCAAGAGTGAGGACTCTATACAGCCTCTCTCAGACCAAGAACCAGCCGTAAAGAAGGGTAATGGAAAGGCCACAAATGGAGACTCTGATCGCGAAGATTCCGAGCGTATGTCAGCCCCTCCGAAAACAACGTTCTTCGAAGCTGCAGGAGATCTACTCAAGCCTCCTCTGCCATCGGTGGAATTTTTGATCAATCCGGAGTCACGGCCACGGACCATTTTCCACGACCGCATTTACCATCCAGCTGATATTCCTCCTCCACCTCTTAAGAAACGCGCAACCAACTCGATCTTAACCCGCCGTTCTACGTCTAGTAATTTCCTGTCGCCCGGTTCTAGTACTCCAAGTATCACTCCTGCCGCGAGCGACTTGTCATCCCGCGACTACGATGATACCAGGAATACCAATCCGGACAAAGACCCTAGGGACGTTATAGATGGTAGCGCGATGAAAGTCGAGGAGAAGATTGCCCGGGCATACCACCGTGACTTATCCTGGCGGAAGGTTCTGGTGAGATTAGAACCCGATGCCCACAACAACATGATCGTGCGGCGAATGTTCGCCAATGCATATGGCTGGCCGGTCGTCAAGCACCTCTGTGATACGCACTTCAGCGATTCAGCAGCGGCCAACACCCGAGATGCGGATGAGTCTAATGAAGAGCGCGCCAAAGCGCCGAATGAGGCACCGGATATCCATGGTAATGAGACGACGTATAATGAAGTAGAGATACCGAGGCTAGAAAGTCATAATCGCACTGACTCCGAAGCCCTCGAAGCAACGGATGATGTTCCAGCTCTCAACTCAGCACCCAAGCGCGCCCATTTAAGCAGAGCAATCGCGAAACCGACTGGTCATGATAGATCGGGGAACGAGAGTGAAGGGTGGAGCGAGAGAGATTGGGTTGATAGTGCGGATGATAGTGATGAGTTTGAAGCGCCCTCGCCGCAGCGCCACAAAAAAACTACTTCGGTTGATGGCAAGAAAGAGAGGGGTTGGAATTGGACTGAGGCTATTGCTGGGAGAGGAGCCCCAAGCCCAAAGGGTACGGGCAAGGCAGATATTGATAGCTTCCTTGGGAAAGGGAAGGGCAAAGTGAAGGATAACGATAGTTCAAGCAAAGATCCCCGTACAGACAGTCGAGCCGCGGCTGAGAGCGTATCCAGACCAGATCAACCAAGTCCCGATCTGGATGGGGCAGTGGAATCTCCCATCGCACCGGCAAGTGGTAAGTAAATATCATCATACTGATGACGGATATGGGACGGCCACGTACAGCCCTTGTACCTAACGCTGGAGATATGGTGTGATGACTTTACAGAGATGTACTGTTTTAATTACGAAATATTAATTTACGTTCTCCATGTTCTATAGAACTTTACTGAGTCTCTGCTCCCCTTAATCATCGATACGCACGGTCAGGTGCCACTTGGGAACAACTTCAAAATCAAGTCACCTTGTACCTATTGCCTAGCGACAATTCTCAGCTATTAAATGAGGGACTTACGGAGTACATAACCGGTAAAAATCAATATTTTGCCGATTTATCTGCACAACTCAGCTCAGCTCGGACAGAGGCTTCCGCGTGGCAGATGCAGCCCGGCGGCGTGCATTTCCCTCGTGCTCGGCAGCTGTCGATACCCTCGTGTAGCAAACGGCTTTCTTTGCGCACAGAGGCAGCACGTAATGAGAGGAGATCCATGTCGTGAGACAACCAAAGACTCTTCTCCTGCTGTTACACCCGTGTCTGAGCGTCCGGGAGTGGCTTTGTGATAATTCCCCGCGATCTACGGAGGAAGAAACTTGAAGAAGCAAACGCTATGTCGAGATATCCCAGCCTGCTAATCTCCGTGGCCAAGGAAAGCCTCATGTGGGCGTTCCATACTGCGTACAGAAGCTTATATCTATGCCAGCTGGTGATTTGGCAAATCCGGGGCGGCCGAATGTCGAAGATGTCGAATTGTGATTGTGCGTTCTGAGTTGGACTTGGACGGAGCAGTACAGTAGCGCTGTGCGCCGGTGAGATCGGGAATGTAAATATCCATACTGGTGTTGTAGAATAAGCACTAAGTAATGCAGATATGGCTGCTTCCCATAATTTCTGTAGACATGGCAAACGCATAACTAGAGTTTGAACATGGTATTTTTGTAGATAAATCTGGAGTTCAGTGTCTTCTGTAGTACAAGAAGTGAGTTGAAGAAGCCCTTCTGATGAAGAGTCTTAGGCTCCAGGGGATCAACATGCTCTGTATATAAATGCAGTACTACGAAGTGCGTACTACTTCAGGTATTTTATAGTAGGTACGGAATGACAAGTACTTCACTCTGTACTCTGCCCGTAAAGCTATAGTACCATATACTATATACTATATATTATGTTGTAGCTTTTGTAGACTAATAGTCTAGCTTGTGCCTTGCACCCTGTGCTGCAGATGGGCGTGGAGTATATACTTCGTAGGCGCTGGCACTAATGTAAGTTGCACTTCTAACACAACCATCCTGGCAAACCTAATCTGGATCTGATCGCCCACGATCTCCCCCAGATCAGCTGCTTATCGACTCGGAGCTTTGATTGTAACCCCGGCTATCACACGGTATTGCACGTTATTGCAAACGGGGAAGCTCCTGCAACTCATCTCTCCACCTTCTCTGGTGCACCCGTCTGCCACTGGCATTATCCCCCGAGTTGTCAACAATCAGTCCGCACAACTCCACCACCAACTCCTACTCAACCCACTCATTCTTTCGTCGTGGTCCGCTGAAGTATAGATTAAAGTTACGGCACAGGCACAGCGAGAGGCACGGCCAGGCAGGCGCTGACAAACTCGACCAGGCCAGTCTACGAGTCAGTCCACGAGGCAGCAAGTCAACAAGTCAACAAGTCACCAAGTCAAGCGCAAGGCCACTCGGCGATAACACGCTCGGATGTCGATAGGAAAGCGGCGACGCTTGGGCTCTTTGGCCTCATGATGGCTCCAGTACCTGTATCGGTATTGCGAAAATGCTCACTGTCCGACGTGCAGCGCGCCGATGGGCATGGGCCCGCGCCCGCTGAGTACAGCAATCGAGATTATGTGCGCGAGGTGTTACAGCTACAGCGACAACTCGGGAATGACCAGGCGGAAGCTCTCGTCGACGAAACCCTCGTACAAGAGGCAGAGACCTGGGGGATCGCTATCACCACCACTGTCCCGGGACCGGCCACGTCAAAGGGCGGGCAAGACCAAAATGCTGCCGACAACTCAAATCCCCCCTCGAAATCGACAGTGGCATTACATCACACGAGATGCCCCTCATCCGGCTCGCACGAAACCAATTCGACGGTCGGCACATCGAGATCCTCCCGCGAACAAGCAGACAACCCAGCTCGGCCGCAGTTCCGGAGGAGATCTTCGTCAAAGAAGACGCTCTCATTTTCCGATTATGAGAAGTACTTAGCAGAAGTTCGGGCCCAAGATAATACGCAGGTGGAATATGTTGCTCCTCCAGCACCAAAGGACCCGGCGCCCACTCTATTCTCGTTGTCGACAAGGAAATCTCATGCGGGTATCAAGAAGCGGCTCAAGAGAAGCTTCAGCGTTCGAAGGCGCAGCTCGACCCAAGATGATATTAAGTGAGTTATTACGTTCCTCTTAAGGATATTGTCTAACTATCATAGTTTCTGTATCTGCTGCCGAGACGAGTTTGGAAAGAACAGCAAAGAACTGCATACTCTCCCATGCGGTCACAGCTACTGCGATACCTGCCTACGAGTTATAACGACCCAAGCCGTGACAGACGAGTCTAAAATGCCTCCCCGATGCTGCTCACAGCCGGTGCCTAGTACCATAATCAAGACGGTCTTGACTAAGGGCGAGCAGTACTCCTTCATGAAGAGCGTTCTACAATTCAGCACACCATGGGAAGCACGAATCTTCTGCCCAAATACTGCCTGCGGGGAGTTCGTCCCAGGACGGAGCAGAGTAGATCCCAAACACCCATTCGAAGTAATGTGTCGGAAATGCAGAACCAAGGCATGCTCGACATGCAAAAGGGCAGCCCATGCCTTCGGTCAAGATTGCCCAGCGGACTGGGAACTCGATGCTGTTCTACAAATGGGAGAGAAATCTGGGTGGCGGCGTTGCTACAAATGCAGGACTCTGGTAGAGCTGACTCAAGGATGCAGCCATATCACATGCCGATGCAAAGCCCAATTTTGCTATATATGCGGAGCCGTGTGGAATCCTGTCGTCGGCTGCCCAAACTACTGTAGCGGGGAGGAAGAACTCGAACGCCGGCGGCTCGAGGAAGAAGCACGAATGGCTGAACTTGCCAAGGAGAAGGCTGAAATGGAGGAAGCTGAACGAATTGAAGCTGCTGAGAAAGTAGCTGCCGAGGAGCGAACGCGACGAAGTAGCGAGCTGAATGCTCTTCGAGCCCAACAGATCAATGAGCATGACCGTTTTATCGCTTTTGAGAGGAAGATGAAGTGGATGATGTGGACCCGTCACGGACAGCTAAAACTTGATATCCTCGATCGTTACGGTGAGATGTTATCAAAAATGAAAGAGCGACACATCAGGACGGCTACCCACCTTGAGGATCGTCAAGTGGGGGCGGAATTGGAACTCAGGGCCAGCCATAAACAGGCCGAGCGAAGCGTACAAATCCGTCTCCGGCATATGGAAGCTTACTGTGATGGACTCGGTCGGAACGCCAGTGGTTCCAATCCTGCCAGGGTAGTCACGGAGCGCGATCTAAGGGAGCTCGGTCAGCAATACAGTGTGCGGGACGATCTCGAACGTCTGCATCAAAGCAAAATTAACGTAATGCGGGACAAGCAATCGAAGCAAATGGAAGAGCTCCTAGCACGCCAGGAAGATGAGTTGGATAAACTGGCTACAAAGCAGGCTGAAGAATTGGAGGGATTGGAAGAAAGGTTCGTGAATGAAGAAGACGGCCTGGCGGATCTTTTCCAACAGAGGAGGGCAAGATTAAGGTGGAGGTGGGGTATTACTGAAGAGATACTGCGGAAACAACTAGAAGCGCGCGAGAAAGTGAAATTCGCGATGATGAAGCCCGTGGAATGGCCTGAACTGGAATCCAACCAGGATGATGGGCTGGAGGCCGTTTCTGAATAGGCATATTGATGGGGATCGAAGCAGGCGTCTGTGGCGCCTTGGTATGCGGACGAATAACGGTTTACGATACACTGGAGCCCATCGTTGGCACAGGAGTACATGATAATATACGACAGGGGTCTTACGACGACGCAACAGCGGATTTCTTTTGTCATTGTTTATGATGCCCGATACGCATTACGGTTGGGCTTGGGCAGGCGGCAAACGCTCGGAAACGCTGCCAGTGCAGGGGACAGGGACGGGTGATATGGATGGCTTATTTGATATACATGATGTTATACCTCTAATTTGGCGACTCTACGGAGTACTGTCCAGGTGGAGTATTTGTGACGCGGATCGTCACGGCATGAGAAGGCTAGGTATCCTCAATTTGTTATCTAGTACAGCAAGGCGTTTTCTCGCCTGTGCGAGGCGATGAGTTATTCTTAAGTTGGTTTCTTTATCTACCTATATACCCAAATTTCTGCTCATTCATATTTACGGGGTGTTGCGAGCGGCTTTTGGGGGGTCGGGGTGGGGTGGGGCGGAAGGAGAATGACAACATATGTTCAGTATATATATACCCGTAACTAGTTTATTAATCAAGCATTACCTAGTTCAGAAGGATAACATTTTTATTTGCTATAGCTTCTTCTACTTCTACTTATACATATTAATAATACAATTAGATACTAGTTCGTGACAGCAAGATGCATTGTCAGAACTATTAAGTCAAAGCACCTCGGCTTTCTAATGAAATTATAAGATCTATTATTTCTCATATATTACACAACAAGGTAAGCCAGATTTCCAATTTCCCAACTAAAACTCAAACTTCTCCCCGACCATCTCCTCGCTCAACTTCCACAGCCTCTCTGCCTTCTCCTTATCAATGGCATAAGCCTTTACGTTTATCGGATCCGTGACGATTTGGCAATGGCTCAAATAAACACTGCCCTCCTTCTCCTGCAACCCCAAATCCAGCGCCGCCCTCAACGTGGTAGAACAACCCTGCTGCAATGTCTTCATCTCCGGTAGCGCCACCCCTGTCGCCAGCAACCGCGCTATCGCGTCGTCCCTAATTTCAGGCGTCATGTGTTTCTGCAACCCACTCACTATGCTTCCCGGGTGCAGGGCAAAGCTCTTGATATCCTCCCCTCCCGCACGAGCACTAAGTCGTTTGTTGAGCCCCACGGTAAAGAGGATATTGGCAGTCTTGGCCTGTCCGTAAGAATCAAAGGGCTGGTAGTCTTTGCCGCCGTTGAAATCTAGAGACTCCCAGTTGACATCGTGGAGTAAATGGCCGGTGCTGGACACATTCACGATCCTCGCTCCCGGGCCAGCGGCGAGGATTTTCGGCATCAGCAGGTTCGTGAGTAGGAAATGGGATAGGTGGTTTGTGGCGAATTGAAGCTCATATCCGTCCTGGCTCAGGCCATATGGGCATGCCATAATGGCTGCATTGTTGATCACTACGTCGATTTTGGGGACGCTGGAGTCTGATAAGATTGCCGTGGCTGCGCTGCGGACGCTGGATAGCGAGTCCAGGGAGACGGGAATGAATTTTGTGACTGTGGAGGGTGAGATGGTGTGGATTTCGTCAATGATCGGTTGGATTTTGGGGAGTGAGCGTCCCAGGAGGAGGAGTGTAGAGGGGTGGGCACGGGCGAGGGTGAGGGCTGTTTCGGCCCCGATGCCGCCAGCGCTGGGACCGGTGATCAGGAATGTGCGGCCAGCTACTTGGGAGCTGAAGTCGGATACGATGGTCGTTCCATCGGTTTTGTTGTTATAATGGGCCATTGTGTTGTTGGTGGTCTTTCAAGTGGGAAGAACTGGATGTAGTTCTGGTGGGTGTGTGTGTGGATGTGGGTATAGTCTGATAAGAGGAATTTGAAAGTCGATGATGAGGATATTATACTCCATGATGTGCAATCTCTTGATATAATATATAGTCTTTCTTCTTCAAGGAGTAACTACGTTCAATCACAAACTCCATAAAATCCGCGAGTTATGTCTACACTCGCCACCTCCGTCCATCCTCCGTTCCCCCTTAACGAAAACAAAGGAGAAGCGAGGTGGCGCAAGGGGTATGACTTATGTCAGCAAGGAGGTATGCAATGCACTTGCTCGTAACTCCGAGGTGAACAAACTCGCATCACCACGGGATGATCAACACTCCTGTATCGGCGCATCGGACATAGAATAGGGGGCTTTATATTGCCGAGCTATCGCCATCGCCTTCGTCATCGTCATCGCCATCAACGTCAACGTTAACGTCAACGTCAAGCTTTTGGCTTCCCGTTGATTTGTGGGTATTCCCAAGATACCTTAAAGCATAAGCATGGGAACTAACCATGCTCGTACCGCTTGGTAGACTTTTGCAGCTCAATGCTCAGCTGGGCGCAAAAACGAGAACTTCTTTTCTGTCATATCCATGCCATTTCACTTGAGTGTGCATCATTACATTACATCATGATCCTGATATTCTCGGGCCAAGAGGAAAGCAACGTTGGCTTTTCACAAAATCTCGCTCAAGTAGGCAAGCCGGTGTGCAAATAATAAATAAATAAATGAATTCGCCCCCCTTGGCAATCGGCGTTCGTTCGGAAGAGGGTAGTACATCGGCATGTCACATGACTCATCATCATTACAGCGAATAACTTCGGAGCTTTGAAGGAAGTATAACCTTGGCTATGGATACCCGACAGTAGTATAGTTGATATTTTTTTTCGCAGAACATGACGTATATATAGCTTCATTTCCTCCCATTTTCTATCTTCTCGTGTTCTTTTCTCCTTATCAACCTACTGGCAATTTACAAGTCATAACTCATCAGCTCATACACTACACGTCATAACTTACTGTTCATAACTTACAATTCATACCTCATAGTTCGTAACTTACAACTCAAACCAAACAGTTCGTAACTTACAACTCACACCTCACACACATCAAAACCACCGAGAAACCGGAACCCAAAATCAAAATGCTCAGCTTCCTCAAAAAGTGCTGGACCACAGTCTCGACTGGCTGGGTTGTGGAATACCCATCTGAGAGGGATGGGCCTCAAGATTTCTTCGACAACAAGGACAAGAGATGGCGGACCGCGAACTTGAAGACATAAACGCAACATTATGATAATAGGGAGGGGTTGGGGATTTGGGATGGGAAAGCATCATACAAGTTGCACAAGGTGCACGGCGTTTGGATCTGACATGATACCGATACTTCTTGGGAAAAGTGAATCTTCTAGTAAGTAATGTCTTAATGTTTGGATTGGAGACAATGCTAACGAAACCTCCAACAGTTCATTTCAAGCATCGATTTCACACACACACACACATGGCCGACTCCAAAAATAAATTGAACTACACATGTTCATATCCTCATCCTCGGGATCAAATAGATGCAATCCCCTCAACCAACATCTCGAACAGGCCACTAGCCATAGCAGAAATTGGCTACGCAAGGCTGGGCCTGTGCATTTTGGATTATCTTCATGGAAGGTTGGATAAAAAAAGTTCCTTCATATTTGGAATGGAGCTTGGTTTGATGATTGTTGATAGGGTTGTCGTTTGTCATGGGTTTGGTTTTCAGCGCAGCGCAGGCGTTGGCGTTGTATGTAGTATATAATTCTTCAAATTTAGCGTCGCCCAATATTAGATTCCACTCTAAACAACATTAATAATGTGCAAAGATTTTGAAATTATGATAGTGTTCCTTAGGTATCCGCTTCGTAACAAGTCTGGAGACGATACTTATTTGGCAATAAAAGCTAGGTTCCGAGTAGTTCAACTCATTAACCTGACCGAGATTCAAAATTATCATTATTAAACTCAACGAGTCATAATCAGAACCATAACACGGAACAAGATCGGAGCTTATCCAATAATAGACCCACCAGTACCTAGATCGGCACCCTTCTTAGCCGGCGACTCCTTTCCGGACACACCCTCTCGCCGGGTCTTCGCGCCCTCCTTTAACTTCTCCCATCTGTCCCGATATCTTGCAATGACAGCTTTCAATTTCTCATTCTCCCTCCCCAACCCCTCAATCTCCTTACTGCCCAATAGTACATGCTCTTCCAACTCCGAAACTCTCCGCTTCAAAGCTTCGTCCGCAACGCTGGGTGTCGCGGAAACATTATGATCCCTAGCAGGACTTACAGAGCGCATCAGCCTCATGCTCTCTTGCAATGCCATACTACTCTTTTGTGCTCCCAGCTCAAATGCGCTGAGTCGTTTGCTTAGCTTATCGACGCAGTCCTTCAAGCTTCGGTTCTCCATGTCTAGCTCTTCAACTCTGTTCTCCAAACCCTTGGCGCTCGGCTTCTTGCTGGCTCCCCTTTTGCTTGCGGTAGGTGAGCGAGGCATAGGTGTCTCCCTCGCATCAACAAAATCGTCCTCTTCATTTGGATCCTCGAAAAGATCGGGATTTTCGCTGTGCATAGAAGCCGCCATCCGCCGCCTTTCCTTTTGGTCGAACGATAGGATCTGTGCGTATGATACTGTGTGGCCGGCAGTCGGAACCACGTAAAATGAATCGTTCGCAGATTGGCCATCGCGGGTGGAAGCTCTGAGAGCCGCGCGAGAGATATACTTCGAGAGATCCGGCTCTGGCCGGGACCTGTCCTTGATGGGTGTCGAGCGCCTCTTCAGGGGTGAAACGGGTTCGGGCACATCATCAGGCGTAGCTTCCTCAGAGATTAGGGGTAATCCAGCAAATGCCAGAGGGGCAGAGAGCTTCGTAAGGATATTCTCGAAAGTGTTGTAGAATCTTGAGAACCCCTCATCTACAACAGGCGGTTGAGATGTTGTACTCTGGGCCTCTGCTTTCTGGGGTGAGGATTGTGGGGGTGGCACCCAGCTTGGCTGGGACGTGGAATGCTCAGGAATACTGCCTGGGGCTTTAGATCGTTTTCCATCTCTGCGTGGATGGGCTTCTAGATTTCCAGGAGCCTGGTGGGTCGAGATGCTAGGGGATAGCGGTTGGCGAGTATAGTTTGCGCGTATGCCCCTTGCGGATGCTAGATTACTTGCGATCGAGGAGCTTAGATCCCGGGGAGGTAGACGTCGCGGATGTTGAAGGCTTGGTGGATTCTTGAACGGCGAAGAGGATCGAGGGCCAATATCAGATTTCGAGGCCCGTAGCTCTGCGACAGCTGCTGATGTAGAGAGTGGCTTCTCTGCGTGTGCCAGAACTTCCGGTTCGCCGGATGTGGTCGAGGGAGGATTATCGGATGGATAACGCAACAGCTCTGACAGCCTTTGGTGATGCTGCTCCAAGAGTCTCAATGTCCGTAATGCTTCAACGCTTCCTGTCCCAGATGCCGCCTTTGAAAACTCCCCTGCGGCTAACGCATGTTCGTTGATTGCGACCGTGGTATCAGCGCTCTGGGTTGCAACAGAGGCAGCTCGGGCATGATCGTGCGCCTATACAGACCACCATTTAGCTTTATACGAACGTTAGGCCAGAATTGTACATACCAGAGTCAAAGGAGCAGACTCCATGTTTGAAAGAGTTTGCAGGATAGCAGAGACTCGTGTTGCTTCACCGGTTCATTAGAGGTTGGGGTTGCGAAGTAGTGGTGTTGTGCGGGGATACAATGTCAAGATGCGCACGTGATCTTCAATCAGCCACCAAAACCACGGAAATCGACGTTGTCTTTACATCTACACGCATTTAATTACAGAACTTTAACACATTATTGTACTGCTTACGATCTCGTGATTATTTGATCTAGTGAATTGCGCTTGCTGAGATTCATGAATATCCAAATTCTAAATAACCTCTGCCTCTATCCTCTCCAACCGGAAGAATTCAGCCACTACAACGCATCACAATATCGCCAAAGTAACCTTAATGCACAACCTATCCGTTGCTAAATGGAAAGGTAAGTTAGCACACCATTTCTGTCATCATAATGAGAATATATAACTAACCGGTATTCCCAGGTGGCGAGTATCGAAATTCATAGCGATCCCCTGATGTCAACCGCACGCAGATGTGACCACCAAGTAATGTATCACGAGCCTTGAACCGGAGCTCTTTCTGCACCTGCCCGCTTGGACTACATCCATACACGACGTCGTAAATTGCACGTGGGTCACCGCGATCGGTCATGAACATCTTGGTGGTGTTGTCTTCGGGTGTGTACTGCGGCCATATATATTAGCTCTTGCTAGACTCAAAGACTCGGGTATGACAGAGGCCTAGATGCCTAGGTGAAAAGGATTGGAATAGTTGGTACTAACCTCGCCGTTGATGACGGCTCTGATGGGTAACCGTGTGATAACCCCGTTATCAAGTTTCAAGTCGGCCGCTGCATCGCCCGCAGGGCTGAGAAACAAGTGCTGGTCTCCACCTCCCGACGCCCAGAGGTTCATATAGCGGTTGTGGATTATTGGGTACGAGGCATTCTGAACCTGGATCGCGAAGCCCGTGGTAATTGTATTTGGCAGCGTTCCGGGAGGGATGCTGGTGCATCCAGTTGGATCTGTGGGCGGTGTAGTCGTCGTGGTAGGGGGTGTCGTTGTTGTTGGGTCAGGCTCGCATGGGGCGGCGTTGATGCCATTAAGACTGGCTGTGAGGAGAAAAAGAGTTGGGATAATTGAGACTAGCATCTTGCCTGATTAATTGGAGAGATTTGCGTGTATGTGTATGTGAATTGAGGTTGGAGGAAGAGTAATGAGTAGAGCTACACAGCTGGGAGGGGAACTGGATCTTCCTCGTCTTTTAAACTTCAACCCCAGGAACAAAACATCGAGACTCAGCTGCCAAGAGACAATACGCAAGCCAAGAATATAGAGACAGTCAAAAAACCGAAAGAAGAATAGGCTACATTCTACTATGCAGAGAGTTCCAGTCCAAAAGGATGAAGTTGCTGAACCGATTTGTTGAAGGTTCATTATAAAGGCGGGGTTTTCCCATCGAGGGGCAGAGCGCGGGGTTGAATGCAAGCTGAGCTCGAATGCCGGCGGTGGCTTTTGAGTCTCATTGGCGAATGCGACTTGACCGAGTAAGTGTATTTGCTGTGTATCAATATTAGCACAATGGTACTGCGTACTTGGCGCATATTTTCAGCCTTGTGCGGGTCGAGACGGCGGGTTTCCTCCTGCTCATTGATGAGTGCCTTGAGGTACGGAGCCTTGCCCCCCGTTCATTGGTGAAGGTATTTGGGTAGAGGAATCAGCATGTGACATTAATATAAACCCAAAAGTATACGTGTAATATATTAAATTATACCTAAGATTGTACAAGAAGGAAGAACCAGTCCGTAGCTCGATTTTCAAAGCCAACCGGTTTACGTGGAAAGCTTTCGAGCACAACAGCACAGCAAGGGCCGGCTGCCATTGAAGTTAGTTTTCGCTAGATGAAATTTAATCCCGCATTCTAACACCTAATCCTCTGGAAAATATAAGACATTTTATCTACGAAGTAGATATTGTATTTATCTGCGAAGTATCGGAATCAACTAAGGCAAGCCGAATACCAAGTATTGGTGGCGCAGACATGTCGTGGCTGTTGACGAAAGGACAAAACAGAGAAGCCTATGAGAAATGATACGCTCTATACAGTACTCGAGTACAGCAGAACCAATCCGCATTATTCTATGCACACACTCCGAATAATATGGTCACGCATTTAACTTGCTCAAATATCATCCTCCCTTTTAGAAACCATCCCAACCAGCAGACGGATCCTAGTCAAAGACTACTGTCTAATATATACATACTTTTGGATTAACCAGCGGTATAATAATGACGCATTATTTCAAGACGAGATGTCCGTTGCAATACTACGCACGAGGTACAAGTAGCAACTTTGCTACTGCCCAGAGCGAAGTACTCCGTCGGGCTCGGGCCGGGCCCTTAAGCGAACGAACCTTGAGACTTCCCGTCATCGAAGTGTCCAGCAAACAAACAACACATACTACGTATACCTACGACAATCGATATCGCAGTGTTATTATGCCTATCCTTCACTACCCCTTCTATCAATTATATACCAGTATCTTGTATCCGATATTGTTTATATTATCTACCTATACTTCGCATCCTATCTTCAAGTCTCACTTCCAATTGCTTGACCCCTCGACGCGATGCCTGCGCCCCGGCCGCCACTATTAGGTATGCTTTGACAGGCCAATGTTTCTCAGCTGACTATAGAATTACGCACGTCCTGACCTGTGGAAAATTTAGCATGTATACTCCATTCCAATCATAGTATGACGCAAGCCAAAGGAACCATAGCAAGACTAGTAACTCCTGCTAAAGCTGAAATCCAAGCCGCGGGACCCTCAAGGGAGGCCTTTTGTGCTCGCTCAGTACGTTATTTGACCACATGAATAGAGATACCACTTACCCTGGATCTTTTCAGCGTCCTTTTCTCGTTCTCTGTGTGTTGCAACTTCTCCTTCAACTCTTGTATCTCCTCTCGCAGTGAAACCATATTTCCCGTTGACTCCTTCTGCAGCGCCTGGAGCTCAGCTAGTAGCTTACTGCTCGTCTCGCTCAGATCGCTGTCCAACTGACGCCCCGCCGAAGTGGACGAAACCTGGCCGTCACTTTGCGCGAGCTCCCTCTGCATCTGCAAAACTACCTTTCCGGCATTGCTCACGACCATGTTGATGATCTTCCTAGCTGATTGCGGATTGTTGTCGTGTTTAACAATCTTTGCGCCATGATTGACCATGTTTCCCCAGAAGTCTTTCGAATTTTGCCGCTCTTCCACTCGCTGACTACCCGTCGATTGACTCTGGAGGTCGCTCCACATAGTTGTGGCTATGATGACTTTAGAGAAAGCCCCAGGTCCGCAGACTTTCTCAAATAGTCTTGTTCTTTTTCTTTCGCTGCCTTGAACTCTGTTGGTATTGATTGGTTGGAGAAGGATAATTCCGGAGAGTAGCATATCTTGGGCATATGTATCTGCCATATACGTTGCAATAAGTCCCAAGACCTCAGCATCGGTTTTGTTCGTGTCGTCAAAGCCAGGTGTGTCGATTAAGGCAATCTTTTTGCCCTGCATTTCAAGATGCGCGACTGAAATGTCTTGAGTGCCTGAAGATACCATTAGCTGTCAACCCATCAAGGCACAATTATAGTCACAAACAGGAACTAAGCCCATGGCCAATCTTCAAATCGGTGCGCCCAGTGGCCTTCGAGATAAATGTTGTTTTCCCTGCCCCAGTGACACCAAGGACAGCAATCAAGATAACGTCTTTCGGATTTCGGGCCATTTTATGAGGTTTCGACGACGAAGGAATTTCGAGAGTTAACTTAGATAGAGTCTATAAGGTTGACAGTAAGTATTAGATGTCTACAGGATGGCGCCAGGTATTGTATAAAGTCTCTTTCAACTGCAGGCTAAGGGAACCAGCATGCGAGGCGCTTTTACAACAAGCTCTCACATCTTCCAATGCATACTGACAGCGCCTCATAGAGGGTCAATCGGGCTGGGTGGGGAATATGACTCCATCTATTCAATGCGCGCAAGGCTGTCGAATCTTACGACAACGCAACTGGGGCTGAACAAGCCACGCCGCTAACAGCCTTGGGGATTGCCACCACATGTTTGAATTTGTTCTAAACGATTGGTTCTTTTCCCCCCATCAAATATCACATCACATACTGTTCTTATGTTGTCTCAAGCCTTCTTTTTGCCGCCTTTGTCGCGCTGCTGCTGGGCAACAAGGCTGGACTCGGAAGTACGGTTCTTATCGCAGCCAGCGCCTTACTCGAGTACAGGCTAGTGCTAATACTGAGCCGCCGCCACAAATTTCCTGGTTCGTCAAGTGTCAACGCCACTCCGGGGGGGCATAAAGTCCTAAGTCCTGGCAATTAAATATTAGACGTTGCCTTGGGCTTGTAGAGCCTCGTTATATTTGCTTTATCGAATATGTTGGCAAACAAAGCCGCCACGATGCGCCTATATGACCGGAGATGCATCGACGATGCCTAAATAAATGAGGCTTGGATGCTTGACTACTGAGAGTTTATTATTTGACATAATTCAGCGTGAGTCAGAGCCTTATAGTCGTACCTTGTCACATGTATGCGTTGGCAAGCTGAGCCGCCATAGTTAATTCCATGAGGCTCACATGCCCAACACCCAAGTGGTGTTCTGATATTGTTGCCGACTAATAATATGTCTCCGGCTTCAAGCCTTATTGTACGCGTGGCCTTGGACATAATATTGAGTATCAACAAGAAATAATCTAGGACAAGATCTATATTGCCTCGCTATCTCTATCTCGTTGATCCCGACAGCGAGGTTTTCAAGTATATCGAACAACGTCGATCATGGTGCAGTATACTCATCAAACATGGCCGGATGGATCGGGAGGCCATATTGTAAATGTAGCGCCTCGCGAGCATGGCATCGGAGGTGCTCAATCTACATATCCTCCTCAACTACCAGCACATACCGCTCAAAGAGCTCGTTCAATGCCTTCCACCCCGTCAGAGATACTAGAGTCATCTACAGCTGGATCTAGTTGGGTCTCAGACGTTCCACGGAACTCGCCTCAAGAGGAGGGCTGGACTACGCGGCCAAAGATCTCCATTCTCGTCATGGGTGGTACTGGGGTCGGAAAGTCTGCTTTAATAGCTAAGTTGACGGGCTCTCCTGTAAAACTAGGACATACTCTACAGTCATGTGAGATTGATCCCCTCCAAACCTCCAAATTCTCTCTTATACTTACGGAACCTACAAGGCACAACACAGTGCAAAGGCTGGAACTATATTCATGAGAGCAACACCACGGTAACTTTAATCGACACCCCCGGGTTTGATGACACAGTCCGTCCAGACATGGAAATCCTCGCATCCATCGCCTCCTACATCCGCGATCCACGCCATGCCCCGCCTGTCGGCGTTATCTACATGCACCGCATCACCGACAAAAAGATGACTGGGGCATCCCGCATGAATCTAGAGATGCTACGTGCCGTCTGCGGCGAGCATTACTTCCAAAACGTGGTTCTAGTGACCAGTATGTGGGACACCATTCCCGCTGCCCGGCCTCTCTCGGAATTTGAAGCTCGCGAGGCCGAGCTCATGGCTTCAACGGAATTCTTGGGAGATTTAGTAGACAAAGGTGCAAATCCTAGGCGGTATTTAGGAGACGGTCCGTCGGCTACTCAGATTGTGGATGTTTTATGTAATAAACATCAGGCACCGCCATTGAAGATTACTCTGGAGTTATCACGCTCTATGCAAATTGAGGATACGACCGCGGGCCGTATCTTGACTGCGGAGCTGAGGAAGCGGGAGAAGAAGCGGCTACACGAGATAGAAGAGGAGCGAGAGGAGGAGAGGATGCTACGTGCTGAGCTTGCAGAGACGGAGGCAAAAGTGAGGGATAATGAGCGGAGACTACGCGCTGAGATAGAAAGAGAGCGTCGCGCCAGAAAAAGACAAGAGGATGCCGAGGAGCTGCAGGAGCACCGCGGCCGCAACTTTGCAATTAAAGCTGCTATGATCGCCGCAGGGTGGACGGGGCACTTCGGGGACAGGCGTTAGGTGACGGAAGTATTTGTCTGTGGCGAAATTATTTACACCATGCGTTGATCACCTCAGGTAAAGAGTTGTTTGATAGCTGCTGCCTTTGTTAATTTTCTTTTTTGAGGGAACCCTACAAATAGCTGTTGTCTACTATTGCTGTAGTAGTACCTGTAGGTATTTGAACATTTGAAATTTAATCGTAAAGTCATTAATACTAGAGAAAACGCGAATTGGGTATTGTATTGAGCATAAAGCGAAACAGTCTAGCTAGAGGCGCACAATTTGACGCGCCGAGGTCGGTATACAGTACATACAAGTTGAATATACAAACACTTCCAGTCGTCAGTATTCGCATGAATGTACACCAGGCGCATTCATTACTCCTGATACCGGATAATAGCAATAAAAAGCCGTTAAGAAAATTTTAATAATCTCCATTCAACTCCACATGATCCAGTTTAAAAGATCGTATGCTCTTTCCTTACAATTCAATCAGGTCCGTCTTCGTAATTTCCCATCCCATAGGGATTCCATTCCTGTCCCGGATAACTAGTAGCACTCATCGTCACCGGGGCATCATCATTCTGCGCATCTCCAGTATCCGCAGCATCACCATCGTAGACGATCTTTTCTTCCTGTGCCATGGCTAGTCGTCTATCGGGTGGCGTGTCTTCAATCCCTGCTGCTCCGGAGTGTGAGGTTTTAGTCGGGGTACGTTGCGCTTCGATAGTCGAGGATAGGTTTGTGTTAACAGCCAGATCACCAGGTTCGCGGTTTGCATGTCCGCCTTGGATAGGCAGCCGCGGACTAGCATCATATAAATCCGGGCTCGACTCCCGCACTACAACAGTCATCTTCAGCAGATCCTCACCACCTCTATTCGTTTCATCGCTTCTCCCTCTGTCCGTTTCTTCCGGCGGAATCACAGGGCTTTTCCTTAGTTCAGGCGTTACAATAGGGCTCGGTGGGCTGGGACTCCGGACAAGGCCCATTTCCTTCTCCTCTGCGGTAGGCATGCCCGAGTCCTCCGCCCTCTCATCTGGAAGTGCCGACATCCTCGAAACTTGAGAGACTCCACTCCGAACTGTATTAGAGCGATCCAGGTCCATACTCACGTTCAGACTATCATTTTGTGATAAGGAGTGGGAATGACCTCGATATTGGGGGTCGAGGTTGAATTGGTATTTGGGCGGTGGTGGAGGTGGAATGTCTTCGGCGGAGGGGTTGACTGGGGAGAAGACAGTGTCGGGGACAGTGTAGCTAGCTGGTGAACCAGGGTGGCGGATGACCGGTTGTTGAAGACGCTGGATAGAATCATGCTGTGGTTGTGCTCGAGTTGGGGTTGTGCGAGCTCGACCACTTGTGTCGATGGTGAGATCCTTATCAATGGGAGGCGGGCGATCCCCATCATCATCTTGCTGATTGTTCGGGAGAGTAAGTTGGTAGGGTGGTTGCTGACCATCTGGTGTGCGTGCGGGCGAGCGAGCTACTAGGTCTTCACGACTTAAGCGGCGGAGTGTGGTACGTCCTTCGAGTGTCTCGAGAGCTCTAGGGTTACCGGGTCTACCTCTTGGTTCTGGTTCACTGAGGTATGGCACCTGTTGGTGTTGTACTGGAGGAGCCTGGTATTGTGATCGATCGACGCTCTGGGGATAATGCCTTTGCATGGCCGGAGAAATATGTTGTGGAGATACATTACTTCGCGCAACTTGCCCCTGGAATGGGGCACGGCCATATTGATCTGGACTAACCGTCTGCGGAGAGTATCTTTGCACAGGCGAATTGCTGTACTGATGGGGGCTGACTGTTTGTGGGTGGATATATCGAGGATCGGCCTGTTGGAAGCGGTTGAAACCCCTTGGGTCATAGTCGGTGGGGGCACTCATAGCTCCCTGGCCTCGTACCAAGGAATATCCACCTGGGATGGGGACATTATCATAAGCTGGCTCCGTGGCAGTATGACGCCCACGGTCAGGTTGCTGGCATGACGGGCTCCGTGAAGGGATGGGTTGCTGGTATGCCGGATTCTGTGAAGGGATGGGCTGCAGATATGGCTGCGGCTGTACTGATTGTTGCAGATACGGCTGTGGTTGCGGTTGAGATGGTGGTGGTGGTACTGATTCTTGCAGATAAGGCTGCGGTTGCGGTTGTGCTGGTGCCGGTGCCGGTGCTTGTAGGTCGGTATATGTCTGAGCAGGAGGCAGAGGCTGAAGGAATCGATGGGGCTGACTCTCGTCTGAGCGTGATGAGTCGTCCCGGTCTCTTTCCTGTTGGTGAGACCCACGGCCAATGATTCCATTCAACAAGCCAGAAGCAGAAGCAGAAGCCCGACGGGTCTTACTCCTACTGCTCTTGCGAGGTTCCTGTGAAGGAGCAGGAGCAGGCTGTGACTGTCGAAACTTCGAAAGCAAATTTCTTGACTGGCCAGTTGCTCCAGTTCCACCGGTCGTCATTGAGCGGTGATTCTGGCTCCCAGGCCGGAGATTATTATTGGGGGGAGCATAACTTGAAGCAGCTCTTGGGTCGAACGGCGGTGACTCAATCGGCTGTCTTTCATTATAAGACAGCTGCCTCGTGGCTTGTGGGCGTGGAGGCGGCGGCATAGAGGCTCTTGGTGCATTCCCAGATTTGCTAAACAATCCACCCAATCCCGAGAAACGTTTTTTCTTACCAGACTCGTCGCCCATCTCCGAGGAGGTGGATGATCTTTGAAGTTTATTTGGCTTCGGTTTTGGTTCCCCAGAATTACCCCCAAAGAGAAAACGCCTCTTCTCAGGCAGTTCAGGTGATGGTGATGCAGATGCTAAGAGGTCGGTTCGCGAGCGGGAATGGTGGGCTACCATGCTATCACGGCTCTGAGGAGGAGCCAAGCCAGTTGTAGAAGCACGGCTCAAACTTCCGAAAAGGCTTGAGCGCCTGTTGTATTCCCCACCATCTTCCGAAGCCCCAATAGAGTCGGTATATTCCTTTCCCCGCGAGTCAGGAGGAGCTATAAGAGGCAATGGGCCACGGTCACGAGAACGAGAATCTGGCCGCTCTCTAACGGTGCCATGAGAGATTCTCTCGCCTAGGTCTTTGAAGAATCCTGAATTGCGTTTTGATCCGGTAGGACGTGGCTCTTCCCGGGGAGGTCCAACCCCTGGGAGCTGGTACTCATTAGTCTGCTGCCTTGGCAGGAAGGCTGCTTCACGAGGAATGGGTTGTTGGTAGTAATGCGCTGGGAGTTCACCACCATCCCCTTGGATATCTGGTCCAGCATCAGGGCGGAAGAGATCCGGGTAACGTTGTGCCGACGATGGAGGCTGCTCGAGTGATCTCGGCTGAAGGGGTGGTGCCCAGTTGCCATCAGGTCGGTGAGTGAAATTCTGGCTTGATCCAGACCATCCACGATTCCGTTGAGGCTCCCAAGAGTTTCGCGGAATGGAAGGTGGTCCTTGATTCCCCTGATTTTGAGGGACGTTGGAAAGCGGTGATGCTACATTTGGCCGCCATGAATCTTGTGATGTTCTAGCTCTAGAAATGCCAGGATGTACATCCTGAGAACGAGAAGTTGTAAAAGAAAATGACCTGGGATCCTCTTGTGGAGTCGTCGTACGCTGGCTATATCCATCAGGGAAGCTTGGCAGCATGGGTTGTGCTATCGATGAAGGAGTTTCCGTAGCAGGGAACCGCCCATAGGAAATGTCCCGAGGATCGGTCTGCTGCATACGTTGTGGTTCTGATGGAGTACCGCCTGTAGTAGAAAATTGTTCATCTGGAACTTCGCGAGGGTTGGCTTGCTGCACAAGCTCCGATCCTGATGGAGCAGCCTCTCCAGTAGAAAACTGTTCATGCGGAACCTCTGGAGGTTCGGCCGGAGCTGCAGGTTCCAGAACAGATTTGACAGTCCCAGGAGAAGCAGCACTTGAGACTGCAGCACTCTCATCAGCTATGCCGATATCAGCTCCACGATCCGTAGGAGTAGGTTGTTCCCCCTCAAGATCCGAAACTTCTTCATCCTCAATTGGGAACCTTTGTTTCTTGTGGCGAGAGCCAATCTTGATACCAAATGTGGAAGTGCGACGAATAGGTGGAAGAAATGACGTTGAGCTACTTTGCTGCTGAGAGCCTGGCTGGGAAGCCTCGACGGCCGCTGGCTCGTAAAAAGTGGTAACCGGCTCATGAGGAGCGGCCACCGGTTCGTAGGAAGTGATAGCTAAGTCATGAGAAGTAACAGCAAGGTCAGACGAAGTGGTGACAGGATGTGAGATGTTAGTTGGAATTGGATGCTGCGCCAGCGATGGGCTTTCAATCATGCTCCCGCGTGGCCTATCCAGTATGCTCGTCGTAGGAACATCTGCCGGCTGAGCCTCTACTGGTGCTACTTCCTCCGGGGCATCCTTCATATCCGGTTCTGGAGATACCATAACCCAATCACTTGAAGTATTATGTTCTTCCTCGTCCTCCTCCTCATCCCCCGAAGAATAAAGGCGCGTGCCATCATTATTCGATGGCTCACTAACTGGCGCATCTTCAAGATTTGCCAACTTATTCTCGGCTTCTGAGGCGGATGGGTGATGGTTTGCATCTACATCGTATCGGAACCCTTCTTCCTCGGCGATAGGAGTGGCATTAAATGGATCCCAAGAGGGCTGGTATTTAGAAATAGGCGCAGGTACCCCAAGTTTATCGCCACTATCTACCTCGACGGTATCTTTGTCTGCATTGGAGACATCGCGGGAGACAGACGAGTCGCTATGACGAGATACTGGAGGGCTTATATGAGGAATGGCTCCACTCATCCCAAAAGGATCCCCGGCTGCGTCAGTAGATTGCTTGCGGGAGAGGGGTTGCTGTGGCGTGGTAATAGTAGTAGGGGTTTGCCCCTCATCTATCTTTGATACTGGTATTTCTTGTTGCTGGCGCCCGGAAGCACGCGAGAGGGTGAGAGGGATCCCCCATGAGGTCCGTCGCTCGGCTTTGGACTTGACTGGGCTGTCTGCCTGTAAGGGACATGAAAATCTTAGTAACCGTTCAAATTTCAGGGGCCAAGCACGATGTGGAAGGAGAATACAATCGGGAATCAAGAGAAGGATGCAATTTCCCCTAGTCGTACACAGCCTGCTAAGCAGGATGACAATATGACATGACATGTCAAAATGAGAATCGCCATGGCACTCATTAGGTTCGAATATTAAAAAAGTCATAAAGTAAGAAACGCTCCATCATCCAATGCGGTCCGACTTGGAAAGAAATATCATTCTACCTTGTCTCCGCCACCACTTCCTCGAAATCTGCTCTTGCCCTTGGCGAGGAGCCCTTTCCCTGCTTTCCCTGCCTTTCCTCCGAAAATACCAGCTGTATGAAGCAGCTCCTTCCCTTTTGCTTGGACTTGCTGGCTGGTCAATTTACTTCCACTAGGAGAGAAGCCTTGTTGAGCGCCTGTATTAGGCATACTTGAGCCTGGCCTTGATGTTGGATTTGATGCTGGATTTGTTGGGCTTATTGGAGAGCTCGCATTTAAGTACTGCTGGTAATACGGTTGCTGCAATGGTGGCGCTCCTACACCTATTGGCTTCGAAAATCTCGATCTTGCCGGTCCACCAGCCATACCGGACCCTGATTCTGTCCACAATCCAGTTACGTCAGCATGTTCAGGATGTTGTGCTTTAAGCGTCGATATCCAATCATCCAAACCGGAGTTCATGGCTGCGTAACGGTGTCTTGTTTCGTCGAAAGTTTGAATTCGCTGCTGTTGCGACTTTAGGTCGACAATCTCCTTAAACGCCAAAATTCTGCCAGTCTGGGCGGGTAGCGGGTGTAAAGGTGAATTGATTGGCGAGACAGTGCTTGGCGACGGGTTTGAAAGTTGGTCGGCTGGAGGTAGGAAATAAGGTTGGGAGGATCTCGAAGGGTGTTCATCCACTGGGGGTGTCTGCGATGCGCCATAAGCAGAGGATCGGGGATCATTCTCGTCAGCCAGCGAAAGTCGACGGCTAGGATCTTGGTTAGACGCGTTCGCAGCCGCGGCAGCCCCTAAGATTGCTGGTCCTGCCAAAGCTGCGGCGTCTCTACCGACATGGTAATCCTCTGCCTGGGATAAAGTACGGGGAGTAGCTGATCTCTCAACTTGGTCCTCCTGGTGACTCAGCTCTGCCGCGGTATTTGGTGTATGCTCTGGCTTTGCTGATTCTGAGGCTAGGGATTTGGGCTCAGTAACGTAGGGTGGGATGACCTGATTCGGCAGAGCTTGAGTGACATTGGCATCGTGGTTTGGGTTGGATGCGTATCTAGATGTGCCCTGTGGAATGATTTCGGAAACATCTTCAGAACTCCGTTCCCAAGAGAAGCGGTGTTTTAGGCGCGATTCCCCAGGTTGGGTAACTCGCTGTGCCATAGTTCCCGTGTTTAGAATTGCTATCGGTGGACTCTGGAACTCAGTATCGCCGATCGGTTTTGTGATAGCCGGTGAACTCTCAATATTTTGATTCTGCTCAATCGGGGAACGCGTAGATTCAGCAATTTGCTCCTGATCATCTGCTGTAGATGCCCAGTAATTGTCATACTCGCTTGGCAAATATGTACTCTCCCTCCCCTGGCCTCCTGATCCGCTATCATGCAGCTGTGTTGATAACCTTGACTCGTCATAATGACCGGGGGTGTCTGAAATGTCGGGAACAGACTTTGCTAAGTTGCCCTTGGCTAATGTGGCGTATTCCACATCTTCGGGTTGATTGTCTACGTTTAAGGTTGGCAGAGCCTGCGGCCCGGATGTAGGTAAAGATTTCTCCTCTTCTAATGGCTGGGGAGCTTGTGGGAAATACTCAAGAGCATTAGTTGAGCCCTGAGGGGTAGCTTTCGGTGGCGGTGTTGGCCCAACACTCGACTCATCTGAGATAGCTCGATGTACGGTATCTGGACGCAACTGAGTTGCCGCAGGCGCCTGTTCCAGTTTTGGTAACAGTCTCGGGTTCAAACCAGAGTCGAGGCTGCCACTCGGAGCCTTTGCAGGATCTGGGGTTGGAAGACTATCATTCACAGGCATGACTGTCGGAACGGCAGGGTTTTGCTCAACCTCTACGTTTCTCTCGCCAGCCGTTTCAAGAGTGCCTCCCGCCGCTTCTGTCAGACCAACAGCAGCTATAGAGGCTTCTAGAGCTGATTTCGGTAAAGGATGTTTGGTAGTTGCTGGGGTAATATTCGAGTCGTCCTCGTCCTGCTCACGGGAACCAGCTTCCGCGGTGGGAGGAGCTTCCGTCTCAGCTGCAGGGGCCCGTGCAGCGTCTGGATGAGTTGTGTCGCTCTTTTCCGTTGAATCATAAGATGTCCACCCACCAGGGATGACGGGGCGAAGGCTTGGTGGGCGCTCCGTTCCTGGCTCTGGGGGCTGTAGGGTCTCGTTATCGTTATCATCAGTGGGACTCGAATCCGAAATGATGACCTTCTGACCCTGGGGATTCACAGTGCCGTCTGTCAAATCCAGGCTTCTGGCTGGGCTATTTCCAGGACTGGGCGTATTGATATCGCGACGATGACCTGGCTTGAAGCCTGGGATAGCTGGTTGTGGTAGTGATGCGGACTCCGCTAAATGGGTGACATCACCAGTGGCGGCGCTTGAACCTGTCGGTGACTTCGGCTCATTTACGGCTTCAGGGATAGAAGGCGTAGTAAAGTCTGGGTTTCGGCTTTCTGGGATAGCAGTACTAGGTACTCGGCTCATAATAGGGCTGATCCCAGTTGTACCAGTGCTCTCACTGTCAGTTCTTCGGACTGCGCTAGCTGGGGTGTCAGGGACCGAAGAATCGTCTGTTCTATCAAACGCCTGATGGACAACCGATCTTAAGCCGATGGAAGGTCGAGCTTGGAGTGTAGGTTCCATTTCCTGACCGGCAGTTGTACTTTCTGTGGGTTTGGGAGCAGCCTGGTCTTGAACCTCACGGTTTGGCTGGGAGAACATGTCTATTCCGAAGCCAGAAATACGATTCAAATCCGGGAGCTTCGGACTTACCGACTGCTTCCGGGGTATCTCATCATCAACCGGTGCAGTTATAGGTGCTCCAGACCCCTCGGGTGCATCGCTATGGTCCGGGGCGTGCTGTTTGGCCTGCTCATCGATATTAAACCCATCAAAGCCGTACTCGGACTTTCTCTCCTTCACTGGCTCGAGCATTGGCATCAGACGCCTTCCGGAATCAGAACTTTCCTCTGCCTCTGCACTTGCCCAGCGTCTACCATTATCAGCCAGGTTTTCAGAGCCAGACTGTTCCCGTGGTTGTCGGGTCGCTGGAGATGCTGATCTATCACTTGATTTCGTGCCCAACACCGAGTCCATACTAGGTCTACCCGATTCCATCGATTGCCGCGCCCTCTCACGCTCCTCTTCAACGCGCTTATATATGTCTGCAGGTCGAATAAACGGAAGGGTCTTGCCGGCTGGCTTGGTAGGAGGTCTTGCAGCAGCACCGGGTGACGAGGATCGATCAGAAGCACTCCATGGCCGAGTCGTAGCAGATTCCACGGAAGGGGGTCTTGCAGCAACACCAGGTGATGAAGACCGGCCGGCATTCCATGGCTTAGGTTGAGAAGGCTCCTGGGATGGCTGCATAATATCAGACATATTCGGCGGTGTGGACTGGCTCAGGCTACTCTTCCGCGCGGGAAACTTTGCGCCAGCTGAGGCCGGGTCGTTCGAGCCCTGGGGTGCGGGGGACGCCCGGGTTGAAAGCGGAGGGGGGACGGCAGAAGGAGAATAGTCTCGTCGAGCTTGATAGTCGCTTGTCGAGGATTGATTATCGGATGCGGGGGTGGCGTCTGACGGTGTTGTCACTTCGCCAGTGCTTTGTCTGGTAAGGTGGGATGGATTGGGAACGGGAGATTCAGATATAGGAGAGAAGGTTTGGTTTGGCTTCCGTAAACCAGTCTTTGGCAACTGCTGGTCCTGTGTCGAGATTGAGAGCGCCGGAGGACCACTAGGGGCCCGAGTAGAAGGCATTCCCGTTATTTGAGAAAATCGTGTTGCGGGGCCGTGGCCCTTCGCGGGAGCATTTGCTGTGGAAGGTGATTCCTGACGAACGGTGTTATTCGAGAAGTTCCTCTCTTCATCCGCCTCGAAGGAATTGGAGCGCCCTCTGGCATTGCTTGGGCCGGGAAGAGCCGGTAAGTCGCCATATGCCTTCTTGCTATTGTCAGCCTGGGGTGGTGGAGGGGTTGGTCCTGCTCTCTGCGTGTTCGCATTTGGCAGCGCTTGACCTTGCTGTCGGAAGCCAGTAGGTTTGGCGACTGGAGGCGGCGGAGGAGAAGGATCGTAGTCGTAATCGTAATCATCGTCGTCGCCCCAATCGTCTCCACCATAGTCAACCGCCTTCGCAGTAGCCCATTTCTTCGTCTTCTGCCGATTCACATTTGCGCGGTATGAAATCGGTGTATTAGACCCGGACTGGGGGGACCTGAGCGACCTGTTAGCATGCGCAAAAAGAGGTTGGCGATGGGCTGGTGAATGGGGCGGTAAATGGAGCTCACACGTACATGGGCGACTGGTCGTCAAAGGTATTTGGAAATGGTCGCGCCATCTTTGGCAGTGGACTCCGGTCCCAGACCCTTCACAAAGCACCTATGCTTCTATTGCGACCACATTGGTGGTGATGGCGGAGTGGGAGACGTGGCGGCGGAGGTACGAAGGATGTAGGCGCAGTCGAGATGTTGGAACCAACGAGGAGGTAAGCAACGGTGTATGTAGTATAGTACAATGTGGAGTGGTGTAGCCTTGCTCCCTTGTTCTTATGTGAGAGTTAATTCGTAACACCGCTTGTAGGTGGTTGGATGACGCAAACACGAATGCAAAGCAGCTCGTCCAGTGAATATCCTAGAGGAGCTATTGTCTTTGCAAGAATAATATTAACCCGAGCTTGGGGGGGCGTGGATGAAGTACGGAATCGAAGTACGTAGTCCCTAGGTACAGGTAGAGAGTGCTGGGCAAACTCCTGTGGCGTTGGCTTCGTTTCCTTGTTTATCCGAATACTCTAGCGCAGAATACAAATAGACACAAACACAGCCACAATCTAAGTGGATAGTGGATGGTAATACTATAATTAATTAATTAACTAATATCTTAGTAAAACGAAAATCTTATAATATAACTAATATCTTCGACTAAAATAAAAAATCGACTTCGTTTTACTTACTACTTTGAATAAGCCCGTTCTACAGCTATACCTGCGGCTAATAAAATAAGTGAAGCTTTAGGTAAAAGTTTACTTTGATTACTTCTTCAACACTCGAGATTTCAGGCACTGAACGCTCATCGAAATGGATTAGCCCCTCCCTAATTGGACTGCAGAGAACGTCTTCCGCGAATCCCAAACTGGAATCTTCTTTGATTTTGGCGAATTATAGATTTCACCATGACCAGCCTCATCCTTCTTCCGTCTCTTTCTAGCTACATCTAGCAATAAGTTTCCCCCGGTTTGACGCGCCGGGCATTGCTAGTCTACACAGAGTGCTGATTCAGGGTCTTGCCGACAGTAGAAATTCGTTGCCCACTATCATGGCATCACAAAACGCCAGGTATACGGGCCCCAGATATAGGGATGCACGTCACGGACTAACTGTCCCGCCGCGTTGAATATCTTTACTTGTTGGCTCGCTTATGCTGTGACCTCATGGAAGAAGCGTTTCTCTAAATTCCCTCCTTTCTACACACATTGGACATCCTGCAAGCATATATATTGGAAAGGCGTCCTATGTAGGATTATCCTATCATCTAAATGCAATCTACTGTCGGCCCTGTATCATTGTCCTTTCACGCGACCTGAATTCGTAGTTGAGAATCAGAGTTCGTCAACCAACTATCTTCACGCCATGGAGAGCCCAGAGGCTTCACGGGCCAATTTAATCACCACGAAAGGCATCTATACCGGTCTGCCTACCTTTCTATCATCTCTCAGCGGGTTTTCAGCTATTGTTGTTGGTGCCAGTGGGATTTCTGGTCAGCACATGCTCCATGTACTGTCGCAACTCCCCAAACGTTGGAGCAAGATCTATGCGCTACATATCACGCTCGTTACCTCACATTCCTGAGAACACGAACGGGCAGATCATCCACGTTCCTGTAGATCTATTGAAGGGGCCGGAAGAAATTTCAGCGGCACTCAGAGAAGCCCAAGTGAAGGCGTAAGTCGCATTACCTCCTGTCTGCGATACACAAGACTCATTTCCACTATAGGGACTACGTGTTCTTTCTCGCCTACCTACAGCCGGCTCCCAAGCCAGGAGCGTCTTTGTGGTCTAATACTGATGAAATTAATGCAGTAAATAGCTATATGCTTTCCAGCGCCCTGCAGTCGCTCTCACTAACGTCAATTCGCCCTCGTCGCGTTGTTCTTCAAACAGGTCTCAAGCATTATGGGACACATTTGGGTCCAACGCCCATTCCGAACATGGAATCTGCAGCTCGACTTTCATCCCCACCCTTTCCACCAAATTTCTACTACAAGCAAGAGGACTTGCTCTTTGAATTTTGCCAAATCCACTCTCCTTCCACCTCATGGAACGTCATTCGGCCGTCTTGGGTGCTCGGTGCCGTCCCGGATGCGACTATGAATATTTTATATCCCCTCGCAATCTATGCATGCGATCGTGCAGCGAGCCATGGGAGAGAGCCTGGACTTCCCAGGAGACTAGGATGGGTGGGATAAGGAGCAGATGCTAAGCTCCGCAATGCTCAACGGGTACCTAAGCGGAATGGGCGGCTCTAACTGCGCCTGCAGCGAACCAAGCTTTCAATGCGGTCGATGGGGCCGCTTGGACGTGGGGAATGTTCTGGCCTGTATTGGCCGGGTGGTATAGTATCCCCTGGAATTATCCGGTCATGGACGAAAGCAAATACAAGGCAATTGAGACTGGTCCGGCTCCTCGAGGGTGAATGCTTTTTCTTCGTCCTTGATTCGAGAGCAGAGAGCCTAGTATCGGTTCTACAAAACTGACGGTATCCGGGTACGGCCGCCAAGGCAAGATCCGGTATACGTTCTCACTTGTCGGCTGAGCGCAGCGTCCTGAAGTGCAAACTGCGTGGGCTCGGATTGCCGATTAGCATGATATTGCGGTAGATCCGTTCAAAGACCTCGAACGAATTTGGATCCCGACTCATCTAGCTCTCGTAACCCCTTGGGCGATGTCCGTCAGGTATGCCTTCCAGGGCCTCAGCGTTACGTGCTCTTTAGTACTTTGGCTAACACATTGGAGTGCTCAGGATGGTTAAAGCACGGCTGGCACGGGTATGTGGACACATTAGAGGTTGTGATGAAAACATTCGAGCGTTTCGCCGAGCTGAAGATGATCCCACCCGTTCCCTTCCTGTCCAAGGCGGACGCAAGTGCAACATACCCCGAGTGAGATCCGCTGTAGGGCTGTCTGCAGACAGTAGGCATGGAAGATTTTGATCTTGGTCTCTTCGTTCGACACTACGAAGCAACCATTGCATAGAAAATATATCGTGTACATTATATTTTGTATCACGACACAACATTGAAGATATGTCTTTTATAGCTGCGATAGTTACATAGACAAAGATGATATTAGCGGGTTTGATCTTCTCCCAACTTAATAACTACCTGGTTCCGCGTTGATCAGGTAAATAGAGTATTTACATTCAGCCCGGCACATAACAGCTGCTATCTCTTCAGGTAGCAATAGAAAAGACTCCCTCCCAACTCCTTCCCTTCCATGATACTAGCAACCATACCATCATTAACGTAACGAAAATAGTCAAAGACCGGGCGGTCATCGTAGATCATCGCCGTCGAGACAACATCTCGATACAGGACCACACGTAGCTGCACTTATGTGAAATGTCCGCTGCAACAATTGAGATACAGCAGTGTGGCTTACAGTAGCAAGGCCCCATTTCCCCCATTTCACCCAGCTTGCCCTCTGGCCATTCCTGTCGATAATGACTGGGTCGACGTGTTCGGTGGATATGAAATCTTTTCCCACCCATCTTATCTCCTTCGGTGTATCTCCAATGGGATGGCCGGCGTCTAAAATTCCACCACCCTACTTGCCTAGCATCAGCACTGGCTTGACTGGGCCAAGCTTGTTAAACACCACGTCGATCAATGTGGCATCAACCCGGCCCTGGGCCTGAGCTAAGGCAATAAACTGTTCCGTCGGGCTGTTCAACAGTTAGCTGACTTGCCTTGGTTTCGTAACGCTCATATAAAATTACGAGGACATGAATACACTTCGTCCGTGGGAATTGGTTTAGGAGGAATGTGGATATGATAGAAGTATCTACTGTAGGTAGGAATAGAGTCACGAGGGCACCCTGGATCGTATATCAAATCCTGGTTCCTTAGTTCTATGCAGGTAGGTGACTAAGGCATATTTGCCTGTGCACTAGAGGCAACCATCCACACCGAACCGCCTACGAAGTACATGGTCGCGGGGAGGGGCTAGAACGCCTTATTCGCTAACTATGGAGAGTCCACGGTTTTTGGACCAGCCGGCTTTGAGTTTGTTATATCAATGGTGACGTTGCAGACGCAAGTCTCGTCATAGCTGTTTATGTGACCTCCCAACCCTATATATACGTACTGTACTGTACAGTGAGCGAGAATCCGAACATGCCATCACAGTAGACATCGATCCTGGAAGACAGCAATCCTTTGACCATCCTTCAGAGAATATCATTTCTGAATCATGGCGTACCAAGACAGCGGCCTCCATGTCCTCTTGACAGGAGCGAACGGCTTTGTAGCGTCGCATATACTATCGATCTTGCTTGCGGTAAGTTAATATCTTTCCCCTTAGGGCTATTTCAAGGCCAGATATCTAATGGCGGTGCTGTCGCCAGCGTGGTTATGCCGTTACCGCGACCGTGCGCTCAAAGGAGAAAGTAGCGGACATCTTAAAAACCCACCCCTCGTGGGAGGGCAAAATAGAATTCGCAATTGTTGCAGATTTCACCTCAGCGAAGCCATTTGACGAATTGTTCATTAATTCGAAAGCCCCTTTTACCTATATAATCCACACGGCATCCCCAGTGAACTTCCGAGTTGAAGATATTCAGACGGAAATGATCGAGCCGGCCGTGAGAGGGGAAGCTATGAGCATCGACGCGATGTCCCTACTGCTAACGCGTTCTACAGGACCACGGAGATTCTCAAGAGCGCGCATCACTACGGTGGCGCAACCCTGAAACGCTTCGTCTTGTTGGGAAGCGCAGTGTCTGTCTTAAATTCATTTGAAGATATCACGCGGGAGGGCTCGCCCTACACTGAGAAGAACTGGAATCCGGTACGGGAGAGCTACACCCAGGGTACTGAGGTTCGCTTACTTATTGGGTTACAGGTCACGGCCGAGGAAGCCATCGCAAGAAAGGACGCGGTTCTTGGGTACAATGTCTCGAAGACTCGTGCAGAGTCTGCGGCTTGGGAGTTTATAAAATCAGAGTCACCTTGTTTTGATCTGGCTGTCATTAATCCGGATGTCATTACTGGACCAATGATACATCCAATTTCTGGCCCCAAGTCTATTAACGAGACGAATCACTTTGCAATCGCAAGCTTTATTGACGGAACCCATTCGCAGGTTGAAGGGGTGACGTTTCCATTCTACCACTTCGTACGCTCTGCTACTCTCGATCTATGGTTTACCCCTGGTCTAATTATTATTACAGGTCGACGTCCGCGATGTGGCTCGAAGCCATGTTGATACTTTAACAAACACTAGCGCCGGAGGCCAGCGGATCCTTCTTATCTCAGGCGTTATATCACCACAATTGGTGGTAAATATCATCAGGAAAAATTTCCCTGCTTTACGGGCCAGGGTTCCCGAAGGAAACCCCTCGCAGACCCTCCCACCAGGTGTGCATCCAACCGGATGGGATACGCGGTTGAGTCTAGATATTCTCTCCAAGGGAACAAAGGAGGGAAGCTGGGAGTATATTAGTCTGGAGGACAGTGTCACTGATGCCGTTCGGAGTATGATAGAGGCGAAGGTAATCTAGTAGCACCGAAGACTTTGGTCTTCTTTCCAGATCTGAAAGTTCTTTATCGTAATATAATTAACGAGTCTCTTTTACTCTATATAGCGTGGAGAGTGATTAGTAAAGATTCAGTGACTTTATACTAAGAGCTATACGAGGATTACTGAAATTCAAAGTAGATCGTTTTATCTTTCCGATTTTATTACTAATATTATCTCTTGTAAAAACAGCTTAGTTAAACGTTAACTAGAAAATATTTTAGTATAACAGTAAGTACTACTTCTTATACGGACGCGGTGTTTCGGCGAGACACCACGCACGCCGAGAACCAGCGCCCAGTTTTTGGCATATTTGATCCCCTGCAGCAAACGGGGACGTCAAGGCACCCTGGACTCGGTCGCGTTAACAGAACCCGAGCGAGCCCTGTTAGAAAGGGATCACGAGAATATAAATAGAAGAATATTTAAAAAATCTAAGTTATATTATAAATTAATTTATTAAAAAATAAGTTTATAGAAAAAGAAAAGTAAAACTAAGTATTAATAGATAGGTATTATTACAGGATACCTTCAACCACAACTAACACACACACCCCACAGTAGGTACAATTATAGTTGCAAATGCAGCCAGTAAAGTAAAAGACCTAGACAATATAACGCTATATTATACTCACTTTACTTGTATTAAAGCAATAGAGCTATCACTACTCCGTACTTCGTACCAACATTGTATGACGCGGCCGTTTGAAGAATATCGTATCACGTGCACCCACCCACCCCAATTCTTCTTGCCTCGTGGCCTGATGAGATCACCCCTGAGTCCTTGAATCCTTTGTATCCTCTCGGGTTCCAGCAGACGACGAGAGTACCTGTACACTACTTCGTACACTACGTACTACCAGATATTCGCCATTCTCTTCAATAGATCCCATACTTGTAAATACATTACCACTCATAATTAGAGTTCTTCTCACACACTCCTTCCCCTTTACTTCCACCGTCACCAGAATACCAAGGCAGCGTCAATTCTGCGAGTCGCATCTACATCCCAAAATAGTGACGACGACTTCATCCTCCGTGCGCCTGAACCACGATCCCCGCGAAGAGGCCAGATCTACTGAGAGTCGCGGCGACCATAACTATATATTCTGCTTTGACCCAGGCGCCCCGATCGCTATAGAGAGGAACATCGAAGCGCTCCCTTCCTGCGCCCCTCGGCGCTCAATAGATCGAGATGGCAGTTTCATCAATCCAAGACCGAACGAACGAGTTCAGGTCCGTCCTCAACCAAGTTCAAAAACGCCAGGCGTCATCCAAGATCGGATCGCAAAGACAGTCCCTTCTCACAGACTCGCAGAAAGCGGCCGCAAACGGAAGCGCAAATGGCGAAGCTGCGCCCCGAAGATCCGAGTTCGCCAGGAGAGCGGCGGAGATAGGAAGAGGCATCGGGGCGACGATGGGAAAATTAGAAAAGCTAGCACAATGTAGGTCTCCTCGGTCACAAGAACAAGCAATGGCCGTTTCTATGCGAATGGAGTGCTCGATTCTAAAAGCGTGTAAATAGTGGCCAAGCGGAAAACGCTCTTCGACGATCGACCCGTCGAAATCAACGAGTTAACATTCATCATCAAGCAAGATCTATCCTCCCTAAACCAGCAAATCTCCTCCCTACAATCCCTCTCGCGGGCACAACACCCCAAAGCCGACCAGGAAGGCGAACATAACAAGAACGTGGTGTTTCTCCTCCAGGGCAAACTCACAGACGTATCCGCGAATTTCAAAGATGTGTTGGAAGTACGGACGAAGAATATCCAGGCCTCGCGATCACGGACGGAAAACTTTGTTTCGTCAGTTTCTGCACATGCCGCACCGTCGATATCACAATCAGCCTCCCCGCTGTACAGTACACCAACTCGAGGTTCCCCAGGGCCAAATCAAGATCTCCTATCACTAAATCCAGTCGGTGACCAGCAGCTCCTCATGATGGAGGAAGCGCAACCACAAAACACATATATCCAACAGAGAGGCGAAGCCATCGAAGCCATAGAAAGAACCATCAGCGAACTAGGCGGCATCTTCGGACAACTCGCCTCTATGGTTTCCGAACAGAGCGAGATGATCCAGCGGATCGACGCGAATACCGAGGATGTGGTGGATAATGTGCAAGGTGCGCAGCGGGAGCTGTTGAAGTACTGGAGCAGGGTTTCGAGCAATCGCTGGCTGATTGCGAAGATGTTCGGGGTGCTTATGATTTTCTTCTTGTGAGTACCTTACCTTTTTCTATTCCCCCGTTTAATTCTGAGCATGAGCTAATTTCGACATAGATTATGGGTTCTCATCGCAGGATAGCATGCTCGTTTTTTGCTGCTAAGAGCGTAGGTTTGTACAATTACCTTAGAAGGGGCTTCCGCGAAATACCAATTACTTTAATACCAATCGCTAAGATGGGCAACTTGTCCTTGATTGCCTGTGTCTGTTGATACGTGAAATCCCGCATTTGGAAACCAAATATCTCTGGCTCTGGCTTTGGCTTTGGCTTTGGCTTTGGCTTTGGCTTTGGCTTTGGCTTTGGCTTTGGCTTTGGCTTTGGCTTTGGCTTTGGCTTTNTGGCTTTGGCTTTGGCTTTGGCTTTGGCTTTGGCTTTGGCTTTGGCTTTGGCTTTGGCTTTGGCTTTGGCTTTGGCTTTGGCTTTAGCGCTGCAATTACCTTCTTGGATACTAATGTGGCATATTTATGAAATACGGAGGAGGTAAGTCGTGCAGTACTCATAGCCCCATCATACCTACATAGTATACTCCAACAAAATCAGCAGCTCTCCTTAGCCCAATAACTTGACATATTACATGTGCCTCACCCTGCTCTCTCTCCAGCTTTGCTGGCACATCCCTAGCTCCGCCACCTATAGCAAACCCGACCCGCCTCTCCCCAACTCCCCAAAAATCATCCTCAACCCTCTTCTCCTCATTCACATCATTCATTCGCCCCCTCAAAACCAAAAGTATTACCTCGCATAGCTATATATATCAAAGGGCAGATACTACCCCAAGGCCGCTTATCAAGTAAAAGAGGGAACGGGAAAGCGTTAAATGAACAACGCGTCTACGGGGGAGAAAAGGGGGCTTGGTGGTAGAAATAAGTACTACAGGAGGCAGATTGCCTAAGCAAAAAGCCAATCATTTTCTATATTCGATATGTATGAGATAAATAGTTTGATTCATTCTATTTCCCCATGACTAGTAAATCCATAGATCGTAGATGTATATTCTGAGGCTGGGGTTTATTCTAGTTATGTACAATAAATGAGATATAGATACCAACACTAGGATTTGTCTATAACGCAAATATATCTAGCTTCATCCACTAGCAACAGCTTCCTGCAACAAGGCCGCTTGGTCCGGTGGCAGAGAAGCATCTCGTGGTAAACTCTTAAGCGATTCTTGGTTCTTCTTGATATGGCTCGTATGCATCGCCTCAACCGCGGGAATGATGAGGCTCTCGATTTCCACCTCGGGCTCGCCATCAGGCAAATCCTTGGGATCAAGCGGCCGCTCGATAGTCTCTGTACCTTCGGCCGCAACACCAACCAGCCTCTCATTCCCGCCAATGCTCTTCTTCCTCCTGTTTCTGGGCACGCGGATCCATCGCCCGGGTTGGCCGGGGGCAACGAAAACGACCTCCCATTTCCGCGTCGAGAGCAGATTGCCAATAACGAGGTGGTGCTGATACCGATCGAGTGAGTACTGCGCTTTCTGTATCAGGATGTGGGGGTCTGTCTCCAGCTTGAAGGACACGATCATCCCCTCTGGCGCCCATCCGTCAACGAGGTTCTTCAGGAACTTCGGGACGGGGTCGAGATCGATGATCAGGCGCTTGTTTCGCGGTACGGCGGGTGAGGAATCGAAATTATCAAACACTTCTTCGTCGTCGGCTGGATCTTTGGCGGCTGTCCGATTGAGATCGGTTGCGTTTGTGGATTGAATTTTGTGCTCTACCATGCGTTCGGGGGGAACGAAGAAATCCGATACTGCCGCAGCGAGGTAGAGGAGTCCATTTGGGCCGAGAGGACGCATGTCGTGCGCGACGGCTCGGAGGACGAATAGGTAGTCGTTAATTGTGGTAAATGGTAGGGTGAGGAGACGATTCTCCTTTTTGGCGGAGTTGTATTTTCGGAGGACTGTGAGCATCTTCTCGCGGTATTCTTCGTTGGCGATTACGCTGCCATCGGAGCCTTCGCTGAGGAAGTCCAGGAAGCAGTTCGTTGCATGGCTATAGTGGCGAGAGTATGGGAGCAGACTGAACTGCCGATGGAGGAATATAACTGCATAATCGTTTTCAAGGAAATATTCTGCAGAGGTCGCGCCCCTCGTGCCGGCGCTGAAGTTGTCTATAAATCTGACTGTCTGCCGTTCAAGAGGGACTGTGGTACCGCCAGAAGTTACCAAGACGACTCGACGGCCGGCCGCCGCGTGGAAGTCAATGAACTCTTTAGCCTGGGCGGCATATTTTTCGAGGTTGGCCGGAGCTGGGTTCTCAGAGAAGTAATCTCGTTCAGCCTCAGCCGGCGTCCGGTCTGGTCGAGAGCTAGAGCTTGACATTGTTCTGTCGGAGGAGTTTGAAAAGACGGAGGGGGAGGGCGAAGAGGGCCTTGAGTCGGGGAGCTTGAAGGACAGGGAGAATGTGGAACTGGATACTGAGGGCGATTTTGATGGCTGGGAGGTGGAAAGGAGGGAGTTGGGTGAACCTGTTCCACAGGCAAAGCAGGCCTGGGTAGCTGTGGCTTGGTCAGTCATGTTTGGTTGACAGTAATGGCAATCATTTGGGGCATTTCTCATTCTCAGCAACGGGGTGGTTTCATATAATACGGACTTACTTACAAGTTACGCGGCTCTCATCCGCGGTTCTGTGGTTTCGGGATTTTGATTAGTTGTGCCTCGGTCATCGAGGGGCGGGGATCCCAATGCTATTTCTGGTGTTGTGCTGATGCTAAAGTTGGCCCGGTCGGCTAAGTAATTGTGGATGTATGTGGGCTCATAAAGATATGGCGGATGTAAACGGGGGCTCGTAATTGAATCGGAGGAATTAAATGAGCATCAATATAATATCCATCTCATGCTGCGTTGATGTTTTGCGACATGTACCTCCGTACCTCCGTCTTATGTTATCCCCCGCTACGGGGAACGAGAGAGACGCGGGGGACTCCGGGGCATCGGAATTAGTACTTGGAACCTCAGGCATCAGGCATCTGATCCCCCCCTCGTCCGAACCTCCGAGGTCCGATTGCAGCCTGAGACTTCAAGGCCACAAGGCATACATTGGACCCAATATAAGGCGCCAAGTCCTCGAGCATCAGCCACCCGCCTCAGCCACGTTTTACCCTTTACCGCCTCTACCTTCCTCCCTCGTCCTGACGTGACGTCAAGCTGCTTCGGGAAAAGAGGATCGCGTTAAATTCAGTTACTCCCGGAGCAACGTGAGCACAGGCAGTACAATGGATTAGTACGTACTTTCGAGTTTACATCACTACATTAATAAAACAGTCGCAAAATACATCCTCTACTATCTCCAGATCCAGTTAAGCGAGCTGCTTCCACTGTGATTAGTTATCCTGTCCTCTTGTTTGTCCTGTCGAGGACCAACAAACGCCGCCGAGTTACCTCCGCACCGCTGTTAACTTCGCCGTTAATCACCATTTAAAAGCAGATACTATGATCTACCACCCGGATCCTACGCCTTCGCCAAAGCAATCGCAGGCGCTCTGCCTATCCCAAGCCGAGGAGAGAGCTTCTCCGCAAGCTCACCGCAGCTCAACGCAGCTCAAGTTGACAACCTTCGTGACCCACCCTAGCCCACCGCTCAGTGATATATATATATCGGGCTACCCCTCCCCTTCTCGAATCTCCACCCATGCCGAAGCGAGGCCGTGGTGCTAAACGTCCCGGGGGAAAGAATGGAGATGGAGATAATGGTAAAGGGGGAGCTGGCGCTGGAGTAAGCCCAGGCCAGGAGACTTCACTCCCCAATCTCGCAAGCCCGGCCTCAGCGTCCCGCGAACCATCTTTCGCTTCAACTCACTCTCCCCAGTCCTGGCAACATATGTCTAGCTCTTCATCGTCGCATCAACAAGCACAACAGCCACAGCCGCCCCCAGGCAAGGTGGCAATACCGGCTCTCAGATCGCCTTGGGGTACAGATCCATGGAACAAAGGTCCCAAGAAAATCAAAACGCCACACGCTTGTGACAACTGCAGGAAAGCCAAAGCGGGCTGTACAGGGGAGCTTCCTTGTTTGAGATGCAAAAATACACATGTGCCGTGCGTGTATAATGAGGGGAAGCGGGATCGGGACCGCTTGTACGCCAGTCTTACTGTGGATGGGTAGAGTGAGTGTAAGCTGATATGGAATAGGCAGTTGTCGAGGTTAAACCATGAGACCGAAATGCTGTCTCAAAGAAATGCAGAAATCACAGAAGCACTATACCGCATCCAACTCGACCAGAGGATGACTGGTGATGACATTAGAGCTGAAATCAAAAGCATTCTGGATAGGGTGAGTTATGGCTAGCAGCTAGCAGCATTATCTGCTGACTCTCTAGGGCCCGACCAAGATGCCACCCAACCAAAGTCAGTCCAGAAAACGGGAACGGGCATCAGAACAAACTAAACCGCGTGTCCAAGAGGATGACAATGACCGCGATGACAGCACAGAGATCGGCTCGACTGGCTCGATGGACTTTGTCAGTATGGACATGGACCGAGATGACATCAGACCGACCGGACATCTAGGAAAGCCGTCGTCTGTAGCATTGGCCCAACGCACAGCGGAGGAGTGCCAGAAAGCCATCAATGAAGCTGATCTCAGACTTAAAAACGACAGCTATGTTTCATCCTCATACCACACTAAGGAGTCAGATATCAACCCTATCGATACTAGTAAGATAAACAGGTATGAGTGGCCTAATCGTAAGTTAGCAGATATATTGGTCCGATCGTATTTCGACCACGTCCACAACGTGTTTCCGATATTAGACAGGTCAAACTTTACGCACAAGTACACGCGTTTTAGACCAGAGTCGACCGATCTCTCATGGGATGATATGATATTTCTCGGTACCCTAAACATAATTTTTGCAATTTCTTCTTATTACGCACATTTAAAAAAGAGCGAACATCGCGGACCGCATTATGACCATTTGATATATGTTGCACGAGCAAAGATGCTTTGCATGGATCAAGGGCTGTTGTATGAGGACCAAGGAGTAACAACGATATGTGCCACCGGGTTACTAAGTCTGTATTATGTGGCCACCTCTAGACTTAACAGGTATTTACCTCTCTACCTCCTTAGACAGCCACCTCCTGATCCACTCCAGGGCTTGGACATTATGTGGACTTGTCATTAGGAATTCTCTCACCCTGGGTCTACATGTTCGGAGCGAGGCCGATGATCTTGCAGCGGTTGAGAAAGAGCACCGAGTCCGCGTGTGGTGGGCGTTATATTCCCTCGAATGTCTGCTGAATGAACTTACTGGCCGTCCAACCTGCATATCCGACAGAGATATCAGCACCCCACTACCAATTAATGTCAGCGAGGACGACTTTCACTTTGGCCAAGCATTATATGATAAAGTACCAGACGCTTCCCACCCCGGAAAGGCAAATGTCCATGACTCGTATAGTACAAGAGGTGTGTGTGCCGTTAATACCTACTTAAGATGGGGAAGTACTAATAAGGTATCCAAAGTGTCTTCGAGGGACACCCCTCTAATGGATACCGACATCTCACAATCTTCTACATATTTGTTTCCGATTGCTAATCTCCCCCTTACTTCCTCTACATACTTCATTTACCGGACGCAACTCTCTATAATATCTCATCAGATTTTTACACAGCTCTACAGTCCAGCCACAGTAAAGCTCAAATGGTTTGATATACAAGAAACGATACGTATAATCGACCGCCGACTTCAGACATGGCAAGAGAGCCTTCCTGAACAACTTGACGTCGATTTCGAGACCTTCACGGCGCCAGACTGGGATGATCCATATCTTATTCAACGAATTGGCCTGGCCATTCTCCTTATGAGCTCACGCATGATCCTCTTCCGGCCCTGCCTGTGCCGTTTTGATATGTGTCTCAGGAACCAGTCGGAGAAGTCCAAGGATTTCAACCAGGATGCTGCCGAAACCTGCATTCGTTCGGCGCGGAGGATGATATCCCTCCTCTCATGGTCTGCGACAAGTGCCGACAAGCTCTACGCTATCACTCCCTGGTGGACCACGCTACACTACCTCTGCGAAGCTCTATCCGTATTGATGCTGGAGATGGCCTTCAAATTACAACACATGCCGAATGATGCGGCATACGTCTTGGACGACGCCAAAAGGGGCGTCAGCTGGCTATCCATGATGGCGGAGCAGTCAATCTCGGCACGAAAGGCTTGGGAAATATTTGACAAGCTGATCAGGCTAGTGGCTCCTCTAATCCATTGGTCTGTCTTTGACCTCCCGACTGAAGCCCCCGTCCCGCCTGGGTATAACTGGCGTGGTTCACACTTGGCCGGCCAAATGCTTCCTCCATTATCTAGCCCTCCTTTACCAAACCCGCCCCATGTTCAAAATCACCCCCCCGAGCAGCTCTCACAGATGAATATACAACGGCACCAAAATACCCAAGTTTCTATGATGAGTCCAGGCTCGATAACTGCGGCTTGGACAGCTCAACCGCCATCCTTCCAACCATTCGCCGACACGGGAGGGTATGAGCAATACGGGTATCTGGCAAACCCCCTCGATCATGTCGAGGCACTGAATCGGTTTTCAATGATCAGCCAGTTACACGGCAGCTTTGATGAACCATGGATGCACATACTCGAGCCGCCCAATCTCGAGTCGTCCGATATTGAGTCGTCCAATATCGATCCTGCCCTGCGAACCTATGGTAACCCAGGTTTTAGAGGTGTCCAGGAGCCACAGGGCGCGGAAGAGGATGGGATGGAGTTTCTGAGTCGTGCATATATGAACGGTGTCGATCGATAATAGGATATTGACGGTAGGGGGAATGAAATTTGCAAGGTGTGCGGTGTGATGAGCGTATTTCCGATTTGCGTGAATATTTAGCCTTTGAGTTTGAGCTTATGTCTATGGTGTTCATTTCCGTGGGGTTTTTATGCGTATAGATTGGATAGGCAATGAAGCATAAGTAATGAATCGTTGAAGTCTATACACAGATGTTGCACTACATGCACCCCTCTTAAAGAACCGCCTACAGTCACGAGCCGCGAAATACAATATTGTAACCCGTTGGCGTTTATATCTAGCGGTGGAATTCGAGACACTGGTTATGGGGCTAACTTGGTCCAGTAATAATTCATTATCTCTTGTTGCGCTCGTACTCTGTACGTTTAACAATCTTAGCCATTTATTACACCACCTACATGCAAATGATGGCGAACCGTCGTTATCTGGGGTATCTTCCAGCCTATAGCGCCACATAACTCCTAAACACGCTTCCCAAATGTACAGTTCTACCCGACCAGCTCAATAAACTCCCTCCATCAACCTCTCACCAATACCCTCGATCCTCCCGCGCAAAACAGCCCTCTCTATCTCTCGATCCCTACCCTCATCACCTATAACCACACATTTAACAACACCCCCATCATCATCGACCACACACCTTCCAATCTTCCCATCCACCCACTCGATCCGGATCTGCTTCGCCTCAGCATCCGCAGCGCTAATGTCCGCAATAAATTTCTCCCTCCCCTTCCCTTTCCTGGATGCCTTCTCATCTAACTTAAACTCCTTCCGCAAGTTCTTAATCGCAGTGATGCGGTTATGATACGCCACGATTTCCCCCCTCAATGCTCGCACAAGCCGCCGTAGATCTTGCCGCTTCCCTCCGACGGCCTTTTTAGCAGACATAGCCGAAGACCCTTTCCCCGTCGGTAGGTGCTTCTCGACCAAAGAAGAGAGCGGGATGTAGGGTGGCAGCGTATGTCGATGAACGCGAAGTAGCTCCGAGTCCGGGAACGGTTTGTTGAGTAGGAGATAATATGGGTTTATGAATTTCCCCGTCGTGGAAACATCGACCCGGATACCGAGGACGTTGCCGTTATCCACAGCGTTTGGGTCCGGATCGCGGACGCGAAATGTGGTGATGGTCCCACAGGCCCGGTAGAGGTTCTCTTGGTTGTGTAGGAGTTGTGATGTGGATGCTGCGAGTAGGGGATTCGTGTCGGGAGGGACATCTGCTTGGGCGGATGGGGTGGGTTGTGTTTGCGCTTTACGGAGACGGTCGAGGGTTGCTTGAGTAGCATGTGAGGATAGGATTGTCGCTGTTTGCAGATTTCGTTTGGCTTTTAATGATGAAACTATTTGGATCTGGATTAGCAGGTGTATTGGGAGTGTTAAAATCCGCGGATTGTTTACTTTGCGACTGGAGAGAGGTTATTTCATCGTCGAGCCGCGCACCGATCATGTCTTCAGGGGGTTTCGCAGATTGTTCTTCGGGATTGATCATGATTTATAGAATATAAGGTAGGATGAGATAATTGGTATGACAGCGTGGACGGTAGAAGTACAAATATTTGGAACGACTGACGCGTTCGAAGTGAGGAATAATTCAGAGTTAGGATGACGCGCAGCTTATCACAATCCACTTCCCCACCATATGAGAGCGCCATGCTGTGTCACGTGGTATGATAGCTCAGGGTCCAATTGTCTGATCGTGTGCATGATAAGATTACAATAAATATAATACAGTACCTGTCCACATATATCATGGCTTCTGTTCCGCTTTGATATTCCCCCATCTGTTATTTTCCCGACTTTGAATTAAATTGTTTGCCACCCTTCCGTTGGCCAACTACTCAGAGCCGTCGTTGTCAGAGAGAAAAGGCCACGTTAACGTTCCTTAGCCACGCCTTGCTGTGCCTGGACTGGCCCCTGGTGATCCACTGACGCCAGTCAACTTGCTCCGGAAAGTGCACTTTACTTCGTAGAGGGGTTTGGAGGCCAGCAAGTCCTCTAGAGCTCAACTTCACCACCACATGGATGCCTACTCCACTTGACGATACTCTTCCTTCTTTGAATTCACACTCTCATTTAGCTGGTCGCCAGAGCCAGCGCCTTCCATTGCACCACGACGCCCAATTCCCACACGAACTCGAACTCGACGAGCTCCCAACATCCCGGAACCGTCCAAAGAGACTTATCTTTGCCGAAGATTCACAATCAAGATCCCAAGAGGATACCAAGCATCTTCTCGGCCGAACAGATTCGGAAGACGAGGAAGACGGTGACAACGATACCTCTATGGGTGCTAGATCTCGGCGCTCTAAGCCCCAAGAGCCTAAAGGCTCATCCTCTTCCACCGAAGAGGAAAACGGGCACACAAACGGCAAAATGAACCACAATGTTGAATACCGGCGCAAAAATGCCAACCTTACGTCTCCTGTGGTCACGGAGAATTTAATCGGGCGCGAATCTTTTACACTCGACGACCACGTCCCCCGAACGCCTACTATAAACAATCATGGTTTCTTCCAATTGCCGATGCAGGACAGGCGCAATTTCGGGCTCTTGGTCCTATTATATTTCTTACAAGGCGTGCCGATGGGGCTGGCGGCTGGATCGGTGCCGTTTCTACTGAAGGGGGCGCATTTGTCATATAGTGCGCTTGGGGTCTTCAGTTTGGCCTCCTACCCATATTCCCTAAAGCTTCTGTGGAGTCCTGTAGTGGACGCGGTATGGACCCCAAAGGCGGGGAGGAGAAAGAGCTGGATTTTGCCGATTCAGATGCTGTCAGGGTTTGGGATGATATGGCTAGGGTCAATGGTCAAGGATATGATGGTTACAGCAGGCGCCCAGGACGGGTCTGGAATATGGGGGTTTACCGGATGGTGGTTCTTCCTCGTTCTTATGTGTGCCACCCAAGATATTGCAGTTGATGGATGGGCCTTGACGTTATTGACCCCGGGAAATATCTCTTACGCCTCGACGGCACAAACAGTAGGACTGACTGCTGGACAATTCATGTCCTACACCGTATTCTTAGCTTTCAACTCTCCCGACTTCGCCAACAAATGGTTCCGGAAGACGCCCCTAGATGAAGGAGTAATGACTCTCGGAGGATATCTTACGTTTTGGGGCTGGGCTTATATAATTGTAACCATTGGCCTTGCCTTCTTGAAAAAGGAGGAGAAGACCAAAAACGAAGACGGGATCTGGGATGTCTATAAAGTCATGTGGGGTGTCTTGAAGCTCAAGAACATCCAGACGATTATCATCATTCATTTGATCGCCAAAATTGGATTCCAGGCAAACGACGGCGTCACAAACTTGAAGCTGATTGACAAAGGATTCAGTCAGGAGGATCTCGCATTGACTGTCCTAATTGATTTCCCCTTCGAAATAGGTCTGGGTTATTATGCTGGCAAATGGTCCAGCACATACACGCCGATGCGTCTCTGGTGCTGGGGTTTCGTGGGACGTCTCATTGCCGCAGTCATTGCACAGATAACCGTGATCATATTCCCCGCAAACGGTGTAGATACCTGGTATCTGCTCGTAGTGATCGCTGAGCACATTTTTTCGACATTTACGAACACTGTCATGTTCGTTGCCATCTCGGCGTTCCATGCCAGGATTGCGGACCCAGTTATTGGTGGTACATATATGACTTTACTCGCAACGTACGTATCTCTTCCTCCGTCTCCCATTTCAGTTTACTGACATGTCCCAGGGTCTCAAACTTGGGCGGCACATTTCCCCGATTCTTCGTCCTCAAACTTGTAGATTACTTCACCGTGGCTACCTGCATTCCACCTCCGGATACATACAAGCTTCCTGCAACCCTCCGAGGCCCCCTTATCACAGATTCATTCTCCTGCTCTCTATCAGCTGAGAAAGACCGCTGTCTCCAAGGTGGAGGGATCTGCGATATCAGCAGAGACGGCTATTACGTTGTGAACATTTTATGTGTTATTATTGGTGTCATAACATTCTGGGGCTATATTAAGCCTGCGGCGTTGAAGCTACAGGCTCTGCCGTTGAGGGCTTGGAGAATTGCAGATGGTGCTAGCTAGGCTAGCTAAATTGTGTTGCTTTAACGTTGCTTAGAGGGGTGACTAACTGGGAAAAAAGAATGCGATGTATAATAGAGCATTTGCCATAGCGAAGAATAAAAAAGAATGTACAGTTTGAATTTCTACTCCTCTTTGTGCGCGTAATTTCATTCGTGGTGGCAATCTAGTTTTGTCCTGGCAGTTGTCTGGTCAGGTGGTTGTCACTTCTCCTCCATTTTACTTACCTTGGGTATATATATCAAAATAAGCTATTTTGGTTTTTGAGGGGTACAAGGGCGGCCACTTGGCTGAGTGGTTCAGGACGAATTGTACTTTCGAGGTCGACAGGGATTTAGGTTACGTAGGCACAGGCCCCAAAAAAAGGGGGACGTAAAAAAAACGACAAAATACGAAAATAACAAGAACGAATTCGGATCTATTCGGCAGAGATGTAAGCCCTACCAACGAAGGGGCCGAACTCTTTTGCTTCTCAGATATAATAAAAATTGTTTTTCTTCTTTTCCTTGCGGGTTACTTTTAAAAGTAGAAGTTGAGGTCTTTTTTGTTTATCTCGCCTGCTATGTTGTGGATTGCTGCGAGTTAGCGAGAGCGGTGAATAAGGTAGGGCAGGTATTCACCGCTTACTCGATTGCCTACTGCTGGAAGTAGCATATTACCGTTGTGATATGGGTTTGGTATGAAGAAGAGATTTGGGTGGCGGGTTCCTTGCGCTTTTCTCACATTTGAAATAGTTCTTTTGTATATATCACTTATCAACCAACCTATAGTCTTGTAACGCCTATCACTTATCACTACAACTCCAAATTGCATAAGAAAAAGAGGCCCAAAGACCATATTAACTCAAATTGCTCAATTATATTATTGGTGTTAAATCCCAAGATGCCGCTATCCGGGGGGGGGGGGGGGGGGGGGGGGGGGGGGCAGATGTTCTCTCATCCCTTAATACATGGCGACAGCTAGCAACCAATACCTAAAACTGTGCTACTCTACTGGGGTTACTAGTAAAGTCCCTTTGCACGAGAGGGTTAATATCAACATTCTCAATATAATGAGGAACAATTTCCGTAAAAGTCTAACAAGTTTGGAAGTCCTACGGTGTAGTAGCCACTGCCCAGAGAAGATGAAAATACCCCAACGCCTCTAATAGATTGCGGGTCGGGTGGAATAAACGAGTATGTGGCTTTCCTACGATCATTCACATATTAAGCGGGCAATAGGAGGGGCTTAAACCTTTGTTCTTCCAAGCTGCGATGCAATATGTGACAGCGTGGTTTACATAAAGGGGCGGAAGCGAGTAAGTCGCCGTCCTCCACCTGCGGGATCCCGTCACCAGTGAAAAGAGCAAACAATCTTATTAAAGCAATCATGTACGAGTCCCCAAGGTCAAACCTGTACATATTACGGAGTACGATGTCCTACAGACTTCGACTTCTTCACTACCAAGTTTAACCCACATTTAACCAACTCCCGTGTTGCCAACTTGCCAGATAGGTACGTCAGATATCGCTACAATCATGCCTAAAGCTGCGAAACCACGCACGACAAACAGGCTAGGCCTTTTTAGCTGGCAAGGCACCGCCAGTACGGCGAGGGGCCTGACGAAGGCGGGGAAGCCAAATACAACGACTGCAGAAAGGAAGGTGGTCAAACCCACAAATGATGTGGCAGACACTGGAGAGGTGGCAACTGCATCTGAGTCTAAAGATCCCAAAGTACATTACCAGATATCCCTCGCGAAACATGCCATTTACTGACGTGCTGCTGAGTAGCCATCTCCATCTCCATCTCTGGTTGAGGACTACCTCCTTCTCGTCCGTCTGAGCGAGGCTTGCTACCCTACTATTTCTCGGCTTCTGTCTGTGCCATCAGACCTCACATTCGCGGAGCTACATGAAGTTTTCGAGGTCGTGTTCCGGTGGACTAACCTCCATGGATACTCTTTCGATGTCTCGAAGCTCTTGGAGGAAGACGAGGTAAGTTCAGTCGCCTACTTATCGACCCTATCCCAAGAGAACCAAGGCTAACAACTGTGCTCCAGCCTTCCAAGTATTTTCCTGGCAGTGTGATGAAAAATGATGCCCAGCGAGAAGCCAAGGACGTCACACTTGCAGGCATCTACGACAACGATGAATACAAAGACAAGGTCGAAGTCTCGCACAGTATGCACGATCACGGTGGTGCTATGCGGGACCACGAGATCACCTTCCTTGGGCGCGGGGATCCCGCAATGCGGAAGGCCATACAGATCTCAGACGACATGAAAGTTGTCTGTCTCGGGGACTCGGTGAGTTTTCCAGTTCTCGGCAAGAAATTGAAAATAAAACATTTGCTTATTGCGTGTTTTAGGGCCACCCACGTGTAGAGGAGCGCGGTAGCTTCGATGGCTCGAACGGCCTCAAAAAACTGTTCACAATCAGAGGAGGAATTATGCCCAAGGAAATGAGTGGTGAGAGCACAGTTGTGCCAACTGCCACCCCCGAAGATGTGGGAACGGCGACCGCCAAAGGAGAGGACCCTGATAAATGGGATATCGTGGATGTTAATCGTGCGCTTTCAGAACGCTTCAAGTAGTGCTTGCTTTATGAGTAGGTTGACTGGCAATGGCCACGTAGTGTGCGAAGTATTTGAAATCGTATTGTTATTTTCTACTACGTATATGAAATGCAATAAGTTACGTAGATACCCATGCTGTACTTCGTACGAGTAAGACTTACTCCTCTCCTGTTCACGATTTCCCGGTCAGCCCAAAACAGCATGCGAGCTGATTGATTACCCCGTGCTTCGTACAACCAACACCTAAAAAACCTCGCAAACACTAATATTGTATCGCATGGCTTACTGGTAGAGCGGAGAAACAGGGCTGAACGCCTTATGCACCAGTTTAATTACTTTATGCAGGCACACATCAGCAAACCCTGTGGATCTTGTCCGTTTGTTTGCCCCCCGAAGGGCCCGAACAAGCCAATCGCCAGGATGTGGTTCCGACTGTGGAAATAGAGACGCCTTTCCGGCGATGCTGACAGCTGTGGTGGGTTTAGCGCCAATAATACCAAGATCGATAATGCCCTCGCCTCGAGGGCCAAGACTGTTTGCTCATTTCGTTTCATAAGCGGATACGATCGAAAAGCGGAGAAGTTGGACGTCGGGAAAGTTGAATATCGGGATTGAACGTCAGGAGTGGAATTGAGCATGCGGATAGCCGGAATGGAGAGGAAGTAGTCAGAGTCTCACAGAGGGAGCCAGAGCGGAACACAGTTCAGTTGCAAAAAATTAGACATTTTCAAGTACAGGCACGATAGTGCGGTACTGAGCTGTAGAATAATGTATACATTACGTAGGTACATCATCATACAATTATTTTAATACTCCCATCTAAATCACATCAAAAGTTGATTCCCAAATCCACCGCTTTCTCCCCATGCGCTCCATAACTACCACTAAAAATTATATATCATGCAGAACGGAAAAGGTCGTCAAGAATCCCGAGCGAACATCTCTTACAAGAGATAGGCGGCTGCGAGACCGACGGCCATCAAGAGGCCACCAGCCTTCTGTGCTGAGGCTCCGCTGGTGAAGGGAACGGTGGTGGTGGTGTTGTAGCTCTTGCCTCCGGTGGGGGCGGCAGATGGAACAGGCTTGGGGCAGTTGGCTCCACCTGGGCAGACAACAACAGCGGTGTTTGCGGGAGGGCAGCTGGCTCCACCGGGGCAGACGACGGCAGTGTTGGCAGGAGGGGCAACACCGGTGGCAGCAGGAGGGCAGTTAGCACCACCTGGGCAGACGGCACCAACGCTGGTTGCTGGCTTCTGGCCAGCTGGGGTGGCTGGGACAGTGACAGTAACGTAGGAGGTGACAGCTGGGCACTCTGGCTTGCCGGCTGGGGGAGGGATAACTCCTGATGGCTTGCCGGTTGGGTGGACCTTGGTCACAGTCTCGACAGTGCTGGTGACCTTGCCGACGGGGCAGTTGGTCACGGTTGGTGCGCATGAGGTGATGGTATAGACGTGAGTCTGGTACTCGGTTGAGATGCTTGGGCCAGCTGGGACACTGGTGGCAACCGCTGGGGTGGTAGCTGGGCAGAAGGTGGTGGTGCTGTAGACCTCGCTGGTCACCTTGCCGACGGGGCAGTTGGTGACAGTTGGGGCGCACGAGGTAATGGTGTAGACACTGGTGGAGTAGATGGTTGAGATGGTTCCAGTGGGGATGGTGGAGTTGCCACCGTGGGCGTTGACGGCAGCAGCGGCCGCGACGACGGAGATGATTGAGGCCTTCATTTTGAATTTGTGAGGGTGGAAAGGGGGAACTTTGGAGAAGGTTGAGATAGTGGATTAGATTAGAGAGTTTGTAAAGAGTGTAACTGTATCGAAGATACAAAAAGAGTGTGGTCAAGTAAAGCTTGAGTGAGAGGGATGAGGAAAGAGAAGAGAGAGAAAAGGGCACATAAGAGTCTAAATACTTGCCTCTGACCTGGGTCGTAATAGTGGAGGCGTCCAGGCGCCTCAAAGAACTCCCGCCTCCAAAGCCAGACGTAGCGAGTTGGCATCGACGACCAGGTTGAGGGTGATGCTCAGATGCAACATCGCACAACCTGCCTGTGGCCCGACGAATAAACGTGCCCCGCTCGACAATTTGGCGGTTCCCCTGAGCGCGTCGTCGAATCAAGGAAGCTGCGGGCGTAGAATAACCCAGCGAGGGGCTGGACTAAAAGGAAATGAACGGTTGACAGCAGTTTTCTTTTCCGGAAAAGGGGCCCCGGGGGGCGTGTTGTTTTGAGGCTGATCCGTCCACAAGAGTTCTAGCCCGGCAAATCATTTAATGCTAAGAGCCTGAGCCTGAGCACTCGAAGAGCACTTCGCAGGAGAACGGCGGATAGCCCCTGGGGACAGGTTGACAACCCGGCTTTTGCGGGGAATTGGGCCAGTCATACCAATTTGCCCCTGAGCCAGCGCGGTCGTAAGCGGCTCGTATTATTGGGATTGGGATGGATGGAGGATGGTGAGGATACTTCGTACGTAGCAGTTCGCTTCGGGATACATAAACTAGGTGGAGTAATCATATGAGATTATTCCGCCTAGATCGGGTATCTGGGAATCTCCTGATGCTATTCCTGGAAAAGGGACGAGATTGTCCAGCGTCGAGCCAGCTGTGCACGGGGAATGCTCTTAGGGCTACTGTCGTATCCGCCGCCCAGAATCCCAGCGTTGCGGGCGCCCACGACTCCAGAGCATGGTGCCTGTGGGGCGTGTTCCTAGGCCTCGGCCGACGGTCTTCCCAGGCCACACCGCGGAGCACTGCTTTGTACTGTACGTACAGAGTAGCACTGATGGCCACCACCACTACTGTACACTGCCGATGCTTCAACACTTCGTACTTCGTACCCTGCTGTGCAACTTTTATCAACGTCTCTCTCATTACACTTTGTATGGAGAGCGATTGCCCGTGAGCGCCTTGAACGAGTAGTAATAATGTCGCATATACGCAGTATCGAACGGCATTTTGCATGGTGGGCCGAGCAGCTGTGACCTCCGGGTCTCGACTCCTTTCCAAACTCCTCTCTGTAGACCGCTGTCGTAGATCACCGGCCCCTTCTCCAAGCCCAAATGGTGGCTCAGACACCCAATCTCGCCAGGCGCTGGGCATCCAGAGATGCTGCTGGTGGTCTCTTCACCGAAATCGCCATGCAAAGCTTGCTCGACGCTCCCGCGCGATATCGTCTTGGCCTATTGGCCCCGGAAGGCTTGGGTTGGATCCGGCCACGCTTCGAATGTGCAATTATTGAAAAAGCTTCATTGCATTGCGACCCACCAATTTCCGGGGCGGTTAAAGCAATCGCGATGGTTGCTTTCCGATCGTGATGCCATCGCTGGCCGAGGTCGAGTGGGACCCCAAGTCTCGAGGCCCTATGAGGCATCTAGCAATGTCTCATCCCATCTCAGAATTTAACACCTCTCCCTAAGTTCCTCACCTTCATGGACAGCTGCCTCCAGTAAAGATTTCCCGACATCGGATCAATCCCATTCCACAGTTGAAAGTGATCTCAAATATCAGCTTCATCATGGTCGAAGAGGTTGCACCTCTCAAGATTCTGCTCCCGCCACGCCTAGTCTTCTCATGTCTTTGGCCATCACCACTGAGCTGTATCGATTCCCGAATCTATGGCATGCAGCACTGCAGTTGAAAAATCCTAGGATTGAAAGGAGGGTTGTCGGAATAGGATTGCGCCAATCAGTATTGGTGCAATGCTTTGAGCATTTACTGTAGGTATCGAGATATGGAAACTCGAGCAGCTATCGCGGCTGGTCTTCAACCACTCAGCCTGGGCGCAAAGAAGATTGCAATTGCTACATTCTTCTGATTTCGGTTCGGACTCGGTTGATGAAGACGAAGAGATGTTGATCCTGATATATCGGCGAAGGCAAAGAAAGAGAGGAGTGAACGGGATGAAAGCGATGATGACACCAACGTCAGAAGTCGCTATCGACATCTAAGGTATGTTGACATGAACGTTGAGGTTGGCAGCGTCAAAATATATATGCAGTGGGCTAATTGCTCCTTCCATTCCAGGTAATCTCCCTACGATGGCGTGATCGACAACGCTCTTTTCGCGATCTACTGAATCAACTGCTGGGTATTTTAACTCCCGAAACCAGATTGCTGATTATGGAGCTCTCTACATCCCAAAAGCCAAGGTATGGATGAAATGGATGCAGAACACATATTAATACAAAACTCAGCTGCCTTTCTCACGAATCAACTAATACGGCAATCGCTTCCAGTAATATGCAGCGATGGGGCTCCGATATCCAGCTTCTACCGTTCCTATACAATCTAGATAGTTAGCGCATAGCACTATACTATATTATTCGAATATCTGGCCAGTCACAAAGTGAAGCTATTCCTAGACCTCTACCGGACCTTTGTCCCCCCCACCATACCCTTCGTATCTAACCGAAATTGAGATATTTGCTCTACTTGAATATCTCAATTTCGGTCCGATATTTACACGATATCGGATTTATATTTGGATAATGGCCGTTGGGCCTTATAATACTGGTAAATAGGGTTTTTTACCAAATTCGCCAATACCCAGTAATGCGCCATAGTTGACGCTTCGCCTTGGTCGAGAGAGTTGGGTTGTGCAGGCCCGGCTTCGGAATGCATCTGCCATGGTGGGCCATCACCCGGGTGCTTCGGAGACAGATTACTTGTGCCTTCTAGGTGTGCCTTCCTCAAGATCAAGGGCATCCAGCATATCTTCATCTTCATCAACAGCTTCACTAGTATCAACATTTTCATCAGTATCATCATCCACAGAGAAACCCCCGTTACTGATACCTTCGAATTCGAAATCAAGAAAGAAGATACCCGTGTCCAAATTCAAACACGCCGCTGCCCGCCGCAGCAATTCGCAGTCACCGTCTCGAGAGTCAAATGCGAGAACTGAAGTAGATGACCTTCGCCGATAGATTGAACTCGCCGACATGCTTGAGTATGAACAAGAGCACTCGGGAAAAGTGGACCACCAGTGACGACCCAGGTCCCTCGCTGGTGGAACGGAATAACCTGATTTGACGGGCCTCGTGACGGAACCAGAGCACCAGTTCAGGGTAATGATGGCAAGTTGTTCCGTGCCAAAGGCTCTGGAGATGGGAACCCCTATCCTGCGTATCCTGCGGAGCAAGACAACTGGCGACCTGAGATTCGACCATGTGTCGGAGCTGCGGGCAAGATATCATCCCGCAAGAGCGAGGCTGGGCATTGTTGTTGTTGGGTTGTCCACCAAATGCTCCTCCGAGACAAGCCATGGCGTACGATATTATAATGGTCATAGTTCTGGGAACAATATTGGCAGTCATTCTATGGTGCATGACACCATACACACGTCTACGGAATGTCTGTATACTCTCTATTTTCTTTAATTATGTACTAAGCTAGAACTGTTATAGCCTACCATTAGAGAGATAGGGTTATTAAAATCCGAATAAATTCGATCGGAGTGCGTGTCTAGGAAGCAAAATGAACACTCTATTAGACAGGCGCTAACTAGCAAGGCAGCTGAGTTTTCTGCTTCTGGGATTAGTTTGTCATGGCTTCCTACACAGGTGTTCTTAGTGACTTTACATTAATATTCAAATTCCCAAGCGTCAAATTCATCATTAATAGACATTCCTTCTTGGTCCAAGTTCAAGAACCTAGCTTTTAAAATTCAAACTAACTTGGTCCCCACGATGTGCAAAGCGGTCGAGATTGATAAGTACCATATTAGCCATCAATGTCATTGTTATTCTAGGACATAGTAGACGGGAGAGGAGATGGAGAGATACTCCTTTCAGGAGAGACTCTGTGGGCCGCTTTTGATGCGAATGTTTCTGTGGTTTATCACAGAATCCTATTCAGCACGGCATATCCAGCTCCGCTCAGTTCCTCACACAATATTTCCCCATGTTTCGGAATAATCTACTTGAGTCTATAGGAGCCTGGGTCGCGAATGTTGTTTTGGAGAACTGGGTCGTCATGATCCTCCAGCAACTCGGTAGAAGTGTGCTGGTTGGCGTCATGGAAGCCGAATGGTGAGCTCGTAGTCGGCTTAAAAATTACAGTTAGAAAAGGAGATATACTGGTGCCGTCAATCATAGGAGTATTTGCGTGGTTATGGGCTCCATGCTGTACAGTACACACGATTATGGAAGGCTGGGTCTTGAGCGACTTGCGTAGCAGCAAGGAGATTTTGGTCCCCCTGAAGTTCTAATTACTGCTCCCGTTAGTTTGCGATGGGCTCTTTAATGTATTGCGAAACATTTCTCTGTGCGCTTGCTAATTCTACTTCATAAACCGCTACTGTATGGTGCATTACGACTCGACTACTGCATTTAGTAATGGCGTGGATTTATTAGATGTAATTTCCGGAAGCCATATTTTTAACCAGGAATTATATATTCCAGTCAAAGTGGGAACATTATATCCATATAAAAATTCCTGACATTTCAATTTCTTGAATTTTATTCCTTATCTAGTATATAATAGTATACTACGAGAAGACTACATGCGTATAAGAATATGCATACCCTTTACCGTCAAGGCTCTCAATCAGACCAAAGGTACTCTCTTGAAGATTTGAGCAACGACAATTAACCAAAGGTGTAAATGTCGTCGTATTCATTCATAGAGCTATCTAGTGTGGTATGCTGCAATGCAATACCAAGAAAAAACGACTCCGGCTTATCGAAGCAACAAAGTTTCTACCGTGAATAGCATGTTATATTCATTCCGAACCCCAACTCCTCGCTGCATTTATCCCTTTCAAATAGCTGACCCATTTCCAAGCCCTAAAGACAAGCCCACTATCATTAAATTTAAATATTGCTTCACCATACCATGCTCCTAGGACGAGGCGATAGTGACATGCTCCTGTGACGCCATTCAAAATCAGTGGACAGCGCAGCAAACTGGTCTGGCAGAGATGCAGCCGAAGAAGGAGGTGATTTGGCTCCGGCTGTGATCTGCGGTTCTCTGGCAAGATCATGCGACACCAAGGCTGGCTCTTGGTGTTATGGTTGTTGCGTTCGACTAGCGTTTCTGGATTTTGGTGATGGGGGCCGGGCAAAACTAGGAGAATCCAGCTTCTTGCGTTTCTATGCTTGATTTCAGATCCTCTCGAAGGATCTTACTCTCGGCTTTGCCGCCCCGAAAGAACGTAGTCGGACTACTCGGATTAATGGGCGAAAGAGGGGCGACGATGTCGTCCACGGTAAGTATGCTATTGATAGTCGCAAGACCTCGTGCGGCTCGCAAGTTGCGATCGCTTGAATTAATTGCCAAATGATTCAGGGCTGTGGAAATTGATGCATGGGCTTCCTTGGAGATTCTTGGGTCCTTGTTGGGATTAGAGACCTCCAAGGATTCTTCGCAGACGTACAGTAGCAGGATGGGCTTCCGACGCAACTGAGTTAGTTCGGAAATGAGCTTTGTTTGGGGACGTTTTGTGGTGTCGACAACCAGGAGCTCCTTCTCCCCACGACCTAAGATTCATACACCTTGACTTCCCCTGCCTCAATTCCAAGGACTGCGCTAGCACTGGCAGAGACTGCTTCATTTTCGGAGCCACAACGGTTGGCAAGGACAGCAATAATTTCGCCCTCCTGCTCGGCTCGGATCACTGGTTCTAATCGTGCAAGCCAATAAGACAACTTGTCCGTACCGGGCTCTTTAGGTGCTCGACTATATGCCCGAGGATTTTCCGTGTTAGCCAGGACATGGAGATGATGATAAGATTCGCCTGCTTGTGTAGAATGTGATATGCGAATTCCTAGGGACTCCAAGGAGATTCGAATTTATATGGACTGTTTCCGTTAGCAAACCATTCGGGAGATGAAGATAGAAGAATCCCACTTCGATTCCATACTAAGGGAAGTTATGACTTTCTATAAGAACATATAATATATGATGCAGAGGAGGGTAAATTAAATGAAGCGTGGGGTACTTAGTAGAGCCAAACAAAATGCCCTGGAGGCTGGAAGTTCGTACCTAGGTAGCCTTCGAGTATATGATAGCCTTAGCTCGAAGCCGTCTGTGACAGAGCTGGAGGTATTACTCTGCGTGGAATAAGGTATTGGGTAAGAGTGCGCAGCTGGTTGGATAATCGGATCCAAAAAGCTTTGGGTTCAACGTAGGGGAAAACTTGGATTTCTACACCCTAGATTAAAGGGGTTAAACAAGCTGAAACAAAACGAGATTGAAGCGAGGGCGTGGAATTTGGAACTTGTTTGGCTGCCGATTCACACCCTAATCAGATACTACATTTAATACATACGGCTTAAAGGAGGCTTCATATATAAAGTGGAGACCCTGATCAAATATCGTGAAAAGGTTCATTGAGGTCTCATTAAAGATTTTAGCACTCTACAGGCAGGCTATAACTGCAAGATGTTAAATGCAATGCTATAAGAGCATCGTGAGTGTTGCTCCGCTATTCAGATATGGCGCCCAGCACCGCCAACCACCCTAAACGCTCTGTCCAACGGTCCAAACGCCGTGCATGCCTTAGTGCCAAATTTAGACATGGAGTAAACTCCTTCCTTTTATATGCACATTACTCTCTTTCCATCTACCAAGTTCCACTAGCCTATCTAGCTAGGAATAATTCCTCTGTCATAAACTTCCCGAGTTCTCGTCATCAAACGCCGCTATCCTCATCAACAAAGTTGCTTCTCGCCCTGCTCTCCTCCTCCTGTGCAGCGAGCCATGTAGGGAGCTTAGAGCCATCCTCCTCCGGACTATTCGATATAACACGATGTGTTCTTCTTTTGGGTAGACGAGGAGGGGTTTGTTCCGTATGGATCGGGGGCGGTTGTAATATCGCGTCCCCTACTTCATTGTCATCTTCCACCCACGGCTGCACATAAACTGGTACATGCTCACTCATAGGCGTGGTCGGTTCAGAATCACCAGCAGGAGCCGCAACAACAAGGAGCCCATCATCTGCAGGATAATTAGATTCCTCGCTCTCCTCCCGGCTTCGTCTCTTGGGAAGTGGAGGAGGAGGCACCGAGTGACGTTGCCTATTGATACCATTAGGTTTGTCCATGTCGTCCGGGGATCTTTGGGGTAATGGAGGTGGCGGTATAACCTTCCGCTTTGGCATAGGAATGGGTGCAGTTTTCGTCTTTCGATCTGGACGAGGTAACGGAACTCCTGGAGGTGGGAGAGGCTGGCCCCGCCCCATGACTAATGGACGCGACTGCAATGTTGCATCCTCCGCTATAGTGTCAGTTTTCTGTTCTCCGTGCCGTTGGATAGCATTCCAACCCCATCTCTTGGCCTGAGCAGCAGCGCTTGCAAGAGACAGACGCTTCGTCTCAGACGTTGACGGGTTCTCTGAAGATAACGTGGATGTGGAATCTTCGCGCCGTCGGTCCCAAGAGAATGATGGGAAAGATTTTGTTGAATTTGTTTCTGATTTTAGTGATGTACTTGCTAGACTTGAATGAAATGAACTTGACTGTGAGCTAGTGTTTACATCGGAGGCATTGGTAGAAGGTTGAGGCATAATATCGTTGTATGATTCAGGTCCCGGATGGGCCGACTCATGTGAAGATATTGAAGACTGGCTCTCAAATTTTCCAGTTCCACGGGAGTGAGATGGAGATCCGGTTGGAGTATGAACAGGTGAGTTGTTCTGCGATAAGGCTGACATGGCGGCCATAGCTGCTGCTGCATGGCTGTGTTCACCATGTTCCGGCGGCGTAGAAGGTTTGAATGCATCGGCATTGGTGCTGTCGGTGCTCACAACTGGCGACGAGGCACTGGTAAAGGAGCCAGTTCGTAGTGCTCTCGGCTTCTCAGACACAGTTGGTCGTGTCTCGATGCTGGTCGATGACCCGGAAGATTTTGTATGGATAGGATTTATGGTGGACTGAATAGTTTTCCGTGGATAAGCGGTACTTGGAGAAGTGGCGTCGATCACGGGCATACTCATACTCTTCTCGATATGTGGCAAATCAACGCTTGCTTCATCGCTTCCCTCTTCCGCATGCTCTTCACCCGTGTCGCGGTAATGAGGGCCAGCGTGCTCTAAATCGTCAAGGGAAATGGCTGATCTGTCATCTGCCCAGACTCCACCTCTCCATAGTTTAGTTTCACTGTGGTAGAATGGAGAATCGTCCCAGTTGGGAAGGACCAAACTCTCAGCGACAACTTCCTTGATCCGATTCTCAATTTGACGCAATATCAGTGTGTAAGTTATCTGCCTCGAACTGACGATTGGCTCTATTGTCATATCAATCCTTGGCATGGTTTGAAATGTCACCCAGAATCGATTTGACGGTGGAGGTTTGACCCTAATCATGATATGACCTTCCAATCGTTTTAGAACCACTGCTAGGAGTAGGTTGACCTCTCTCGCCTTAAAGCGTGATCCAAGCTCAATCCGGGCTGTTGCAGCAACCTCGATTCTAAAATTGCCAGTGTACCGTACGTCTGCTTCCACGACCAGGTCACCATCGACAGTCAGCTCTTTAAGGCGCGGATTTGTGATGAAAGGCGCAGCTTCCCCGAGGTCTATATTTCGCAGCGCAATTTTGGAAAGAAACGAGGGCGTTTTCACTCGGGATATCTTCTTGGTGATCTTTGCTCGTATAAAACTTTCAATCTCCGGAGTCTTGTAGAGAGCGAGAAATACCCTCCCGATGATAGCATTGAGCCATCTCGTTTGCAGATGTTCCTCAGAAGAGTGTAGTCGTTGAACTAGTGTTATAATATCCTTGACATCGTATTGTAGTGGCACTGGCGGATTGTCCCTTGCGTCTGGCCTTTGTTCCTGGCTTCGGAGCATCGCGAAATAGAAATCTTCTTTCTCTGAACAGTTCTCAGAAAAGAGGAAAAAAGGCTTTGAGGTTGTGCCATCCGGCGTGAGCTCCCCAGCATCCGATCTCCGTGAAAGAGATAGAGCATTCCGTTTTATAAAAAGCTCCCCTTCTGGCGTTTCTTCTCCGCCTGAGTAAATGCCCACGTTATGATGGGCTAGCGAGATGACATGGCGGACTTCGAGCTGTTGGTCATCATCGAAGAGCATTAAATGGCCGTGTCTGGGACTAAATTAACAACATATTCTGCAGGAAGCTTCGAGTGGCCTAGCTGGCATACCTCAGAACCACATAAAACACGTTGCCATTCCCCTTTGGCGGCCTCCCATTGCCCTTATTATCCAACGGGCTATTATTGGTCTTTCTGTCGAAAATGCTCCGGTACATGCTCTGGTAGACACTTGGACTCGGCGCAGTGACAGTCGTGGAGCCCACCGGCGTTGTACGGACTGGAGGTTTGCCATTCCCCCCGGGGACGTACTCCCGACAAACGGTGAAATACCCAGCAGAGACATCAGCTTCTATGTTATGCCGTGGCCAGGATTTTGTCTCCAGTCTCTTCTGCGCGCTCTTGATAGCATCGGTATCATCCCCCGGCTGAACAATAGAGTCTTGGTCGGAGTTTGGCTCTGGAGTGTCTTCGTGGATAGGGAAGGTCAGGTACGCATGGAGAAGTACGGCGAGGATAAGCAGAGGGACGAATGTCAGGCCACCAAGAATATAGATAAACAGGAAGCTGGCCAGACTGCGCATTGTAGCATTGACAGGTAGTTATAGTTACCTAGGTGGACGATGCGTGGTCACCGTCAGGTGTGTGGACAACTAGCCTCCTGGCAGCTGTAAATAAGGCTGAAGACGGCGCGAGCAGGTCCCGCGTCATACGAGCGCTGAGTAAGCTGGGGTTGTGGGGAGCCACGTGACTCTTTTACGGCACATTCCTCGTTCCAGCAGCAGGAGGTACCTAAGGTACCTATAGTATGTGCCTTGTTGATGATATTGAGGTGCCTAAGGAGAAGCTAAATTGCGTTGTAGTTGCCGCTTAATCTATTCAATCCGTATTGATTGTGTTCTTTCAAGGGTTATCTTGTTAGGCTCATTCGCCATTCAATTTGCACCACAGACAGCTCTGGTTTTCCCACCAATTTAGTATCGCTTGCAACTACTGTACGGAGATACATACGTTAAGTTCGCGCTAACGAAACTTAAAAGTTAAAACATCTGACAGGCGTATTACAGTATCAGGCTGGACGCTTGTCTCTCGCAATATACTACGTACCTACGTACCTTAGGTATTATAGTACCTATAGGTAAGTTGATGATGTTGATGACGCTTGATGTACGGAAGAACGTACGGAAGAACCAGCCTCCCAGCATGGCGGTAGCTTGCCTTAAGCGTACGCCAACCGAGCATATCGATGTGCAACAAAACAAACCGACAGAACAGCTCGCTCCGGGCGAACCCGAGAAGCTTTTGTGCATTAATTAACTTTCTGCCATTGCACCACAAAACTGTGCACCCAAGGTACCGCTATGCGCATAAGCCGGATCCTCTCTTCGTTGAAAGCTCCTTATAAGTGATTAATTGACTGGACATAAAACTGGCGAAGGCATAGCGCTGTGCACTAACGGGGAGAACCGGTTGATAGCCTGCCTCTTCACCGCAAGCCGCGAAAGCTTTGTACGACCTTCGACATGCAACAAAAGAAGCAGTGTCAATGCGCCAACCAAGCCCAACTGTCGATTCTTTCCGCAAGGAGGATAGCTTTGCGTACCACATTTTACTAGGTGCATGTGCTCCGTAAAGGGGCGCCAACATTGTCTCAATATTAACTAAGCATCAGCTTCCGCCAAAGTGACAGAAGTGCGCAATCATAAGCCGACTCAAAGAGCCGGTAATTCCTACTGGCAACTGCCCATTATATCGCTTCTTGACGGTATGCAGCTCGCAAGAAAAGCCGCCTGCTACTAATAGCTTATACCCTGGCCGGTTTCCGTGCCCGTTCGTAGCGCTGGCGTCGCTATCTAAGCACTTCCGAAAGCAGGGGAATCCCAAGCAATCTCTTCTGTCCGTATTTCCAATTCAAGGCAACTTGTAGTGCTTGTTATGTTGTTGACGCTCCTCCGAAGGCATGCTGGCTTTGCGGCCTTGTGGCCTGAGGCCTCAAGGCTTAGGTGATCCTCGGCCTTCTCCGGCCCGTTCAAGTACACAAACAGAAAATACATTGAGCTTCGTACACACTTCGTACAGCACCCCTTTATCTCATGGAGTGGTATTTATACTACGTATATCACTTCAAACTGTGAATAGCAACGACTTGAAGTTTGGACTGCATTGCTAGGATACCGCATCTGCCGCTTGAGTGGCAAGGTTACCCTACCTACCTCAACTACCTATATTACGCAGCGTCCGCCAACAAGCTCCGCCAAGCCTGAACAGCCTCGTCTCCTCGCCCATCATACATCACCAAGGTGACGACGACGCTATCTTTAAACCTCGACATCTCGGCCATCTTTCCACGGCTGCTTGTCACGTTGCTACATCTATTCCTCACTTTTGCTACGCGTTGAGCGCCTACCAAGATGGCCTTGCAATATGCGCCAACTCACAGAAATGTCGATCACACCAAGTTAGTAGTTGCCTCGAAGCTCCTAGCTCTGTGGATTCCTTCCATCCAGCTTTGCCTTTGCTTTCAAATACTGATTTACCCATCGTCTAGGTCCGAGGGAGAGCTTGCGATTAATATCCGAAAAGCAACGACTGTCGAGGAGACAGCACCGAAACGCAAACATGTCCGGAGCTGTATCGTCTACACATGGGACCACAAGTCATCCGCGGCCTTCTGGGCAGGCATGAAAGTGTTAGTTATCTATATCTCCCTTATATTCAACAAGTGCATGGGTCTGCAAGTGTGATCTGGTGGCAGTGTTGCCCCTGGTGCGCTCATGGCGGATGCTGAAGTTGCCTAGACCTCCGAGCTAGAGGTAGCTGACGCCCTCCTGGAGCTTTGAGCTAACTTTTATCTTCTTCATAGACAGCCCATTCTTGCCGATGAAGTGCAGACTTTCAAAGCCCTCATCACCGTCCACAAAGTCTTGCAGGAGGGCCATCCGACGACTCTGCGAGAGGCAATGGCGAACCGCAACTGGATTGATAGTCTCAACAGAGGCATGTCTGGGGAAGGTTTGCGGGGATATGGCCCGCTGATTAAGGAATACGTGAACTTCCTGCTTGCCAAGCTATCGTTCCATAGCCAGCATCCCGATTTCAATGGCACTTTCGAATACGAGGAATATATCAGCTTGAAAGGGATCAACGATCCAAATGAAGGTTATGAGACGATCTCGGACCTGATGGCCCTTCAAGACAGGATAGAGCAGTTTCAGAAGTTAATTTTCTCGCACTTCCGGGGTGGTGGAAACAATGAGTGTAGAATAGCTGCACTCGTACCTTTGGTGCAGGAGAGCTATGGAATTTACAAGTTCGTCACTAGCATGCTACGTGCCATGCATACAAGTGAGTTTGAGTGGGCGCTGCTTTATCTGGTCTGGGTTAACAACAATTACAGCTACCGGGGACGATGATGCACTAGAGCCACTAAGAGGACGTTACGATGCTCAACATTACCGTTTGGTCAAGTTCTACTATGAGTGCTCCAACCTACGATACCTCACAAGTCTCATCACCGTTCCGAAGTTACCTCAAGAGCCACCTAATCTCCTTTCTGAAGACGAAACCGCGCCACGATTGCCACAGAGACCGAAGCAGGAGATCGAGCGGAAAATAACCCCCCCACCCGCTCCAAAACAGGAGCCAGACGAGATTGGAGAATTCTGGAAGACTGAGCAAGAGCGGCAAAACAGGGAATATGAAGAGCAGCAACGGGTGTTAGAGGAGCGTCAGAACCAACAACTCTATGCTCAACAGCAAGCAGCCCTCCAAGCCCAGCGCGAATTCGAAGAGCAACAAAGGCAGCTCGCTGAGCAGCAGAGGCGGGAACAGGAAGCACTTCTCGCGCAACAATATCAGCAACAGACACAAGGTCGGCTGGCACAATTGGAGCAAGAAAATTTCGATGCCCGAGCCCAGTATGCTCGAGACCAGCTGATGCTGCAGCAGTATGACCAAAAGATCAAGGCTTTGGAGGGCGAGCTTGCACAGCTTCAGAGTAACTACGGGCAACAAATTGGGAGTAAGGACGACCAAATACGGGCACTCCAAGAACAAGTCAACACTTGGCGAACAAAATATGAGGCCCTTGCGAAATTATATTCCCAGCTGCGCCACGAGCATCTGGATCTCTTGCAGAAGTTCAAGAGTGTCCAACTCAAGGCCGCTTCAGCACAGGAAGCCATTGACAAGCGCGAAAAGCTCGAGCGCGAAATAAAGACGAAGAATCTGGAGCTTGCTGATATGATTCGGGAACGAGACAGAGCGTTGCATGACAAAGACCGACTTACTGGAGGAAACAAAGAAGAAATGGAGAAACTTAAGCGCGAACTGCGGATGGCACTTGATCGAGCCGATAATCTAGAGCGTAGCAAGGGGAATGAGCTTTCCTCCATGCTCTCCAAGTACAACCGTGAGATGGCAGATCTCGAAGAGGCACTTCGCAAGAAATCACGTGCTCTTGAGGAAGTCCATGTCAAGTATAGCGAGGGCGGTTCAGATGCAGAACGCTTGCTAAGAGAAAAAGAAGATGAGTTGGAGGTTCTCAACCAAAGTTTAGACGATGCCCTTATTAGGATCAATGAACTAGAAACTTCTCGAGGCGCAACCGATCAAGCGTTAGATGGAGAAATCGACGCCATGCTTCTGTCGAATATCGGCAAGATCAACGACATTGTAGATTCTGTTCTGCAGAGTGGGGTTCAGCGAGTTGATGATGCCCTTTATGAGTTGGACTCGACAATGCAAGCAGGCAACCAAAACGCTACTCCATCATATGTCCTTTCCCAGATTGAAAAGGCATCATCTAGTGCAATGGACTTTGCTACCTCCTTCAATAACTTCATCGCAGATGGACCTAACAGTAGCCACGCCGAGATTATTCGCACCATCAACGTCTTCGCTAGCTCCATTGCAGATGTCCTCAGCAACACCAAAGGTCTAACACGCCTTGCCACAGATGACAAGAAATCTGACCAGCTGACCAACGGAGCACGGCAGTCTGCTCAATCTACGGTCAGATTTTTCCGCAGCTTGCAGAGCTTTCGGTTGGATGGCATGGATCCGATCCAGCGGACGGATGTGGTCATCAACTGCAATAACGAAGTGCAAATCAATCTGCAAAAACTTAACAAGCAGGTCGATGCGTTTGCTCCCAAGAGCGACAAATTAGGCAATAAAGGAGATCTAGGTGATCTCGTAGACAGTGAGTTGAACAAGGCTGCCGACGCAATCAGCGCTGCTGCCGCACGACTTGCCAAACTAAAATCAAAGCCCAAGGATGGGTACTCAACCTATGAACTGCGCATTCACGAATCGATCCTAGATGCGGCTATCGCTGTAACCAATGCCATTGCGAAGTTGATCAAGGCTGCGACTGTGACGCAGCAAGAAATTGTGCAAGCTGGCAGAGGCACGGGCGACAAGACTTCTTTCTACAAAAAGAACAACCGCTGGACTGAAGGTCTCATCTCTGCCGCCAAGGCAGTCGCGTCTTCAACCAACACCTTGATCGAGACTGCGGATGGGGTGCTTTCCGGGCGTAACAGCCCAGAGCAACTTATCGTCGCATCAAACGACGTTGCGGCATCTACCGCACAGCTTGTAGCAGCAAGCAGGGTCAAGGCGGGCTTCATGAGCAAGAGTCAAGAATCTTTGGAGCAGGCTAGTAAGGCTGTTGGTGCCGCCTGTCGGTCACTCGTTAGACAGGTGCAGAGCATGATCAAGGATCGGAATCAGGATGACGAGCGCGTCGATTATGCGAAGCTGGGGACGCATGAGTTCAAGGTTCGGGAGATGGAACAACAGGTTTGTGGCATCCTGAATTTCTGCTTAATGGGTGGGTCATTGCTAACTAGTGCTGGCGCGCAGGTCGAGATCCTGCAGCTGGAGAACAATTTGGCTGCAGCAAGGCAGAGACTGGGCGAGATGCGGAAGGTATCATATCAGGAATGAAATGTTGGAGATACATATATTGGGTGGTAGTAGATGCAGGCGGTGTGCCTGTCGTGTCCTGAAGCCAATCCTCCCTATATCTACGTAGGTAGGGTATTAAGGGCTGTAGCCATGAAAGGAAATTGAGCCGATCAAGAAGTGTCCTACCATTTGCATCCCGAGGTAATATTTGGTGGTCGAGCGACTGCTAACGCCTGTTCAAGACTATTTATTCTTTTCCCCCTGTTCATTCGGTAATTGATTAATTTTATGATTAATCTCATGACATTGCCCTGGTTATGACGCATTATTGGACGAATTTGGTGCAAACTTGTTTTCCCTAGAGATATCAGAAAGTGAAGCTATTCCTAGCTCTCTGCCCAGCCTTTGTCCGGCCACCATATCCTCCATATCTGACCCAAATTGAGACATTCGCGCGACTCGAATACCGATACTCAGCTTTGCTTATGTGGGATAATGGTCTAGCCGCAGCCATAGCACTCGCAGTCTCTCTTCTGACATTTGACTCGCCAGATAGTGTGGTGATATGCTGTCGCGGGCAGTGGCGCGTCTCATTGCATTCTTTCTTGATCTCGAATTCGGACCCATGAGTAAGCGTATTTTTTCTGTGAATAGCCGTGTGGATGATAATGCTGATGAGGATGGTGATGTCTTTCCCCAGGCCTTGGTGCCCTGTGGCCATATGCCTAGCACCCACTGTAGCGCACCACTGTAGTCGCCGCCACAGTGCATGCCTTCAGGGCCTTTTGGCCTGTATCTATAGTCTGGAGTCCTGTGCAACCGCCTGACTCAGCGGCGCAGGTACCCAGAGTGGGATATGGGTGCGATGAAGATGAAGATGTGCTAGATGCCCTTGATCTTGAGTAAGGCATATTTGCGGTGGTTAGGGAAGGCGGCTGCTGCTAAGGTAAAGAAAAGCAAAGGTTTTATAGTACATAGGAAGGCACACCTAGAAGGCATAAGATAATCCGTCTCTAATGCACCCAGTGGGTTGGCACGTGACCGAGTACCAGGTATGATGGCCCATCATGTGACTGACACCAGCAGTGTTCGACGACAATCTACAAGGATAAATTAATGCCAAATTCGTGTATTTAAGGCCTAGTGCCTTGCTGCTGTTGTAAAAGTATCAACTGTTGATAGCAATTCTATGTACATCCTCCGGGCAAGGCCTCTCATAAACAAAGTGAAAAGAAACGAGTTTCCGGCCAAGCAAAATGCCAAGCAGACTAGCCGGCAATCACGGCGGGGTGCATTAGCTTGTCTAGCCCTGGCCGGCTTTATTCCCACGACCATTGAGGTTTCGGGACTCCGAAGGAGAACATCTATCGAAAACGGAATGCTGCACAATGTGGCTTACAACCAATGCCTTTGGAAGATGTGTTCTCTACCCACAAATATTTGGGGGCGCCATCAGGAAGAAGCCTGATGTGTCATTCGTTCATTCTAGGTTGGATGTCGTGGAATGGAGTAGTCAGAAGGACGGGCCATGCTGCAACATCACGTCACAAAAGCAGATGATCAAGATCTAATAGGTCAAGCGTGAGCCGCGGCATCGGGAACTAAGAAGGTCAGCCCTGTACTTGCTCGCATTACCTACGACTTACCATCTGGAGCAAGATGACCACCCCAAAGACCGCTGTTCTCCAATACATCATCCATGACGCCCGAGTCCTGAATCCTGAACGTGTTTAGGCATCGCCAGATGGTTGTCGGCCTGAAATGCTGTCAAGATCATATGAACCTTCTTCCAGGTGGTTGAGACCTTCCCTAATCCGAAGGTCATCGATACCAGCCTCGATGTATTCCATCTAAGATATCGCCAACACTGTAACGGAGCCCATTTGTGGTTATCACCGCCAGGCTGCTTGATAGCTACTCGAATACCTGCTGGATGAATACCACAATTGGTACACCAAGAAAAGTGGGTAAAAGCCCTACTTGGGTTGTACATTTTTGGTAGCTGCTCCGATTTCCCCGCGGCGAGCTATGCCGATCGTGGCGATGTATTCTGGCAAAACCTATGGCATCCACCTGCACCAGTCTGTCTCATGAAGACACGATGAGAGAGGTTAGAAGGACTATCTAGTCTATACCTGAGCTCTGATGGAAAAGAATGGAGCCTCCTGACTATCACCAGGTTACTTTGTCATCTCTTCTGCAACTGACCACGGCCTCTACCCATAATGGTCTCAGCGATTTTGATGGAGTGGTAATGTACCTAGGATGATGCGATATTCACGGCCAGATATATAATATCAAAATATCTTTGACAAGATTATACCCAAGTATGCAATGACACATGGCCGTCAAGTCTTCGGTGGATGTTGTAAGCTTAATCACAGAGGACTGGGGCAACTTGGTACATTGATTTAGTACGATCAACAAGGCTGATCAAACCTTGGTAACACTTGGCCTATGCGATGCTGCAACTTCTAGCACCGTTTGTAAGCCTACAAATTGGGAATGACAGGAATGCGATAAAATTCATCGCATTCTACAGGAGACTGGGCCGGCGCAAAGCATGACTTGCCGGGGCAAGGAATGAAGGATCCGTTGAGGAATGGAAGAGTATCCGCCACCAGCCTCACATAGCTGCCCCACCCGCGACGTGCGATATCCATTCTCCAAACAAAGAGAACTCTAGTTCAAATGCAAATGCAGGCAATTGATCATTTTCTCGGCCATGCTTTGGGTAGGTTCTGTGGCGTGAGCCGACTTGTCTCCTCCCTCTACGGTGACATCCTGCTCCCCATCCTTTGCTTCGTTCTTTGACTTGTTGAATAACATCTTGATCACAAGGCGCTTGGCTGCATTGGCGCGGACACGCTGGATTGTATCCTCTTTCACTAACTTCATGTCAGTTTCATCGCTTGATGTTCATCCATTTTGACTCACAGATCGATGCAATTCCAGCCTCAGTGAAATTCCGATGGACGATTGGATAGATGACGGTTCCAAACGGACCTGGGATTCGTGGGCCTCGAGGAGCAAGGCTTGAAATCAAGGCGATGGTTGCAGGGTTCTCACCACCATAGCGTTCAGCACGGCTGTCAGAATCCTCCAGTAACTCGAAGATTGCATGGACGCCGGCATCGTCATGATCTGCAATCCGAAGCCTCTTGACAAAGCCTGCAGTCAACCTGAATACCAAGTTAGGTCATTCCATTATTTGATCGGAGGAGCTTACCGTCGCATATCTCTTCGGATGCCGAGTCTCTGTGCAGCGGGCAGCCAACTGATCGGATCCTCCTTGCCATACTTTGAGAAGAGAAGTGTGGCTTCGGCCTTGAGCCAAACATCACCCAACTTCTTTTCGACCTTCACCAGTTCGTTGAGGATCAAGATCGATCTCTTGCAGAGACGCGCCTCAAGAAACGTGACGTCGTAATTCACGGGTCCAATACCCATATCGGCCTGAGGAGTATACGGTTTCTTGTAGTTCTTGACAGGGAATGACTTGAACTCGCGGCCCATGCTGCTGAACGCACTGTTCCACTGCTTTATGGTCATTTTATCGTTCTGACCTTTAGCCATGTGATCTTCGGGAAGCTTCTGGGCAGTTGTTGCTTTCTCCATCTTGAATAGCACTTAAGTTTTGGTGCAGGTATGCAGGCGTGGTGTTGAGGTTGAGGTTGTGTTTGGATGTTGGAAGGAGACGCGGACTCGAGGTCACATATAAAAGTTGTAGTGTTGACTGCCGTTGGCGAGCCGCAGCCTTGTGCCGCTGTTGGCTGGACAAAGGACAAAGGAATTGTGCGGCTTCTCACTTTCAAAACTCGCTTGTTCAAGTCTTTGATAGAGCTAGGTTTTTCTAACCACAACTCTTCTTCCACAACTCTTCTTCCACAACTCTTCTTCCACAACTCTTCTTCCACAACTCTTCTTCCACAACTCTTCTTCCACGTCACTTCTCCCACATCCCAATCAACCACCATCCACCTCAAACTCTAAACTCCAATCCCACTCTCTACCTCATCTAAACCGTCTCAATTCTCGTACACTCTTGCACCATAAGCTTCGAGGATAGGTTACCCTTCGTAACGTGGTTGCGCTCTTCAACTTCAACTTTGACGAACAACCACTCCACGACCATGGCAGCTCAACCAATGTTCGGCGACTTGAGTGTCTCAGCAGCAGAAAGCTGGTCAGTCATGTGTTTACAGCTTACGACTACCAACAGCATCATTGCGATTCCAGAATTCGAGTTTCGCCTCTGGAGTCTTGACGATCGAGTCAGGATCAGTGAGGCGTACAAGTATGTCTTCCACCCTACTTTCATATATCCTAACATTATGCATGCTTACATTGGTCTCCTAGACTTATGGCGATGTCAACTGGCATGTTTGTGAAGGATCCATTTGTCGATCGCATTTGGCTCGGACCTGTTTCCTACTTTCACACACAAGCAAACCGCCTTGTGTACATTCAAGGCCAGCTTCCAGTCCTGTATCCAAACCCGCGCAATGAGGCCCCCAACCCTTCGAACTCGACCTCGTTCATGATGCCATCGGTCCCTCTTGCTGCGCATATCGCAATGTATGGCAGCGATGTCGCTGAGGTGACCGCTGCTATTCACGGCCCTGATCCAGACCCAGTCGCAGCCGCCAAGATCAAGATTCCTCGCCCACCCAATGCTTTTATTATTTACCGCAAATATCACCATTCAAGTGTTGTCGCGCAGAACCCCGGCGTCCACAACAACAATATTTGTAAGTGAACATCTCAATGTGGCTTAATACATTATGCTCATATCATGTAGCTCAAATCATTGGAAAGATGTGGAATGATGAGGCTGCAGTTGTTCGTGCCAACTTCAAGGCTCAAGCCGACATTGCGAAAGCCGAGCATCTCATGAAGTATCCCGACTACCAATACAAGCCCAGAAAGCCCTCTGAGAAGAAGCGCCGCATGACAAAGAAGAAAGCTGAATTTGCCAGCCGCAAACTCGCTGCTAGCAAAGAGAGTCCTCCAGTCGCTGCTCCCACAGCCAGTTATCAAGCCGCCGAAGCAATCTCTCGTCTTCCCCAGCTGACCGGTAGATTCACTAGCCCACACTCAGCAATTCTTCCTCTCGGTCAAGCATCTATGCAAGAAATTGCTGCCCTGCCTACAGGGGTGCACGGCCCTGATTGGGAATCTCACGGCTCAATCAACTATAACGTTTCCACGCAAACCTTGGGTGCTGATGAGATTGATGGGGGTGTTTTCAATTTGCCCCAGGAGGATAATCTCAATACACAGGATGTTGTCGATGAAATGAATGAACTTCATCTTGGCGCACGGGATGGAGGCGACGAGATTAACATTATCTGGAATCCTAAACGCTACATCGAACGGGGAAACGTTGACGAGTAAATACCGGATTATACTCTTACCTTAACACATCCAGCGCTTGAGGAGATTGATTCCCTCCAACTGCCTTGGATCTTCTGTCGTCTTCGGCCGAGACGCCATGAATCAGAGCCCTATCTCCAAGTTCCCCTCATGTTATCGATTCTGTCTTTTTGTCTCTTCCCTCGAACCTTAAAGGAAGACCTGGAACATATTGCATTCCAGTTCGCTCATCGCCTACTGGTCGGATATTATGGTGTTCTCATATTATCCACTTCGTCGGAGTTTCATCAGCACATCCTTCTGCAGTCGTTGGCGTCGTGAACCAGCGTTTTGCATTGGTTTTTCTTGATGGACTTCTTTACGTTTGAGCATTTTTACGTTGTTTCCTTGCAAGTTATTATCTGGCATGCTACACATTTGTTTTTTTTATCGTTCCTCGAGATGGCCATACAGACAATTGGGACCCACAGCACCATCCTTCCTCGCAATCATGTTTAAGATACCCCTATTTGCAAAGCGAATTTTCAATCTCCGTTCCTTCACAAAAAGTCAAAAAACAATCACAAAAAAAAAGACAAAACAAAAAACAATCACCAAAATAAATAACCCTGGGAGGATGTTGTAGGGGATGATGGAGTTTGGGAGCGGGGGATGGGGGGTGGGATGGTTATTGGGGAGTGAGGGAGAGGTGGATTGATTATTTGAGGATTTGTGTTTCTGTTTTTTGTTGCCATGGAGTGGTCGTCGAAGACTCATATCCTATCTCTCACAGTCAAACCACAGAGAGATGGGAATGTTGCTTTCTTGCTGGAGGAGTTGAGCTTGCTATCGGATCCGGGAGACAGAATTACCCTCCTGAATGTAGATAGAAAATCCGCTTTTAATTGAATTGTCTTTTTCCCTGGGTTTCTATATCCGGGAATGGGACTTTTACAATTATCTACTGGCTCCCATTGTATACTGTCCGTCGTGACTTGCAAATGTGAGTGGTACTTGAAATATACTCGATGGAGGTCGTGGTGTTGTAATTCCGCATTGGGAAGTTTGATGTTGCTGTGGTTACGCGCTGCATCATAAGGCTGAGCCATTCCTATTTCGGCAATTCTCTGCTGCTGGTGGAACCCGAGCTCACCATTGGTCAGAAGCACGCCATATGCTAAGCGATAAGTTCAACAGCCGCTTTTCCTATTGAGATAATTTTTGAAAGTTGCCACGGCAACGAGTAATTTTTAACCACCGCCAATGGCATAAGTTCAATATTCACCATTCCTATTTAGATACTTTTTGAAGCACCGCGGCTACTCACGTGCAACGCTTCTGATGGAACTGTGCACCATTCCTATTTCGGCATTTCCTACATCGGAGGCTTGTCATTGGTCGGCCATAACTCACGTGCAGTCCTTCCAAGTGACCTGTGCACCATTCCTATTCCGGGGTTCGCTCCCCGGGCTTGACATGCGTGTGGTGATTGGCTGCAGGTTCATCAGCCAGTCTCAACAGTCTACGATTGCCACGCAGCAAATTTCTAGGAGCGGGTGACATTGGACAGACAGTTCAGGTACATTGGTCTTGGGAATAAGCATTTATATTTGGATGTGAAGTTTAGTTGCAGAGATGCATGGTTATATGCGTTCTCTTCTGCGAGCACGCAGCTAGGGTCGCAGGTGCAGGTGCAGGTGCAGGCTGCTCCTTAATATCAACAGTTGGTTTGGTTGATACCTCCAAATTGCAATGCCAGCCCGAATCTTTTGCTCCTTGTAAATTGTCTCTCCTTCAGTAGGGCATTGTGTTTGTCATCAAACCCTCTCCCTTCGCAGTATTCGGAATGATAGTATGATGTTTTGGGTACGAGTTATGGTAGAGTACAGTTGCACTGACATCTGCGCGAACAGTTAGATTGGTGATGCTTTCTTGAATGCTGGTGAGCCGTCTCTTACCTGTATGTAGGCTCGGCCACTAAGGACACGGGATAGCTCACCCCACCTCTAGAGCAAAGCTGCCCCGTCGCCCGTCATCAAGCACCACTGTTCATGTATCATCGCCAGTCCAATCACTACTCCAAATAAACGTCGAGCACCGCCACTCCGTGCCCTTCTCATTTTGACCCGAAGGTCCCAGTGGCCGCGAGCAGCAATAAAATGACCTACCACAGTTCATGCCTGCCTTCTTTGTGACGAGGCTACGGCATGGCTCCTCGTGATCGCATCGAGGGACAACGCGCTTTCCTAATAGTTTGGACCAGCTCTCTTTAGCAACAATTGGGTCGACGACATCTTCCTGTTGGGAGGGGTCGAATTCTTTGCTGGGTGTTAAACCACTCGCAACGCTTAAAGCGCCATCCATGCTTCCCATAACTGGCTCTACAGAAAGGCTACTGGACGTTTCAAGCGATGCATTTGCTATATCTGGGTCTGTATTAGCCAAACCTCCTTGGCTATTTGCCTGAGCGCTTGGTTGCGGTGTCTTTGGTTTGAAGAATCCCTTGAGACTGCTTTGCCCCTTCCCAGACTGAGCCTTGCCCGGGGAGAAATTTCCAGATTTACCGCGCTTCAGGGCTCGGGCTGCACCATTGTGTGATTCACCTGGTCGTTTGGCATTGGTTTTCACAAGACTAGCTGGATGTGACGCTTGAGGTTTGGACGGGATATTAATGAGCATGGGTTCGCATGCGGTGACTGGGTCGCTCTCAGCGTTGCTTTTGTCTTCGCGCGCTTCTTCAGCTAACTGTCTTGTTCCCTGCTTAAGGGTCAAATCGGTATTTGAACCAGAGCTTTCTGATGTAAGTAACGAAGGCTTCTTGCTAAACATGTCGCGAATGCTTCGGCGACGGTCAAATTCTGGTATAAGCTTCGCTGATGTTGGAAGCAGGTCTTTGGCAGACCAGTCCCGCTGTCTGATTCCTCCCTTAAACATATCAGCGCTCATGATATCTTTGATATCAATTTCCGATCCATCTGTTTCCACCTTGTCTTTGAAGACGGCGTACACCGGGCAATGATCAGAACCCATCAGACCTTCCTGTATGTTGGAATCGTCAAACCAATTCAACATATCCTGGCTGCAAAGAACGTAGTCAATCCGAGCACCAAAGTTACCCGGGCGTGCATTGGTCCTCTGTTCCCAACAGGTAAACATTCCTCTGCGATTTGGATGGAATCTTCTGCAGATATCTACCATGACTGGGCTTTCTCTTCCGTCATCCCGATCACCGATCACCTTCCCGCCAAGCAATAGTTGATTCAGTATACGCCTTGATGGCGTGGATACAAAATGTTCGCTTCCCAAACCCTGCTTCTTCAGTTCCTCTTCGGCCTTGGCACTGTCAATCGCCTCTCGGCTGATGTTCAAATCACCTGTTAAGATAACTCGTTTACCAGCAGCAATGAGATTGCGAACGCGAGCATCAAGAGCATTGAGGAATCCAAGGCGAAAATCATCTCGGCTCTCATCGCGGGTGGCAGGGCAATATACGCCAATGAGAACAAATGCCGGGAATTCGAGAATGACACAACGACCCTCGGAGTCGAGGGTGGCGGCGTCGAGATCGCAATCGGATAATTGAATCGCGGTTGGGTAGCCACCAATCTGTTGGTCCTCTGGGGATTCACGAAAACTTGTTGAAGAGTTCGGAGGAGCCAGAATTCCTGTGATGCCTTCTTCAGCTCGAATAGGGGCGCAGACAGAGTTTCGCGTGTATATTGCAACTCCTGAATATCCTGCAGACAAAATAAGCCAGTTTATACTATGAACGTCAGGAATAATATCTCATACCCTTCTTATGTTTTGGAAGGCTAAAATAAACGTCCCAGCCGGGAACAAGAACCATGTCATCTCTCAAGTCTTTCCGTTGAATCTTGGTTTCCTGCATGATCACAATATCGGCCTCAAGGATATCAAACATCGCCTGTAGAGCATTCAGCATCCATATTACAGAAATAGTTCTCAGCTTAACTCACCGTGAATGTCCTCTCTTGACGCCATGGTTGGTAACCAAATGGGTTCCTAAGCAAGATCAGCAGATGGCTCTTCTCAACAGCTCTCCATCATAGCAAATAAAGTAGACAGACCTAATCCCGTTGACTATTAATAGTTAGCCCGATTTCAGAAGTGAGAATGCCCCCAAATACCCACCATTCCATGTGGTGACGCGTAGCCCCCGATGTTTCTCCATGATAGTCCTAGTCTCCTAGATCCCCTCGAGATGACCGACGGGAAGATTCTCAAGGCATCTCATCTCCAACTTCTCCACGTCATCCAAGTAGACTGAGCAGCGGGGCAAATGACTCTTCACTGCAAGACCTCAAAATAATCACGTCTTCCCAAGAGTATCGCGTTCTTGCCAACTTCCCCGTCGCGAAACCGACTCGTGATCGTCATAAGGCACGTGATGTTACAATTCGATGTTAGCCTGAGGCATAAACCAGAGCTCCGTGCTCTCCTCGGTTCCAAAACCGAGTAAACGTACGACAGACATCCAACTTGAAATTGAATTACACTCACCAACCACGAACGGACACGATGTTCCCTCAACGAACAATGCTACGCTTTGCGACCCAGCTCCGCTCTCCAGCTATCCGCCGAGGTGTCCAGCGCCGTTTTGCTAGCACCGAGAACTCCGCATTCCATGGTGCCGAGGATAATGCTTTCAATCGCGAAAGGCAGGCGGTTAAGGACCATGCGGCTAGCTCAAGTGGTGCGTAGCCTGAGGGCAATTGAAAACCGGTGAAGCGTGCTAACTGAGGTGCAGATCTCTGGCGCAAGCTTTCTATCTAGTAAGGATCCTTTGGATGAGGAGAAGGTTGAGGAGGAAGGGAGGGGTGACGTACTTGGACAGACGGATTGTGGGATGAGATGATGGAACTGAACTGACCTTGTGTAGTGTCGCTGGTCCCTGCTTGATCATCTCCGCTGTCAATGCTTATAACCTGTGGAATGAGCATTGGGAGCATTGGGCTCATGAGCCTCCTCTGGAGGAGAGACCTGAGTACCCATTCCAGAACATCAGAACCAGGAACTTCTTCTGGGGTGATGGTGACAAGGTGAGTTGACCACTCCGTTAATTGGTGTTTGAAGATGAACTGAAACTAACCTTTGGTTGCAGACTCTTTTGTAAGTTCCCCTCTCAATGATGACTCGAATTGACGAGCGATTACAATATGGATGCTGTGGAAGAGGTTATTCGTGGAATTGAGCTTTGCTGACTCCGTGTAGCTGGAATGATGAAGTCAACTACCACAAGAAGGACGAGTAAGAAGTGAGCGTCGAATCGTCAGCGCAAGGGTTGCCGGGGATGATCAGGATAGGTGTGGTCTGTGATGGCGGCGTGGAAGAACTGACTTACTGTACATTTCTCCTTGAGTTCTAGAGATATTGGAAGTGTTAAAACATTCTCCTGCCACTGGCGTCCCATGAGTTCCGTCAGCATTGTACGCACTGCTGGATTGGTGATATTAATATCTGGATAACCCTGATCGCCGGAAAGGCTTGGCTTACCAAGCTCGATTGTGCTTTAGGAAAGAGACTCTTGATGCCCAAGAGTGCTTTCTCCCATCTTGAGTGAAGAAGACAACGTATTAACGAAAGGGACTCGAACTCCATTTAGGAAAACTGAACTGAAGCCTGTCTGGATGCCCCCACCACCAAGTTATGTGGCACAAGCGGTCCCGGTAGCTTCTTGAATCAAGCCACTCCCACCGGCCCTATTTCGACTTCAAAGATATATATTTCCTCCACGAAGGAGTTAGGATTTCCTAGGAATCAATCCCATGTAGAATGGATGAGCAACTCGATGAATTTATAGCTTTGAAATTGATAATAACGAGGTCTATTCCCCTTACTGCTGTCTCGGCGATTATCCCATTCGTAAGGGTCTGTTTCCCCAGAAATGCCTGTTTGGGACAACCTCAAAGCTGTTAACTGGTTAGGTACTCCGTAGTCTCGTTATAATTGGATTAGTATACCTCCTTCCAGTTCTCTTGGCTATGGTGGTTTAAATACTAACCGCTACTGTAGACAAACACCCTCAAGCTCTGGGTCCTCAACGATATAAAGACTATACGAATGCTTATAGAAACAAAATTCTGTGGGATATGAATATAAGAACTTCAAATGGGACAAGGTCTACTACCGAGTTGGTCTTTCAATTCCTCAGCCCTTTCGAGATATTTATATTACTACTGTTGTGTTGTAATTGCCTTCCATTATATCTCACTCTCTTGGTGTCTTTCTTAGGGCAAAGAGGGCGGAGGCGGAGGGAAGCACATACCACTAGAGACGATAAAAATGCACAGCATAGGTATAGTCATAGACGATGTTCGCAGCACCAGGTCGAGATATCACAAAGTTAGTATAAAGTAGGCATGATCATGGGAAAGAATAGAATTGCTAATAGCGCATCATGGGTATCATATTTCATCTAACAAGCTACGCCTTTGCCAACGCCGCCTCACTCTTCAGCGCTAAATAAGCACTCGCATAATCATTCGCCAAAACATTCTCCCCGACAATCCTCATGATGGTGGCCTTCTTAGCCATCATCTCACACTGCCCCTTAATGTCTTCCAGCGCCGAATATTCATTGAACGCAGCATCAAGGTACTCTAAACAGCGTGTGAGATTCTCCTTCCGCTGCAGGCCTCCAGCTTCGGCGCGTCCCGCGAGTCCCATGTGCGCATCGACGAGGAAAGAATAAAGTTGTGCGTTAAGGGAGCAGTTCTCGGACTCTAGTGCCCGAGGGAGGATGGAGGCTAGAATTGCAGCGGCTGCATGGAACTCGGAGAGGGAGTTTAGAATGTTGGATATGGCGCCCATTGCTGACCAGAGGGCTGGGATGAGGCGAGCGCGCCAGGCGATGCTGGCGGCCCGGACAGCCACCGAGAATCCTTTTTGTGGACGACCAGATTTAGCTTGGAGTATTGCTTTCATTGTAAGCAGTTTGACTCTCAAGTTGATGTCCCCTCCATCTTCGTCCAAGGACGAAGCCAACTCTTCGATCTTCGCTAGCGCCCGGGGATAATCGGTTCGCCGTGTGAGATAGTCAATGTGGAGAAGATCGATCTCGAAGGAGAGGTCTGGATCCGTCTGACCTCCAGTAAATTGTAGAAGTTGCGAAAGTAACTGATCCGCGCCATCGAGATTATCTCTGTGAAGATCACGCTTTAGACGGATAATCCCCCGGAACTCCAGCCAATATTGATTATCCTTCCATGACCGAAGAGAATTCTCATCCAGGCCTTCCAGCTTCTTCATAGCTTCATCATAACAACCCTTCTCGGTTAAAAGATATGCAACCCGACAGGTGGACCTCAATTGGTCGTCAAAGAGTGCGTAACGTGCATGGCAGCTCAAAAAGATGTCGCAGTACTGCCTCGATAAAACCCCTACCCCCAACCGAGCCCACAACGCAGATAACATGGCCGTTTGCTGCCCCATCATATCCTTCAGATTTTTGTCCACGATAAGCTGGGAACTTCTCAAGATGTTTTCGAAGGCGGTTGAAACGCTCTCCCCAGTTGACATGCCAAGCTTAGCCTCGCTCAACAGTGAGGAGCTCCACAATGTCCACATTCCCGTCTCTTTGGCCTTGACTCGAAGAAATGCTAGTCCCTCTCTCTCTGTCCCAAGCAAATTCGTGGCCTCGAATCCCGCGAGGAGCTTTGGATGGGTTTTACCGAAATGGTAGAGCCAATTCAGTGCAAAGTTCAAACAGGCCATATCCTTGTTCTCCCGCGCCGTGGACACTGTCTCAAGCATGACTGCGATAGCTTCGTCGAAGCATCCAAAATCCGCCTGTAGAACTGCTAAATTCATGAGCGCATATTGATAGAAGAGCCGGTCACGGTTTTGCATGGTAAAATCGAAGTAGCGATGAAGATTGTCAAACGAGGTCGTGAAGTCGCCTGCTCTCCACGCATCAAGGAACCTGAATCAATGTTAAGGGAAGTTGAGAAAACGGTAGAGATTCAACTTACTTGAGGTAATGGGAAAGACTAGGAACCATGATGCTCTCGTCTAGTGCCTTCCTGAAGTTCTCTTGGAGGTCGAGAGGCATTCGGGTGCCAAATTCTGGACGAGATGAGGATAGGAGTTCAGGAAAGTTATAGGACTATCATGTACTCACTCTGCATCTGCTCAACCTGAAATTCCAACAGCTTCTCCACGTCATCGGTGCTCACCCCACGCGGGTTGGTGCCATCGACGTCCGGTATACCATATGCAATGAGTTCCAGCATCTCAGTTGCGTTCAGTCCCCATTCGTCTTCACCTTCCTCCAACGCCTTGTCTCCCACCCAGCGACCGCGCACTCCGTTTCTCCTCGCATAATAGTCCAACGATTCTCGTCGCCATCTCACCAATGCCATCCAGAGCGCCTGCCCATGGCTGAACCGCAGACGCTCGAACTCGACTCTAGATCTGCGCACAAAGCCCCCCAAAGGTGAGTTTCGTGAGAGAATGATCATCTCTGGGCTTGGTTCAGGGATGCCATATTCAATGTCTCTCTTGATTTCCTCCGGGGTCTTGGCCACGAGATGAGACCGGGTTGCGAAGAACTGGTGTAAAGCGTACAGACTGTCGATCCCCCAGAGTTTCTGGAGGAATTGGTCCCATAATGTGCGCCCTGGGAAGCCAGAGGCTGCTGGATGGGTCGAGAGAAGGGTTTCGAAGTCATTGAGCTCGAGGAGGAAGGGAAGGGATTGCGGGGAGCTGGAGCTGGAGCTGGAGCGTGACAGTAAGGGAGAGGTAGTTGATTCTCGTTTGAGGGTGGATGGGACGAGCTGATTTAGAATGAATGACAAGAAGGGAATCGTAGAAGCGGTTGGGACGGCAGCTTCAGTGTAGATTTCGATCAAAATCAGAAGCCCTATCTTCGAGGGCGTCAGGAAGCGCGTCATAGTGAACGCAACCCGTGTTAATTCATCGTGATACTCAACCCTCCCTTTGAATTCGCGCCAAGGTATCGCGCACTCACGTGATGGCCTGTCGCTTTACGAGAAAATAGAAGGAACCTAGGTACTCGTCCTCACTTCAAATCACAGTCTCCTCACACTCGCCCGCTCTGGCTACCTCATGGGCAGGTAAGGCTCATGCTGTATAACATGGCCACAATCCCGGCATGCGGATAGATCTTGCAACACTGAGTTTCCGAATAGAATCGTCGGGGGGAAGAAGATGCGGTCTAGTGCTTGGACGAATCACATTCTCGAGGAATTCAAGAGCCATAACTCTGGTTTCAGTGCGTCTAAACGAGTCCATAATTAGGGTTTCTTGAGACGTCTTGAATCCACTATCCAAAGCGTGCTCAGCTCTTGACCGCGCGTTCCGTTTTGTTGCGGAAGTGAGTGGGAGAAACAGAATGCGCTTTGCAAACCCTTATTGGAGAAACTGAAAACACGCACTGGGTCCTTCATGAAGCCTAGGGTCATGGACGCAATAGAGATCATATCCCTAGCATTTCAATGGTGAACAGGAATCCCTCCTGAGGTAAGCACTGGAAGTTAGACTTGAAGGCCTCTCTCCGTGTATGCAAAAGCTATATCCTTACGACACGAGCAAATGCTTGCCCGTTCTAAGGATATCACATCCTTCACTTACAGGTCTCTTGGGTTCTCCTGTGTTATATGGGCCGTCTATATCGAGTATACGGGCAATGTGCTGGTGATACATATATTCGTCTTGTGGACTGGGAAAACCTTATCGGCTAGAAGCAAAGCCCAATACGTCGGCACTTCCCTCGATGAACGTCGGATATTTTTGGGTTGATATTCAAATCGAAGCTCGGTCTCTAATGAGCCAAAATCGTAGGGCATACCGAGGTGCTTTTGTGGGCACTTCAGCGTGGTTGATTAACAACTAGGAGGGCAACATAGCGTATGATAATTGAAGTCAAGAACGAGGATACAAATGGGATACGGTAAAACGAGATCGACGATAGCTTTCCTCCCTTTTCTTATTGTAGACGAAATCTAGAGAAAGGTTGATGAAAGCTTGGAGCTGATCCTCCATACTTCTACATTTGCATATTTGGCCGGGTGTCAATATTGAGAACCATTATATACCGGTTAATGGTGTCTTAAATCGTATGAACCCTTTACTTGTCGAATTTGTCATGCACATAATACTGTACGGGCATTTATACGCCAAACTCTATCGCACATGTTGTGTAATACAATCAAGTTTTGATCCAATGCCTGTGTTAAAACATTCTTCGAACTTCTCTCATATATAATCTTTTAACTTTCAAGAACAATGTAACCTTGGAGCACCAGCAAGGACTCAACATCACAATTCGTATATGCTTTAATATTCAATATATTTGACACTATGGATTTCAAAGTTGTTGATGCTAGGCGGTGATTGTTAGATTGGACTCCCTGCATCATACTCAGTCTTCTGGAAATATCGAGGGCTTATCTAGTACAATGAATCGAGGCGCACAGCTTATAATGTTATATACGGAGGACTTTTGCCATCACTTGAATTATTTCCTATTATCCGAAGCATTATTTCCTTTCTGTTGAACAATTTCTGGAACAATTTATTTGTTAACCCTGGGCTGTTCACCCTCCCACCAATCCTCAATGACCAATATTTGCTTTGATTTTAAACAGCAAGCATTATCTGCTGACGCTTTTGGGATTTTTCACTCTCGTTATTTGTTCTGGCCTCTTGCGTAGCATTGTTTTCCATGATGTTATTAATCCTGCAATTTATTGGTATTGAGTTAAAACGGAGATAACCTTTATAAAGCTCCAGATATAATTCCAGTATCAACATCCTCCGGTAATATATTTAGGATGAAGGTAGGCTTGAACAGAATTCGAAGTATGTGTGAACGGCCCGGGGGACATCAATGAAATAACTCTTGAATTGACGGCACGCTTACTTATCCATGAGCGCTCCGACTTGTAGTACAGCACGAAGCACTAATCTCTCAAATGCTCTACCCATGGATGTTCGGATTTTACATTTGCATTATTACACATAGATCTACAATTAGGAAGATTTTAACCTCGCCTTGCTCCACTTGATTTGCTGCCCATGTTTACTCTTCAACTGTCCCTCTTCCGCCCTATCATCCTCCTTAATATCCTCCTGCCCCAACTCATTCGTCGCCCAAATCCTGTCTATACACAGCTCGAACGGTCCAGGAACCCTATCAATCAACCCGATACCGATAGTTCGCACTTTCTGCTTTAATAACTCCCTCTGAGGCTCCACCACAACTCCGTGGTTTGTCCTCACGAAGTCGTTCCACTTAACGAGCACGGTCTCCCACTCGCCAGGCCGCCGCGAGTACAATCGGTGCTGGTGGATATCTGTGGGTACAACAGTCTCTGTCTGCAGATTTATGAAGTATTTCCGCCCGTCGCTCTTGATTCGCAGCGCTAGATACGCATAAAAGCCGACGTCCCAAAGGGATTTTCCAAAGACTGTCGGCGGCCGGTCTTTCGTCCGCCATGCTGCGTATCCCGTCCTATGAATATCTGGTCTGTCAACTGGGAGCTCCGTGGAGATGACGCCGTGGAATTTAATATGTCCGTTTTTGTTTTCGGTTGGTGGGGGAGAGGCAGACGTGACGGGCGGTATCCAGTCCATATGCGAAGTCGAGAAGCCGCCGATGTCCTTGTCGGACATTATTTTGCAGGATTCGATTTCTGAGGGTTGGTGGAAGTCTTTTAGGGGGAATGGGCCTTTCGGGCCCTTAACGCCGTCGCCGCGCAAGGCTATGGTTCTGGGTTAGTAAATGGACGAAGCTATGAAATCCGCTCGAGAGTGTTTAGCGGCGGAATTGAGTGGCCTTACCAAATAATGAGAGTCTTTTGAACTCATCCAGACTTCGGCCTACAAAGCCTCTGCTCAAAACAGCGGGTGTTACCCTCATGGTGGTTTTCGATTGACGATGCCGAGACTGAGATGGATTGCTTCTGGTGATCGCGATGGCGCTTGCACGAGGAAAGGAAGTTTGGCTGCATCTGCGCGCTTGGGCTTTTGTGCGATCATGGCGCCCGGAAGCAGCCGAACGTTTATGCCAACGTCAGGGGGACTGGAAAAGGGGTTCAACTACAAACTCCATGGCCTCCATGTTATTTACAGCTGTCTTCATCTTAGTGGGATTCTCCCGAGAAATCATTTTATTTCATCGCCAGCTCTTCCTAAACTCCATCTTTTGCTTATCACGGCCAAGCTCGTCTTATTTACCTGCCAATAAATAAGCCCCGTTCATCTGCCCGTCAGCAACAAATCCATCCTACAGTATAAAGAGCCCTCGATATCCTCTAGTCGACACAATATGCTTGCACAATTGCCCGAAAAGGCTATTAACAAGCTTATCCAGTTTGCCATCCTCCCTGATGCGTAAGCCTTTATACGTTGAGACACTTGCCTAAGGGTATATTCTCTAGCCGAATGTTGTTTCCCGCCTGGAAGCCCACTTCCACTTCGGCCGCAGAACTCTAGTTGAAGTGCTTTAGTTGAATTAAACTATCCGTTGTATTTGGTATCTTCTATATTCGGGTGACAGAACGAATAGGGTAGTTTGCTCCCATTTCCTTCTCCAAGTGCTCGCAGTTTGAGTACAACCAGTGTCTAAGTCCCTGACACTCTTGCTAAGACGCAGAGCGTTGGTTTGTACCCACTCATGAATTGCTCTTGTCACGGCTTGAAGATAGACGTCGCTATGTAAAAGCTTGATGGCCATCTCTAGCAACAACAAGGACTATATTTGGCTAGAGATCTTAGTGGTCTCAGTCCGGGAACCATATCTTCTAGTAACTCTCTTTCGTGGACATTCTTGAAATCAAGAGGCTGTTCTAGAATTTTTATTTGATGAATTTGATGGTCGGTACCTTGAAGAGCGCTGGTCTCGTATGATGAAGGCATCATCGAAACACTGGTTTTTGGGACCAAAGTTGCCAAATCCAGTGCGGAATTTCATTGAACATTGCATTCTCATTCTAAGGCTATTTGAATGAAAGTCTAGAAATGAATGTAAGCCAACTATCAGGCGGTGGCATTATGACGAGTAGTCAAATGACCCAAACTCCCCTTAAATCTACCAGTTAACATCAAACTTACACTGCACACCTGAATGGCAGCTGGGAATGTGCCTATATGTGTTTAACCAGTAGGGACAATAAGAATGAGGATTAGCATCATCCTCAGTCTGATTATTCGTTGGTGGCACCTGTCTCCTGCCCTGCTCATTAAGCGGTGAAACAAGCAAACTCTTCTGCCTTGATATCAAAGGATTTGATCCGTCTTGCCCTACTTAGGGCTACTTATCGCCTCGATATCGGGTAATGCCACCGCTCGCACCATAAGCTTCTAATCGTTATTGTTAATTTCCCTAGCGCTCAAATAGTAACCCTTCACTCCTTTGATCTTGCTTCTTCCCAACTTCAACAACAATAATACGCAAACATGAACAGCTAGGACATTACGCGTCTTTGCTCCATCATCTTCTCCAAAGTCGACCCTTAGTAGCTCAGAGAATTCTTTCCCTCAGTTTGACCTCTATTTGACGGTAGCTTCTTGTGCAGATCAAGATCGGTTCAAAACTGTTGGTAAAGGCAACTCGATTCCTCAAAACGCCTCATCCTATCTCCTCACACCACATTCACTCAAGTCCCTAGACTGTCCTGAGGCTGACTATATTCATCTATTTCCTCTACTGAAGGCTTGAGACTTGGTAACACTCTCTCCTCCTCGATCGTTGATCCACGACACTTTTGACCTCAACATCTGCTGATACCCATCGAGCTTCACCATCATCATCGCACCTGCTGCAGCTGCGGCCCTCTTAACATTCGCCGACGCTTGTCAAGTTTCATCACTTCTGCCTCCATCTTTGTAAGTTGCCCACTCCAGGCCTCGAGATTGTCTTCTGAACATCAAACTTGATCTCTTCTAACATGACCTGGCGCAAACTGTAGACCCTCGGTATGCTCTGAGATAGGAGCTTCGTCATCGCTGCTCCGACCTTCCGCAGAACTGGGCTCAGCTTATACTACCGGCTGTCGATATTTCCTTTCTACCTATATATACAACCTATGACAAACAGAATATCAGCTTAATGCTGCATGATGGCGATTAAAAGACAAGTTTTCCCTGATTGCAGGTATGTAATTGCCTCTTATTCCTGGCTATTTGGAAATATCCCTTTAGGCCAAGAACTAGTGAGGTGCTTGAACACTGACGGTCAACTGTTATCAAGATACATGGGCATTTCCCCTGACCGCACAGAGATGTATGTTTATTGACAAGTGGATTTATGCTGTCTAAAAAACAGTGGACTCTGCCACAGGAGGATTCTTTATTCTCCTTTGGAAGGTAAGTCATTCCATTTTTCTTCAAAAGCTTCTTGGCCTTGCCCTGCCACAACCCCGAGACAGAATATCACCTAAACATCTATCCACTTGGCGAGTTGCTTCATGCCTCGATACAATGTGGTTGAAATCCAAATCTTCCGAGGTTTTCGTCTGCAAGTGTGCAGCTCCTCTCAAACTCTATTTTGCCATTCCAAACAGTTTTCAATATTCAAATCCTGCGAAGTCTTCTGAACATGCACGCATCCGAAGAGAGCTTTAAGTGGAGCTTGAAAACAAATATCTTTCCTGCTCACACTCTGGCGGTCTGTCATGAGTTGCAACTCTGCACGCGACTCAGGGGTATATGCCGAGCATTTGATGCGAAAGACGACCCAAAACGAAAGAGCCTTGTCCTTCTTATTTGCACAGCCAGTACTGCAAGTGTATACATGATATGGGACCATCTTATCAACGAGGCATAAATGCAGTTTCATCGGCCCTGGCTATGGAGTCTTGACTGCTCCCCAGTCCTCGCCGCTCCAATATGTTCTGCATAAACTGTGCTATTGGCTTCAAATACCAGACGTAATGAAGATATAATAGAGGTGTAAGGTCGAGTGACATCTGCATGTCCAGAGGCAATTAAAATTCGCGAAACAAGTTGGGGTGCTGGGGCTGCAGTAGTGCTGGTAGGGTCTACTTACATTGCCCACCTGAGCTGTTGGAGGCCTGTTCTCAATTCCCATCGTCATCAGTTGGCCTCTTGATTGTCTCTACTCAAGGAGGGTCTTGGCCAGTCTTGAGAGACGCGCTGTAATGAGTGACACTGTCAATCGTGTCGCATTGACGTGACGGTTAGGGGAACCTCGAAGGGGACCTTGGACCTTGGCTTGAAACGTGGTGTCACCTCACTTCTCTCTTGCCCTGCTCGAAGGAGATGTCCGAGATGTTACTCAATTAAGTGTTCCATCAAGACTCTCTCGTTGTGAGGCCGTACTCTCTCTAAAGAAAATGTTGTTGGAGGGAAGTCTCTTTGACGTTCTGGGGTTCCACCTCCCGTTAACTAGACTTTACCCGTTCTGGTCAGACAAGGCTGCCCTTGACGGGGGGTCTTGGTGAATTCCATAACCCTTTTAAGCCCGCATTGCGGCCATCTATGGAGTAAATTTTAATATTAGAAGACGTACTTGATCGTATCGTCGACGCCTTCGAAATGAATTTATTTACAAGAAGTTTCGTTGTGGTCGTGGACCTCATAGGGCCGAAGTCTTGCCTCGATTTCTGAGGCTGTTGATACTCCACCAACCTCCATGATACCACCAATCATGGCATGCTCGGTTCTGTTCCCGCTTTCGCTGGGAATCATTTAATCGAACGATAATAAGCGAAAGCAGACGATACAGCAGGAGGTTGATGATACAGCAGTGCTGTGCTGGATGGGCTTGCTGGTATATCTCCCTGTATTGAAGCTTGCAGTGCAGCTCCATTGAGGGCAATACCGCAACAAATTGCTTGAAAGCGGAACCAGAAAAAACCCCTGGACTTATGTTCCTTTTATAAAGTCTTTTATTACATGTTATTAGAGCACTGTAATATAAGTTGGGTTGTAGTTGCAACATATGTCGAGGAAGACATCCCCAACCGAGCAAGTAGAGGGGGGAGGGACCCTTCATCCATTCCACATCCACATTTTCTTAATGTCGCCATCTTCTTCCTTCCTCTCTCCACAACCAGCACTACTTAACGAGCCAGCCTCACCTCTTGCGATCAAACTAGCAAATCCGGGATTACAGCGTCCGTTCCGAGGAATCTGGCTACAAAAGCTGGAGCTCCTCCCACTCTCTTCCTTTCCCTCCAACTTCTCTCCAAACTCACACTCTCCACCCATCCCCCATCTGTCTCCACCGTCTGCATTCTGCACTCTCAGCTTTCTCAGCTTCCACATTCTCCCCAACTCAATTCTACCATACAAGCACCTCAGCTAATTATTTCAAGCTCTGCTTCCTCAAGAGGAGAAGCACCTCGTCGCCATGCAATCAGCACCCACCATGGGTGGTGCTTCTTCTGCCAAGGGCAAGGGTAAGGGTAAGTTGTATCTACTTTCATATCTTTACACATGCGACGTGTGTCTGCTTCTCTGCTTCTGCTTCGTGCATCGTCTTGTGCTTTACGCTTGGGCTTGTGCATTCTGAACGTGTCTATCTCAACTTGAAGTCATGCCTCTGTGCTATATTCAAGTCGCGCTTTTTGCTGGCTTATCCTCGCGCAAGTCGCGTCTGGAAGAGCTTTGTCAATTTCACTTTGATTTAATATCAAAAGACCCGCGTCGTTCCAAGAGTTTGGCGTTGCGCATTCTTCTCAAGTGCCACGGGTTATCTTGGAAGAAGGCATTTCTCACTTTTTCGGCGTCCATGACGCGTCTGCGAGTCCTTTCTCGAATAAGATTTTAATTTCTCGTTTGAAAACGCGTCAATCCAAAGGAATACCGTGTTCTATCATTTTCAGGTTCGAAGACCGCCATTGAAAGTACCTCTGACTGCCTGGAACCTATGTTACGCGTTAGATTAAAACCTGATTCATTATGCGACCTTGATCAATGTCTAGTTTCCAAACTTGGCTTCATTGTACTAACAATTTCACTTCATGAAGAAACCACTCCCATCGCCCAATTTGGTAGCTTGACTATCAACGATGAGGCGGGAGTTTCGGTCAAGGCCGAAGCTTCTGGTAGCTACTCCAGCGACCCTGCCAAGGCCAAGGAAGTTAAGGGCTTTTCTCCTAGCAGCGAGCGGTAAGTCTTACCTTCATCCTTCAGAACCTCGGCAGCATTGCCTAATAGTTTTCACAGTTACCAGGCCAAGTTTATCAAGGGCGAAACTGGCCTTGACGATCCGTTTGACTCTACTGCTCGCAATGTGGGTCCTCTGGTTGGAAAGCGACGTGCCATGAGCGACAATTGGCGTTCAGGATCTAGTTCGGCTTCTGATGGCAGCTCACCTCCACTTGGAAAATCCGAGAGCGCACCTGGTTCAATTGCCATTGCTTCCACCAATGTTGAACGGGCTGTTGCGAACGTTCCTGATCTCACTGTGGCCTCTCAACCCATTGTCACCAACCAAAACGCACAGAATCAGTTCCCTATTGAGTGCTGTGTTTTCGTTGCGAAGTAAGTTCAGCTCTCAACGATTTGGAATTCTCAAAAGCTAACATCACCAGCCTTCTGCAGTCAGAGAGCGAGGAGAATTTGCAGGCCTCCCTTACCCGCGTCTTCCGTCAGTATGGTCCGGTTTGGGTCAATGTCAAGCGTGATAAGAATAAGATGCCTTTCGCATTCTGCACCTTCAGCGTAAGTATCCTCCGAGCTTTACTCATCAAGCCTAAACTGACTTCCAACAGCTCCCGGAACATGCGGAGCATGCCATCAGTGACGGTCATGGTAGATATATTAACGGACGACCTTGCAGATGTGAACAAGCCCGGGGCCACCGTGAGTACTTTGACTCTGATTCCATCGCTAGCGAGACTAAAATGATAGGGGCAGGGTTCTTTTACCTGGGACGCCGCTTCGGCAGTGTTATTACCCACGATGAGGCGATGGACCTTCTCATCAGCTATGGGGAAATCAAGTCTTGCCGTACAGCTACCGACATTGACCGTGCTTGTTTCAACCTCAATGAGGGTGTGCTGGTTGAATTTAGCATGTATCCTCAGGGCCAGGCTGCTCTTGCTGTAAGTATTTTCATCTGTGATAAGTTCGCCGCTAACATTTGCAGGCATTTCGAAATCATAACGTTTACAAGATGCTTGATCTCGCCGATATCGACTCGCCCATTCGTCGTAGAGTGCATACAACCACCTCTGCAAGCCAAGCCCGGGCCTACAATTCTGCTTATGAGCATGAGCGATCTACCGTCTTCGTCGGAAACCTTCCTGGGAATATCTCTGAGCAACAGATTCAAGAACTTTTCGGCGAATATGGTTCTATTGTGGAGATCACCATTCGCGAGTGTAACTCAAAGTTTAACCGTGGGTCTCATCTCCCTGTCTTTAGTTGTAATCCGATACTGACCATCACCAGCTGACCAAAGACTCTGCCTTGCGTTCATCAAGTATACCTCGCCAGTGGCCGTGTCCCAAGCCATCCAGGGAAAGGTATGTTGGGCACCTACTTTAATTTTTCTTTCTAACATGTCACAGCATGGATTTGCCATGGGTAGTAATAGACTCCGTGTCGCACCAAAGAATTCTGAACGGAATACCCGACACAGCCCACCCTCATCTACTCGATTCCGCTCTACACCTGCTCGCCGCGAGCCGTCAATGACTTCTATGGCCCAGATGACCCCATCGCCACAAGATGCTTACCAGTCTGGATATGCCCATCAACAGGCTCTATCTACCTCTGCTCCTATCTATGGTCAACAACATGGTTCCTTCCCAAACGGCTACACTCATCAACCAAGTGCCTATGCTGTTACCCCCCAGCACCCTTCTTATGGTTATCCGGTTCAGCAGCCACCCCCAATCTATGGTGCCCAGTACTTCGATGGTACTCAATACTATGCAGGTGGTGTCCCAGTTTATGGCACTCCTATCTCGCCATATTATTATCAAGCCAACACTGGTTATCCCGCTCTTCCTCAATACCCATACTCTCCTTACAACAGCACAGTCGTGCAGCAGAGCATGATCTCTCCTCCCGCAACCCAGCATCCGTCTGGATATCCTATGACTGGCAATTCTGACCAAGATGATGGTTCCACTACACCCACTCGTCATGGATATGCATCTGGTTCTGCCTTCCAGTCTCACTGAATCCGGCACACCTTCCTAATCAACTTCCATGAGCATGGTGTACCTTCTTCACCAGTCTCCATGATGTTGTGGAACTTCTTCAATTTGCACATTACCTTGCATCATCAAATCAAATCATCACGGCGTTTCATGAAGATACCCTAACGGTCCTCGTCGGAGTTTTCGGCGAAACGATATGGTGTCACAATCTGGTCAATTTCAATATTGCGAACAAACTTTGCATTTCATTTGTCAATCATTCTGCGTTGCCACAACCTATGATCGTCACTGGCGAGGTTCTCAATTTCTTCTCAAGTCTCATTGATCATGTCGCCTCGGTAACGTTGATCTGAGCAAGAGTTGATTGAAACCCATTCATAACTTCCCTTTCTTTGCATACATGGTTCGGAACGAAAGGGAATGTACATAACTTGCAATCAATGGAAAATGATCTTCATAAAGTTTACCTTGCTTGAATAATCGTGATATAATATTGCCTTGCTTCCGTGATTAACACACTCTTTGCTCTATACTAAGATATTTCCTTCGTTCTTCACCTTTGCTTGAATCCTCATTGCCTCCCATCTCCATTCTAATTTGGGCGCGCTATTAACATTTAGGTCAAGGATCGCGACTCTCGCTCAAGACGCGCCAAACTGATACCCAAGCATGGCACCCGAATGTGGGTTCTTCTTTCTACACTGTTACTCAAGGGCCTGAGCCCTATCGACGTGGCTGCTAAGGTAACACGGAAAGAAATCCAAATTGAAACTAGCCGACTTTGTTACGGGTTAACTGGTACTCGCGTATCATATGGTTTTGGAAATTAAACGCGTGAGTTTAGTCGATGAAGCTTAAGCAAGCTGAAGAAGGAAGTCAATACTCGGGACTCGTTCATACTAGGGTAGGTGGTTCTTGGGTGGAGTAAGATCAGATTTGTTTTTAAATGGAGATTTGTACATGTACGCCATTCCTTTCGATTTTTTACTTATAGATGGGAAACCCCAGAGCAATCCACCATCATCATATATTAAAACCATATACTAATAATACCGCGCAGGCACAGAACTCCCACCTAACGCTCCCGAAAATTCATTTTCTTTCAAAGAGGTGAAGCAAAACCGGCAGTCAAATCTTGAAATTATCCGTAGCATTGCTCTCCGCCTTCTATCCAGCTTCTCAAATTGGGAACATGGTGATAAGCTGGCTGCCTGGGTAATTGGAAAGCCAAAGAATTAGAGTAGGTTTTCTTTTATAAGGATATAATAGAGAAATAGATATTATCCGCCCAACGAGTACAGAATTTAAAATACTCAGATAACCTTAGGCAACACTTTTGGATCAACTAAAACAAGTGAGACATTATTTTAGTTGCCTCAAACCCTCAATACTCCAGCATATTACCTCCTCCGCAGCCACCCACACCTCCCTCCCTCCCCCCCTCACAGCAAGGCTCTACCTCCACGGCCACCACGACTTTTTTGATTACCACATCCTCTCCCCATATAGTTTGATTCTGCTACCGCAACTGTAATTACGGTAGTAGCCGAGGTAGCCTGTAATTTGTAGTACGTATCCTCGTATAAGTAAAGCCGTCGAACTACTCCTGGGAGCAAGTTCCCAAGGGCATGGTACACGGAATATTTTCCCGGCCGAGAACCAGTAGACCGTCTGTAGTAAGGCAGCTACAAGCCTCCCCATTATCTCAACCTAGGTAATAAGATTGCCCAACTCCTCGAGCTAATTTTCAGCCCTCTTAAACTTGACAACAAAGCTCTCGATCGTTTCAGTATCCGGATCGAATTTTCGTTAGCTAAAGATATATATCTCTAACCGTTGAGTCAAAGTGCGAGTCAAAGAGTGGCCTCTCATCATGGATTTCCGGCAGGTTGAGTTTTATAGCCTTTCCATAGGTGGTTTCCCACTTTTGGAGGAATCCTTCGAGTTTTCTCCCTTTTCGAGCTCGTTGAGCTTGGCGGATTCTCCCATCACTTGGAGTCTTGTGGAATAATCGGTGGGTTAAAGACGGCTTTTTAAGTGCCAATAGCATAAGATATACAGTGACTTGATCCTGTATATATACCAAGTTCTTGGTGGAGACCGACTTGAAGATATACTTCTGGATGGAGTTTATCACTCTAACGGTCTCTTTGAAGTTCTTGAGTTTTGATTGGTAACTGGTATTACCAATCTTGAATAACTCAGTCTTACTAGCTCAGAGCGAGTTGATTGATGTGGCCTTAGGTTTGATACCAGCGAAGTGAGGCTCTTTCTGGTGGTTCCAAGGGATCAGGGGGTAATAGCAGTCATGGATCAATGTATTTCCATCCAGATCTCCCTGGTACTAGGGCCATTGACTTGACCGTAAGGAGCCAATTCTCCTAATCCTTTGGCTTATCAAGGACCAAGGTAGGCCTTGATGTGGTGGGAGTTGACATGTTTGAGGAGTGAATGGGTGTATTGCGATTAATTGGTTTGATTATACGAAGTAGTTGTTCGCTAGCAGGATCCTGATTCGCAAGAAATCCGTCGAGATCACTATGGAAACTCCTCCTGGATGTAACTGATCATAACGCTATCGGCCTTTCCACAGCGGCTATCCCACCACCTCTGGGCATCCTTGTCACGGTCCCCTGAGCGTTCTTCTTTCGATGATCCCTGTGGCTTGAACATATCCAAATGCCTCTAGGCAGAACCAGGCCCAGAAGGGGCACTTACCACTAGTGAACTTGGCGATAACCCCGTCCTCAAGAGCAACGTAGGTCTGTGAAGAGGCCTTGAGATTGTTGGGCTTGTTAAAGGTAGCCATAATGGCAGTGGGTAACGTTGGTCAAGAGCGGGGTAATCATATAGTTCTGACGAAAGCGGTGAGGGAGTTGTATAATGTATTGTAGAGTAAGCGTTCCTAGCCGTGTAACCTACTAGGAAAGTTATAAGCGAATAATCCAAAGTAGTAGTAGTTATAAGTAGATTAGGCCAAGTAAATAGCAACCTAATTGATGGACAAGGGCGACTAACTTAATCAGAAGAGTCTGGGCATCGTGGACGGTTGGTTGCCTACCTACCAAGGTATATAGGAGGTGTTTTCGAGCCTGACTCAGCAACATTAATCCGTGTTCTGACAATAGCACGTATTCCTCACGTATCACATAACCTCGGGAAAAAGCATCATCATAATAATAAGTTTTAGTCTGTCTCTCAAACATCCCATCTCATTCCTCATGAAAAAAAGCCGAAGAAAGATTATTCGCGATTGGTATCCATCCATTCCATTTCCATCCGCACGCCTACTTACTATACAAGACCCAAAGCATGAGAAAAATACCAATCCCGTAATATCGTCGTCAGCACCCCCTCAAGCTTCCCAGTATTTTGCATATCCTTCAATCATCATCGAAAATCTGGTAAGTGTTCTGTAGTATCGTATCAATGACCCGCACCTGCCATCCAGCATCCTGAATATTCGGACCAGTGTTGGCACCCATAAGCGTAGGGCCGAACACGATGGCGATATTCGATACATTCATCCGGTTTGCGGCAGAGGCTTCTTGAACGCGGTTGAGATGCAGTGTTAGTGCGCGGAGCGTGGCATAATTTGGGTCGGGGAGGGAGTTGATTATGGCGTGCAGGGAGTCCCGGCGGACTATCTCGTCGTCGTTTTCTAGGTTGTATGTTAGGTATATGAATATATGGAAACGATGGATAAGGGAGACATACTGGCTGCTTCGATAAACCCATCGTAATGCTCCGAAGTCAAGAGCGGATCAGGAAGATCGCGGAGGAATTGCTTGAGCAGTCCCGCAACACTGTTTACATCATGCATGAAGTTTTCCGGATTGCGGAAATCCACTTTTGACGCATCTGTGTTGACAGAAGTAATCAGCATTGAACTCAAGGTTGTATTTTCTGAAATAATGGGGCTGAGAGGAACTTACCGTTGTCAAACATAGCCCGCAGTTTGGTTATATGAGATGCCGTTCCGGAGATTCGGTAGATGCCCTCGAGCTCGAGTCCGAACAGGTCGACGGCTTGTATGCATTGATAGAGCACCATCGGTACAGCCGAGCCATCTCTCTCAAAGAGTTGCTGTAGACTGAGGCCGAATACGGGTTTCAGGGGAGGTAGATTACCGCCGCCGTTCGCGTTAATGGGAGGCTGTGAGTAGGTGTTTGGGGGTGGTTGTTGCTGTTGTTGTGGGAAAGAGGGCGGAGGACTGTGAGAAGTCTGGAAAGGAAGAGTATTGATTTGTGGCGGGCCACCTGAGCTGATGGAGCTAGAATTGAAGGTTGAAATGGGTGCAGGGCCTCGGTTGGGCGCTCCCATTGAACCGTACTGTGGCATTGCTGGTCCCTGGCTAAAGCTCCTCTCATGCATGTTTGAAGCAGGTGGGGGTCCTTGACTGAATTGCTGGCTTTGGTGGGCTTGATGGGTAGGTGGCGGGCCGCCAGACAACTGTGGAGGGCCTTGTCGGGACGCAAAGGACGATGGGGGATCTGATTGGCGTTGGGGCAGAGATGCAGTGGGCTGGCTTGCATTCAAGACCTTTTGAGGATTAGTTCAGAGCGAACCGTGCCTTGAGACCTAGATCAAACTTACATGATTCCGCTCATACTTGATATCCGCAATTCTCGGGGCGACTTTGCTTGCAAAACTGCTAATGTAACCGCTGAGATCCTTCTCATTGTCGATGGCGTACACGACCTCGCGGAGGCTTCGGGGCTGGCTTCCTTGTTCACTTCCTTTAAGCGGACTGACATTCAGGCCATTGCTCAAAAGGAGCTTCTCGTTGAAAGAGGCTACAACCAGATTAGCCCTCCATACATCCAAAAAACAGCTATACTCCTGGAAAACGTACCAAATTTCTGCATCTGCAACGTCAACCCAGAATCACACTCCTTAATCAACTCATCCAATGACTTCACAGCCTCCGGTCTCAACTTCGACAACAACTCCTGTCTCTGAGCCTGCGCATTCTGCACCTTCGAAGCGTAATCCGCATCCGCAGCCTGAACCTTCCTCAGCAGATCCTCCTCATGCTGCTGCGCGGATTTCGGGCCCTTAATACCAAAGATCTTCCCAGACTGCCTATCCCCCGTCCTCACACGATCATAATCCTCAGCCAGAGAATCATATTTCGCCTTGGACTTCCGCATCGCAGCCTCCGTATCCGCAACCCGCTGCTCAGCAGATAATCCGGTTGTCTTCCAGTGCTTCCGACCCCGCTCGATATTGGCTGCTACATCCAGCAGATCTTCGTGCATTTGGTGTAAGGATATGGCGAACTGCGCGCCATTATCAGCCATGCGCTCGTGGATCGCGGTGATCTGGTCATAGGACTGCAGAAACGAGCCATGGCGATGATCCGGACGGCGGATGCTCTCGGAGGTTACGCGGCAGAGCTTGCGGAGGCCGTTTGAATGCTCTTCCTCGAGCGTAGACCGCTTCTTCAGGAACAAGGCAAATTCCTATATTAAAACGAGCGTCTCAGTCAGCTTTTACCTATGGTAAATGTAAGATCATGGGGAGGGGAGGGGGGTTTCGAACCTTTGCTGATGCGATGCTTTGCTTCAACCGGTTAAGCAGCGTAGAGACTCCAATCTACACTTGCTGTTAGTATACTACTCTTGCAGTCCTGCTCTGACTGTGTATGGGGTCCCCCACCTCTGAATTAACCACATCATAAACAGCCTTCGCGTTAGGATCAACCTGCGCGGGTGCTGTCGGAGGTGCCGCTGCTGTGGTCACGGCGTAACCCCCCCCTCCTGTTCCTCCTCCGCCATTTGGAGGGGATGCTATTTCGTCGCCAGTTTGAGCGCCCAACGACATGTTTCCGGGGTTCGTCTCCTTGTTCTGGCTATTGTCTGCGAGTTCAGCGGGCTCCGTGAGCAAGTGATCCGGGTTGGTATGGTGGTGATCGTCGGCCATTGTCGCTGCTGGCGTGGTGTTCGTGCGCGTTGTTGGTGTTCGTGGCTCTGCTCTGTTCCGGTCGCGATCGGGGTTTGATCGTCAGCGGGCGGCGGCGAGGTGCAGCGACAGCACTTCAGTCTACGTTCTCGGAAGCGCAAAGTCGCGATTCATGCGATGCTGTGGTTCGGTGCTGTAGGCAGAGATTTTATGCCATGCTAGGCATACGTATGCAGTTGTAGTAGTGTGTTCAATTGTTGTAGGACCTTTGGGTTGTGGCGACGGCGACGGGGACGGTAATAAGGGTCTCAAGTTCGTACTCGCAATTTAATTGTTGCTGCTGCGCATCCGCAACTCGTCATGGATGAAGGGGTTAACGGTTAAGCGCCACCTGACGGAGTAGGGGATGTAACCGCGGTCAACCGAGCTGGTGATGGCCGAGGATTTGGGATTTTGCCGATAGAATATAAGGTACGAAGTACTCGGCATTGCATCCTGTTCTAAAGTTTAACTTAACTATTATTATATTATATAGATATACGGATTCGAGACATCCGACAGTTTCAAACATTCAGCACCACGCACCACACCACGTACCCATCCCAATATACCACAACCATTCTCACAACCATCACGATTAATTATCATATCATTTAAATAAAAATCTCTTTCATCTTAATCTTGATATATCATAACGTCATCCCATCCACAACAAAGCGACGACCGGAAAAAAAACCCCCGAACTGGGTATCTCTCAAACCCATATAATATCCTCATACAGTTTAAATTTCCTATTCCTAATTCCCATGCCAATGCCCAGCGCCAAATGCTATGATATCCACAGCAGAAAACCTCCTATGCATGCCATGCAGTAAAATAGCGTACAGAAAAAAGAACACAGTTGATAACCTCCCACATGATATTCCTACATTCGGTCCTCCGAATCTCGAGTAAGCGCGTTTTATCCCCTCCGAGCGCCGAAAAGCGTAAGGTTCAAACTCGTGTCATTCTCCCCGATATTAGGAGTCGGTTCGCCTAGCATCTCCCACCTCCTTAGACGGAAGGGGACAATTTTCTCCTTCTCAGCAGCGGTTCTCCTCCGTGGAGCTTCCCCAGGAATACTGGACGGCTTCTCCTTCTGGCTAAGAACAAGCCAGTCAGAGGGGTTACTCGAATAGCTGAATAGGTAGCGGATCTGCGGATTTGAGACCATGTCGTGAAGACTGCGGATGCATTGCTGGCGGACGTCATCAGGTAGACCATCGACGAGGTGGAGGGCTAGGTCGAAAGTTTGTTGAATGAGCCCGCTCACTGGTTCGGTGTTGATGTCGAGGGCTTGTAGTTCGAGGAACACTGCAGAAAGCGCGAGTGTAACCTTTGCCCGGTTCTCGTGCCCCGACTTTGTCGCTTCGAATTCGGAGGTGTGAAGCACGATGAAGGAAAGAATAAGGGGTATCCATTTTGAAATAAGCGCATCCTTGATTTGCATGGTCTGATTAGTTGATAATATTAGGCGGATACTGTTGAGCGTGGAAAGGATATCAAGCGCATGGCTAGTATTGTTTGGGTTAACGGTTGCTGTTGTGGAAGTGCTGTATGCGGTTGAATCGATGACTCGAAGAAGGTTCTCCGCCTGAGCTAGGTGATTTCCCGTCGTTAAGCAATCTAACACGTTGCCTGATTTAGGTGAGGGAAACAGGGCGAGGAATTGCAGCTCTGCTCGGCGTCGCAGATGCTGAGCAATGGACATATCCAGTAAAGGTACAATACTCGCCCATGCTGTCTTCCCGGAGTTCACAGCCGCTTCGATCGCGCTGTCGAACGTCTGGAAGCGTGCCGAAACGGACTCATCTGTCCCTGACATAGCACTATCCTCAGCACCAAACATCGAGTCGAGCTGGATCTGACAGAAGGGTAAGGTCAGATCATCTGCGATATCTAGAATCTCCTCGGTCGATATATCGTCTTCGCGGGTCTCGCCTAATAAAAACTTATTGATGAGAGTCGACAATGACGCCGAGCCTGCTGAACCAGAGTTCCGGAGCAATGGCGTCGCAAGGATTTGAATGACGGAATCAGTATACAGGAGAGCATATCTCTGAAGTAGTTCCCATGCATTCCGGTTTTCAAGTAAAGAAGATCCGTCATCTGCCGGGAAATTTGATTCGTCGCTCGCGGGGATTGGTGGTTCTTCTAATACCCGTCGAATGATGGTCAGGATGTCGGTTGCAGAGTCCTTTTGCATATGGCTTTGTTTAACCCGGAACCGATATGCCTCTCCAACATCCATGACTTCCTCACTGTTGACCGTTCCTATAAGCAAATCCAAAAGTTCTCGAGATATTCGGGTGGCCGAATGATCATCCGAAACGGCTTTTCCCAAAAAGGATGTGCAGCAAGAGGCGATAGTTGATAGGGAGAGACAGCCGGAGCTGATAAAAGGGCCAAGGACTCGGAACATGCTTGGTCGGTTGTGCATGTGGAGGAAGCTCGTTACCCAGCTCGACATCAGGGTATCAAAGTGCGCGGTGCTAAATGGTCGGAGCCTCGCAAGGAGTGACACGCAGCATCGCTGTTGATCGGGAGATTTATGCCACGAAATCTCTAGATGCGAGACGACTCTCTGGAAGAGTCGGTCGAGAGTAGCTTGATCCATGCTATTCCCATTGGACAAAATCTTTTCAGTTTCCTCAATGAAATCAACTTCAGTAGCTTGGGTTATCGCGATGTGATCCGAGACGGGTGAACAGGCGTCTACGGCATTCTTTCTGTCACAAAGAACAAGCTCTTGAGATAGTTGTTGCGCAAGTCTTTTCTGATTGGGCATCCGAGAGGCAAGATCCGATAACGAGGCAAGGAAGACTCTTGGGATGGAGTCTTGATCTTGTGCTAATACTCGCAAACGGGCCACTAGCATATCGAAGAGGCTTTGAAGAGCCCCGATAGCTGCTAAGGTGTCCACATGCAAATTCAACGTATCGGTGCATGTGGCAAGAACCTCTGCATCGCTAGAACTTGCGGTGATTTTCAAGACGTCCGCCAGCATCGAATAGTCCTCGATCAGTTCAAGATAGTAGCGGATCTTTTGAAAATCAGACGTAGCGATCGCGGGAGTCGCAGCCTTCACCGAGGTTGCATCCCAATCATCCAGTTGTGGTATTTTTGGCTGCTGCATCTGAAGCAGAACCTTGTGTCTTAACCATAGTCCGATCTCTGACTTGCTTGATCGATTCAACTGTGATATAAGACTTGGTATGTCATCGGACATATGAGGGTTGTCCAATTCCATTTCGGAATCACTTCCGGGCATCGTTGGAAGGGTCCTATTGATGGCCGCCATGCAACCTGCCATCCGTTCCTCCTCCTCGTCTAGTGAAAAGCTTGCACGCTCGAGCAAAGCTCTATGGAGCGAAGCAATCCCCTCACTGAGGTTATGTGTTGGTAATTCGGCTAGGAGACGTTTTGCGCAAGGACCGTCTTGGGCGATATCTGCTGGATCCTGAAGGCCTCCTCTCGCTATCAGCCATTGGAAGTATCTCGCTGCGGAGAAGTGCTCGGAGCGCGCCAGCTCGGAAACTAAATGATAAAATGAGAGCCTATTGCGGCCAACTTCACATGTTTCAGAGTCCATGAAGTTCAGTAGTGCGTCTGTAACATCTGCTCCAGACTTAGCTCCGAATCTCAGGATGCGTGCAGCAACGTATGTCTTTGGAATCCCCGGTCGATATAATGATGTAGACCATTCTAGAACCACCCGAAGGACCATAGCCTTATCATCCGTTATTTGCCAGCAACGCTTCGGTAGATCGTCCGATGGAGAAGCTGAAAGAGTCGTGTCAAGAAGCTGGATGATTCGTTGGCGAACAGTAGGCTCCTTTCCTGAACCTGATATACCGAGCCGACAATTTCGCCGATCAATCGATTCGAAGATTGCTAGGAAGCGTTCATCATCCGACACTAAGCCCGAACGTATGATATCCCGGTGTTTTGTCCACACTGCAGGGGATACGAATCCATCGGGATTCGATACCATTAATGATTTAATCAAGCGGTGTAGTCGGTCGGAGAGGGGGGCCAATATATCTTGGTCAGGGTGGTTGAGAAGCTGAGGTCGGATTAGTATAACAGACATTGGTCGAGGAGATATCTTGGAGCATACCTCTGCATAATGATGGAGGAACGCTCCCGAGAGCCTGCGCCCATATTTTCGGTATTTTAAGAGATCCTTCCAATAAATTTGGGTAATAAGAATCCATAACGGTAGCTTCGTCTGAGGGCTATTTTCTAAGGACGACACAAGCCAATCCATGTAGTGCTCGCGATCCAGCAGAAATTCGGCATGGAAATGCGATGCCAATCGAATCCTATGTTACCAATTAGCTCAATCCGAAAGCATACGAATCGCCACAACTTACGCATAGTCTATCTTGGTCTTGAAATCCCCTTCTCCACACGTTCCCAAAATGCTCTCGATGAATTGTTCTACGCACACGGTAAAGTCCCGGATCCATTTTGCTTCGCCGCCCATAGCGAATGTTCCACTGACGCCTTTTCTTCGGAAGGAGCGCAGCTCATTCGCCCCGACACACTTAGCTAGCCAGATAGCTCTTTCAATAGGTATGTTTTTACTCAGCGACTGGTCCAGTAAGACCTTCCCTCGTATGCCATGGGGGATGGATCGACTCAGCCGGCGCAATGATATGGTGGGGTTGGCCAAATCCTTCAGCCACATTTCCCTCTTCGTATCTGTCACCGTGACCCGCGGTGGAGGTTTGAATGTGGAACTGGCGGTAATCTGCCCATGAGCTTTGCGTTGGGCAAGCACGCTGGTAAGGATCGACGAGAGAGTTTGAAGGCCGGTCTTATTCTTCAAGGCCGGGAAGACAGTCGACTTCGCTGAGCCCGTCTCGTTCTGGGACATCTGCGCCTTGTCGTAGTAACCTTGACGAATCACTGATTCGGAGAAATGGTCTTCGGGGTGGTTTCCCGTCCAGGGGTAGAAGTCCACATGGCCTTGAACAGTTAGTATCTGGTTCATCGATAACATGTCTCCCAACTTACCATTCGGAGGATATCGCGGAGCCGCCGGCGGTACCTCCAGAGTATAGGGTTTCGGTCGACCATCTTTCCTCGCGGGACTCCCTGATTTCTCCAGCAACTTGCCACCGGAAACTGGAGGGGCATGCTGCCGTGGCCTGACGGGCAGAGGCATTGGCTTCACTTGCGCATCGCCCTGGAGCCCATCCTGCCCGGCGCGAAAGCCCAGACTGCTCGCATTCAACACATCAAAATGGGTTCGAGGTCTGCCCCGCGGAGGCGCGGACGGCCGCCATATCGGTGCGACATCTGGCGCAGGCTTTGGAGACTCAGCCTGGCTGTCGGTACCCGAGTCGGAAATCTCCAACTTGAGGCGCGAGCCGCCATTCCGCGGTACAGTTGTCGCTGCTCCATATCGCCCCCCCACCGGATCCGCCCCATCATATGTCAAGTCCACGAAGGTCTCGTTGCCCCGTCTCGTCGGGGAGGAGGAGGAGCTCTGCTGGGGGAGACTGCGGTGGTTGGCGGGAGGCCTCTGGACAGCATTGGTGGCACTCAGCGATCGTTGGGGGGGCTGTCGCTGGCCCAAAGGGGGTCGGGTGGTCATGATAGAGCCATCTTCGGAAACAGATGCGATTTCAGTAGGCTATATATGTATATTTGGGGATGTTGGGGTTGGAGAATCGGTGCGCCACGGGCGACGAGGCTCGGAGGGAGTTCAGCTGGATAAGGATATATATATATATGGGCGTAGGGTTGTAAGGCGTAATATGTAAGAACGTAGGATGTAGTATGTAATATGTGAGGATCGAAGGTGGATATGGATGTTGAATGAGGATATGGATAATGCTAATAGATAATGGATAAGGAGATAGGTATGTCGAGGAGGTACGAGGTGGAGTCTGCGCCGGTGCACGAAAGCCGTTCGTAGGATGTTGTGTTTGGGGGCGGAGTATTTGTCGCAGTAGTAGCCGTCGTACGAAGGTAGTAGGGTGACGATGGAAAATCGAATAGTGTGGACGGAGTAGTTCGGGTGGGACAGCGCAATAGTACGATAGATAGATGGTAAGAGGAGTGTACCCGGTACATGTACTTCGCACTCCCTTCGCACTAACAACTATCTACCAGTAGTCGAGCGATGTCAGGCGCATTCCGGCAAAGCGTCGGGGACGAGGAGAGCCAGCAGTAGCCAGCAACACAAGAAGTTGAGGAGAGCTGACAGGAAGCTGACAAGGACAAGAGTTGGCCAGAGGATTTCGTAGGGGACGTAGAGAACCACGCTTCACCTCAGTCCACGGCCCACGGCACACTATTCTGTATAAGGAGATGCAGAAGCAGAAGCCGATGCAGACGCAGATGGTACTGTGCTGTAGAAGTAACAGTAAACTGGGTAACTGGCTGGTTGGTGCTGGTTGGTGCTGTAAAGTCGCAGCGCTAGCGGGAGGGAGGGAGGAAGAGCGGGCGGGAGTAGGGGGAGGATTGGGATGGGATACAAGGAGTATATAAGGGAGTTTATAAGGGGGGTTATTAGATAGGGGGAAGTATTGGGGTATGATAGGGTATAAGTATGAGTATGAGTCTGGGGAGTATGTGCTGTATGTAATTCGCACATGCACTTGTTGTAATGATATTGCTGATTATTGCTGGATCTCCCGGAACGCGGACCGACCATGGGCCTGGATGTTGGGGGACCGAGGGACAGGATACCCAGGTATGTGGGACGACGACCTCAACGGTATATGGTTGTACTTCGTATGTATGTATATATATATGCAGACACAGAAAGAGAAGAGCCAGAGGAGAAATATTATATATATATATATATATATAATGAATGCACAAGAAAAGAGTATTCCGAACAGTCAACTCTCCTTTCAACCCTATCTGTCACTTACATGTACTGTACATCCTCTCTGCCTGTATCAATTGTACGTAGCATCCATCCACCCTCCCCGTCCTCTCCCTCCCTCCGTGCCGCATTCCTCTCCACGGACGAGAGTACGAGTACCTACACCCGTACAGAGTAGGCAGCTAGATAGGGTATTTAGGTTATTTAGGTACATACGAAAGTGCCAATAGTGCCAATCACCCCAATATCCCCATCAATCCCATGCTTAAGAGTTGCTTGATTAGCTCTCCTTCCCTTCCCTTCCCCGTGCACCCGCACTTGTCAGCGCACTGAACGCAACGCACGGCGCTGCGAGCGGAATAGCGTCTCCCGATATCCCACCTCGGACCGCACTACAGCACTTGGAAGCCTTGGACGCAAGCAAGACACAGTTACTCTGGGAGAATCGGGGTTTCGGTGCGGGATTGCGCAATACTAGTAGGGAGAGAGAGACATACGATGTATTTCGTACGGTTGAATGTCTGCTCTGGCTGGGCTTCTATCTAGTGGAAGGGCCATGACAATAATGAAATGAATGAAGTCGAAACGAGACGAGAGACACACCCCACGCTGTTCAGGTCCAAGTTGGAGAAGTTCTTCCCAACACACCACTCACAGCGCTCTCCTCTAAGGCAATAAATAATAAAACTTGGTAATCCAAACGCAAATAGCGAACAGAAGAAGCCACACACTTTCCCTTCTTCTCTCTACTCCCCTCCTACCAATAGTACATCCTGCAGGAGTCGATAAAATAAAAGTTCCCTTCGCCCTTCGCTTCCACCCAGTTCAAGTGTAACTGCCAGACCGGCCACCTCAACAACGAAAAATACATATACAAGCACCGCGCGTTCTACTATCGGGACAATTCAAACTCAGTATCATGAATTGCTGATCTCTTCATATATATATCCCCGTCCTAGATTATTCGCACTCGCGCCGGTATAGTACCGTAAGATGCCCGCCGCTGCTACCTACGTACTGAACTGCTGCTCCTCCCTTTTACCCGCTGCTCGGCATGCGGGACATCATCCATGAAACCATGTGCCTTGCGCTGTGTGGCCGCGATCATCGAGATTACATCTCCTTTTTGCGTGAGACACCGTATATCTCCGTCAGCGCTCAAGTGACCGCAGCCGGGGGGGTTTTCGTAAAAAAAGTAAGACATGATGATGATGGTGGTGGTAGTGGGGCTGTGAGGATACGTAGATCTGAGACAGGAGGAATGATGATAATGGTTCTTGGTTGAGATTTGCGCACAGAAAAGTTACTAGTTATTGAATTGAATGAACAAATGCTAAAGTTGTTTATATGTATTGTACAGATAAGGAGCAAATGGTATCGAGTTTTCAGCGCCAAACCATGCATACAAAATCGTATTCCTGACACTCCAACTTCCCTACGTTCTGCCTCCTACTCCAACTTCCCAATACCTTGCTTGTCAAGGTGGGACGCCTGACAGTTCTGTGGAACTTGTCCGTCTTTTTCTCCAAGTCTTTCCTGCCCCTGACACTCCAACTTCCCCATGGGTCGTGCTGATATGGACAACAGCCAGCCTCACCAGGAACTGAACTGATATGTACCACTCTCCAGCCGCCCATGTATTGTGCTGTTTAATGATCCCCAAAAAGGCAAACAATGAAGCAACTCTCAGTTACCACAGGGCCAGCGAGCTTTGTCCCAGATGATACATTCGCAACTCCCTAGATAATCGCCTTAACTGCGTAGGTATCCAACCTCTCCGAGCAATTCCACCTCCCCATCGCTAGATACCGCAGCACAATGTCACCATTGACAGTGAGATTTTCTTCCCTGGATTCTTCCGACAAAAGGTCTTGTTATGATGGCTCCGACAGATCCTTTTTTGAGTCTTGACAGTCTCGGCGCCGGGCAGCGAAGGGAAAATGATCAAGATATTTGGACCTAAGAGGAAAGGCCATATCATCAGCTATGTTACCAGCCGCGTCACCAGCCATGTCACAAGCTCGACGACCAGTCTCTTGACTCCTGGGAAAATCCATGTGAGGTAGCACACGACGCCCAAGCAAAGCTCCCTATTTCCAACATCATGGCTCTGAATCTCCCGAACCACCCTCTCCGTCTTAACCGCAAGCCACCCTAGCGCGATAAGCTTGTAGCAATTACCTAACCATCTCCCCCCTCAACCTAGGGTTCGGATTTTTCACGTTATATAATTATAAAATATTCTAGGATTTACGTTATTATTATAGGAGATGTTGCGTTATATAATTGCATAAAAATAAAGTATAACTCCTGCATAACTATACATAAAAAGACCCAAAAACTAGGGCAAAAACTGGGTAAAACTATGCAGCTCTATGCCTCCAACGCCTCGCGATTATTAGCCATTTGGAGTACAATTTCGTCTTCAATTGCCAACAGATCGTCGTCAGTTAACTCATGCTCCTTCCGACTCTGGTACAGTACTCTACTATTCATATATATAAAGGAAAGCTTATCTATTGTCTCTATTGACATCCTATTTCTTATTTTTGTATGGAGATTATTCATCGTCGAAAAGGAACGCTCTGAGAGTACACTATTAGCTGTAGTATTAATTAGTCGAAGTGCAAGAGAACTAAGCTCAGGGCAGACAGCTTACTATTAGATATTATTATTAGAGGAGAGTTATTTATTTGTATTAGGAGAGTACTTACTTGGCATCTCCAAAATAGATATAGATCCAACTTATACTGCCAAACTGAGTGCGCTGGGTGAAAATCGCCTTCCTGGTCGATATACTGGAAGTATTGTTTCAAAAAGACTGAACCTCCTGTCTCCTTAATCCAAGTCTCCGCGTCTACTCTGAACTGTGGAAGTAGTGGATCTCTATAGTGCTCTGGAGTAAGCTTATAAGCTATTATATGGATAGGAAGAAGCTACTTTGTCATCCTTTCTGCCTATCCTGCAACGCTTCTTTGGGTATATTGAACAACCTCCTCCTACTATGGATTATTCCCTGGCTGAGCGCATTTTTGGATATGTAAGTTGATATCTATCTATCGTTGGTAGACTTTAAAAACAGTGGCGTAGTTATTTTCTGACATCTTTTGACATTCGTGGAGTAGGAGGAGGAGAGCGTACAAGCTATTAAAGCGCTGCTAGAATAGATCGTCTTGGATAATAAGATTAATCGTCTTTGTAGTGTCGGGATGGATAGTAAAGGATTTGAGTGCTAATTCGTTGTCGAGGATACTTTTGATCTGCCGGACTTATAGAGAAACACTAAGTTAGTAAGAAGAATATACTGAATAGAGATATAAAAGTGTAGTAAATACCTGAGTCTCCTATCGCGTCGGAACTGTTGTAATAAGGGCTTTGACTTTACTAGTATTTGACCTTTAGATATCGCGGAACAAGGCTAATTGCTTCCCTGAGTTAGCAAAGAAAGCTATAACCTTAGCAGGAAGCTTGAAAAAGTCACGGAGAGCTGAAGGGATAACTTCCTTATTGCTGTCTTTGTTTGGATCAAGGAGATCTTTGATAATAAGCTGTAAGCTGTGAGAATCACAAGGGACTGAGTGGACGTGTTCCAGCCCTGGAGTAGAATGGATATAGGCCCAAAGTGAGCGCTGAGTATCGCAGGTATCCGTAGCAAAGGATGACCACTTCTCTACCCGGTCCTTGGTTAATTCCTTGACGATATTGTAGATGTGGCGGAGTGACTATTGGGCTGATGCTGTAACACCTCCAATCTCACTAGTTTTCCAGTAGTAAGCTTGTCCCTTAGCTATAACTATGATATTTTCGACGCGAGCCCTTGAAACGTTGGAAGAGCTATCAGATACTATTCCAATATAAGAAGACTTGTCAATTACTTCCTGAACTTCCTCCTTAACCTAGTCGTAACAGAAATTCAAGAGCTCATTAGCTAGCTTTTTAGGATTAGGAACTTGAAAGTCAAGAGCTTTAAAGAACCCTATCCATTCAGGGGTCTGGAACGTCGAAAAGGCAACTGTTGATGTATATACTGCTTTTGCAAACAGCTGTTCACAGTTTTACTTACGTGGACTATTGAACAGGGAAGTAATAGACACTGTAGCAGCTCTATTCCTCGTCTCCCTATCCAATTTTGCCCTGGCGTAGAAGCTAGGAGTCTGCTTGTCTGTCTCCTGAAGGTAGTTCTAGTATTAGTCGCAAGTAACCATATGTGGCTGACAGAATTGGGTAGTATTCCAGGCCTTATTCATCCCACAGTAACTACAGACAGCGCGATCGTATTAGCCAGGGACTTTAATTCGCCGAAAGACTATTAAAGCCTCCTGATTCTCCCGTGGATTGATTCTAAAGGCCATTAGATTAAAGTAGTAGTTGCTTTGGGGTAGTTGGAGTAGTAAAAGGTTGTTGTTCTGGAGAAAAGCAATAAGCTTAGGAGATTTTAGTATTACCTAATAAAAACTAAGCCTAATATAGCGTACGTTAATCCTAATACGGCTAGTACAGTCACGTGGTACAATTACATTATTATAGCCCAAATCGCACGTTATTATATTATAACCACTAAATGGGCAAATTATGTATAAAGGCCGATCCCTACCTCAACCTCCCATAGCTGGAATTGGTTTGGCGCGCTTATCGTTCCCGGACTGGCAGCGGGTGACTGCAGTCGTTATGACTTTGCAGGCCGTCCGAACATCGCCGATAGAAGGCATTGCCATTCTCGGAGCATCCTTGAGATACTGGAGTTTGTCGACACTGAGTGGAAGCGCGGCGACACAGTGTCAGGGATACTGCGGTTGGTATCCTCACTCTGCAGAACGGTTCCAGCCGGTCTCCAATCTGATGCTTCTCGCAAGCACTTTCCCACAATGCTCAATATGATGCGGACAACCTCATCAGATAGGGCATTGCTAGGCTGGGTCGAGCGGCGGAATCATGATGTAACACTGGCTAATAGGTCACCACAGACAGTGCATATCAAAGCCAATCTATGACACTTGGCCCAGCAATGATTGTCCAATGTATTTTTATGGATGACATTGTGCTGGCAGTCATAGCAGGCGGAGTCGGTCGTAGACCATGGAAGCTATTGACGCTCAGCAATGGAATGCCCACATCAGTGCGTTCTGTGCGGTGTCTCCCCTTAACAGTATTTCCCACAACCTCCAATGTGTCCTCTTTGGCTGCTGCTGGCTATTAGGCGTAGTCATCGGAGGCTACGACTTTGCACAGCGTTGCAATATCGCCGACGGACGGCGTTGCCAAATCCAACAGTGGGGTAATGATCCAACACACACCAGTATGCCCTGTACCTCCCCTTGTAACAGTCTCCTGCCCTCTTCGACTTGCCCTCCAATAGCCCAGTCTCATCTCCTACTACTGACTGGCAGATGACATGATTGCCGTTCGATTTTGCACAGCGATGCAACATCACATGCGGACGGCAATGCCATGTGTGGTAGGCGAGTAATGATGTAACCCACATCATTAAGTTGGTGCGGCATCGCTCCCCCTTAACAGTCTCCTGAGATCGCCCCTCACCCTCCAAGATCCTGCACTCGGTTTCATTTCTGGCGTTGTGCTGGCCAGTGCTAGTGAATTGCGCTTGTTCCGGCGTTGCAAAGAGTTGAACCTTCGCCCACGGAGGGCAATGCCCATTTTGCGCAGCAGTATGATAGTATATAGGTGTGTTTGGGTGTCCAGGAAGTATGATTCAGTCCTGGCAGCTCCTTTCGACGGAATCTCGGTCTTGCCTTCAGGCATGGCTAACAGTTGATATTGAAGGCGTAACGTGAGTAACCTGTCCGTTGTTTTGAGCGGTTTTTGTTGTAGAGATGCTTTCTCTCCGACATGGAGAGGCGCCGCGAGCGCCGCCTCCGCCTCTCGTCCTCCGTAGGTCTGAATTCCTTCTCCTGTCCTTATGCTTATATTTTACCTGCCCCGAGGTAAATAAGCCGAAGAAAGTGGTGGTGCTCTTGTTGTTTGCGTGGTTACAAGAGCAAGACCGTATACGTATTGTAATACGGTGACCACTTCTTCAATATCTAGTTGTTCGTAGATGACAACTTGCTTTGCATATTGATAGTGTGTATCGGAGGGTAGGGCCGAAAGTAATTCCATTGTTATATATCCATCTCGCAAGGCAGATTTAGAGCCGTGTGTGTGTGTCCAGTTCCAGTTCTCCGTAGACTTCTACTCATAGACTACCGAATCGAGGGACCGCGCCAGCTCATCATTTAACAGGGCTGTCCTAGCTGTTTGTGTTTCCCCGATCTTTCTCAAAACAGTTTCGTCCTCGTTTAGTTGCTCTCCAAGAGGGTGTTTAACTTTAGGATAGGGGCAGCCGGGTTGAGAAGTCCCTGACTCTCTCCCTCGTCGGCTCGAACAAGTCCAGCATAAAACTCCAAGCATATTCACCGTAGCTACCTTCATCGAGTTGCATCCTGTCGGCGTAGTAGCAACCATAACGTAGGGGCTTTAATCTGTACGTACCGATAGTACAGTAACTCGTAGATTGAAGTTGACGAGAGGTTGGCGCGTATGGCATCGGGGATTCAAAATGAATAGAGGAAGTCCGGGCTCCATAGCCTGTTGGTGTCCCACATAGATGGCTGATGGAATGAGGAAAGAGGAAAGAGTTTTCAAAGTCTGCGTTCGTTGTGTGCGTGTGTATTTGTAGGAAACCCTATGAACCTAATGCAAGTATCCGTCCAGAGCTTTCATTCATTGGTGATATGGAGTGGAACGATGATTATATAAGCATATTTTTCATAATCTGACCCCTCTGGCCATCTATTGGCATTCTAATGATATGGATGTACTGGCAATATGGCATTTTCAGGATATACTTAATGAATATACAAAGAAGTATGACCAGGCGATGTTGAAGTTCAAGGCTGTCAGGATCCCCAGAATGGACTAGCGACTCCATGGAGGCTGGAAGTCTGGGCACCAATCAGAACGCTCGCTCGTAGGGCGAATCTGAAGCTTCACGCCAGCACCAGCACCATACGTACTTCGTAGTATTGATTCCAGTAAAATACACAACACTCCTCCATAACAACCACACTAGCAATACCCATCATGGCTTCCAAGAAAGATATGCGGAGGCCCGACCTCAGTAAGTTCCCACCGCGACCCCCAATCTTCAGCCAATACTCACATCATATCCCCAGTAATCCCCTATCAAGTCCCAGCGCCGAAGGAGAACCCGAGCGATTTGTCCGGCACGATATCAAGCACCCTACCAATGGCGGCAATGTTCACGAGGAACAAGTACATCGGCTGGTACGCATAGTGACACGGAGAGTGCAGCATGAGATGGACACAAACTGATAGCGCGCGCAGGGCTTCTGTTGTGTTCGCAATTCAAAATTGGCTGGGCGAGAGCGCGGAGACGGCTAAGACGTCTTCGCAACCGGCATATTTTGCAGTCGGCATGGCCTGTAAGTCTCGGAAACCATCTCTTCTACGGATTGGAAATGCTAATATTTGGGTTCCGTAGTCATGTCCCTCGCCGTCGTACGTCCCCTCTCCGAATCACACTCGTGCTCCGCTCCCAATTAACTCTTTCTAGACATACATCCAACTCTTTTTACCACCTCCACCTGTAACAGGCCTATCGACAGATGCGCCTCCAGCGGCACCGATGCCGGGAGCTTAGGTTAATGAGTGGAGGAGTCTGTAATATGATGGGGGACTGATACTGAAGCTGTCATACTGTATACATAATGTGGGACTGTTGGATAAAAAGGGGCTGGGTGGCTGAGGATTGAACCAGCACTAGGCGTTGTACGTTGGAATGCATGGCTACCGTTATTTGGTCTGTACAGTCTACCAAATACATCAACCTTCGAAGTTCATGCCTGGCATTATATCTGAGAGCTACTATTTCTACCACCACCACCACGGTACCACTTTTGTGAGTTCCATATGGCGGTTGCAACTCATGGATTCTGGGAGTGAGATATTTGAACTGTTTGAGGCAATAGGGCAGCAGGAGTACGGCCAATAAGTTATGGGGCAAGTCATCTCATCAACTTGAAAGTCATTACAGTAACTTCAATAGCAAACCGAATAAGGCCCAATCGATCACTCACCCGTGGGCTCGAAAGCGAGAAGATGTGGTAAAATGTATGAGTTTAGCTGTGGAACCAGATACGATGTGCCACTGTAGACCCAGTCTTCCCGCCCAGGAACCGGTTACAGATGTGTTCCAAGAGTTCTAACTCGTCCACTCGGTAGTTGTATTAAACGGAGCCGTACTTGGTATGACCTAGCTGTTTGCGGCGTGCGGGACAAGATGTGGCGATTAAGATCCGGTATCGAAAAAGTAGCATAGTTGCCTCCGCTTGCGGTCGTAGTTTGTTTGTTTGCCTCACGAGATACTATACTTTGTAGATGAGTTACTGTAAGTTAAAAGATAACGTTATGTTTCAAAACAACCGGTATTTTTGATACTGTCATATCCATACGTAAGACTCCCATACTTGTGAGTAATAATAAGTTGTGAAGTTCCTAACCCTAGGGAGTCAGAAGACAGCGCCGGTCAGCAGGTGGCGATAGCGTCTCTCTATGAAAGCCGTTCAGGGCAAAACCGAAAATAAGCAGGTCACGTGGAGCGGTGTGTCCAGCTTAGCGCCACTCCAATAACCCCTCCTCTTGTGCTCAGCCCAATCCATCCAATTCTTCCGTCCACAACCACAACTACAAACATCGCCATCGCCATCACCATCTCCCCAACTCCTCAACTTTCGCATCTTCCCATCGTTACGATCAATCTCCACTCTTCGCAAACCGCTCTTCAGAACCTGATACCCGCGACACCGTCTCGCACTCCTCCCTCACCCTCGATACCAACAACACCTGCCCAAAGAGACCCAGGAACACTCGAGTTTATGTCAATCGAAAATCTCAAGACCTTCGGTAAGTACAAGTCCTCAGTCTGCATGCACGATGGTATGCGCGTGGCCTTGGGGATTTGTGAGGGAGTCATGGATACAATATGTCCGTGGTGCTCGCCAGCTACCCATCGCTAACCCTTCTATCGTTATTGCGCCCCCGAATCGGACCTCGTATAGTAGTGCACAGCTAACATTTCGCCATCGCAGACCCCTTCGCCGAAGCCGACGAAGATACTGGAGAGACAAAGCAGTCACAGAATTATATTCATATTCGTATTCAGCGTAAGTTCACCTTATCTTCCTTTGTTGTGTGGTCTTCCTGCATCAGCCTCGCCTTCGTTTGCCACCAGTCAAGATAAGCGCGCTGACTCAATTTATCCAACAGAGCGCAATGGTCGTAAGACTTTGACAACTGTGCAAGGTCTGCCCAAGAAATTTGACCAGAAGAAGATCCTCAAGGTCATCAAGAAGAAGTTCGGTATGTTTTGTTACGCACCCAATCATGAAGAATTGAATGGCGGCTAACGCGCTGCAGCTTGCAATGGCACTATCGTTGTCGACAGCGAGATGGGAGAGGTGATCCAGCTCCAGGGCGATCAGCGCAAAGATGTACAAGAATTCCTCACCGACAAGAAAGAGGGCCTGGAATTAGATGCCAAGACTATCAAGGTTAGATTCCCCTTGGCCTCGTAACGTATTGACCGCCAGCTAATCATGTCTACTTCAGGTCCATGGTTTCTAAACCCATCGAATCCTGTCCCCACCAGCCATCTTCATGAGGATCATCGATAGAAGTGCGCTGGCAACAGCCTTTTCTTCCCAGCTTCTTGCCCCGCCTCTGTATCCACATGGTTGGGTTCGACCCTCACCCTTTCTGGTACGGTTCGATATGGGGCGTTTTCGATGATACCCGCATTCTTCACATAGAACGCAAGCGTGGCTGGCATTCGGCTTTAGATTGAAGAGGGCTTCTCTCTAGACAGTATTATGCTCAACATCAGGATTTGCTTATTTTGCGTTTGCAGAAATATGTATATTACCGGAGGATTCGCTGCGTGACCCTTGCTCTCCATATCCAGGACGAGGGGCATAGCATGTTGGTTCTGACAATACCAGTTGTTGCAAATTACGAACTATGTGTATCAGGCAGCGCCGTGAATTGAATTTACATGAAATGTGATGCTATAACTCCCTCCCCACCATCCCAACCATACCCACGCCAATCTTAACATATTCCCACGCCTGCTTCGCAATCAAGAATAAAGGCACTGGCGGATCGTTCGCCCTCGTGAGATGTAATTGCAATAAAAGACTAACCATACTGATAAAACTCGTTATGGAAAATACAGAGATGGAAAGAGATGTCTCCTTTAAGATTGCGAGACGCGGATGGGTTAGATGGTAGAGGAATGTTAGAGTCTGTTTTATACCGAGTTTGTCAGCGCAACTCAAGAACGAAAGTGCTTAAAGGAAGGAAGAGGGAGGGAGAAGGCTTACACTAGCTATGCTTATCCAAGCTGGGAGTAGGAGTCGAGGATCTTCTGAGCCGCCCGAGAGATAGAGGACCCAGGATGTTATGTATGCGTTTACAGAGTTGATGGTTAGGAGGCGAACGAGCGTTGCTTGGGGGGTGTAATTTAGAAGCCTAGGATCGGGATGTGTTAGATCGTATGGCGGAGTGGGGAGGAGAGGAGAGGAAGGGACTTACCAGCGAGACATAAGACAATCGGTGAAATAGAAGGATAGGTAGGCGGATGCGCAGCACTTGGGATATAATCAGCAATTGTTCTCTCTCCTGCTCCCCGCTGTTATAGTCGTATATTCCACGCCGTCCCCCTCTTCCTAGGATATCATCTCCGTAGTTTATCCTTGTCTCCTCCCACAAGACGAGCACACATCAGTTTCGATAATAGAAATACGCTAACATACCCAAAGAACTGCCAAAAACACCTCCGTAACCCGAAACCTCCTCTCAACACTCCACTGCCCCCCAATCCCCGCAATATCTTGTCCCCCGCCCACAATCCCAGTGCCACTATCACTATCCAACAACAACTCCCCCATAAAAGTCAACGCACACCTTAGCCCCCACCATGCCGCCGGCGCCGTGCTAAGAGCGCGGCAGAATAGGAGTGGGAGATGCCAGTGTTTCGCTACTCCAAGGAGGACGGCGACGCGTGGGTGGAGGACGGAGGGTCTACGCTCGGGAGAGGCAGGTGGGCTTGGATTTCCGTTTATATTTGCATTCTGAGAATGTTGGGAAGATACCGACGGGGGAGAGGGCGAGGCAGGCGTATAATCTGGCGGTGGAGAAAAGGGAGCTGTGGTCGGAGGAGACGAAGGGTTATGGAGATTGGACGAGGGGGGTCCCGAGGATGCGAGGCGCTGATAAGCCAGTCTGCTGGCGGATTAGGGCATATGCTGCCGCATTGCAGTTGAGGGTTGCTGAAGGGAAAGAAATCGGGAAAGAAGAGCAATGGCAGAAAGAGATAAAATTGAAATAGGTCGTGGTGATACTGATGAAAGGAGGAACATCAGCAGAGAAGGCGGAGACCGTCGACAGCCTCGCTACGTGGGTCGAAGGAGGCGCGCCAGCCTTGGCGGCTCGCGCGGTTGATTTCTTATAGCTGCTACACTTTTGCATTGTAACCTATATGGATTGATATATCTATGTATTTTTCCTTCAATCAGCACGAGAGAACGAAAACTATATAAACATTCATTCCATGGATATTTTTGCACCGAACTGAACACTCCCAATTAGGAACTTCATCTCAGGAACCATCGGCGTCAAGCGCCGAGGTTTACCCGCCCCATCTCCAAAAAAAAGATCCCCAGGAACCTACAACAACAGCTTCCCCGTCCTCCCCCAATGGCGACTCTCTTCCGACGGCCGCTCCTTGCGGGCATAGGCTTATCATCACAGCCCCTAAACCGACGATGTTTCTCCCAGATCCCAGCGCTACGAGCACAAGGCCCCCCATCCAAAGGGGCGGCTATGCGTACACCAAGGAACCCAGAGAGGAGCTTCCGAGTAATGCAGAGTTCAGCGGCTGGGAAGCAGGAACTACCTAACGATATGGGAGTATTAGAGAGTTCGTCTTACCTCTCTTCGAACCGGGTCTAAAAACAGCAATGAATGACGGTGGCTAACTGGCGTTGCGAAAATTAGGCACATTTATACCTCCGTACGCAACGGTCAAATTGACCTCCACACCCCTCCAATACCTCTTCCTACAATACAAGCGCCTCCGCTACAAGGCACGCAACGTATTCGCGCTCTGTGTCTTCAAATTGTCATCCCCCGCCGACCCCAACGGCCGATGGTATAGCCGCACGGTGAAACTGCACGGCGGCCGCATCACGCCCACGGCGCTGGCACTGCACAAGCAGATGTACTCGGCTTTCGCGGAGGGGGATTCCCAAACCCTGCGGAAAATCTGCACGGATGGGCTGTATGATAGTTTTATGGCGCGGTTGGCGGCGCGGAGGAAGGGCGAGCAGGTCGTTTGGGAACTGGTGCAGTATAATAGGAGGGCGAAGATGGTTAGTAATAGGGCTGCCAGGTATCCCATTGAAGGGAGTGGGGTGATGCAGGCGGTTGTTCGGATTGATTCTACGCAGAGATTGACGAGGTTGGATCAGGATGGGGAGGTTATTGGGGGGAGTGGGAAGGCGAAGGATGCCGTGGAGTATTTGGTGTTGCAGAAACAGTTCCATAAGTGGACGGGTGCGGAATGGAGGGTCTGGGGAACGGTCGAAGAGACGGATTTGGATACTTTGAGGGCGTGGGAGAAGGATGATGATTAGTGGGCAAGGAAGGAGGGGATTTGTATGTTGGGCAAGTGTGTATGATACGTGTAGAATGGCGGAAAAATGCCTAGGTTATACATGTACATCAGATATTCTAGAGTGATATAAATATCGAGCAGACCTTACTCTATTCAAACTTCCATATGACGGTTGGGCATGATTTCTATATCTTGCACTAGGGACGTATAAACCGATATGCCAAGGTATAAAGTTCAAAGATCTACAGAAACGTTACACAATGGTAAGCAGACAATTTGTATAGTAAATAAGCTCAATTCAAACTACTACTATCCGCCCACTCGATAACATTCTGTCCACTGTATTACAACCCTACGGGAATAGAGGTTCACCAAACTCAGCAAAGGAAAGGCCCTGCAACGAAAGAGCCTATTAAATCCATACCACGCCTCAAGCCAACTTTTTATACCCGCCACGCCTCTCGTCTCTTCCTTGACCAGACTAGAAGAACTTTCCCTTGTTATCAATAGTCACAAGACCCTGACTAGCAATCCTCTGGACCTCATCCCCCTCAGCATCCTCTCCCTCGCTCACAATCCTCCCTACAGGAAGTGGCTTATCCAGAGCATCAAATCTGGTTCCCTTAATCTTCGACATAACGAAGTGGAAAGAGATCCTCAAGGCGCATGCTCCGAATCCCCAAAGCAGCCCGCCAAAAGGCGCAGCCACAAAAGCGCCAAAGGCACTCCAGTCATTGCCATATAGACCGCCCTGCAACAAGATGAGGTTCGCGCCCTCTTGCGCATTGCCGAAGTATATGGTACCGAAGATGAACACGGTCATGATACCGCCTAGTCCTCCAACGACGACCTCGAACCCTCGCCACCAGTAGAAACGTTCACTCAGCCCTAGGACGAGAACGGGGATGGAAGACGCGGAGAAGAGATCGGAGATGAGGTAGATTTGCAAAATGCTGGGAGCCTTGAGCGCTAATACCACAACGGGGAATATGATTAGGACCACGGCACCACGGATCCACCAGATGTTGAGTTTATTGCGGAAGAGATCGTTGGATGCGGTGGAGACCATGGCGGATTGGAGGCTGTCGAACGCGGCGGTGCTGAGTGTTACGACCATAACGAGGACGATTCCAATGGTCCAAGAAGGCAGTTGCTCAAGGAGGTAGAAGAAAGCTACACTGCCCTCTTGGTCCGGGTTGCTGGGATCGAACGCGCCTGACCAGACAGCAATGAATCCTGTGGATCCGACGAGAGTCAGGATGAGGAGGGCGACGACGGTTGCGACCGATACGCCGATCCAGAGGTCTTTGTCGGTCTTGGACGCAAAGGTACGAATCCAGAAGTTGGACAGGAAGAAATCGTTGGTCAAGACTGCCACAGGAAGGATGTACAAGAGCTGCCAACCCAGTAGACTGGTGTGAGTTAAACCAGACGGCTCTATGAGGCTTCTGTCAATCTTGGTCTTGACTCCAATAGTGATCGTAGCGATGATAACTGGATATTATTAGCTGTTGGTTCGTAGTGTGTGGTAGTGGGACTTACTGAGACCAATCACCATGACTCCTTGCAATGTGTCCGTAATGAAGGAAATCTTGAATCCTCCGAGTGCTTTATGGAATTAGCTGCAAATCCACCATAGAATCATATATATATGCTCACAGGTATATATGGTGGTGACGATACACTGGACGATGATCATGGGGAGGCCATCCATTCCAGTCAAAACAGTCATGATTTGTCCCACAGCAGAAAGCTCAGCGACCATGTATAAGAACATGGTCGCGCAAGTCAAGAAGCTTATATAACATGCGGCGATTATACCATACCGCTGCCTGGTCCACTCGGTCAAGACAAACCCCTCGGGGCATTTTGAGCGAATGATCGGCCCAAGGAAGGCAAAGATCATGAGAGGGCCGGCTGAGGTAATGGCATAGATAACCGTACCTTGGACACCCGTGATGGTTGCGAGCTCGGGATAAGCGAATAGGATACCTGATCCGAGTGCTGTAGATGAAAGTCACCTAAGATTAGCTACTAAATTCATGGGAAATGGAAGGAATATCATCAAAGCGGCAGACACTTTCCCACGCAAGCATTAACTTGATCGAGTATTACGGTGCAATCTCAGCTTCGTCTCAACAGGACCAGATATCTCTCCCACGCAGCATAGGCGTGGAAGTTGGATATCTGGTTTCTGAATCGACTCAGCGCCCGTAGTGAAGCCGCCTGGTCTTCCCCAGTCCCTTCCGTCCCCTTCAGTCTACATAGAGCGTAGGCGAAGGGAGTTTCGACTTCAGGGGGTCTGGGGGAGACCGGGCTGTAGATGAATACGAACCTCTTCACAACTCATTCTCTCAAGGACTCCGATGCATGTGCTTTGCGTATGCTGGGTTGGTGGTGTATATATATTTATATATATATGCTGCCGCATTTTGTTGATTCTAAGCACGCTGTTGCTGATTTACTAACCAGACGCGATGAAGTTCAGAGCCAACGGCAATGCTACAACACCACGGGTTAGCTGGACTGCTTCCGAGAGTAAGGTAAAAGAATCGAGATTGCTTGATCCTATTTGCTAAGATATAGGCAGAGAGGGTTTATGGGCTTGATAGAAGGCTTTGAGGATGCCGCGGAGCACCAATGCGTGGGGGTCATGGAGTGGGAATTCTGACCAGTCTGAGTCCTGTTGCTCGAAAGGAATTCGCTCTGGTGTGGTTTCACGGTCAGCGCCATTCGACCTCGCCCAGCAGGACAATGCCGCGAGAGCAGACAACATTTGCAGGAGGGGTCTTCCTCTACCTTTGTTTGATGTCGCAGACCCCATGCGACTGAGCATCCGAATACCCTGTGCAGCACGATTTAGCTCCCACTCTGCCGGACAAGAACAAGCTTTCCAATGCGACAATTGCTACGCAACTAGCTTTCCACGTACAGGAATGCCCCGTAGGACAGGTAGATGATGGCATTGCTCGCCTGGGTGGATGGCTGGCCCATCTTGAATCGAACCGTGGAATAGGTAGGCTTATCGTAGACGAGAGCGGGGATTGATTGCAATATATGCGAACTTAAGAGAGCTGATGCTGGAATAGCAAACAGAGGATACCGGGACTTTCACGACAATATCTATACGATGACGAAAATAAGAACCAGAACGAGGATGCGGGCGTGTGGGATGTTTATATTCAAGAACCCAGTCCACCAGTCCCGACTTCGCAGATAAATTTTCGAAGGAACCCGGAGGCCTAGAAGCTATCCATGTCATCCATAATCCCCATCCATGATCCTCATCCATGATTAATCCCTCTCAATCCCACCCTGAGAAGCCCCCAACCCGGCGGGGTGCCAGACCAAAAGTTGCTTTTTCCAAGCCCTAAGACTCTAAGGGACTCTAATAAGCCTCTAAGGCCTCTAAGAGCCCCGTAGCTGATCACGATGACCAAGGAGGTTGCAGAACCAGCAGATTGATAGGCGGGTGCGCAAAGCTCCAAGCCACATTACAAGGTATTCATTCCACTGACAGCGTGGGGCATCTCGGCCAGCAGCGGGACAGCGGTTTTTCCCTCCGAATTGGCGTCACACGTTTGATAGCTTTGATAGAAAATTATATGTTTGTTTACTTCATGCAATTAACAATCAGGTACGAGTATTATTACACTCAGGAGTCTCGGGGTTACCACAATTGAGAAAGGCAGTGAATAGTAATAAGCCGGCCATCAATCCTACGATGTAGTGCATCTGGAGCGCCAATTGCCCGCTGGAGAGGAGGGGAATTCCTTCCCACGCTACGGAGTATGTCCATGTCATAAGCATCTTGGGATCTCGTCAGGTACAAGTACGAAGTACAAGCACCTATTTATCTGGTACCAGACTGGTATTTTATTTATCACGGCCCACTGCGACCAATACCTACTTGACGCGCCAACAATTGCTGTCTCTTCCGTCGGATTATGTCGTTACCTCCACTGCTATCGATGCGCTCCCAAAATTGCTGTAGGCAAGGGTCGGGAGCTCTACGGTATCGATGAGAAGACGCCGCGGTTCATAACATCAGATCGCATCTCAGCCTACTATCTAGTAATGTGAAATGTACGGCGCATCTCCCTTCCAGCTCCCTTTATTTTACCCTGACAAAACATAGGTAACTAATGCGGTTCCTCTTCCTCTCCATGGCATTCCAACGAAAGGCCTCCTAGTCCTCGTATCTGCCCACTGGTCGAACTCCTCCCAACCTTCCCTCCAGTATACGAACCCATTTCCTCTCCTCCTCCAAAACTACTCCATGCAGGCAGGTCTGCGCCCTGAAAATCTGCCTGGCCGAAGCCTCCATCCTGCTCAGCTGGAAATGATACCAATGGATAGGCACCGTCCACGGTATGCCCATGGTGGCCAGCCTTCAAGAATTCTGAAAATTCAAAAAAGGTCCGATTCATACTCCTAGCAAAAAGGCCGAAGCCGGGGAGCATGACGATAATATGTCCCCCGCCGAGGCCGCGAAAATCGTTGGCGCCAAGTATGCCGAGAGGATTGAGAAGTTGGCTCTGAGGATATACAAAGCCGCAAGTGGCTATGCCAGAGAACATGGTATTATCATTACGGATACGAAATTCGAGTTTGGGTTGGATGAGGAGACTGACTGATGAGGTGGTGATTGTGGAGGAGGGTCTGACTCCAGATTCGAGTCGCTTTTTTGGCCAGCGTCTAGTTACCCGCTGGGCAAGGAGGGCGCGAGCTTCGATAAACAAGACTTGAGAAATTAGTTAGCGAGGGAAGGGCTGAAGGGAAAGGATGGCGTAAGAATACCGGAGAATATAGTCTCAGGAGGAGTTTGAGATGCGGACGGGGAAGAAGTTGGAGGGTGTGATCAGAGAAGGCAGTTAGTTGATCGTGCCATTCACTTGACTTTAGATAAGAATTCGGTGCCTTTTTATAACTATTTAGATGATTAAAACTTAGCTATAACTTAATAGTTTCGGAATTAGGGGCCTACATCCCATTCCATGAAAATATTCCAAGGGCAATCCAACTCCCAACTACAAGAACTAGAGAGTCATCGCACTTCATTATCAGTACGCCTTCATAATGCCCCATCGCCATCCAACTACCAAGGCAATTGCAACGGCGTGGGTAAATTCTTCCCAATCGTTACCTCCGCAGTGCCAATATCCCCTACTTCGGTCAGTATTTTCGTCATGTTTTTTCGAGCTCAAAAAAGAAAAAGACTTACTCGGCCCTCTCGGTGCCCAATATTGCCCCGTTTTACTTATATCTAGTTTCTCCGTCCACTCCAGAAGACTCTTCGCTGCTTCGTCTGGTGTAACCGCTACTTATATATCAGCACCATATCTCAAAAACCACATCTAGAATTTGTCCTCGTCTCTTTTATAACGGCAGGTTGGGGGAATGGAATAAACCTACCACCGCCATCATCCCAATACTTATCAAACCCCACCCCCTTTGTCATTTCCGTCCTCATGAACCCAGGATGTAATATACTAATAATCACCCCCTTCTCTTTAAGATCCAAGCTCAATAGCTTACCCACCATATTCAGCGCCGCTTTGCTTGCGTGATGGCCGTAGTTCCCTCCCCCTTCCTTTTCGTGGCGGAGGGTTATGGATCCGGATTCGGAGGAGATGAGGAGGACTTTTGACCCGCTGCGGAGGTAGTGGGCTTGGGTTAGGGAGTGGATTATGAACGGTGGTGAGATTGCGGATATTTCTATGGTTGGTGGCGTTAGAGAAGCCGGTTGGATGTGATAGGGAACGAGGAGTTACGGACTGTACATCTTAATCTCCTCTTCCCATTTCGGCCCACTTGCGAAGTCTTCTGTTGCGAAGTATCCCGCTGTGATGATCTATTTCACAAATCAATCTTTATGATCATCATGGCTAACACATCTACAAACTCACCACAACATCAAATCGTTTAACCTCCCCAACCCCGTCTGCCTCCAGCTTCCCCAATTGATTCAGCAATCTCTTGCCTACATCCCCTTCGCTAACATCTATATCTGCAACCCATATAATTTTCTCATTCAAGCCGCTCGGTCCGGTCGTGGAACGTGTCGTGCCGTAGACTGTGGTATTTGGCTGGGAAGCGTAGGCATTTGCCAGGGAGGCACCCAGGCCTCGAGTTGCACCGATAATAAGGATGTTAGGCATTGTTTAGTTTGCACATTTCCGAAGATCTGGAGGGGAATTGAATCGAGGGGTTGTGGAGGATGAGGAAAGACGAGTTGAAAATGACGTAATCGCATATTATCAGCTTATCGTGGTTCTTGATGCTCTTATCGGTGATTATAGAGGTTTTTTCATTTATATTTTAGATTCTGCTGTAAGAACTGCTTTTGTAATTAGTGCTGCTATGTTATATCAATGGCAGTGCAAGATAGACCAATTTCGTTGTGTGTGCATCACTTCTCCAGTTGGGGAACTGTTGGTAGGGGAACCCCACATTGGGTGACGATAGCTTGAGCCCTGAGGCGGGGGATAGCCTGAGCAAGCTATTCCAAAAAAAGGAAATCTTCAGGATGTCTCCATTATCAAATTAACAACTGCACTTTTAAAGAAATCAAAGTAAAAGGCTGAAGATATATCCTGATGCAAAAGTCCAACATCAGTTCAATTAAAGGGAGTATCAGCAACTCCGTGAAATCAGGTTAAAACACTATGCTTTCAGATATGTTCACATAGAACTAAATAGCAGCAAGGTAGCAAGCTACTTCTTGTTTATTACCAAATAATATACAACTCTATTGACTGTTGATGACGACCTAGGATGTTGCTGTTGCTTCAGGGGTAGTGTAACCCCTATTTCATATGCGAATCGTGTACAAGTCTCCAGGCATTGTAGCCGAGGCACAGGGATTACCCCAACCTCCATCCCCTCAGTTCCATCACCCTACTCCAAACCACTTATAGATGAAACCGACACCATCCAGATGTTGACCTTGTAACATATCATATCACAACCGGAATCGGTGCATACCATTCTATTTCACCAGCGACTGAGCGCTCGTTGCCTTCAGGGAAATAGAGATGTCTCAAGCTTTCGGCTGCCCTACTCCCTATGCGGAGCCATTGTGGTATTCGAGGAACGTTTCACCTCATTATACAGACTCACACCGCAAGCTTCGAGCAGCTGTTCGGAAATATGTTGACGAGGAGATCCTTCCATATGCTTTTGACTGGGAAACTGCAGGCCAAATCCCGGATCAGGCACGTGACAATCCCCCGTTCCAACTCTCTTTGCATATCATTGATATACTAACAATCATCCCAGGCCTTCAAACGCCATGCCGAGCTTGGATATTTAGCCTTAAGCACTGGACTGTCGAATGTACCATTACCCGGAGGGATCCCTTTTGAGGAGTGGGATTCATGGCATACCCTCATCGTATCTGATGAGCTCACCAGAGTCGTACGGCTATCCTTCTCTCGTTGGTGATATATCATATCTAATCTGTATAGGGTTACACTGGTGTTAGCTGGGGCCTCGGCGGAGGGAACGGAATCGGTGTTCCCCCTATTGTGAACTTTGGTACCCAAGCTTTGAAAGACAAATTCCTACCTGGTGTAGCTGACGGCAGTATCCGTTTCTGTCTCGGAATTACGGAGCCTGATGGTAATTCTCAATTCTGAATCCGGGTTGTTGCTTTGCTGATTGTTGCTATAGCTGGATCCGATGTGGCAAATATCAAGACCACAGCAATCCGGAAAGGGGACCAATATATTGTCAATGGCTCGAAGAAGTGGATAACCAACGGCATTTGGGCAGACTATGTAACAGCTGCAGTGCGAACAGGTGGTCCTGGCGCCACAGGAATTTCCTTGTTGATTATCCCCCTCGCCGCCCCCGGTGTCTCGAGACGTCTGATGCATAATTCCGGGGTCGGTGCATCAGGAAGCACATTCATCACACTTGACGATGTCTCCGTTCCTGTCTCTAATCTCATCCATAAAGAAAATCGTGGATTTGAAGTTATTATGTCGAACTTCAATGCGGAGAGAAAGGCTATTGCCACACAATCGATCAGGCTGAGTAGGGTTTGTGTCGAGGATGCTTGGCAGCATGCTTGTACCAGAGAGACCTTTGGCAAGAAGCTGATTGAAAATCCGATTATCAGAGCTAAATTCGTGAAAATGGGGAGGATGATCGAGCCTGCTCAGGCATTTCTAGAGCAGTTGACCTGGCTGATTGAGCTGGAGCGGAAAAACGAAGGGAATGGCGCTTCTGATGTTCGTATCGGTGGAATGACTGCTATGCTGAAGGTCGTCAGTACGAGATGCTTGGAAAAGTGCGTGAGGGAAGCTCAGCAGGTTATGGGTGGCCTTGGATACGCGAGGGGTGGGAAAGGGGGAAGGTATGTCTCTTTGTATCTTTGAGGATCATAAATACTGACAGATAAATAGGATTGAAGCCATCTCTCGAGATGTGAGGGTTATGGCAGTCGGTAAGATTATTCGAAAACAACACCTCATAGCCGTCTACTAATGATATGTGTTTTAGGCGGTGGAAGTGAAGAGATCATGAGCGAGCTAGCTATCAGAGAGGAGACGAAGGACCTGAGGAAGTATTCGAAACCTCCGAGTAAACTATAATTCGTGTAAGTAATAAAGAACTGAAAATGAGTTTTATCTGAGTAGCAAAACTTACTTCCTTCGCAAGACCGGAATGACAAAAGCAGAGGGGAATAAGAAAGCTGGCAGCAGTAGGGTCGCGTTGCCTCGAGCGCGTAGGCTCGCTCGCCAACTTGAGCAACCCACGATACACGAGTTCGTTTGTTAAAAAAAAAAACCTTCAGCATCCATCATAAACAATTTAATTCAAAACAGAGGCAGGAATTAGAGGCAAAGATATTATTGTATACTCCGGAAGCAAAAGAGTTCGGCCCGGTGTCGTTTGCCTACATCTCTTGTCGTTTTTTATTGTTGTTGTTTCCCTTTTGTTCCTATCGTCCCTAGCGACCCCATAAGTACAATTTGACCCGAGCCACTTGACCAAGTGTCACGCCCTTGTACTTCGGTAACGGACATTTGCTTATTTTGTGTTATATACCTTACCCCTTGGGGAGGGGGGGCAGAATGAGGCAAGGCGGTAGGTAGGCACGTTACGCGCGCTACACGGTCTATACAGGCTAGAGGGGTTCTTGATCTAACCCGTCCTTCAGCTCTACTTCTTCGAGCCGGTCCGAATTCCTTGGATGGCCATTCAGTGCCAATTAATTCTGAACCACGTGAATAGGTAATAGCTTGGTCAGTTGACTGCATCAAACTCTTCTTGTAACATGCAAGAAGCTGTATTTTCTGTGGTACTATTTCCTTGCACCTCATAAACACCTCCATTTTACCCCATGCGTGGCCCTCGAACATGACCATGCTTATAAATGCAACCACATAACCAATCTCTTCACCCAGGCACAACTTAGGAACCTCAACATCTATCACCTTTGATTATTTGGCGTGGCTTACTTGACGCCCGTGGCCTAAACCTACCTTGATCTAGCACAACTCGCTATCTTATCTCTTATTATTCCCGGAACATGAAATTACTCCTTCCATACAGCACATACAGAACTACTTGAGCAGATACGACACCCCCCTCTCTTTGTATAGGGAGATGTGTTGTGTAAAATGCCTCGTTAGCTACGAGAGGATTAGGAAACTATAAATACGTCAATCCGGTCTTTCAACGAGTCTCTTAAACTAGGCGGGATAACTTCCTAGGAATATATTCATACGCGAACAACTTGGTTTGCGTTGTGTTTCCAAAAAACGGATTAACCGATGAGGAAATTGGCCTTGGTAGAACGTTGTTGGTGGTGTCTGTAGAAATTCCGAACTTGAAAAAACAACTATTTAGCTAAATTATAAATAACTATGCCTATTACTGCTGTCAAGTTTATATCTTATTGTCAACATTCTCATTGCTGTTAAGATTTCTGTCACTGTCGGCACCGTGACTTGAGTTACATATGCAGTATCCGTGAGAAATCAACCATATAACCTAGATCCTCCACCTCCTACGTAATGCCGATTTCCTGTAATATTGTAAAGAGCGTATCTTGGGAACTATCCTTCCAGACCTACTGTTGCAGCTTTGCTTTAGGTTGTTTGAGAGGCTAGGTTGTGTCTTGACTTGCCTATCATGTACTAAAATACAACCGGGGCAAAATCCCATACTCTTAAATATTAGAAAACGATAAAGTACATCTATTCGTTAGGTTATGAAAGAAATATTACAGTTTACTGATATCTTTTGCTAAATTTAGATCAAGTGTTCAGAATAAATTTTAGTCTTGTATCACTCTCCCTTGCAAGCTTTGGGGACGGGAGCAGCAAAAAAGGTAATTCCGTTGATCTGTATTTGCAAATCATAATATTGTAATTCATGTGTCTTGTTGCTTCAAGTGATCATAAATTACATCACACTAAAGGTGAGCGGTAATAGAGAGGAAAATAATATAGTCCGGGAGTTGACTGTGGCTACCGCGAGGCTAAACTGTACTATACTTAACTGCCAGCAAGCGAACATCAGGTCAGAGCCAGAGAAGGCGGAATGACGCAACCTTTGTCACAGGAGCAACACGCTGTTCGGCACATGCTAATCAGGATTCGTGATCCTCATTAAGTTGACAAGCCGCGCATCGACTGCTCACCTGCACCAGAACACTGTTCCGGCCCATTCCAGCCCAACCCAGCCCAACCCACCACTTCAGCTTAAATCCAACCACGCCAAACCGGCACTAAAACGAAAGAGATTACACTTTACGGAGCTTTGTTAAAGGGTTCAGGAATATAAAGATATCTCTCCCCCTTCCGATAATCATCTACATATATTGAGTGTTTGAGATTCAGGATTTGAAAGTCGGATAACTCACCTACCTAGCAACGAGTTCAGAGCAAGCACACAACACAACCCACCACATACCACCTCAACAAACAAATTAAATATGGCTAGTTCGCATTTGGACGAAGGAGTGAGCTCTTATCGATTGATTGGGAGGGGTGAATGCTGATAATTGATGATGGTGGCAGGTTAATAAGAAGGGTCATAGTTCTGAAGGACACGCAGGAGGAGGACGAGGAGAGCCTGGGGCGAACTTGGCTGGGGGTTTTTTGGGCGGAGAGGTGAGCTCTTATGAATTGATTGGGAGGGGCGAATGCTAATTATTGTGGCAGGCTAAGAAGCAGAGTCAAGGAGCAGAAGGAAGAGGAGGAGGAGGAATGGGGCTGGCCAGTGGGTTTCCGGCCGGGCCAGGGGTGAGCTCTTATCAATTGGTTGGGAGGGGCAAAAGCTAATGCTTGTGGCAGGCTAAGAAGGAGAGTCATGGAGGAGGAGGAGGATTGATGGGGATGGCCAGTGGGTTTTCGGCCGGGCCAGGGGTGAGCTCTTATCAATTGATGGGAGGGGCAAATGCTGATGATTGTGCCAGCATAATCAGAGTGGAATAGCCCAGCAGTATGGGCATAAGGGGAGTTCAACATATCAAGGGACCCCGCAGTATGGAGGTCAGAACCCAACATATCAAGTGAACGCGCAGCAAAACTTCGGACAGTACGGCGCCCCACCACCGCATAGCGCTCCAGGCGCAGATCTACCACCGTCACAGCAGCATTATGGTCAGGAGGCCCAGCAGTTCGGGGAGCAGCAGTTCGCGCAGCAGCAGTATGGAGCGCCACCTGCTGGGCGGCCCCCGAAGAGACAGTAGGAGTTTGGCGGTGTTCCACCCAGCGGTTATGGGCCACACTAATAGTGGAATTAGCACTCCTGCCGCCTTAAGCGTCGGCAATAAAACACACGTGCTAAAACAAAATCATTTTATTTCATCTGACGTGTGACAAACACCGTGATATATCGTATAAGCCCAGGCTCCCTATGTTTTACTCAGCCACCATTATCAAGTCTGGTCATGTGTGTGGCGTAAAATGTCGTGTATATAGCGTAAAGAGTAGGTTTCTCAAACTTTATACAGGCGGGTGCGCGGCAGCGTGCTGGTGCCTAGGTACTATAGCGCTATCACTCGTCCCCTTTACATTATTATCATCACAGTAAGCTAATATAGATAGAGCCAGTTAAGTACTCGCGTAAGGCGTTCCTCCTAGCGTTCCTGATTTATACTATGCCCTTATAGATTATAGTAGTATACCTCGCCCTATTTCTTTAAGAATAAAAATAAAGATAGAAATATAATTGTTACTAAGACTATCTTTAAATTATAAACTAAAATAAAAAATAAATAAAATAAATACTTAGTAATACGAAAGATATTTAGCTTTTACTAGACTAGACTAGTAACTAAATTCTAGAAATATAGTAATAAGACTAAATAAAATAGCTTTACTTTAATAGAACTATTCTAGACGAGACTTCGGTATATATACATTTCTATAATACCTATATATCCCCCTCCCTTTCAAGAAAATGTCGAACTTTATTTCTTCAAACAGCAAAATCTCAGCACAATATCAATCTCGCATGCTATCGCACTACATAAAGAGCCCTGCAACCTTCCAGAGCGCCTCGCGAACAACCTGCCTGTCGCTTCCGTTAATCAGAGCGCTCAAAAGATGGGACAAATTCTGCAAGACGCGGCTTTTGTCCTCGAAGGACAAAATGATGTGGAGAGGGAATGGGAAGGTAGTAGGAGAGCCTGGCGAAGATGGTGACAAGGTACCTGGAGCGTCCGGCCTTGGGTCTGGCTCCAAGAGGAAAGAATGAAGTAGTTTGGCTTCGCGGAAGGTTATGATATGGGAGGTTGTAGTATAGTGTGTTGTGACATTTGTCACCTGGAGTGTTATTCTTGCCTCGAATGAAAACGGGAAATGGGACATGGCTTATTGATGCTTTTTGTTGAAAGACTAATCACTAATGTGGAGATTAATTCTCGCTATTTGCTTCAGCTAGAGACACTTCTTATTCTTGGGAGTCGTCTAAAGCTTGCTTATCATTTTGATCCCACAAGAAGCCGGAATCAAGGTTGTTGTGTACTGTCGAGTAAACTTCTGTTGGGGAAAACATTAGAGAGCCAGGAGCATTACGCGAAACATCCTGGGATGGTTCGCGGGCTTGCGATATCTGGGCTGCTGTTGAATTTTGCGCTAAGGGTATGTCCCCAAACCCAGTTGCCTGAAAGGCAAATTCCAGGCCATCCCCTTCAGTAATGGCCGATGAATCGGTCCAAAAACCAGAATCACTTTGAGAATGAGGCGGTTGTAAGAATGACGGCATCCACGGCATCTGAGGAAAAACGGAGCCGTCATAACTAGATGAGGGGAGGTCGAAAGGTGCCGGTTGATACATAGAAAGGCCGTCGTCATTTGCACCTTGTGGAGGGAGAACTGGCATCTGAGGGGATCTGCCGTGACCTTCCATAGCTGGTCTGACAGATACCGACTGGTGCCTGTTGATAATATCCAAGAGCGGGCCAACAAGTGTGGGATCTCCTACCAACTGCTGAACTTCGTTTCGGAGAAGGGGGTCATGCAACCGGGCGCTAGCACAAGACTCGTCGTAAGACTTTTTGCTCACATTTTCGTACCCTGTAGTTAGGTTATTAGATATCTGCTCATTTAGTGGCATACTCAAATTCTTACATGGGGATGGGATGCTAGAGATTCCAACTGTGGGAAACAATATTTGGTACACCATTTTCCAGTACTGTACTTCTTCTACACCCCTCTTCTTGGGTCGGAAACGCCTTTCCTGATTATCGTCGAAACCATCTGCATAGTTCCTATCAAGCTTCACAGTGCAAGCTGTTGTGGCTTTGTAGTGAGCTTCAAGTTCTACATTGTCTTTGTAAATTGAGCAGCATCTGGAGCAAACTTTCACCCAATGCCGTTTGTACAAATGGTCCCTAGTTTAAGTTAGTACGAAAGTGCGTTTCGGCCTTGACGGGTGATCTATCTTACTTTAGACGGGCAACAGTTGGCCAACCAACGGGACCGTGGCAAAGTTTCATCGAGCCGTATCGTCCAGGGTCATGTTTAAAGTATGGGCATGCAAGGTTCAGCTTGGGTTCCTCTCCACTGGTAGTAGGATTTGGGCCTAACGCAGGTTTCTTGTTGGGGCCGTCACCAGAATCGCCATCTCCACCGTCTGCTCCATCTTCAGGACTTTCGTGAGACCGCTTCTTCGAAGTCTTATTGGAGCCTTTATGTGTGCCACCTATAGGAGCATGGCTGCCAGACCCAGACCCAGACACAGATCCAGAGGGAGCTTGTGTAGTAGTACTTGAGCTGCGTGAAGAAGAACGCGGCGTAATTTCTAGGGTTTTCAAAAACGAGTAGCCAATTCGATCAGGCCAAGATCTCGAAGTATCCGTTGAGGGTTCGGCCGAACTTTCTCGCATTCCACCCCCATGGTCGAGCAAGAGCTTCACAACCGCATGGTGGCTTCCGGATATCGCATAGTACAGTGGTGTTTGCTTCCTAAACTTGTCAACAAGGTTAGGGTTGGCACCGTGGGCAAGAAGCTGTGATACCGCGGCTTCATTTCCGTATCCAGCTGACAAGTGAAGGGGAGTGCACCCCGAGTGCATATCAAACAGATTGGGAGTGGCGCCCTTGTCTAAGAGGATTTTAAGCACCGGCTCATGCCCTCTTGCCGCCGCTAATGAAAGCGCTGTGCATCCACTGACGTTTTCATCAGGACTAGCTCCTGCTTCGAGAAGTAGCTTGACCACCTCAAGGTTGCCCTGCAAAGCTGCCCACTGCAAGGGTGATAGTCCGTGACGGGTGTCCCTCGTAGCAATGCTTGCCCCCTTCTGGAGCAGGAGTTTGGCAATAGAAATGTGCCCTTTCTCTGCCGCCCATGACAATGGAGTACGCCCAACAGCATCCCCAATATCACAAGATGAAAATTGATGCTGTTCAGCCTCAAAAATAACCAGGGCTAAATTTTGAAGCCCAAAGGCTGCCGAAGCATGGAGAGCCGTCCATCCAAAATACTCAAACCGAGTGCCATCTCTGGCCTTCTGATGATAGAGATGAGCCCAATAATCCAAGACCTTGGTTGACGGCCAGCGTAAATTCTTGAGAAGGACCACTTGGGAAAATCCAGGGCTGTCGGCCAATTTTGCATGTTCCGCCCAGTAACTGACAGCATATTCCAAAAAGCTAGATTCCTCGTTTTCAAAAGACTTTCTAGGTTTATCGCTCATTTCCATGGAAGATAGGTACAAAACGCAATCTTCCGCAATAAGAATATTTCCATTCTTAAGGGGGTTGACTGTCGGGGCCCTTAATTTTGAACCCTCTATCGCGGCCATGCTCAGTAGGAAGTCGCGAACCGTTTGGTGGACCAACTGGACTGTGGCGTTTGGACCACGTACCACCAAAAGGCCCCCACAAGTATTGATAATCTGATCAATGCCAACACTCTGTGGTGAAGACGTTCCCTTTGCAACAATATCTGGTGAGATACCACTGGATATGTCATGAGGTGGCTCGCAGACACCTAAAGCAACCTCTAGTTCCTTAAGCAAAAGTGGTCTTCTTGCAAAGGTAACCCATCTGAGAGCTCTTTTAGCCATCGTACCCAAGATATCTTTTTTCTGGACAATACGATCATAAATAAATTGAAAGAACCCTTGGAGATTGCTGGGGATGCCCAAAAGCAATGACTCGGGTATTTCTCTAGAATATTCCAGCTGTGAGAGGGTGTTCAGCACAAGCTCCACCCAAAGAAACGTCCCGCTTGCCTTTTCTACCAGTGCTTCAGCAAGACCCTTTCTATCTTGGAGTTGTGGAAAGCGTGCTGCCACTTGCAACTCTGCGAATTGCTGGATATCCGTAACATTATCATATTCGAGGGAAATCTTGCGGTGATGCGGATGGCACCATAATTTCTGATATGGACAAGGCCGACTCGAGATACACAATTTGATTGGATTTTCCGAAACAGTTGAATCGATAAGAGAAAGAAGAGATAGAACGGATGGCAACTCTTCTTCTCTACATTCGTCAAGGCCATCGACGAAAATGCGTAATTCGTGAGTTCTTGATGCTTGCTTTACGATTTCTTCGAGAAAGTCAATTAGGTGTGTAGACATCCATGTTTTCCAGTCGGCGTTAGGCTTGTCAGGTTTTGTGTACCAATGCCTCTTTTCGTAAAGTAGAGAAGTAAAATCAGACATGACACTTGGATTTTGCGATAAAATCTGAAAGAGTAACGACTGATACAAGGCACTGGGAGAAGTACCCGAGGAGCCGTGGTGGAAGTAATGATAGGCAATGATCGTAGGTTTCTTTTTGAATGCCGGGGTTTTTAATGTCTGGATGATACTGGATAATAGGATTGTTTTTCCTGAGGCCGGGTTTCCTTTAATCCACAAGATAGAACTGCGGTCGTCCACCCAAGACTTGAATTCCCGGTGGTTGAGGAACCAGTTGCCAGTGCCAGCCGGAGCTGGGTTGAAAGTATCACCCCCGTTGTCAATTTGAAGCCAGCGAAGGATCCCTACTGGAATTATTCTATTTCCTGCATTTATTTTTAAGGCCGGGCTAACGCGTGACTGACCTTTATAATCGGCGACACTCCGGTTCTCAATATATGGGGAAACAAACTTCTTTAATTCTCCCACCACTCGAAGGTAGTTTGGTTCGTTAAAACTTTTGAACCTGCATATGGTCTTGTTATAATTGTTAGATATGAACAAGAATAGAACTGATAAAAATCGAGCCTTACCTCGTGGTTTGCATGTAGTGGAATAAGAGTGGACGGAGTGGATAGTGCGGAGGGATAGTCGACAACCTGTTTCCGTTAGATCTGCTAATAGCACTAAACAATTCTAGATTTGTTTCTGATTACCAGTCCAATGCCCGGGATAGGAAGCTCTTCAAAGAACGAGACAGTATTAATATTGGACAATTTCTGGGGGTGAATATACTGGAACTCCTGTAGGATGCTTGCGAAATGTAAAGCCGTCTGTTTGAGGTGGGGAAAGTGAGCGCACGTCAATTCTGCGTGCCTTACTTTGGGTTCGGAATATTGGAGAGCCTTTGCGAGGCTACTGCTATCAATATGATGGGGTGTACCGAGAAATACTATAGCAGATATGGCATCCCTGATTTTGCGATGGTCGGGTTGCAAGCTGTTTGTGGCAGTAATCAAGGCTTGTTGAACCACAAGTCCGCCTAAGCTGTGGCAAACGAATATGAATTTGGAATTGATCTGCTTAGTGCTGTATTATTAGCTCCGGGTAGTAATAATGTAAGGTGTAAAATGTATATTGGGAACGATAGTTATCATATGGGCAACAACATGGTAAAAACAGGGGGAATTTTCGAAAAGACTCGACAATATGGAAACGGGATGACACTAGCCTTTTGATTGTGACTGCGATGGATTATGAGAGCCTCTAGCAGATCCCCGGCATGAGTTAAAATGCTTGAAGCTTTGGTGGAATCTGTCACTTGGGACTGATACCCGTAGACCAAGATCCTGCAACTGGGAATGCTCTTGGGAAGAAACTCCTTCGGCCAAAAAGTGCCAGTCTCATTTGCAGTCCAGGTTTTAGAAGGGCTGCTTCCCAACCCGTGTATGAAGACAATATCAACAGCGGTATCATGGGCTCCAACCCCAGACGTATCTGGCTCATGGATTAGGCTTAACCCCACGTTTCCTGCCATCGGGAAGGATGGACCTACGTGGTTGTCAGGTACAATTCAGCAGGCAAGCTGCGCAATTGAGATGGATAGGGAAAAAATACCAGCCCACTTGAGTGAGAGTGTTGATATCTTGTATAGGTTCAGGAGTTTATTGAGAAAGATGTATGTTTTGGAACTTTGGGATTTTAAGAATAGGGTTTCGCGAACTAGTTACTTAAATTCTCTCGATGCCCGGTTTGTAGTTTATGGGTATTGCGAATTTCGCAATCCATCTCTGTCGCAAAGGCGTTGCATTCTGCCTTGCCTGGCGGCTGCAGCGAGCAGGCATTCCGGTCAGAACATGCTCGAGTATAGGATCTAATAGGCTTAGGAGAGATCTGCCCTTAAGTACTGTCTTAGATTTTACCGAATCCTGGCAACGATTGGTAGAGGCACTGCCACTACCCCAAACCTGCATCCGATGATCCAATAGCGTTGGCTGTGGTCTAATCATAATGATGAAGATGGCCTTATCACAGACCAGAAATTGAGAGAGCCTTGCCAGGTCACACATTATATGCTGTGGCATTTAGGTGTAGAGATGACGAAAAAGTCAAAGAACCGCCACGTCGCATTACCCAATATCAATGAAATCCTATTAGACAAATATACTAAACCAAAGTTAAGAGAAAGTAAGAAAACATAATAGGACGAAATGAGGATTGTCCTTTGTAACATAATAAGCATATCTGTGGTCGTTGTTAAGGACAGACTGCAGTGTGACGTCCCTATAAAGAAGTGGAAACGTTTTTGACGCTTCCAATCTGATTAGAGGCAAATTAGAAGAATTAAACCTGAAGCGCCAATGGGAGCACAATTCCACTAGACCAATGGGAGCCATTGAGTCTCGCAGTTTGTGGCATGGAAGCGCCAAAGTTTGTTTTGTTTTGAATCCACCTCTTTCTCTTCTTATTTTTAGCGAGCTACCTAAGGAGGTCCGAGGGATAAGTTGCCAGGCGGAAAAATAGAACGTGGAATAGTTGATTTAGAATTGCGAAGACACAAACTTGTATCCTTATCACTGATCGTTGGCGAGAATTCTGAGGGTTTTAGAGTCGTGGTACCCAAAGTACCTAGTATGGTTAATTGTCAAAGATTGAAGAACAATGTAAGCTGCAAAGGACTTGGGAAGGAGTTAGAATTAGAAACTGGTAGAGGATAATCTCGCACTAATATGCACGCTACACTCCCCTTTCCCCCCGCATGCCAAGATAGGAAGGTGGGCTCGCGCTATTCGTATAATAAGCGGACAATCCCCAGGGGGGAACCAGCATTAACAGCGACAAGATGTATCATATAATATCAGAACACCGCCGAGTTTCCACATGCAAAACATACCTAGCATACGAAGTACACCGCTACATTTCCGATTAAAAAACCAAAAGAACCACAAACTCACCAAACCACGAATCTCTAGAAAACAATGCCCTCACCTACCAATTCATTCCCGCAATTCTCCAGCTTCCCCCCCGAACTCCGCCTCAAAATCTGGTCGATAGCCTTAGCCCTCACACCCGCGCGTACGCTGCCCTTCTCGCTGTTGAAATCCGACCTCGATTACCTCCGTCTCCGCCGCAAGGCATGCCACAATTACCCTCACATCTTCTGCTCACGGATGCCCGTCCCGTCGCTGCTACACTGCTGTCGAGAATCCCGTCATACGGCGTTGCAGAACTACGCTGTAGGGTTCGAGATATTCCGTATACTGTCGTTGGGGAGGGGCGATACGGATGTTGAGACGTATACGACGTGTTCGCACGAGGTCGCGCTGGATGAGCTGCACCGCGGCGTGTATTGGGATAAGACGAAGGATGTGGTGTTGCTGGATGATAAGGGCCGATTGGATGAGCGAGGCAGTGCATATGTGTGGGGTGGGCGGACGGGCGTACGGTTTGGCAGGATGAAGAGGGTCGCGATGACTTGGGAGGCTGTGATGAGTGCTGGATTTGGATCCATGTTGCAGTGGGAGAGTCTGGAGGTGATGTACGTGGTGTATGATGACGCCGAGGCTGGGTTTGCATCGGAGGCGCCTAGAATGGGCACTATATATGCGAATGAGACTAGGGCGCCCGAGGTTGTGGCGAGGCTGTTGAGGGGTGGGAAGATTATGAATAGTGAGAGTGGCCCTGTGGATCTTAAATTTTATATGGGGTCCTTGAAGCAGTTTAGGAAATATATTGCAGAGGGTGCGCCCTGAGCTAGGAAAATGGGATATTATCTGGAATTATGTCAAGATGTGGAGTTAGGGAGTTTGGCAGCGGATGTGATCTGTTGAGATAGATTATAGAAGGTATCGGTTTGTGAACTTGTTATATATCCTCTGACCTTCGTCTTGAAGGGCTCAGAGGGGCTGTATAGCCGGCTGTCAGTCATGGTAAGCTCCAACACTGCAGGTACGTTTTTATATCTTTTCGTTTCACCGAAGAACCTAGGGCGGGCGGGACAGTAGGAACCGAAGATCATTGAGAGCAAAGTTATTATTTTCCATTAACCCCGTGCATGTGAGACATTGCTTGCTATACACCGCCATAATTGAGAAGCTAATTTGAGTGGTAGGTCTATGAACCCCCTTCCAAACCCCATTCGCCATGGAGGATGAAGCGGGGAGATGAACACCCAAGCAAAACCGTTTTCGGATTCCCATTATTTCATTTCATTGCCCCAAACCTTCCTTCACCAGCCATATTAATAGATCGAAAGGTACGCCGTCATCGACACATCAATTCCTCTGCTTATCCTCCCCGTTGTTTGCAAACTCCATTTCGATTCGCTCCCTTACAAGGCAGCGACCACGCCAGCAACTAGACCAACGAGAGAGCCGATCCCAGCAATCAGAGTAGGGGCGGCACCAGCAGAGCTGGATGAGCTTGGCGAAGGGCCACCGGGTGTTGGCTTTGCACTCGTCGATAAACCACCAGTGGTGCCATTCTTTCCGCCAGTGCCCGGAGAAGAACCAGTACCAGTAGACAATGGAGCAGGAGCAGAGGTGCGAACAGCAGTCTCCGTCCTCGCGCCTGAGCCTGAGCCCGAGGCAGTAGCCGAGCCTGTGCCTGAGCCCGAGGCTGCCCCACCAGTTGCAGTGGCAGAGTAATCAGCGCAGAGCTTGGAGCCGACGCTGGCGGCGATAATTAGGTCTGCAGGGCTGCAGTTGCTGATGAGGCAAGGAGTGACGGCGGTTTGGATTGGGGCCATGCCGGTGCCGCATTGGCAGGCTTGATCAGTGAGCCCGCAGCCAACTTTACTGATTGCGGAGGTGAGGCAGGGGATCTGGGGGGATATGTTAGCTGTTGTGGCATGTTACATTGGGTGGTAGGAGTAGCAATTGCAGGATGCTGATCGAGTATCGCCAAAGGCAATGGGCAAGGCGTGGGACGGGCTGGATGGTGTAGATGGAGCTGCGGAAGCAGAATATGAGGCTTGGGATATATCGGAACTTACAGCGCAAGCAGGCTCTCCAGAGAGATCCTGTGCTGAGACGATGCTGGCAGCAGCGGCCACAACGAGGGCGAAACTTGTAGTCTTCATTTTTAGGATTGGTGATGGTGGAGCGACTGGGGTTATTTGGTTGCAGGTCGATTGATCGAGTTCACGCGAGTAGACAGATAGCGACTGAGTCTTGGAGCTGAAGCGATCGTGGTATTATCTTGCAGTTGGAAGTAGACGTAGATGGAGATGGAGATGGAGAGAGAGTAGCTGGGATGAATGGATGGGTGGATGCAACTGGGCGGCAGCTGCATTTTGTAGCATAAGGGAGTACGAGGCCCCGACGCCCTGCAAGCCACCGTTGCCGTTCCCTTGCTGTCCCCCAAGCAAACACCAAGACCAGCAAAGTCGCCCTGTGGCGAAAGAAGGGGAATAGTACTTACGCGGTAGTAGGAACAGTACGTAGCACTGCGCAATTCCTTTTGAGCTCCCATGTCACACAGGACAAAGACATGTTATATTGGGGATGGAAGTCTGTGTATATTCTGGCCATTCAGCCTGTTCCCACCAAGGCTTTGCGGGACGCCACTGGAGATATCCGCTGCAATGATCCAGCTCCATCTCCACTCCGGGGATGCGTTGTCTTGAGCCGTTTGGGTGTTTTTCCCGCTGGCAATGGCAGTCAGTCCACATTATGATCGCCGCTGTGAGTACAGTACGTAGATGCTTCGAGTAGGCTGTGGAAATTGATTCCTTGGTATCGTGGTAAGTAGTACTCGTAGGCAACTGTACGTAGCAACGAATCCTACGTCGCGGCGAAGGAACTTGGAAGGTTCTGTCTTGAGTACGAAGTACTGAAACGAGTAAACAAACTATTCATTCCTTCTACGTTAGTCCTTGTACGTACATGGCTAGGGCGCGGGTGCAGATGCGGGGAGCCCAGACTAGGAAGGAATACATTATACCGGAATCAGCCTAGCTTCGCCCCCTTTTGCGCGTCCGCTCTCCGCAGGAACGCGCAGCAGGTACTACGACGTACTTCGTAGGCTAGCATTTAACTGGCCATATCGGTGGGGAGACACTCACTCGTACGTTCAGAAAATATAAAAAGATACGCAAGGAACGGCGACTTGTTACAGAGTACTCCGTACGATGTCAAGGAAAATGGTTCGTTCTACTTTGTGGAAGTCATAAAGCATGAATAGATATACCCCCTCGGTCCCCACCAAGCCTCCTTTTCAAGCTCAACCAGCAATGCAGTGCACTGCCCGCTCAACAGCACAATAACTAACAGGCCAGGTAAAGCATACGTGTATACTACGTAGCTGCCTCGCCATCAACCCTCAATGAAAATGCTAGTGCCAATGCCTATTCCAAAACGAAACACAGCCCAGATCCACGAATTAATCACCTTCTCTCCCTCTCAACCCGATACTCCTCCACTCTTCGCACCTCTCTCACCTCGTCACCCATCCGTCTCACGCAAAGCATCTCACAGAACGTCCCCCACTCGCCGCGCGTGCCCTCCGCAACGGCTCTCTGCATATCAATGCCATAGCGAGTACGATACTCCCTCTTGACAGCTTCCATATGTGGCCGGTCCCAGTGGTACCGCACAAGTCGGCTGATGAGGAGCTCCGTACGGATGCTGTCCGATTTGGAGAGGGAGAGCGCGTGCTGGACGAGGAGGGCGTCGCGGACCGGCTTGTTGATCACGCCGTTGAGGATGTGTGCGAGGAGTTCGCCCTGGAGTCATGCGTGTTAGCTGATGTGGTCCTTCTCGGGGGATATAAGGGAAGGAGGATACATACCACAAGATTCCCACTCTTCTTCAACATTTCCCTCGCGAAATTAGCGCGATATGTACTCTCGTACAACTTCAACACCTCCCTCAAATGACTATCACTCCGCACCACAATAATCGAAATCATAGCACTCTCTCCACCTTTCTCAGACCTCACGGCTTTATGCAGGTCATGCACATCATCTTCAACGAGATGCTTATCCACCCCATGTCCATGCCGTTCCTCCATCTTCCGCTCATCCAGTACCAACAGAATGGCTTTCTTGAACTTATCCTCCTTCAGCTCCGTTTTCATGCATTTTGTCAAGCTATCGCTGTATTTCTTATCGGCGAAGCCGTCTTTGATTTCCCGGATTTCGCGGTTGGTGCGTCCCATTAGGGACTCGATAAGCAGCTCTCTCCTGCTCTTCTCCCCCTGGTACCAAAAGTTTGCCCAGTAAGCCTCGCTCTCCCATTTCCCCAGGGCGCATACATAGCAAGCTTTCATGAGCGAAGGATCCTCGTCCTTAAGACGTAGCTTAATGTGCTTGGCGATATTAACGCCCTTCTTCTCCGAGCCGGTCTTCACGATTTTCTTGTACTCCACACGTAGCTGGAGGACTTGTTCGTGTGTCAGGCCCGGGAGGATTTCAATCAGTGGCTGGGTGTCTGGGCCACGTTTCTCGCCTTTTAGGGCTTTGGCCAGAATGGTGGCTTCTTCCTCCGGGTCGTGGAATCGAGCGGTTCTGCGGCTCTTTTTGCCTCCTCTTCGCTCGTCATCCGACGATTCTGGCGAGAGGGGTTCGATGAGGTTGATATCAGAGTGAGAATGAGATGATGCCATCATTAGTGGAGACGGCATCGGTGAGATTGACTGATACGTCCCGTGATATGCCTCGAGTAGCGGAGATCCAGGGGCATTCGCCAGAGTCAGGGCCGCACCTCCGTGGTGCCCTGAAGATACAGAGAGGGAGTGCATTCTAGGGGCCAGTCCGGGACCTGGCGAGGGGTCACGGCGATGTCGAGATCCGGGCTCCACGGTCAGGATCTGGGACTTGGATGATCGAGCAGATTCCGCAGTATACGAAGTGCTACCATGGCGCGAGTCGCGTGGGTCGCGTGAGTCGCGCGGGTCTCGTCCAGGATATTGCTGAGGCGGAGGACCTGGAGCAGCTTGATAACCCCCTGCCTCTGGACGCTTGGTATAAGTGAGCTGCTGGCCTGGCTGAGCATATTCCCATTTAGGGGGGTCTGCGTAGGAGGTGGCACCGTGTCGATCAGGCGGGGATGTGGCATACGCAGGAAGGGCGGGTTGGGCACCATATGCCAAAGGATCAGGTTGAGAGTATTGTGGTTTCCCACCGTGCTTATCGTGAGCGAAGTTTATGCCACCAGAGATGCTCGTGTGTCCTGCCGCGATATTGAACGAGCCGCTTCTTCCGTGGCCTTGTTTGGGATCCTCGTACTGCAATGGATCGCGCTCGCGGTGGTGTCGATCGCTATCCCGTTCCTTTTCATACGCATATTTACTTACTTTCGACTCCTTCTCGTAGGCATACTTATCGGGCTTATAATCCCGCTCTCCCCCCCTCTCCTTCTCGTACGCATACTTGTCTGTATCGTATCTCGATCGCTCGGGCGGCGACACAGGCCTGACATATTTATCCTTCTTGTCGTACGTCGACTCCTTATAATAATCCTTCTCCCGCACCCGCCCATCCGAATACCTCACCTCCCTCTCTTCCTCCCTCACTTCTTTAAACGCGCCTGGCATGCCATAACTGTCCCGCTCTTGATACTGCGACGACGACCCGTATCGCGGGTCTCGGGGGTCGCCCCTCGGTTCCGCCGTCACGATCGCGGGGTCCCTGCCCCTCGAGGATCGGATTGTAGTTGATTCCCTCTCTTCATAGTCGTAGCCACGGTCGCGCGGGTCGTCATCGTATCGCGAGGACGGGGGAGACGGCGCCCGAGCGCTGGAATACTCCTCTCGTTCGGTGACTCTGGAGCGCGAGGAATCGCGGCGCCCAGGCGATTTGGAGCGACCTCTGGTGCGGGAGTCGCGGGGGTCGAGCGACATTGTGGCGCTTGCTTGGAGCTCTGAGGACTCCTGGTAGTGCTCTTTCTACCCAGAAGACGATGCAATTGAGGACGTGACAGCGAGAAAGGCAGAGAGAAAAGAGCACGCGAGAGAGGAGGAAGAATCTCAGCTGAGGTGTTCGTCTTGTACTCGAGCACTGCGCTGGAGATCCAAAGCGGGGCCTGTTGCAATGCTTGTATTGGGAGCATTCAGCGGTGCTGTTTGCATTTGCATTACTCAACCCATCAGGGCCCATGTCAGCACTTGCGTTGCACTGTAACAAACCCCGGCAATCCTTCGACAATTCTCCGTAATGCCAATAGCACAATAGCTAGACACAATACACGATATATCATATATCACATATCATTGGGGCCCTCTGTCTTCCTGCTATGGTTGCTTCCGCGCTTACCTCGATCATTGACAACCATCCACTCACTTGCTGGACGGAACTCATGGCAATGGCCGTAGCCAACAGACCCAAATGTGATATTATTCTTAGCTGTGTGCATAGTGGGGTCCGAGAGCAGTGCGATTACTCGCGGAGCATCGCTGCTTGTGGGCTTGTGGATTGTGGTGTTGTTTCGTAGGCAAAGTTTCAGCCCTGCGCACCCGAGGCACGTACTGGTAGCGTTGGAAGCGCCAGACAAAGAGCCCGCCACTCAAAGCTCTGGGGGCTCGAATAGGGCTCTATTTTTATCACCACAATACTACGTAAACTTGGCGGAAATACAGTTAGAAGCGCGTAGATTTTTTAACAAACTGGAATTGGCTGTTCGAATTCAATATTACGCCAAGTTACCACGAATCGCTCATTACATTTTTGTCCATCTACCATTTTCCTGCTCAACAATTAAGAAACCTGAACAAATTGACCAACGCCCGGCACACCATCTACAACGACATAAACAACATATGGACCTGGAGGAGCGGCGTTATTGTTTGGCGGACTAGATACAGACACCTTCTGCTGAGCTGCTCCTGGTGCCCAATCAGCTACATCCAACTCCAGCATTCGATGACCCATATGCACAGAATGGGTAACGAAGCCACCGTGATATAACACCACCTTGACGGACTTAGTATCGGCCGGAGTTGTGAACGAGACGCTGAATTTCCCGCCGTCCGCCTTGATATCGAGCTTTGAGATCGCGATATTTGTTGGTCGCCTCTTCGCATTATCCCCTTGGAGATATGGAGGCGTGTATATCTCAACCCGGAAGTCAGTGACGTAAGGGTTCTTAGCATCTGGTTTGAGCATTGGCATTTCCACTGGGTTTGATCCTGTGACCATGAGAGTGCCGTCAAGTAGCAAAAGTGCTACCGAGTGGTAGAGTCTGGGGACGGTGGAACTGGCAAGGGTGCTGAATCTTTGGCCAAGTGGCTTAGCAGGATCATATAAAAGCGCCTCAAGGGTTGGATCCTTCATCAGCCCAAAACCTTGGGCACCATGATTCCCTCCGTTGAGCCAGACCACCGTTCCATCTGGGAGCAGTGTCCCTTCCACCATACCGCGTCCTTCTGGCATAGAGTCCATCTCCCATTTCGGATTGGGGCTCAACGGTTGGATTCGACCGCAGGTTGGATCGGTAGGGGAGGTGATGTCCTGATACGCACCCCCTCCACAGATCACAACATCGGGGTCCCAGTTGTTTTTGCTGGATAGCGGCAGTAAGACGCTCCCACCAGTGTTGGGATAGGTTCTGAAATCGCCTGGTAGATCTGGAAGCTCCTTGACAATAGTATTTGACTGGACGTTGAAGATCTGTGAAGCCTTTGAAACAAATACAAAGAGCGTGCCATCTTTTAGGAGATGGACGAATGGGTACATGTAAACAGGTTGGTTCTTAGCCAGGATATCCATAGGAATATTTTGGCCCTTGGTGATGCCATTTGCATTGAGAACCTCATATGTCGGGTTGTTGTTAGCAGCTACCGTTGGATCAAGGCCATTGAAGCTTCCAGATGCGACGAAGACGCTGCCATCAGGCATGGTCTGGGCAGTCGCATACCAGCGAGCACTGGCAAGTTTGTTGCCGGGTTCGCCCCAACCTTGGCCATTGAGGCCGGCATCCGATGGAGACCTTTGCAGGTATCGAATTGCATCGAATCCATCCCCAATATTCGGGTCGAGCCAAGTCAATGGACCATTACCACCAACGGATATGACCCGCCCATCAGCAAGAAACGTGCCGCCTGAGCAGAAGGCATTTGTCACGTAGCTAAGGGGGACAACAGCGTTGGTCTCTGGGTCATATTCAGACGACATTGCATAGAAGCCATTGGGAGTCCGAAGCTGTGTATAATTCTCTAGCTTGTCCAGAAATACTACACGTCCATTGGGCATGAGAGCTGCGTGCATGGCTGGAACACCGGATTGCCCAACAATAGCAAAAGATCCACCATTTGGGGCAGCAGGCGCAGCGCGGGGTCCTAGAACAGGTACTTCTGGAGCGCCTACACAGTTGCCTGACTGGCACCCAGCGCCGCAATGGGCACTCGTATTCCCACTACTTATCGTCAGCACGCAGTTTAGACCATTGAAGGAGGAGCTAGTTACCAGAATCCGTACATAGAGCAGCAGTTTCCATTAGGCCAGTCTCCGCAAACTGTGTTCCCGTTTGAGGAACCGCATGTACCATCGGTTGTCACCTTCGCTGTGGCAGTAGCTCCAGGTGCCATAGTAGTCGTCACGGGCCCGATGACCGGCTCACCTGAAGTTGTAGAGGATGGTGGGGCACCAGAATTACCGACTTTTGAGCAGCCATTTTGACATCCATTTGAAAGAGAACAGTGATTTGGCGTAGAACCACAATACCTGCAAAAGTATGTTGTCAGCCTTGAATCTTTGGACCAAAAGTAGGAGGCGAGTAGATAGCAAGAGAACAGCACGCCCATATTGGGATCGTCCTCCATGTGGAACTTTGGACTGCAAGTAGTACTTCCGAGCTGTTATCCACAGGACCCACCGCCACCAGACGTGGTTGGTATAGGGTATATGCTGATATTGAGGACTGACTGGTTATTGTTGATCGAATACAACTATATTTGATCAAATATAAATACACGACCGCAGCGAAATAGAATGAATCAATTAAATTAAGGACCACCTACCCATACTGTGAGCAGCAGCCGCCATAAGGACCTGCTGGGTCGCAACTCGCACCTCCAAAGTTCTGATAATTTTAGTCGACCTTCTGCTATAAAGTTTCATTGGACTTACACTGCCACATCTTCCATCTGAGCGAGGGGCGGTGCTAGGCCCATCTCGTAGCTGGATACTTGGAACTTTTTGTGGGAAAGGTCCGGGGTAGTTGATCAATGATTCTGGAACGCATCTGTTCAATGTTACTAGATGTAAACACAGTGTAGGAAGGCTTGTGAACTAACTGTTCATGGTCTGTGCACACTTGGCCACGAAGACATCCATGATATATTTGGGTACTATCATTGCTGCAGTGCAAAGGAGCGTGGTTAAAGATTATGTTTGCGGCTGCGAAGCCAGCGAAGCCAAAGGCGAGGATGGTAATTTTCATATTTGCATGAGGCAAAGGAGGATTGGAATTGAGAAGTGGGAACATAGGAATTAAAGAAGAAACTTCGGTCTGACACGTCAATCATAGACATGTTAGTTGCGTGGTACTAAACTTGCAGTTTGTTTACTCCACATAACATGCATCAGTGAATCAATCACCAGTAGCCGCATGTGCATGCACGTGCAGTACTACCCAGTTCCTAGCAACCAAGCTTGCACCAATCAGAATCAGAAATCGGTGGGTTTTGCGGAAGACCTGGAAGCACATGGGAATTTTCAAAGGCATTCATAAGCAAGGAGTTCCGCGGACGAATGATTCGTATCGAGGTTCCGCGGGGAGCGAAAACTTGGAAAGAGGTGCACACTCATGGCTCAAAATGGCAGCGCAAACGACATGCGAGACGTCGTGCCAGAAATCTGCTATGGTGATTCTTGAGGATAAGGATACAGCGTATTGTTAAATACCGAGGGTTTTAGCACTGGGGAGGGACAAGGCAAACAAGCTTTGCAAAGACGAAAAGCAAGTTGAGGATTGTACAACTTGTAATGTATATAATTATTGCGGTGGCGAGGGGCCCGTGTTATGCAAGGCCAGAGGGAACTCGTATCCAGTCTTATTCCCAAATCCTGGCTAAATAGTCGCAAGCGTTAGACCCTCTACTCCCTCGTAATCATGGTAAATGTTGCTGACACTCATCCATTGCTTGGCCAACCATATGATTATTTGACGCGCAGGCACTCGGGCGCGGGCACTCCAAGGCGAGGAGCGATTACCCACAGTGAGTGATGACTTGATGTGGCCGATTTCCGGGAGAATGGTGGTACAGATCTTGTGCACAAGGCAGAGAAGGACAGCCACTCAAGATATTGAGAGTTCAAGGGTCCACGGTGGTGTATCGGGATAGCCCATTATATATAATGCAATGCATTGCGATCCCATGCTTGGGGAAGATGATGAAGAGATGGTCATCGGCTCCCTTTGTGGGTAACTTTCCCTGCCTGTCAAGCAGAGCGTTTGTGGCAGCAGTCTACCTCTCGGGCTCGAGGGTCTCTACAGCGACGTAGAGAAGCCATGATTAGATAGATATTGGCGTACTTCACAGCTGATAGGCAACCTCGATCTCACCTTGGCTAACTTGGCCAGCCCCTTGACGAGCTTCAGAGCCAGGCATCCTCGTTTCCACAGTTTGAGAACAGCTATGTTGGCGCTTGCCCTCACCAGCTGAGTTCACTTTTCTGAGTACCAGGCCGCGGAGGACTTGCCGCAGCTAGATCCATAATTGAATCTCCCGTCTCGTTGGAATGTTCGTGGTCAGCTTCCACGATATCCAAATCAAGACCCCATCTCCGGATCTCCTCATCCACAATATGTTCCCATTTTGCAACCAAAGGATGGGCTGTGGCCACATCTGTAAAGACCATTTCCTTTCCTTCCAATACTTCTCCAGGGACCTCGAATTTCCAAATGCCGTCTTTACCAAACCACTCAAACCCGAAAACACTCTCAGTCTTCAGATCATTTTTCGCCTGGATAATGAGCTCGGAAAGTCTCTTTCCTTCCTCAGCCCAGGTATCTCGTTCTTCCGCCTTTGAACTGCTGCTCGCAGCACCATATAAGCCCTCCAGTAACCCCAATATCTGACCAATTCTTAATCCTAGCACAGCACCAAGCCCGTACCCTTCGTCGAAACCTGCCTGGACACTGGTGGCCTTCCCATTCGTAATGCCGTCTCTGTAGCCCTCCGTCTCATGTTTTTCCTTTAAACGAGGCACATCTGAAGGCTCTATATTGCCACCAACAGCCTGCCAGATCCCGTTACTTGCGCCGGATTCGGGGTCAAGTACAGGAGACGCCGGCGCGGAGCCGAAAACATCGTCAAAATCAGTATTCGTGTAACTCTGCTCTTGCTGTGGCAAGTTCCCGGTTTCGAGTGGATGCGTGTGAGCTACCCGGGGATGGCTCCCGTCATGTTGCAACATGGCTGTTCTGTTTGTTGTTTATGCTGCGTTTGTTTGTTTTTCCACCTTCTGCTGTTTGTTTGGTGTTGAAATCAAGCCATGGGCAGGGTTGGCATGGGCATAGCAAGCGAAACTACGCTAAAGCTCGAGTAGCGGCTTTCAGCCTCGCCGCGGCCAGCTGCTCATTCACAAACCCCTTTCCACTGCGATATATAGCGAAATAAGTCATATTTCACAACTCTGACATTGATAGCACCGATGGCCTGGTTATAGTAGTGGTTAACTTGTCTGCTTCCCACCTCCGCCTAGTGGTAAAGAGCAGGAGACGCGTGTTCGAACCACGCACCAGGCAGGTGATGTTGTCATTTTTTATTCTTTTACCCCTTGGGAAATTTTTATTACCAGTGAAGACCGTTCCATGGTAGAATGCTATTTTTGATATCTTGATTTATTTATTTTCAGTTTTCCTTTAGGCTGGGTGCTTTGCTCTTTTTTTGGTGCAAGTTCTGGGCGTTGAAATTTGAAGTCAATATTTCCAAGCCACGCCAGCAAACGGAGTGACGCCAGACCTTGGGGGATGGGCTCTAGAATGTTCCGCTCATGGTGAATCACTAGAAACTCTGATAACCCGTTTGGTTAGGAGATCTCATTCACTCAGTCATGTAGGAGCCAGCAGCAGGGAATCCAAGATTAACACACTATCGTTCTCGTTCCGTCCCCAAAGTTTCCAGTCGTATACACAGAAATTGAAGGTTGATTGGTTCGTTGCGGCCTGTTTAACCGGAGACCAAAATTCCTCTGCCTACTATGCCCCAGTATGCAGCTGTCTGAACAAGTTATCAGCACCTGTCGCTCTCTTTCCCCCTGGTTGATTGCAACCTGGATGCTTCTTGTGAGCTCGAACCCCGCCGCCTTCTTGCTTGGAATGTCTTTTATATAGAGACAGCTCTGCCATACCCAAATTATTTTGGGATGGCGTTGGAGACGGCCACCATCCTGAACTCTTTTGTCGTATTGGAGAAGTTCCCAATCGCTTGCCTTAGTTTCCCATGCCTATAGGACACTTCATCAAGAATAAAGAGACTGGTATACGGAAGTCTCGGCCGGACGCAGAGGATTATCTATTGCCTGCTCCGGAACTGATCTAGAGCCGCCTACTGTGTGCCGGACGGGGAAGATTCTAGAGACAGCCGAATTATTCGAACCCCATGCAATTCGCGAATCGTGACACCGCCACCGATATCGATGGCGATAGAGTCCAGATAGCCAACTTACTACTAAAGACGATTCCAAACTACAGCATTTATATGGCAAAGGTATCTTGAACGATGAAAGCAGCCAACGGTACTTCGTAACTAGTTGCAAAAGGTACGTGATGCCACAATTCCATGTCGTCCTTATATAACGTTCTGTAGGCCATCGACTACGCAGATGATGAATGGGAATGTCAACTTTATCTGTGTGTCTTTTGCATTATTTATCATCCTAAATTCAGCAATTCACAAGGGTATCGGATCTGCACTTATCGCAGACAAGTTCACGCTTATCGCTGTCTCGAACAATAAGCACAACAACAAGCCCTGCCAGCTATCGGGATTACCTTAACATCACAGGTGGAGGAACAAAATGTTTGCTTATCTCGGCGGAACTCCAGCGCCATTAGCCAGTCCGCTCCGCTTCTTGGCCGTGGCTGGAGGTGGTAAGCAGGAGCCATATAGGATACAGGGTGGTACTTCATGCGCGACACCGACCGCTTCCGGGATCCCAGCATTCATTCTCAAATATGCCATACAAGTTCAGCTGCACCCTTTCGAGGCAGAGTGGGGATGGATAATCTGCTCTGCTCCAAGCCAATGCGTTGGCACGAGTAGAATCGTGTTCAAATTTATGACAGTTAGGAGAGGCTGAGAAACGTTCTTTGAATCGCCTCAAACCCAGGCTGCTGCTGGATCCTTGAGCAAAGCGAAAGGCAATTTCTTATGAAATGTCAGAGGCACTTAATGATGTTCACGACACTCAGTAGACTGATGAAGATGCTATGCAAGTAGCTAGCCCATGGGGTTGAAGTTCGAGGAGTGTCGATATTCACCTTCGCTCATCGTTTATTCTGGTTCAAATTCCTGCTGTTGTTGAAAATCCACGGCTTTACGACAAGGGCATGATTCCCGAATCTAGTACATCTTCATTATGGACAATTCGGCTGTCACCATAATCACGAAACCAGAACCGGACTTGAACCAGGCCATTCCGCAGACGAGTCTACGCCCAAAAGAGCATCCTGCAGCAGCCCACCATATCAGCTGCATATTTCTGTCTTGGCTATATTCCTCGTGATATAATGTATAGCTTCCGCAGCCTTCGTTCTTTGGCCATCGCAACACTCCAACACTCCTTCGATAAGACAAATATGAACCCTACATTAGATATCGAACATAATGAGTCGATATTGATCAGCCATTCAGGCAGCCAGGGGTTATGAGCGATAATTCCATTCGAGCTTAGTATTTGAAATGCACCAAGGTCAGTCATCCGACTTCTAGATCGATGGGCCAACCCATGCTGGCCATGGCGAATGGTGGCTGACAAGCATTCCAAGGGGGGTTGTATCGACCCCCACCTCGTTGAGTTCCAACCTTCAAATACTCATCATGATGGCCCTACATTGCCCCAACCTCAGTACACTACAAAACACACTCATCGATAACTGGTTGAGCCATGGCTCCAGACTTCCTGATAACTGCGCGAGCAAAAGTTACAACCTCTCAAACGGATCACTATGTAACACAAACCATCACCGAGCCGCTCACAACGTGGACAACAACTGTTCTGCTTGGTAATACGCCCATCCCGCAGCCAGTGCCAGCTGCAGATCCTCCGCCGCTGGCGGATGGGAAGGTTATTGGAGCGGTGGTTGGGTCAATCGTTGGCTTCATTCTGTTACTAGTGTTGATAGCATGGTGTATCCGGCGAAGCAGGTCTGAGTGGGTGCCATATCTTGGGCCTGAATACAGCAGCAGAAGTTCGTTCTCGATCTATGTCCAGAACCCAAACACGCCAATGCCCACACTAGCTTCAAGACATGGCCCACCTCCGACAACAAGAGTGAGGATAGAAGATAGGACCCTCGTGTTCTCACGATATTCGATCGATCGCCCGCGGCGTCCAACAGCACCTAATTAAGACCGCCGGTTCGAAGATTTATGGCAGCAGGAGCTATGCTGCAAGAATTTCGACCACTAAAGGCTAAACCACCCCTTCACATCATCTTCTAGCCTCTTGTGTCTTAATTTTCATTCGAATCATGGTTAGCTTACATCTGGGGGGGGGGGGGGGGGTGCTTATTTTTCCACCTAATACGCTATATTCGAAATTGGCTCTTAGTAGAACAACGCGGGAGGTCTTCAAAAGGAGTATACAGTGCTGCTTAGACGGTTTGGGGCGCTTTTATAGTAATGGCTGCGAGATCTGGACATTTCAATTCGCTGTTAATCGACAGCTTGGTTGCTACTTAGTATCTCAAGTAGGCTTTTTATGTATTTATGTCTTCATCTCTCCTGTGTCACTGCCATACTACCAGTCCATATCCTACTTCTTACCATCCACCTGCTGTATTCTTTTACACCAGAAGCTCATCGTCTTCCATCCCCTTAACGGTAACGCCGCGGCCTCCTTATTCCCAAAACGGCTGATATACTCCAGACGGTCCCTCCAGAACATCCACCTAGCGACGCTAAATTGGGAATCCAAGGTTGCTTTTGCATTCCTTGCCAACTCCCCCATTTTGCTACAAGTCAAGATTTGAAGTCCTAGTTCGATATGCATAGAATTTTAGTATTGTGCCCGCAATACTAGAATCAGCAGGCATAACAAACCCTACAAAATTTCCGAGACAATTTATCCCACAGTTCCCACCTACACCTTTACCTTCCATTTCCAGCGCCAATCCAAAAGAGCCCAGCGAGACATGGCTACACTGAAAAGCCCTACTACAAGAACCGCAGAATAAAACCCAACGAGTACCTGCGGCGTGCTCGACTCAAGCAACTCTCCTCCAACCGGCACAGTAATCAAAACACCGAACGCAGCAACACCGTAGATTGTGCCGTAGTATCGTCCATATTCTTCGGTGCCACAGAGCTGGCCTGCACATACAGGCGCAAGCGACAGCCATCCACCAGAACCAAATCCAAAGATCGCCACTACGGCATAAAGCGTGCCCTCGTTACGGGATCCAAACGGTAGCCAAACGGCTGCCATTACTATCAGCGTTATCAACACCAACGACAAGAGAATGTTGAATCGGCCAACTCGATCAGCTGCAAAGCCTGGGATAACCCTCCCAATGAGACTCATACTGTTCAGCACCGTGAGTGAGTAGTACTGTGTGTCTAATGAAAGTCCACTATAGCGGACATAAGTTGGGAGAAGGGCGGCACATCCAAATATGATAAACTCAAATGAGAAAACCGCCACAGCAAGGAAACAGAGGCGCGGTGATTTAAATGCCCGAAAATCAATGGCTACTCTGCGCTGTCTGCCAATAGGCAATCGGGGCTTCACCAACATGGTTCCTGCTAAATAACAGCCGAAGGCGATGAAAGCGATGATTCTGATTGACCATGCCCAACCATATCGAGGAAAGAGGGTTCGCAGTATCAATGGGATGATAGCACCGCCCGCTGACGATCCTGCCATGCAGATTCCGGATGCAAGAGCACGTCGTCGGTAAAACCAGTGGCTAAGAACTGCGATTGAGACTGTGGTAATGACCGCAGAAGAAATTCCACAGAGGAAACCGAGGCAAAGCATAAAGTGCCAGTACTTCGAGCACTGCGCAAGGAGCAAATACGACGTAAAGCTGGCAAGTGACCCGCAGATCAGTAGAACCCGAGACCCATATCGATCAAAGAGAGGCCCTACTCGGACTCCCAAAAATAGAGTCAAGAAGACCAGTACAGCAGTAATCCAACCCACGTCACGAATACTATAGTCGGCGAGTTGGTGGGTGTTAATATAGTCTTGGACCGATCCAACTAAGTAGTGTCAGTGGAAATTTTCGTGCTATCTTTAACACAACGGATACGCGTCTTTTTCTTTACCTGCTGTTTGAAACCCGAATGAAGGGAGCATCATTAAGGAAGTTCCCAATAGGCATTTCCATGCCTCTAGACCGCCCTCCGGGAAAGCCAAACTGACTTCTTCGTCGGCTAAGTTATCGGAGGCAGTACCCAGATTGGGAGTCAATTCCAATTCATCGTTGGTCGGTGGGGCAGATCGGCGCATTTTCAACCAGCCTGCTAAGTTCAACAAGTTTTTAAATTAATTGCATGAACACACGATTCAATGAAGATGGCGAGCTGCTTACCAATGTCCTGGAGCAGCCGATCAGGACGAAAATGTAGGTCCGTCAACGACTATTGGATTATTCGGACAGAACGATATAGCGAGTCGAACGAAAGGTATGCTAGAAGGGGAAGAGTGCGAAGAAGATGTGGAGTGCCTAGCTGAACTATATACCTGAATTCTCGAACTCTGAAGGTGAGACAGAGGTCCATGGAACAAGTTGCTGTAGATGTAGATGTGCTTGTTACCGCTCTCGGCGGTTCCAAACGCCGTACCCCAGCTCCGCAAAAAACCAGCTAACGGAATGACATTCCGTAACCACAATAACTTTAAGATTGCTGTTTGTGAAGATGAGAATGTATTAAAGCTGTTCGAGGGGTTGCTCCGCTACTTTTCCATAGCATGCAGAATGAACCCTACCCGACAGGGCCCATCCCATACTTTGACGCTGCGATTTCGAGAAGGACAGAGCGCACGTACTCTGTCACATCACCTGTGCTCAAATGTAATATTGCTAGCACTAAATAAATTTAGGCGGCTTGGACCCTTGATATTCCCACAGTTCTGAATATTGATATTGCCTGAACCTCTTTCTCTCTTTCTCATTTCTCATTGACTGTGACGGCCCATGGATGTGGCATCTTTCCATAGTAAATATCACCTAATAACTTTTGAAGGTCGCCGTCACCTTTCTTGTATTACCACAAGCCATGGGTATGTCAAGGACCTTTCCATTGTAATGAATAGCCGATATAGGACACACGAAATACTAAAAACAAATGAGTGGACAGGTCAGAACATCAGTTTCGGGTGCACTTATAGCAGTGCCACAAAAGTGAAAGCCTCTACCACTCTTCCTTCCTCCACAGCTTCTGACACCTCAGCCATGCTAAATGGTTCCTCCACAACTTGAATTGTCAAATCGTCGTCTCCATGACCACAAAGCTTGTCGGTTGCAAGCTCCAAGATACTCCACCAAATTCAAAGACAGAATTTGGAGGACGGGAACCAATTATTTTTATGCATGGATTTCTTGGATCGAGAAAGAATAATAGGAGTATTAGCAAGTATGACTGCCTGCTTTGAAAATGTCATTGGCTCGCACTTCTAACATTTGTTCGAATCACAAGAGGACTCGCCAGTGGGTTAAATAGGGATTGTTATGCTCTTGTATGTCAAACCAAGCCCTATAGAGTGTTCGGTACTGGGTCTAGAGATTCACGTTCTGTCTTCTGCTTCAAGCTGGGGCTTGTTTTGGAGTATTGCAGTAGCCAAATCGAGGAATGGATACCAGTATTCTCCGATGCCTGGAACATTGACACTTTAGACTTCGAACTCAAGATCTGTCTAATACCCCACACCACCTAAGATATTAGAAAATGCAACAGCTAGGATTTATAAGCCCAGTGCCGGCACCGTCCTTCAGTTGCGCGCATTTGCTGAAGTAGAAGAATCCAGGACTCTCGAAATCATGGCGAATCCGCCCACCGGCCACTGCACGACTATCGAGTCATGGCTGAAGATGTGAAAGGTATCATAGATGAGCATGATCTACAAAATGTTACACTGATTGGGCACTCCATGTATGTGCTGAGTCTTCGGTACGATAGCTGTTCTGACAACGCAGGGGAGCTAAAATAGCGCTCACCGTCGCACTGCAGTGCCCGGAATCAGTTGGCAATGTTATTGCCATTGATAATATACCAATTCACTTACCGCTATCAGATGATTTCCATCAATATATCGAAGCTTTGAAGAGAGTTGAGCAGGCAAAAGTTACAACGCATGCACAGGCGGACTTTATCGTAAGGGAATATGAAAAGGTATAATTTCTCCTTATGTTGTCTATTCCTATAAATTGCTTACTTCTCGATACAGTCTTCAATCATCCGCTTCTTCCTCCTCACTAACCTTGTCTCATCGCCCGAAAGCTCCTACCTTAGATTTCGCATTCCTTTAGATGTATTATCTACAGCGCTTGGTCCCCTTGAAGATTTCCCGTTTGCAGCTGAGGAGGGAATAAATTTCAACAAACCTGTCTTGTTTATCCGGGCCACTCAAAGTCATTATATTCCGCACTCTGCACTGCCGCAAATTCGACTATTCTTCCCAAATGCGAGCTTAGTAGAGATGGACTGCGGACACTGGGTTATACAAGAAAAGCCAGAGCAGTTTGCACAATGTAAGATTGACATCACGCATCTACGTGCCTATATATAATCAATGAGTCAATAGTCGCCCTTGATTTTCTACGAAACCGTGCTTCGTAGGCTTGACAAATGAAAGGGGGGCCAGGTTTTTGAAACATTTCGGACATTGAGAAAAGTCGAACCCCGAGAAATCCGTAGGGCTTCACAATTTCAATGTCTCAAGCCAGGTCAAAAATTGATCCAACCTCTCAGTTGCATTAAACTATGTGCTCTCTTATTCTAACACCATGCGTATACCTATTGTTAGAATTTAAATTGGCAAAAAAATATAATAAAAAACATACAACAGCAGGTATTCGCTGGTGGTCACCCACCCAACTACTAATCTGCCGATCTGAGGCTTTCCTTAGTTTAATAGTTCGATCGGTGCCATCTGGCCTAGCGGGTGAGCCTCGCCGCCCTTACCCTCAATTTTGTGATGGGGACCATCTCGACCACCCTCGATCATCTCGACGTCCAGAATGTGGGTCTCATATTTACGACGCGTTATACCGCGATATTGGATACCCACAGGTGAGCAAGGTGAGTGGGTGAGCAAGGTGAGCAGGGTGAGCAGGGTGAGCTAGATGGCCTAGGAAGGTGAGGAGCCAAGAGAATGGTATAAAGGGTCAGTTTCTCGCTTTCACCTCTGCGTACGACTCTTTTTCTTTTCTTTTAAGCTAGTATAATGGGACGGAAGACTTATACCCCCGAAGAGCGGCTTGCTCTAGCGCAGAAGCGCGGTTTTGCCGCAGAGACAACATCTGATCGACAAGACCAATTGAGCAAGGTTGAACAATTATCTCTCGCTGGTGCCACCGAAAAAAGACACCAGGATGTAGGAGAGCTGTGGAAAGATTATGTATATACTTGCTATTTTATAGAGGTTTGCTTATAAAGATACTAGGTACCATGCCGTAAAGGGTTTAAAAATGGAGGTATCACGGCGACCTGATACCGCCACGTTCAAAGACTTTATGGAGTATTACGCTTCATCACGAGATGGCCTAATTGACGAACTCCCGACGATGCACAGTGTTCTTAATATGTGGTACAAATTCGTGGGCTATTTAAACCGCATTACAAAGTCCAAGCTCGATAGGCAAGTCTGTTCTGATGTCGCTGCTGTATGTTCCTAAAACTCCTCTGCTTTGTATAACTTTAATTAATACATGCTATAGTTTATCAGTGGATCTTTACGGCAGAAACTTAATTTGAGCACAAAGAAGCGGGACAAATACTTAGTCACCCAGAAAGATCTGACGAGACTACTGGAGTATCTTTGGTGTTCTGACGATCATGAATATCTTCATGAGCGTTTAAGAGTTCAGTTGACATTTTGTCTGATAATATTTGCTGCTTGTGGCGCCAGAGCTGGTGCTATTGTAGAATCAAGCTCATATAAAGGGTCGAATGAGGCGCTTACTTATAAGGTATGTCGGGTCTTGGTATAGAAGGTCACCCTATTAATTCATTAGGACTGCCATATTCACTTGGTACGGCGACTTGGCGGCGGATTTGAGTTCCACCTCGAAATAATCCAGCGATTCGTGAAGGGAAAGCGTGGTGATGAGAACGACAAGTACGTGGATCTGATCAATTAGTCTTGAATCAAGCTTACTAGATGATAGCCTCCATATCATCATAACGCCAAAGGATCGCTTGTTATACAACGGATTTTGGGTTCTGGCTAGCCTCGCGATCGCTGACAATGCTATAAAAGGGTTTAAGACACTAGACGACCTTGAAAAGGCTCGTGTACCAGACGGTAGAGATTCATGGGAGCTAGAGTGGGAAGAGGACGCGCGTGACCTTCCCATACTACGGATGGCAACTGCAGAGGGGGTTCACAAGTATAGAGCACTTACTTACGCTGCACTTTGGAATCAGATAGTCTCTCTCGGCATTCGTGCTGGTTACAGAGACTCTGTCAAGATCCATGCTATTCGTGCTGGTGTAGCAAATAAGATTAAAGGTGAGTTAACGCCCTTCCTAGTAGTTGGAGTTCCCTTTTTTTTTTCTAACCATGCTCAGATCCAGAAAAGCGTAAACAGACCTTAGGTCACGGAGACCATGTAATATATTATAAATCCTACGCGTCAAAGATCGTTGAAGTAGATGGATTGTCGGAATACCTTGGCGATGCGCCGTCTACTGAGCACATTGAGCAGCTGCGCAGCATGGATCATCGACGCGATAAGAACGCTCCAAGGAAGCTTCCAGCAGCAGAGAAAGTTGAATTTGATCGGAGCCCTAAAATTAGAGAGGTCAACATGCGTATAGAAAAGATTACAAGAGATATAGCAGGTAAACCTGCCGAACACCCTGCCTTATTCAAAGAGCGGCAGAAGTTATACGGCGAGAAAAGACAACAACTCCGATTAGCAGAGAGGCTATCCAGAGAGAAATGGTTTAATACGAGCTATGATGTAGAAGCTTTACGACAATTGCAAACCGAGGAAATTGATGCGAAGGCTCTAGCAAAACCGCGACAAATAAGCACCTTTTACCTGACTCGTCGCCTCATGCCAGCACGCGATCGCGTCGCAAATGTAATACTCCTTACCCCGGATCTACGAAGTGACAAATATCGAGCTGCTCAACGAGACATTTATAGCTTGTGCATTGATGATAGCCGGGTAGCATATCGGCCAAACGAACATCCCATCGATGGAGCATGTCCCCGCGAGGGCTGTTCGACAGCTATGATTGAGTAAGAGCAGACTTCGCAAATCAGTTCGACGCTAACCAATCTAGATTGCCGGTAGCCATGCGCTCAAGACACATCCACGCCTGTCGTCAACGCGAGCTACGAGATACCTTGAGCCAACAGCCTAGTTCATACTCTCGCCGACTTCGAAACCGCAAACTACCATTCGCAGAATATTGTTATGCATGTTGCGAGTGGAGTTGTAGCGAAGATAGCTGGAACAGCCATTGTAGATCTCATCTTGAGAGGCTGGAATTAAGATGCGGGCTTTTATCCTTTCGCTACACGCTAGTAGTCGCAGGCTACTGCCCTTTCTGCTTGGGCGATGAGGGCCTCTCGCCATCCCAGAGGATGCGGCAATGGATGACGAAGCCAACGCTGCTCAATCACATTGATATACACCTTACTACTTATACAGGATTGGAATGTCCGCACCCCATCTGCCATGTATCTCTCGAGCGCCCTTCAGATTTCACAGCCCATTTTGAGGATGTTCATATCATTGGAGAACCACGTTCAAACTGTGTGAGCAGGAATCGAAGGCGTGATGATGAGAAAGAAGAGATACAGGGCATGAATGGCGAGGCCACAGACCATGTGAGCAAGAAACCAAAGCACAAGGATGATAACAAAGAAATAGAGAGCTAGAAATTAGTTGATTGGAGCATTTCGCTGCTCCGAGTTGACGCATGTAATTCTATTGATCTCAGATTTTCACCTCTGTACATAGTTTCCCCTAGACAATAGAAGATATTAAACAGCACGCAGGATCGTCTCTTGTGCCCCATCACTTTTGTGTTTAAATAGATGACCCGTAAGCTTGTAGTCATAGGTGGTACCCCTCATTTTATGGCACAGATGGCGTCTGCAGAATGGCTACAAAGTATCCCTACTCCCGCAAGCGGTGCTAAAGTACTTCGATTATATACATTTACGATGAGCTGCCCGCGAACCAGCAACCAGGAAAGAGCCAGGAGGCGAACGGAATGTCGGAAGAAGTTGTCCGAGCACATTCGTGAGCTTCTATAGCTGTATACAACAAAGCGAAGTATCTAATGATGTAATATGACTAGACTCACGGCTTGGGATTGCTGTTCTACCCGCAAATGTCAAGCTCATGACCAAATCAGAAGACCCATATCAATGGAATATCTTCTCAACAGACAAGACCGCATTATTTGACAAACAACTAAGCAAGCACTCAACCGGTGCCTACATCGACCTGTGCAACGGAGTAGGAGTGCATTTCGAGGCAGTACTATCGGAAGGGGCGGCGAACCACGAGCAGACAGGACGACCCATTATAACAGGAGCAATTCCTAACGGAAAAGGGAATTCAAATCATCTAAGTAGAGATATTGATAAAGTTCACGTTGCCGCCGAAGAATGGCGCGAGCGATATAAAGCCGAATTGGCTAGAAGAGAGTCGCTGGAGGTTGAACTGGCGGCTGTCAAATCGGAGAATACAGAACTATTAAATGAGATCAAGGCTCTGCGCGAAGTAGAAGTAACGCGGACACTCGACCTTGATAAGACAAAGGAGATCTTGTCCAGATTATCGCATATGCTCCAAGACCGAGCATCAAAGGCTTATGAGGACTTACAACAAGTTACCCGGGTCGCAGAGTACCTACACTTGGGAAGCAAACCGCGTATGTCTTCTCATTCAAAATGGGAACCTCAAACCAATATTAACTCTGCATTTAGTAGTTACAATGCAGGGACATCTGGCAACTGGTTAACTATAGAACCTCAAAAGGCAGTGATGACTACCTTACTTAGCCATAATTTCTATTTCATCGCATGCTCAATACAACTTTTCCAGCCGCCATGAGCAGCCATGACCTTCAAGAACAGGCATAATATGGCGGTCCAGAGGCGCTGTAACGGGCTCAAACGTTTGACGAGTAACTCTTCTCATAAAAGGGTAGAGATTTGACCTCTCAATCCGTACTCCGACGACCCTCTACAGCTGAGAAGGGCCGCGCAGCTTCAACGACAGCCAGAATCCGCTATCGCACTCAGCAGCAGTGGCAGAAGCTGATGATAACGGGGGAAATAGACCCGGTATTCGAGGTATGTTCCAAGAAAGATATGCCTGGCTTGTAGCAACAATAACTGACCTGTCAAAATCTGACCAGGGACCGGCACGGTGACGACGATGATGACCTGTACCATTTGTGGGATAAGGGGAGCAAGCTGGCGGAATAGGATCTCTAGGGCGCTCAATACCATGTGACTCGTGCAAATACCCAATGATTTCCATAAAGGGCGACATCAAGTTTTATTACGGTGTAATTTATGTCGTCGCGGCCCACTCCTCGTCCCTTGTCGTGACAGCGAGATTGATTGATTTGCATATGGAACCCGCCCACCAAGATAAACGATAGGACAGAAGTATCACAAATCCAATATTGCGAGACCCTTTCCGTCCTTTCCTAAGCACCGCCAAAGACTGATTCTGCCGAACCCACGTTGGCGCAAGTCATGAGTCGCTTTTGAGGCAAATGAGTCACCGAGTGGCTTTTAAGCTTGTTGCGTGAGTCACGTATAGTCACGGGACGAGCACGATAATCGCAATAGCAACACGCAGCAATCGAAGAATCCAAGGACTTATAATCAACGTCCTGTCTATAAATATATCTCCATATCCTCCTAAAGATATTAAACTCAACAACATCGAAACATTGCCATTCTGTCGACGTAGCAATACATGGTACTTTCTCCAGTGACCCTTGAGTGTTTTATTAATAAGTATACATATCTCCTAACAAGATGTGCCATTGGCGTCAGCATATGTTCTCCTGCGGTGATACCGATTACCACGAGCTTCTGCAAGACTGTGGTTCGCATTGCGCGGTGAATGCAGCTAGTCAGACCTTCGCGGCTGTCAATATATATGCTCATCCATGTCCTTCACATTCCTATCCTTCACCCGATAGTACTTAGGGAGTTGGAGGTGTAGTAAGCAATAAAAGTGAGTGCGAGAAATGCATCTCAGGTTTCCCCTTTAAGCGCTAAAAGCCTCAAAGTATAGAAGTCAGATGCAAATTTGTCCGATGAAATCGTACGGAATTATATAGAAAACCCTCTTCACTGTATTTAAACAGCGCAACACCTTTATAGGAAACAATTTGTCTATTATGCAATGAGTTACACATACATTGGTCATAAATTATTGTATCATACAGATTTTGCATAGACTCTTTGTAACCCGGGAAAAAAAAAGGGTTTCCTCATAGAAAGCCGCCCTTGCCTGCCGGAGGGACACGGGTTACTCTCTTGTCCCATGTGTTATCGAAATTTCCGAACTGCTTTACTGTTCTTGTCGTCCCTCTTTCTTCCGCTGGCGCTTGTCGTTACAAAGAACTACAACAGGGTCAGACAAAATTCGAAGAAGATTGTACAGTCCTCAGAGACCTACTCACAGAAATCTTCTAGATCAAGTATTCCGGGGAGCCCTATACTGTATCGGATCTGCCCCCGGAGAGTGATCCGCTAGGTAAGGTGGGCGAACATCGAGGCCGTTGAGTCGATGAAGTTCTGCAATCCTATTATTCACCCGCCGATCGAGTGCTTTGTCCCTTGTAATATTCCCGCGCTTTTTATCTTTGTGTAGCTTGAATCGGAAAACCGGGAGGTTGTTCTCTAAGGTGTTATGCGCCGTATCCCAGTCATACGTATCGTGATTAACGTCCAAGACGATGAAAATACGTCTTCCCCATATCTCAACAGCGAGGAGTTGTAGGAGAAGGCTGTTTGGGCCTGGGCTTTCTGACTGGAAAATGTCTCTAATTTGCCCATGCACGAACTGCTGGGCCGATCTGAGGTAATCGGCAGCAAAGTCTTGAGCAAGCGGATCGAGGAAAACACGAAACGGCAGTCGATCTTTAAGAGCTTTCCTTGCTTCTTCGTCAAAAGCGTGCATACTGACGTTGTGTGGCGATAAGAAATGCGTTTGAGACAGGATCTTTTGAACGTCACAAATACGTGGATCAATACGAGGGGAACCTCGATTAGGCGGTCTTACCCGCATCCGCGATTAAAATATCTTGTATTATCGATGCCACCAAGCAAGATCACAAAACTCGAGCAGTACTACACGAAACATTTTCAATAGCACGAGTTTCATTTTTATAATTATAGTACTGATAAAGTTGGAAAAGGCGGCGTATTTCCATGGGGTGATACTGTTACAGCGAGAAATTTTCTAATTGCCTTAGGTTGGTTGAGTGCCTGCGCCACCTCTGGACACCTGATTGTGGCTTTACGCTCTTGTGGCCTCAGGCATAAATTCAACCAAAATAGGCCTCGCGGATAAGCGAGTAGAAGGGTCCCATTTACCTTTGGCGAAGGCCACCAGTTTCGACGTTCTCCCTAGACTATCTAAAGTTTGACGGGCTTCAGCGTCTGATGCTAATGGCCCACGAGGCCAGCAACAGCTACACAGTGTTATGGCAGAAACACTTTGGATTTTGCCGACAGTAAAATTGTGGCCTGAGGCAAGTATTTCGGGTAACTGACGTCGTCGCATCCCATACTTTCACCAAGCTCCCTATTCCAATAACACCACTTCTAGGCTCTTTTCGCGTTCAGGTTCTACAACTCTCCGTGTTTTTGATGAGTGCTAATTTGTATTCTTGTGCAGGGACTCGTGAAATGGTGGAATCTCCCGCTAAAAGGGCGGCATATTCGCAGGCAGCTGGAGCTTCTCTTCCCAGTTTGTTTTCCTCATCAATCCCACGTTGAAACTTAACTACGAGTCGTCTAGAGTGGTGATACATCGCCTCTCTCCCTAGTAGATAGGGATGTACGACGATGTGCTCACCGATAGTCTCGTGGACGATGTAAGTACCTTTCTACCGATACATCAGATTTTCCACCTAGAGATTGACAGCTGTGTAGATAATCTACGGAGTGGCTCGAAAGTTGGCAGTACATACTCCTCAATATTATAGTTGTTTTGTGCACACCGGGAATGAGTGAGTATTCCTTACTTTTTGCTAGGCTTCTACTTCCCACCTAGTTTCAAGCCGAGACGATCCCGATTCCATGGCAGCGAAGGACTGGTGGATGCAACGGACGCAGACTGGGCTACTACAAGCACTCGGGAGGATGAGAGTTAAACTAATGTCAGTTTTGGCGGATCTGTTGGTAGAGCGAAGTAAAGAGAAGTGAAGCCGGAGGAAGATAGCAGAGGATGGTTGGGGGGGCAGACGCGGGAAACCCACAACGGTGTCCATCGCTGCCCTTGGAGCCGCGAATGCCCACCGAGAGGCTGTGTTTGTGGAAACAAGGTGTCTAGTTGGGCCCCTGAAGAAGAATCGTCCTGGATTGCCTAAGTGGGCTACACCAAATATCTCCGAAGCAACTACTGGTGGAGTTTTGTTCGTGTTCATGTGGGCCAAGTCTGCCTTGGACGCCATCTAAGTACAGAGTATCAGCTAGCATCGGCCGTGATACGAAATCCGGTACCATCTTCCTAGGCTGTTGAGATTTATCACCATCAAGTGAAGGGTCGTCATGTAGCAAGAGTGCTTGTGAAATGCATCAGGAGTCGAAGAGCGATAGTTTTTTTCTGTGCCAACTGGATTTTGTTTTGATGATGTTATTTGCGTGCGCTGATGCACCTGAACCCTTGAGGAAAGGATACCGACAGCTGCCTGGATGCGTGAGGAGTGGAGATCTTCGGCCAGCCACGGAAGGAGCATATCCCAAACCCAATCTAAGGCATACCTGGCAGCTAAGTGGACTTGTTATGCACCATTGTGTTCAGGTTGGGAGGGGTTGAAGCATGCAGGTCGGTTGAGGAAGCGGAGGACATGGTTGGAGGGCAAATGAAATACTAAAGGAGAAGGGTAGACGATAGAAACTTGTGCATTGGGTTGGTTAGCTGCTAACAAGGGAACCGCAGTAACCGGGCAGTGTGCTGCAGCACTATGCAGCAGCAGCTATCCTACCATTTCAGCCAATGCAGTCGGGTGTGGAGCTGTCGATTTACTGTCTGTGTCCGCTACGGACGAGCACACATTCTATTGCACCCACTTTGTCGTTGATGACTGAGGAGAAGCTGAAGCGAGCTTGGAAAGGGGTATCATATCACGTGACAATGCTCGATTTGGCCATCGGTTCTCCGTGGGAGGTGGCGATAAACCGGGCTGCATTATACTTGGAATGGGTCAAGTTGTTACGAAGCTATAACCCGAAACGCTAAGAACTCAAGACACCACGTGTACCCCGAAATCCTCCTTTTGTCTGTTCCACTGCTCTCACCTGCTTCTATGCCCCAAGTTGGGAAAGTCAGATATAGAGCGCGATAAAGCGCCTGTCCAGTTAGGGTACTGTCCTCAGTATATCCGTTATAGTTACAGCATTTGGCCCTAAATCGAGGCACCTTCAAGCAGGAACCGCCTTTTGCAGTCAGGTTTGGCCTAGATGACTTATTTCGGGGTGAACGCTAAAGAAGCATGTGCATGCATGGCCTCCTTTCACCGCGGGTCATAGGTGGACTGTTTTTTTTCATGGGAGGAGCAATCGGGCCTTGGTTGTAGGATGGAGCCTGCTACGGATGGAGCACACTTTTCCACCTCATCACCGATAGTAGGTGGACAGCGGGCACTACACTATTGTTTATGTCGGCCCCATTTGCCTTGCAGATCGGCTAGGGGGCTTCGTCAGTGGCTCCTGCTAATGAGATGCGTCAAGAGTGACACTGCCCCAGCAAGGTGGGCAGGAGCGGTGCATCTAATGGCCGGGGTGAAGTATAAGTAGCCGCCTCCTCCCCACCCCCGAGTGCAAAGCCTTTACTCTTTAATGATTTTTTCACTGAACAGTCTTCCCTCGTCTCTATTAGGAGTCTCCGTCAACATGACTTCAGCGGCACAGACCTTAGAGGCAGAAGTCAATGACAACCAGCCAAGCATAGATACCAACCTGCCAGCAGATTCAAAGCCACCCAGTGTGCGTTTGAGTCCAGAAATTGCGCGACAGAGCGCCGGGCAGCCGCAATCAGAGGTTCAGTTCACGGCTGCAAAGACGGAAGAAACTCCAGCAGAAGCCACTCGGCCGACAAGAGAAATCCTACCTTGCAGTTTCCATGCTAGTGCCCCATCATCTCCAGAAACAGACACTGTAGCCAACGAGGGCGAATCGAAGCCGTCAGTAGCTGAGCAGAGGACCAAGGTATAATAGGATAATAGTAGCTCGGTGTTGGTATTAGGAAACTAACAGTGCTATAGGTTCAGCTTCGATACTTACGCAACAGGCTAGACAACGGCCTTCTACCGCCGGAACCGGAGATGTCTCGCGTCTTAACCAAATTAGAAAGCAGTGCAGCTTTGTCGTGGAGCATCATCCGTGATACAGAAACCTACAACCTTCTTCAAAATATCAACAACTTACCAGGCATTCCTGGGGATGAGGAGTTTCGCTTGAAGGAACGAGTAATGGGGTTGCTAGAAACCTGGAAGGATACAGGGGAGCTGCCGGTCATATCCTCAACCTCACAGCAGACCAACGACCATGACGCCGTTGATATTGCCGTTGATATTGCCGTTGATATTGCAGTTCGGGATTCTCAACAGCCTGATAGTTCCCCGAAATCACGGTCGCCGCGAGACGACACGCTCTTTCCTCCAGATATTCATTTGACGGAGGGAGACCAACCAAAAATAGCAATCGTACGAGGGCCCTGCAAGTCGTCTAGCGATCATATGACGGATCCCAGTGCACCACTAGCCGCACCGCCCCATCCCCATGCCTCCACTGCACGGCATTCAACACAGACTAGGTCGAAGCGTGTCGTGATTGATTTGACAATGGAATATCAGCCAGATAGAGTCGACCTCACCGAACTCGGTGCAAGCAAAGACAAAGAGACAACCAGCTCACCGTCCTCTACAAGTACAAGTGAGTACCTATTTTCATCCTCGTATAAGTAGGTCTAACACATGGCAGAAGATTACAATCCACCGGTCCCAAGCGCCTCGTCCGATACGGCCAGGTTAAACCCCAAGAAACGAAAGCGTCCCAGCGCTGCAAGTAATAGATGCTCTCCGGAGTCTGGCTCATGTACGGCAAGTTCAGATGTGATACATGAGAGCGATTGCCAAAGCTCTGCAGCAGCAGCAGCAAAGCCCATTAATCAAAATACACCCACTCGCCAGCGGAAACCACGGAAGACCTCACCACGGAAGACTTCACCACGGAAGACTTCACCAAGACAGCACCTTGCCAACGAGATTCAATGGATAACTGGGTCCGTGTCGGAGATTGAGCAGATGCTTAAGGAGGCAAAAGAAGAAAGTGACTTGATTGAGAGAAAAAAGGTCAGGTTGCTTGAGGAGAATGCAGCCGAGAGGAAATTGAACCTAAGCAAATTGGATGGGCTGATCAAGCTAAAGGAGAATCTTCTAGCTTGGGGAGCTCAAGATGAGAGAGTTACAAAAGAGTGGGCTCCCTCACGCTGAGGTGGATGTGAGGCAGTAAAGATGGTTGTCTGGAATGCAATTCCCTATTAGGTTCGAGCTGTTGTCTCGGTCGTGATCGACGAAAAGGATAATGCTATTCCATTTGAAGGTTCGTTGTGGTGTGGTGTCCCGGTCAGGAGGCGATGGACCAACCTTAAACGTTTATGGCTGTCGCCCCGAAGTTCTCCGGTGTAGAACTGTGTCGCATAGTTGCTGGACCTGTAATCCATGGGTCTTGGCAACAACTCGGGTTTCTGGAGCTGCAGTCGAAGAATATATAGATTTTGAATGTCACAATGTCCTGCTAGCGCTCGGCCCAAGGCGGTTATAGAAACGAAGTGGTATAGAGCGTGAAGACGGTCGTTAAGTCGGAAGGCACCTGTAGCCGGAACATACCCCACTCGTTCACTTCTACGAACACGCCTTCTTAGGATTGAGACCCATCGTGCAAATACACCGCATATTGTGGTGGGAATTTAGCAAGAACTAGCGAAAAGATATTCTGTGCGGCGGAAACAAGTGGCAAGCTAGTCCGGTCAGTATATTAGATGAGCATACCTTTGCTGAACCTACAACATATCATGCTGAGGGCTTTCTGCACGAGCACGTTGAGAGAACATGCCGATTAGATGCGCAGCTTCTTGAGCTTCCACATTAGAAGGCTTCTCATTGGCCTGACATACGTAAGCAGACGTCGAATAAAGTCCTGATTAGACTCACCTCAATGCTGCAGTAAGAGCATGCTGAGGCTCGAACTATCGCGATGTGCTTTATGTACAAGGCTTCCATCGTTCGTAGTAGAATGGGTGAGTGCTCCTGCCTGAACAACGAACGTATCGTGTGTAATACTCCATTCTAGATAGACTGAAGGGTCAAGACGCAGGCATTTGTCGTCATTTCCGACTTAGTCCGTCGGTCATGGCTTGACTGTGCTGCGATCTCAGCTCTCGCCGAGGATCAGAGTTCATAGGTGTTTTAAAAGCTAGGGGAGGCCAACCCTCCTCTGGGTGGAGACTCAAAGGCCTGGGCAAATGCCGTCGATGCTCTTTGAGCTTCCTAACGTGCTTCCGCATACTCAAGGAACCCGGGGTACAAGGCAACTTGCTCCCGCAGCATCAACGAAGGATTTCCTAGCTAGGCATGGGAAGCACCTGGTCGGCCTCCTGCCCGTCTTGATCGATAATATGGCCCTTACTCAGTGCGATATGACGTGGACGGTGCTAACTTCACGGCTGGAAACTGTGGGGGCATCACCCTTCGCGAGGCGACGTTCACCACTCTGTGTGTCCCCGTTGGCCACCTTCCCCAACAGAGCCTGCGATAAGTCTTAAATCTAGGAGATGTTACCTTGAGAACAATCACAAAAACAAAACAATCCTCCATTCGCGAATTTCAAACCTTGCAGGATTCTCCATTATACCTTTGGCGGAACATATCAACCTACTTCTTACTGCATTGGAAGATTTGTGGCTTTTCGCGGTGGAATTGAACCCTTCTACTAAAACTGTTGTACGTCCACAGATAAGAGGATAGTCGAGGGACGTCACATTGCAGAGAAGACACCTATTATGCCGAGTGTGATAGATCATCTACGGGGCGGGGTCAAACAAAGTCAATGATCTAAGTGAGTGGTCCACAGTGGGTCTTTATCCAAGATCATCTGTGTTTACAATAGACCATCGTCAGGATGTATGTTCGCTAGTATCGGACGGCGCTGGGGCCATTCTGCGGCGTTTAGTTTTTCCGTACCTCCAGTCTGTTTGGCCAACTTCATCACAATCCGCCAGGTTCAGCTAATCTATAAAGCACGACGAGATGTCCAAGATGAATTCGCCAGCTACCGTTGAAAAGAGTCCGTCGTTACCCGCCGCAGACACGGTACCATCGTTTTTACCATGGTCAAGTCAACTAGAAACCCAAAAAGACGAGTCGGTTGCCCTCAAAGGAGGCCAAGTTGCTCAGCGTGCCAGTAAGTCTTGGGCTTCCTTTCTCTATCACCTTCCACCTGATTAGGTATAATGTTGCTAATTATTCAATCTCTAGACAACACCGACTTAAATGCGACGAAACACTGCCTACCTGCCAGCGCTATCGATCCAGCAACGTCTCACCAACTACAATAACGAGAGCTATAGCAACCACTCGTGAGGAAGATCGCTCAGAAGAGCTTGCAGCAAGCCCAGCTACCGACAGACTAGAGGGTTTCGAAAATACTCCATCTGAAAAGGTAGCCAATATCCTAAACCCCCTTTCCCCCGCTTAACACTTACTAATATTATTATAGTGCGCTGAGTACGAGTTTCGAGATAGCGAAGTGGATGATGAAGAGGAAGAAGACGATGATGAAGTGGAGGATGATGAAGGAGACGATGGTGAAGAGGGCGACGAAGATGTCTGCTTTTGTTTAAATTGTGCTTTTACCGAGTTGTTATACGAAGAGGAAGAAGAGCATCATGAAGGTGTCTGCTTTTGTGATACTTGTGCTTTAATCGAGGAGTTACATGAGGAGGAAATGCAAGGTTGATGAAGGAGACGATGATGAAGAGGATAATGAAGAGGGCGACGATGATAAAGATGTCTGCTTTTGTTTCGCTTGTGCTTCTACCGAGTTGTTATATGAAGAGGAAGATTAGGAAACCAAATATTAGCCGTTCAAAGAGGGTTAAATATAGCAGTTGCTTTATTTATTGTTGCTGCCAAGGTCTTTGTACAATAGGCAGGCCATTGTTACGGGTATCTTGCTTGGTAAGATTGGGCTGGTTTCGTCTGCCTGGGTAAATAACAGAATCCATTCTACCGTGGCCATGCTAATACATCTGGTACAGGTCTTTTATACGTTGTCGAGTGTTTTCACTATTCGATTTCAGATTCTTCAAATATGGAACATAAGCCAGCCTCCGAAACCTGCCGAACTCACAGGCCCATAACCATCTATCCAGGTGGCGAGTTACTTTTATCTCAAAGCATGCTATACGGACAAAAGCTAATCTGTAAGACTTTCGCATCTCCTATTTTATGTACTAACTTTAGTAATAGTTGGATACGAGTTTTTGGGGTTGATTCTCATCGCCTAGAACATGCAAAATGGACACTGATTCCCACCCAATACCTTCGCGCCATCCTTTCCTATTGCCTACTATACCGCTTCGGCTCCTCGACTTCTAAATCATTTGAGCTCTGCTGAAGGCGGCTGAGGGTGGAATTTCATTAATGGAGCTCGAAGGCCACTGTCGAGATCTCTCAACTTGCACCAGATACTGTAGGAAATATGATCCCATTCCTGGTATGAAATGTCGAGGCATCTCTTTGGACAGGATATCATTTGCAGACACAAGGGTCAACCGGGACTCCGCATACTCGTGGAGCTCGAAATTCACAAGGGAGAGGAAGAGGTAGATGACCCCTTTATAATAATTTCCCTTCGAAAAAGTTCTGTAATTTTCGGTAAGAGCCATTGCCTCGTCTAAAGTTTGACGGGCTTTGGACCATAGAGTCTGATACCAATTGACGCGTGCTAGGCCGATCATTGAACGGACATGGCTCAATTGATCGGATACATCATGGCTGACCATCCCTGCAAAGGTGTCGACAAGTTCTCGAAGGAGACCCTTAGCTGCCTCTAATTTTCTTTGCTGTATGTATGCCTCCGCTAACGGCAGAGCCAGACGTCGGAAAGCTTTTAAGCGTTGCTTGCCACGAGCTCTTAGCTGTTCAATCTCGTCAAGCACCAACGTTTCAACCTCCTCTGGTAGTCCCAGTTCACAGTAGACATCGCCCAGGTGGTACATGATGTGATAGCGACTCGCATCGCCAGGAATCGTCTGGAGACATTCCTCGAGGCAGTAGCGTGCGTGTGAAAATTTGCCCACATATCGTGACACTCTGCCGAGTACAGTATTCTTCAATCGAACCACTTGTAGCTCCAGTCCGGAAGGTTCGGGATTCTTAACCTCCCAACTTGCCAGGTGTGACTCTGCTTGGCCGAACTCTTTGCGCAATATTGCATTTTCGGACAGAGAAAGCAGCAAACGTCCATAGGTACAGTATAACCTCATATCCTTCGATTTGAGCTCAATACTCTCGAGGATATCTCGTATTACACCATCCGATCGATCGTGGTCGCCCTGACGTCGTAATAAGATACTCTTCCGATATACAATTGCCATCCGCAAGTAGTCTGGTAGATCAGGATCTTGGATCTTGGCTAGCACTGAAATCACATTCTTCTTACGGGACGTACCAACTAATGTGTATGTCGCTAATGATGCTTCAACCAGGCTATCGCGGATAGGAGCTGGAATAATAGGGCAACGCTCTCCCAGCACAAATTCCCAAGTACGTTCGAGGTAGGGCAACAAGAGTCTCCCGAGGGCCTGAAACCTGAGGGCACTTGTTAGTGACGCAGCCCAGAAGCTGAATATCATCCAACTTACGAGGGCTCTAGGGCCTGATCCCGAGGATAGATATGGGTTGTGAATATCAATCCAAGTAGGTGTAGCTCCTCACCTTTAACGGTTTGAGATATTTGACGCCGTGACTGTTCAGTAATTGAGTACTGCAGCGAACCATCCTCCGATACACCCTGCAGTACCAAACCAAATCGGATGCAAGTCTCGATAGTTTGCTCGAGCACGGTCTGACTTGAGAAAATACTGGTGGTCTGCTCATCAAAGCCAGCGTCACGTGGCGTAATCTCACGCACATTCCCGCAGCCATCCCATCGTTTCTGTGGCAAAAGCCCACGAAATAGTACGTCCTGTCGAATTTGGGAACCCCCCAGAGCATATAAGAGAAGCGGGAGAGGATCGATGGGAAAATTCGTATGGTCTATGGAGGACGCCATGATGAGGTCATCTGAGGGAGCTTCGAATGAAAGAGATTCGTTGTCGCAGAGGGAAGAGACATTGGATATTAGAGTAGGTATATGCTGATGCGGAGGGCTTTCCATATCTCTATCTGTTGAGGTATTAAATGGTTTTCGGTATTGTTGTTGCTGGGGGAGGTTCTGTTTGAGAGAAGGCGCGTTGAGTATCGAAGTAGGTACGTCCTGACGAGACCGGAAGCATTGTTGTTGTCGCTGGTGTATGTTACCTGCTTCATCTAGGTGGAGCGAGGTATTGAGTAGCTGTTGTTGCTGATCTTCTTTGGGAGTTGTAAGTCGAAACGTTAAAAAAAGGTGATCCTGCCGCTGGGAGTCGACTGCTTGCCCAATTTGATGTATCTCTTGCGATTCTTGGAATTGCTGAAAGACTGTGGCCGATGTATCCCATGATCGAGAGAGGCACCGAGCTTGTGTCACGGCTAAACTGTCCATAGTCTCCATTATGTCCCTCGGTCGCTTCCTCCCAGCATGACCCCCGAGATATTGAAGTGGATGCGGACCAACCCGCCCTACGTCAGTTTGTCAGCGGAAGAAAATTATCCACAGAGGTTAAAACATACCTAGTGTACTAAGAAATTCCGGAATCCACTTGACAATTTCGCTGCTAAGCATCTTTGTAGCGTAATTCACCAACACCGCTCGGAATCCTTCGATAATGGTCGCCCAGTTCTTGCGTATATTTTCTGATTTTCTGAAAAACAGTATGAGCGCAATAACGCCATTATATCCTCCATGCTTGTAGAAAGCGCGTTCGATGTCATCCTCTGAATATAGCCCATCAGATGCCGCATCTTGGATGATATATCGCTCTTTCTGGGTAAATTTCCAATTAAATTCGATATTTGTTAACGTTACGCGAAACAGAGATTCTTGGACTTTAATGGCTTCGAGTGAGGATGAAAATGATTGAACTGAAAGCAAATTAGTCGCGAATATAAGGTCGTAGATTGCGGACAGCAGGGCCGACAGTGTTTCCGAACCATTTTTGGCAAGGGCGTCATGCAAGAGGAGTCTCTCGGGCTGTGCAGGCGATTGGAAAACGATCTCCATAGGGCGAAATTGCTGCGAGGCAGCAGAATTGTTGCGAGGCAGATACTGAAGCTGCGGAGCGATGGGGCAGAACACGAGGCAAAGCGCGAACCGTCAAAATCCATATAGCGACCGAATCGGAATGCATTACGTAAGCACACTGCCTTGTTCCACAAAGGTTTGCAGAGGGAAACGACCTGTCCTCACGAGCGGCAAGGAAAATGGAGAGAAGTTACGACGTAAGAAAAGCAATACATGAGATATCCTTGGTCAACTAATCGAATATAGGAAGCCATACGCTGTCTGAATAGCAGGAAAGCGTCCCCGAAGCCCAACCTGGACGATATGCGGGGCTCGGATGACATGGTGGAATGGCTAGAATTACTTGGTCACTCAGTATAGTATTCTTCACTGCTAAAGAATGTTACTGAATAATAATAGGCTGAACATATGGACAGCTTAAATGCTATACACGTCTCAGGGACGAATGGAAAGGGTAGTACCTGTGCGTTTGTGGCATCGTTCCTTAAGGCGCACGGAAACAACACTGGATACCCGCAAAGCATTGGGCTCTATACATCTCCACATATGAAGAGCATACGTGAAAGGATTCGCATTAACGGTGAGCCGATATCGGAGGAGCATTTTACCACGCGATTCTTCGAAATCTGGGATAAGTTGCCGGGCCAGGCCACCCCAACCTTAGATATTCCCCGATATCTCCAGCTCTTGGCTCTCCTCTCATTTCATGTCTTTATTGAGGAAAAGGTGGATGTGGCAATATATGAGTGTCATCTTGGTGCAGAATTTGATGCAACGAATATTATAAGGACGCCGCTTGCGACAGCAATTACACCAATTTCAATGGATCATGCCAGTCTGCTCGGCCCAACAATTCAGGATATTGCCTGGCATAAGGCAGGAATCTTAAAATCAGAGTGTCTAGCCTTCTCTGCTATTCAGAATCCGGAGGTTGCTATGGTCCTCGAACAGCGAGCAGCTGAGAAAGGAGTTGTGCTGAAATATATTGGCGTCGACTCTGCGCTTCCGACCTACGCGGCGGCCCTAAAGCCCGAATTTCAGAGAATAAATTGCTCTCTGGCTCTCGCAGTAGTCCGCGCTTGGCTATCGGTAAAGGCACCTCAAGGGCAAAGTAGTATGGAAAATACCATCACTCGTGGTATCGAGCAATTTTCCTGGCCAGGTCGGTATCAGCAAATCAACCAGCGGAATTGTCAATGGTTTCTTGATGGAGCGCATAATGACTTAAGCTTGCGATATGCTGTGAAGTGGTTCGCTGAAACGGCCACGGGGAAACAAAAGTTCGTGATGATCTGTAGCCCGGTCAGGTAGACTGCATATTAACCTCCTTTAGTAATTCTGTTATTTCCACACGCATTCTTATCTTCAGTCAATTTTCAACTCGAGATGGCACGGCACTTCTACGTAGCATCGCAGAATCTCTACAAGACAATAAAATTTGGATGCAATATATTATCTTCACCACATACGATGAGAGGCGAGATGGCCAAACGAGGATTGGTATTTGCTAAATATACCAAAAGATAGAAAGCGAGCTAATTCCCTTAATAGACAGAAACCTGAAAAAGCGCTTTTCGGCAGAGGTCCAAGCGCGTTATGCCGAGACTTGGGGGCATCTTGATCCCACGGCTACGGTGTTGCGCGAACGAACAATTGAGGGTGCTTTAGATCGGGCCAGGGAAATCGGTGATCAGAACAACGGCATGCAAGCGTTAGTAACAGGGAGTCTCTACTTAGTTAGCGGTGCGCTCTGGCTTTTAGAGTCTGATTGTTCTATCCAGCGCCTATGTCAACAAAGGTATCATTTTTTCCACTTGGAATTTCCATTCCTTATTGACGTTGATGTTAATGATACTCAAGCCACAAAAGTTAGCCACATTCACCCGCGATTTTGAGCCACGAAAGCCCCGTCACAAAACATCACCGCCAATAGCCCAGCACTCCTGCCAATACTGTCCCATTTGTCACTTCGCAGGGATCCAAATCATGATCTCCCTGAAACACCGAACACGCGAAGAGCACTCCGAAAAGGGGACTGGTATGTGTGATTTAGTGGAGGACCAAAGTGAATTCGACTCGATAGGAGGCTTCGACATGAGGATCGGTTCGATGAAGGCGGGTTGATGACTGCAGGAACAATCACGAGACGAAATGATCCTCTTCATTCGCCAATTCCAGTGTTGGCAAAGGAGACACCTCTAGCACACACAACTAGTAAACACGAATTATGCCATGAACTACCGGGATACGACTCAACTTTGGAAGGAGAAAAGAGAGTAGAGAGCAATTAAGATGAGGTCTAGATCACTTCAAAAGAAATAGCTGGCTATACTTCGTTTTGGACAAGGAAAGAGAAGAAACAATAGAATTCGGCGCTGTATTATCTCTTTGTTAAATATAAAACCTATAAACTTCTTACTATTCAAAATGCTATAAGTCTCAAATGATGAACGTATTGAGTCGATCAACAACATCATCCTCATGGTTGGGATTCATCCTTAAGCAAATCTATGATTATAGTGGTAATCTCATCGATAGGACTGTATACGCGAACCTTCATCCTGGTTACTGTATCCACTTCCGTGCTGTACATTCCACTGCTGCATCGGAAGGTGTTTTTATCCGGGGGCCAGAAGGTGACCCTCATCACCAAGTAGTCCTTATCCACGTCTCGACCGTCCATTATATCATCATGACTGTTGACCATGCACCCCTCGATGAGTTCAATCATCGTGGCGTCGCCGTCGTCGCAGATGGTGTTATCGAAGCTGAACAAGCCGTCCCACCTGAGTCTCGTAGTTGCATGCCGTTCTGATGCGGGGTAGGACTCCAGCCCTCGTTCTAAAATTGATCCAGATGTAGTCGATTGTATACCGTCCCGGTGATAAATGTGTCGGTGGGTTCATCACGTCTAAGATAGGGGCGTTGAGGGGGATGTACACTAGTCCTCCAACAGGGGACGAGTCCAGCTCTCAGAGGCGGGTCAGCGCTGGTGCTACCGCAGGCTTAAGAATCGAAACCCACCCGAAGTTGGTGACCTACTCGTACGTCTCCAGGCGAGCGGATCTAAATAAAGACCGCGCACGTGGGCGACCTCGGCGCTTAGCATTTCAATCCAAAAGTCCACAACACAAGCTATCTACAACAAAAGCTATCTATAATAAAAGGTACCTACATCATTTGAACGGAGAAACAATTTGGGTGCTGTTGTGGCCAGCAACCCCCCCCCCCCTGACCCACCTGCATCTGCGATCTCACTTTCGCCTTTCCTGCACCGTGCCCCCCCTCCTACCTGCAGGAAAGGCGAAAGTGAAAACGCTAGTGTACAAGAAAGACCACGAATGACATTTACAAGGGAAGGCGCCGCTATAACCAACACGCCACCCCTCCCACAAGTGACTTTCGCCGTTCCTGCACCTCATTTCTGCCTTTCCTACCACTCAATTTTTTGCCTTTTCAGTACTATCAATTCTGCCTCGCCGTGGCTTTGCTGATAGTACGATGCCCAATATCAAGTATCGCGCGTCACCACCGAACGAAGATGGCCTATATGCCGCATTGGCAAAGATGGAAGCTACAGACGCAGCTTCTATTTATATTCTCCGCAAACGGAGCCAACACGAGCCGCTACGTAATATTATTTCAGGGCTATGGTTTGCAATTCTCTATCGGGCAGTCGAGCATCACACACCCAGTGCAAAAGTAATGCGCAAGAACTCGCGACGTCTTGCTATTCACGACCTTACGGCTTGTCTACGGGACGGAAATGAGATTTCTAGTCATAACGAGAATATTAGCAAGATGATCTCGAAGCGTATGAGGTCGGGACTAGCTTCGTGGACTATGATTTCACAAGGACCAGGCCTCCTGGCCATCGTCAATGTCTCGAATCCCCCTTCGAAGAAAGAACTTCGCAACTTTCTATCCGATTTGCCAGACGATGATAAGCACCATTCAAATCGATATCGAACCGTTATTCAGAGGATCCTAGGATTCATTGAGAAAACTTTGAGAAGAACGCAGAGCTTATACCGGTACGTGGAGAAGGCATTACGGGATGTCATCGACCTGGTCAATTGCGAAACCTACCGCGGGGACGATGACGTCGAAGAAGCTGACATTCAGCATCCTCGATATCCCAATAGTTATATCTGGTTCGACTCATCTTGTAACGGCTATAGTATATCGCTTGAGGCATCATTTAACAAGAGCACCTATCCGCGTTATATAGTGCAGTATGATTCGCCAATCTTTATCTGCGTTCAATCGGGGGATATTCACGGTGCCCAAGCATTGTTCCAGGGGGAAAAGGCATCGATTTACGATGTTGATCCGTATAACCTTGGACTCCTCTATGTAAGGGAAGGCATTTAGCCAATTTGAGCTACAACTAATATACTTATATAGTATGCAAGTTATTATTGCTGGAGGTGCAATGGGGCAGGAAGTGCGATACGTATGTGTAGGATGTTGATTCAAATGGGGGCGGATATGAGTATGATAGATGAAGTTGGGAAGTGAGATACTCAAAGCCCCTATGTTTCTGCGGCTACTGATCTGGTACATTAGTGCGCCTATTCACACGATGACCGACTCGGCTTTAGTGGAGAGATGCAGACACCTAGGATCGGCAGCTCTTATTGATGTGGGACGTCTCTATAACATGAGCAGTCAAGAACTTGTTGAGGAGCATCGGTCTAGTTCCAAGCTCACAACACTTCATGAAACTCTCCTCAACATCAATCCAGAATATACCAGCCTACCAGAACATCTTCAATCATTACAGAGACTCGGAACTCTCGCAGAGCTGATCGACAAGCCGGATTCGCGCGGTCGAAGTGCTCTTGCGTGGGCCGTCGAATACGGCATGGCTAATAGTGTTCAAGCACTATTGAGCTTTGGCGCCAACTGCTGTCAATATAGAAAGTCCTCCCAGAGCCAATTCCCGCTACTGCATCTTGTGATTGCTGGGCCGCCGCCGCCGCTAACATCAGGCTTCCTCGAGGTAGTCAAGATATTACTAGCCACAGAGATCGATATTAATGCGAGGGATGATGAGGGTTGGTCGGCTTGGCATGTGGCAGCATCTTGGAGATCTTATGATATCCTACGCTTGATTATGCGTACTCATGGGACTTGTGTAAAATTAGATTTACGGACAAATAATGGAGCATCAGCACATGACCTGTCGCAAGACGCGGATTTCTACGGAAGGCTTCTGCCGAACTGGCGTAGTAGATACTAGATTTTATATCTTCAATATTATATTATCCTATCGATTAACTTAGTTTATAAAGACTACAGTCAATCCCCCCATGTGCGAAAGAATCAATAATCCGCGCTATCTGTTCGTGCTCATTCAGAATATAACCTGCCTTCGACGAAGACCCTCTTATCAAAGGACTTAATCGCTCGCCGTCCAATTCATACAATTTGTTATCCTGACAGCCAACAAGAGCAACATAATGATACTTGATATCATCAGGTATTTCTGTCTCGCCTAATTTCACAGCTGATTGATACTCAATTTCGAGCTTTTTTGACTCCTCAAGAAACGTCGTAATACCCTTACCCGATCTAATAGCGCTATCAAGGATAGAGTTTGGCTCTTGCAAGCTCGTTAGTCTTCTTAAAACTGTTATAGATCCGGGGACTTACTAATAGAGTTAGCTACGACGGTATTGAGAACACAATGAAGGACTGCAATCAAGCCACAAGAATTGTCGATCGTCTGCCTTAGGAACTTGGGGCTGCCGGCGACGATAGGTGTTCTCTCGGCCTCGGCCGTCGCTTTCTGCAGCTCATCCCTTTCCGACTCTGGAAATATGACGATAAGAGCTAAAGCGGGCTGCTGCGACTCCCCCGTATAATCCAATACGTCATGGAACCCGAACTTTTCCTGAACACCTAGCCGATGCATCAATTCCGTGAGGATTCGAGGGTCCGACTCGATCGGTTCAAAGTGCTTGACGTATTTCATTGCGGGGGTAGGCAGTAACTATGCGGCTTTGATGATACTGCCGGTTTGACGTGGTTGTAACCTTTTGGGTGACGATAGAATGAAGTTGCCTATTTTGCGCAAATGCTGAAGGTCGCGGGACTTCAAAGTCGAAGGCACTCTCCTCCACCCATGGTATACTTCCGGACCTCACGCTGGATATCCGGTGCTGCAAATATGGCAGCTTCGTTATTGCCGCTTGCAATGCGATTCAGTTGAGATTTGTTTCCTCTGACACCTGTTCTGAGAAACTGTGAAGACAATAGATTCGAGGCTAATCGATGAATCGCCGTTTTGATGATTGCCTAGCGTTGTGACTTTACAAGTTCAAGCTGTGTTGCTGCCTCCGCTGAATGCGACCAGAGGTGCGGGGTCGTTTCGCTTTAACCAAAAAAGGAGACCCTTTCCAAATTAGGCGTGAGGGCGACGACGTGAACGTGATTTTCATATCCTCTTCGCCGATTATATCCGTTCCACCTATAATTGCGGATAGAGCAAAAACGCTATATACCGTTATATATAGATATACAGGTCGAGTAAGAATACATAGTTAGGCAGGGAAGCAGTGGCTTCTTGCTGTAACTAAGCCAATCCTTCTCCGAAACTCTCCCGTATACAGAATTAAAAATCTCCCGACGCCCCCTGATTAAGCAGATCTGCCTAACTACAACCACATAGTGGCAAGAAAAACAAACGAATACGCAAGGATGGACGTTATATTAATATAAATGATACTCCCCAAATTCCAGGCCACTGAATCTCTGAGTAATGTATAGTAAGAAATAGTAATAGGCGGGTAACGAGAGAATGTTGGGGGAAAAGCAGGCGAGGCGTATATTTTATTTTGCCTTTATTACTATAGTTGCAAGGTACTCGAGATGTCTGTAGCTACTATGCCGCCGCCCTCTCCAACGAGCGTTGTTGAATTTTGCGTGTCCGCGAGTTCCTGCGACCGTGATCCCCATAGTTGGCTGTGGCCTGGGTTTTGCGTATCCCGCGCAAGTTCCTGCCACTCTATATAGGGCTCGGGAAAAGGGGGTTCATGTTAGCTGTAGCCTGACTCGAACGAGTGGGGGAAGTTTTGCGTGTCCGCGAGGTGGCTGTAGCCTGGCTCAAGTGAGTATGGGAAATTTTGTGTGTTTGGCGGACTCGGATAAGTGATAGGAAGATCGAAAAGAGTGTGCGATTGTTCGCGGGTGTATCGCTTTCTATGTTTATTCAAAGTAGCTGAGTCGCCGTAGCTGAGTCGCCAAAACCCTACAAAAGTTGTTAATAATCTTTCCTTTAAGTCAATAATCTGGGACGTATCATAGATGTATCTTTTGTTCCGCAGCAGACGTTGTATAGTATTATAGAATTATTTAAACTCGAACTCGTTTCCAAACTGACACAGCTCACTTAATATAAAACAACCTCTAAATTCCCAGACCAGCTATGACGTGTCGCAGCAACTTCACCCGTCGGACTAATATATCCAGCTCGTTCCAGCATAATAGGGGTATAATTCCCGTTCACTAACCATCTACAAATCAGCTTTGGAATTCACACAAATCGCAAGTGCAAGTGCTTACGTAGTAACAAATTCTCCAAGATGGGCTCCCATCTGCACGCCTATACCATAAAAAGATGGCCTCCTGGGACTCTGTTTGGTCGGTGTATTCCTGTCGGCCGATTAGCTTCTTGTGACACTATGGGGCCCCGTGACATATATACGGTTTCAGGGCTCATATTATATGTAGATGGAACGATTTCACCAAGTGCGTTTTGTTCTGCCTCCATCGAATTGTCTGTCTGTCCGAGCGATATTTCTCTATCGAAACAGCCAGCGCTGGTATCGAGGCGCGTTTGAGTTGCAGTTGTAGATTGAGGACGCCCTTCATGAGTAAATGTATTGAGAGTTGGCAAATTGTCTCTCGGAGTGTATCTCGCATTGCCTCCCGCATAAGTGTCGACAATCCGCTCGGAGGGACTCATATCGCAGAAGTATAGGTGGAACTTCAATTTTCGCACGGAAACGAATATTAGCACTAGCAAGTCACGACGTTAAAGGCAAAAAGGGCGCGGGCGGTCCACATATCGTGGAAAGGAGAGGTTAGACACGCATTACCACATGCGCTGGTTAATTTCGTTGGATCTGTCTGCCCAGTTCTATGCTATTTCGAGTGTAGATTGCAGGGCCCTATGATTCGTCCTCCATATCCGAACAGTCAGGGATCTGCGCCAAGACGCTACTCCGGAACGAGCCACGCGCTAGGATACTAGGAAGATTGGGGAGATTGAGAAGATCTGCCTCCACACACGCCAACCACAACGAGCGTTGTTCCACAGAGTTTGACTAAACGAGCCAGCCCAACAGGGCAGCATAACCACGCAAGCTGTACAAGCCATGTCTCATACAGAGTCACTGGCTATTGCTCCAACAAGCACCGCGCAGCAGGTGCGTGAAGCCCTTGCTCAGTTTACCGGGCAGGAGAAGTGGAGGCGTAATGAATACTGGAATTTCTTCCTGGTAACTATCGCTTCCTGTCTCCTTACCTCCACCTCTACGCCTCCGCGCCTCCGCGCCTCCCCGCCTCCTTACCAATCTGGAGTCCGCCTACTAACGTTATTACTATCTAATAGAGAGGGCGACGGGAGATCTTTGATTCTATATACGAGAGTGTTTCGGATAAGGATTGGCTTCATCCAGTTACGATGGAAACCGTTGATAAGCAATTTATTGCTCGAGCAAACGAGAAATGGGGACTCCCTAACGAAAAGTGGATTTTGGAAGGCGAGTGGCTGCAGAGACGCCCAGATCTCCTTACGTGGATGCGGTGGGCCTATTGGAAATTAAGCAAGCAGAGAAAACCTACTGGCAGTGTTGCCTCCCCGCCCACTGCTGGCTTAGTGGGCCAGGGTGCTGCCACAAATGCAACATCCGGTGATGGGCAGGGATCTAGCAGTGAAACAAGGAGTGTGCGAACCTGGAAGGATGTTGTGTTGGAGAAGTAGGCAGCCTTCGGATTATCTCGGATAGCTTCCGTTTATACGTTAATATTTACTACTAAATATGATTTACTACCCTATTCTCGTATAACTGTAATTTGCAGAACATGCCTTTATTACTACAAGCAAGTATATCTTCGACAAGCGCTACTCTATTATAGTATATGAACAGACCATGGGAAATATACTGACGAGTACTTTCAGACATAAGATCAGGAAACAAGTTATCTCTATTAAACTGTGTTTATATCCTGTTCTTATTGCCTATTACATCACGAGCTGAACCTCAAAACCTCCTCCAATGCCCTTTTTGCTTCACGCACAGTAGGACTGGGCCCAGAATGCTTCCTTATTCCAACCAGCACCTGCAACAGCATTCTAAGCATTGCTTCATCAATTGATTGTGTCTGAGCGCCTTGCTGGGCCCCAATTGCTGTGTGAATTTTCCAGTACTCTCCGACCAACTTATCGATTTCCTCCCGAGAGCCTTGAAGGGGGTGGGTTCCTGATTCCCAGTGCTTTTGGAACAATGCGAAACGTTCGTGATTTTGATCACCACCTTGTTTGTTTATATCTTCGAGTTGTTTCTTGATATTATTATAGAAACTGTGCGCCTGCTTATCGTTTGGATTATCTACTATTGTACACCTAAACCTCAAATTAGATCGATCACATTATAATCTGATTATCTTACACTTACACGACATAATTCAGAGGCACTGTGCACCAGATGTCTCGATATCCCACATCGACTAGCCCATGCTCTGTTTCTTTATCGAGAAACCTTCCATACATATATTCATCTGGCCTCTTTGGGTTATAACCGAACGGCGCCAAGTCATACATGCCACTATATAGTGGTTTGAACGTTTTGGGTGAAGCTTCAAAGGAGATAAAGTGATACTTGATTCGACAGTCCGGATATTCCCCCTCGTCGAGGATAGGGGGCTTTCCGTCAAATGAAATTGGTAGAACGGCCATGCGCTTTGGTTTGGGAATTGCGATTGCCATCTCGTGCGTTTACAAAGAGAGGGATATATAGCTCGAGATATTGTAGAAAGTGTCAATCTTCAATCGTAGGAGTCGTGCTATTGAAATAGCTAGATCCATATGTGAAAAAAGGGTACCTGTGTTTGCACGAGCATTCCGTGGTGATATGATATAATTAGGTCGGCAAAGATGGGTAAGGTGTTTCGAGCTAGAGCCAATATTATTGGATCTCGTGCATGCCTAGGTGAGACAAGACACGGGCAAAGAAGACAACTCGGGAACGGAGTATTTTTCATCGGCACAGATTTAGTCTTCATTGGGGGGGGGGGGGGGGATAGGGACAGAGCATATAGGGAGAACTGTCATGCAACTAGGGTAAGCACCAGATACCGGGTTAGATCATCGGGATTGATACCGAGTCGATGGGCCGATCGAACAGGGCGTGGGGTTCTAGCGGAAGAAACACAGCCGTGGCAGTGGCTTACATCCTCGATTTGACCAAAGGCTCTTTCCGATGCAACAATGGATGCATCAATCGGCTGCCCGCTCCAAGCAGGGGATCGCTGGAGCGGGCTAACCCGGATCCGGCTACAGCTTACTTTTAGAGCTCTGCCAGCTCCAAGCAGGGGGTCATTGGAGCTGGCTAGTCCGAAATTCGCTAACCCCTGCCACCACATCAGCCACATTTCCATATCACCTGGATATCTTGATAGGAATCCTAGGCCTCCCATTATCTAATACGAAGGCGGACAAACCACCAACTCGCGAGACTATCATTGGATTGATAGAGATCCGAAGTTGCACTTGAGACGCCAGAGCTCCTACCGCTGCGGAAGCGGTATCATTTGCTGAGGATCGGGAATGCCCCTTCCAAGGCTTTCTCAAATGCACCAAGATCGTGAACGAGGCGGCGTACAATCCTATTTCGAACAGACCGGGATCCGGGAGAGCCTACCAAAAAGCCCCTCCGTCGCCGTACCAGCGTGTTCCTTCCAGAAGGACTTCCTCCATGCGCAAGGTGAGATTTTGAAAGAGAATGCCTGATGCCATGTCTTGGTTGACTGCAATTGTCATGACACCAAGCCCGATTTGAAGAATGTCGCTCCATTGCTACTGTGTGATAGAGGGCAACACCGAGGTCAAATTAACACTATTCCGTGGGGGAGGTATCTATGCTAATCCTACCTATCGACTCTGCGAAAGTTATAATTGGGGTCATAAGTCGCTTCTTGAGGATGGGAGGATTCTTCATCAGGTCATTTCCGAAAATAATACGAGCATTGCAATACCAGAGCTTACCTACGTCGAGCATGATAGCTATCACAGCGAATATCAGTCAATTTTTCTTATTTAAATCATGTACATGTAGCTAGAGGCATCACCAGTCCATAATCCTCTAGCAGGGTGCCAAGTTCCCTATTTGAACGCTGTGAGATATTACTTTCTTTATCCGAGCCTTTCTAGACGTTCTGAGCCTTCCCTAAGCATCGAGCTTTCTGCAATGACACCTGTTGCCTCCACAGCACCCACAAAGCCCACCATTTATCACCTCGAAATCTATTCCTTACTGTTTAAAGGATTCTAGGAAAGCTGTATTAGAACGACATATATATATTCGAGAATCAGTAAGATACCACTTCACAGTCCACTAGTGGAATAATGAAAGAAACAAATCCGTTATATACAGCCCACCCCAAACCTCAATATTCCGTACCATGACCCTACTAATGTGTTCTTCCTCTATGGCGGGGGTCCATCGGTCAGACAACACTGCCTTCTGCTTCGCTGGCCTCATCAGAGGACGTTTCGCTAACCTCACCGGAGGACGTTTCGCTGGCCGCATCAGAGGACGTTTCGCTTGCTAAGTTAGAAGAAACTTCGCTATCTTGAAACGGTTCAGGCTCCCAAACATCTGGCGGCCCAATAACGGTAGCATCCGCTCTAGAGCTACGAACCTCGACGTCCCCTCTAGATGAGGATAGCTTGTCAGCCGACTAGGACCTACAAACTGCTGGAGACGTACAGTTCGTGTGCCACGGAATTATCATCCTTAGAATTCGCGGCTGTATTATGAAGCTGTGCTTCTACAAGCGTCGAGATACGCTCTAAGACTGTGGGGGGCTGAGAGTTCAAATCATGGATAATACACCAGTAATTTCCAGTGGCTCTGCTCTGGTCACTATTGGAATTTTAGCGAGATATTGGTTCAACATGGATGGATAAATACCTTGATGTCTCTGTAACCGATACCTCAACTGTCTTTGTGATCCCACAATTCATCTCATCGGTTTGGTCTTCTCGAAGTTCAACCTGGCATTGGATAATGACGGGTTCGGGCTACCCGGAGGTGTGGTTGGTGGTTTCGGCGTTGAAAACAAGATATATGTAAGAGGGAGAAGCTTGAAGATAGCAGAAGATAGGTAAAATATCAGAAGTGAGAACGGATAATGCTTGTAGACTTTGAGGCAGTGAAATAGGAGACGATGATGAGAACTTGACCAGAAAATCCGGTCCATATATACTCATGCATTCTCAATACACCCATGTACGACGTTCAATGAAGGAAGCCGACACCACGTCCTCAGGATGTGGGGAAGCAACAAATTGACGGGAGCATTGGGGGCGTTCGGAGTGAATGTTGTTGGAAGAGGAGTTTATGGCTTATGTGCAGGCATCAAAATGGAACCTCTCTGAGTAGTACCCTTTCGATTCTTGAAGATCTTCATCCGGGGTTTGTATGCAGGATCTTCGTCCCGGGAGTAGCTGGACGTACACGCCACTTATTACAAACCTTCTACTAATGATTTGTCTGGTTCAAGAAAGGCGAGGTTTCTTTCTGACTCTCCGGTGACGCCCGAGTCAAAGCGTTTTCCGTTGCCTACACTTTCGCCTTTCCTGCAGGTTGCAAACCCCCCCTGCATCTGCGCTCTCACTTTCGCCTTTCCTGCAGGTTGCAACCCGGGTAAGGTAGGTACCTAATAGGTACCTTAAGGATATACCTAGTATAATTAAGGAATTTTTTAAAACACCCGACACCCTTACCCTACGACTATAGCAGCCGGACTCTGCCTTGCCCCAGCGGACATTTCGTACTATAGCACTAATTATCTAGAAGTTATACATAGCATTACCTCCGCCCCCAACCGCCTGGTAATGGAAAGGCCGCCGTGAGATGCTAGACGTTGTTTACAATTCTGTTTAGTGTAAGACCAGCTTTACCCTTCGACACCACATTAGTCGAGAACGAGTTTGTGGCACGCGACAAAGAGCGACGGCAGAACCCGGATGACATATAGGCTCTAGAGGGTAGGTGGAAGCGCAACTGCCACGATATCATAGCATGGATGAGGTCGAAACATTGGGAAAATAGTACGACACATGTTGCTTTTTGTGGCTATTGGTAAACGGCTTATTAACTTGAATAATACAGGCCGGCGACTAACCGGGGATGGAAGTAAAGAAAAGACAAGCGTGGAACCACATTACGACTATGGCATGTGGATAGCGTGTCTCTGAAATATTTTATATGTAGATCGTATTCTAATGGCCGTTGGAGATGCTCAACGAATTCGGGCTAGCCCGCTCCTGCGATCCCTGCTTGGAGCTTGGAGAGCGCCACCAGTGAGATCTAGCCGGGCCTGGGCTAGCCCGCTCCATCGACCCCCTGCTTGGAGCGTGGCACGAAAACTGCTTGTGTAAACGACTAGAAGCTCCTATTATTAACCCCAAGGGCATATTTGCTTTTCCAAAAGCCCAACAGGCTATGGGGGGGGGGGCAACTTAGCACACCCTCTCCAACGAAGAAGTCCAGCGATTTCTGTCGCAATTATAGAAGGAATTTCTTGCTCAAGCTCTACAGGAGGGTCTAACCAGAATCGGCACATGCTCTCCGTGGAACTTTTAACATCCTTTTCTCTTGTACAATGTACCTAGTACTTTAACTACAAAAGCAGGCTGACATCGCCATCCAAGCTATTTATACTACTTTACGCACTTGCCTCAAATCACATAAAGTTCCACGGAGAGCATGTGCACATTATTGCATGCAGGGCAGCTCTGGTGTTCTGAATGTGGTGAGGCCTGCTTAGGAGTTAGAGGCCTGGCGGGATGCCACAACTTTTATTGGACCGATCCTGAGTTCTGTGAATTGATCGTATTATAAGCGGCGGCGACGATTCCCTATGTTGTCAAAACGGAGGAAGGAGCTGCACCTAGCTACTCCTACCTCGTACAGCTTTACCTCGATGGGATTGGTACTCGAAAGCCCGTGTCTCAAACGTACGGAGAAAGCCCTAGAACCATTCTGGCATTCCCTTAATGCATGGATAAATGCCAGGCTCTGATACCTTAGAACGCATTAAGAGACAGCACAGGACCATTGACGGACCTCGTCTCAACGTTCAACATGACGGACTTCAAGTCAGCGTTCAATCGCTATTATCGCTTTGGCCGCTATCTCTACACCCTTTCCTCTTTCATCGGTTTCATTTTTTTCTTTCTTAAATCGCCCAGCGCTTGGTAATACTTCTCCAATACACCGGGCTATCTCACGCGACCATCCTTTCCGAAACTTCTTTCAACGATATATGCGACGCGATCGAAAATGCTTCGATAGCAAGTGATCCTGGAGGATGTAACTCAACTATTACCCGACGCACTGGAAAGATGGGGCAGCGCAGGATCAGGTTGCACGACGAAGAGGAACATGACGGTGGACGGCATATCAACGACAAACTTCAATACGCTATGAACGATGATACGCTCATGAGATGGTATTGCAAATGCCACGGCCTAAAGCGGTTTTCACTCCGTTCTTGCTGGCGAGGCGGATTTCTCTTCCTGACTTACCGTCGTGCCCATCCATCACAAGCCCGATCCAGAGGCGAAGAGCCAGCCAGTTGGCAATTGCTAGGCACTTACCAAACCCGAAAGTCACTTCTTGAAGATATGGGCAAATCCAACTATACTCCCGATGTTATTCAATTATACCTCCCTGGTGGATCTAAGAGACGGGAATTCGACCCCTGGATGGGGCCTTTTGAGGATTGCGGCCGTCCACTTGATACAGTGGTCCTCGAAGATACCCTAAAAGAATCTATCATAAGAAAAGTCGAGGCTTTTATCGATGATAAGGAAGCGCTTTTAGCTAGTGGTCATCGCCATCAGTATGGGATGCTTTGGGTTGGCCCACCAGGATGTGGGAAGACTAGTTTCGTTGAGGCTATCGCGCACGAATTCGGCTTCGCTATTTATATCTTTGCCCTTGGAGATTCCACTCTCACCGATTCAGACATGATGATTATGTATCTCAGAATGGGACCAAAGGCAATTGCTGTTTTCGACGACATAGACAGGGTCAAGATAGGCGAAAAGGGGATCACCGTAAATGGTCTTTTGAAGCTGCTCGACGGGGTTGCAAGACAGGGCCAAACCCTCTTGAAGATACTGATCTGCAATGACCAGACAAAAGTTCCCCCAGCTGTGCAAAGGAAAGGTCGCGTAGACAAGGAATACATATTTTCGTTGGCGTCGAAGGACCAAGGGAAAAACATATTTCTACACTGTAATGTTTGGAAGGCAGAAGCGACCGAGGGCTTAGATCTTGACGCTATGGCGGAAGAATTTGCTCAGGGACTACCGGAAAATATGATTCCCCCCGCAAATATTGCCGTTTATATCAAGGACGCTACAACTCCCAAGGAAGCTGTTGAGCACGTTCACGAGCTTACTACGGAGATTCAACAGAGGGGCGACTACTTGGACGAAATGTCTTAAGGTTGGTAAATTTGAGATTCCCAGCGTATTTGGTTAACTCCAGACCTAACTTCCTTATCCATAGTAATCCCGCACCGACACAGCAGCTGCTTCCTTTTTTTTCTAATGATATGGTTATTCTTGAGTAGATGTAGGTGTTGGAATTTGAAGGACCTCACTTCTTAGTCCTCGACATATTTCGCGAAACTTCCGGAATACTATTGAGTCTTTCTCTCCTTAAATTTACTTGCTCGCTTTGTATTTCGTCTGAACACTCACTCCGCGTTGCAATCTCCTTTGATCGATTTCATTCTTGGGAGCTGCGATATCTATATTAAAACCAAGCTGTTACCTGATGCTTCTTCTAAGTTGAAAGAGATCCACTCATCGGAGGAACTCTTATCACAGGAGCCGCACCACACAGATACTTTTCGCCCTCACCTTACGCCTTTCCTGCTCTTTCTCCTTATTTTTGCTCTTCCTCTTTACTCACAAAATAAGGTCCTCTACTGCGTGCTCTCATATACGATAAGTTCATCAAGCTCCGCTTTACTCTCATCCTTCGACTGGGGAGTTTCCAAACTGATCTGCTGCATGGAGATTGCTACGCGGCCGCTAGCTCAGGAATTTTGCGAGGCTGTCCGAGGCTGTGAGCGGGGCTAGCTGATGGGTCACGCCGCGCAAACGAAACCCCTCTACATAATGGTGGGGTTCTTCCGCAATCCTCGGCAGTCTGCTGATTTTTCGACACATGGCATTTAGCCTTATCTTCTTTTCACGATCACGATGTACACTCTACTATCGATACATAGGAGACGGCGAGATCCGCCAAAGTCAGATCTCATTCAGTCATCGAGTCGCACGAAGTATCAGACAAGCATTCAAGAGCTTGTGCGACAACACCATTTTGCTGGGAGATGGTGGTAATTGGGCAGGGTTACATATTCTCGGCTGGATAGCTTGCGCGCAAAGAATTGCTATCATTGTCCAGCACGACGACAGTCAGCGCAAAGGTTCCTAAGCTGAGAGCTATTTGGCAGCACGCGCATAACTACCGTTAAGTGTTGCCTTCGATTTAAGTGATTGGAGAAGGTCTGCAAAAATCATGGGAGCCAGCGACAGGGCGCTCGCCTGGAAGAACAAGCAGGTACGTTTTTCACTCATATTCGCTTTGAGAACAGACTTGCTAACCCCTCAAGGATAAACCGGAGGATTACGATGTTTTCGGCCCCTACCCATATGATGGTGGCCCAGTTGATGGCCCATTATCTGCAGCTGTTTTTATAGAAAAGGGTCAGGGCAATATCACTGTAGGAGGGGCCTGTCACTATGCCGCCATGGGGGATTGGGAATGGGAGGGTGGCAGTTTGGAGTGGACGGCCGAGGGCGGTGCTATTGTGGCATATGTTGTAAAGAAGATATAGGACGGTGTTCAGCTCTAGGGTTGTGGTTTCATTGTATTGCAAATTCATAGTGACACCAATTTCAACGTGGTTTCTGCCAAGTTTGCACACTTTCCCCTCGTGCTCGTTTGATGTCGTCCCTTATGGCTATATAACTTTTCTGCACCAGCACTAAAAAGTAATCCGGCGGCATCCAGACCATTGCGATTCCTTGACAATACACAATTTCAAAACTGTCCCCTGGCTCTATCAACTCTTGTACATGATCGTAGACATGCGTGGACGGCAAGGGGAACCCTCGATGTCTGGAGGTCGCTACTGGCACAGCACGCTTCGCCAGATTCTTGGCTGTTTGTCCTAGGAATATCAAAAGTATTCCATCTTTCGTTCCAAATGGATCTACTCGTACTGGTGACTCTGGTGACGGGCCAACTTTCTGCGCTCGGCACTTCTTATCGCCGAGGCATTTAAGAAGAGACTTGTTAAATTCTACACCCGACGCAGTAAATTTCTCAAATACAAACTCCTCGTTGATCAGATTTGCTGCTCGCTGTAAGCTATGTGGATGTGGTTTTGGTTGTGGTTGTGGTTGTGGTTGCGGTTGCGGTTGCGGTTGTGGTTGTGGTTGTGGTTGTGGTTGTGGTTGTGGTTGTGGTTGTGGTTGTGGTTGTGCCTGTTGGGTAGGGTTATCTATTCGATTTGATGAGCTTAAACACTATTGTAAGATTGTTTGGAACCTACGTTGTATATGTGAACCTTCCATCGACCTTTGGGCAGGGTCCAGTGATTGTCTTTTCGTTGATGGTGGGTTTCTATGCTGAGGCGACTCTATTCGCGGGCGCTTGCGTGAGTGTAACTCATTTTCGTTCTCGAAGATTTTCATCAACTTTCTGATGAGGTCCTTCAGTATAAGGATTGACCCGTCCTCATCTTCTTCCTCATCTTCACGCTCGCCTTCACCTTCTCCTGCCTTCACGTCAGTGACTTTCCAAATCAGATAATGCGGTCCTGTCAAACCTATCTTACGTTCCTTTATCTCATCATCCTGAAAATCCCTCCATATACCTATTTTGCAAGGAGCGGTTATTGTCATCAACCGATTGACAAGGACCTTGAAGAAAATCGTAGGCCAGAGTTTGAGCTCTTCTTCAAGGGTTAGCTTCGACATTGACTTGCCATCATCCCTGTTAATATCATCTACAACCTCTTCGGCGGCGGCGTCTTCAACCCCCTCTTTGAGGGCTTGCTTCGACTTCAACTTCTTTGACTTTGCCTTCAATGTCCCATTATCCCTGGCGTTGCAGATCAGAGCAATAATGAGCGCTGGGTATATAGAGTCCCCTTCAATACAAGCCCTTCTGTATAAAGAGTCCTTAGGCGCGTTCTTCTTCAGTGCTTCCGTTAGCTGGTTTTTGAGAGTACTACCAGACTTTGGCTTCCAGATCGCTCCCTTTACTCTCGGTTTGTTTGCTTCCTTGTTCAACAGATCTCGACCTTCATTTTCCAAGTTGTGTATAGTAACAAAATATTGGATCACGATCCACTCAGGAGAGGCGATTGCGTTGATGGCGTTGGAAAACGTCTCGACACTCGAGCCTTGAGCCTTGAAATCAGGTAAGGCTGACATAACGACGTGGAGAAGGCGAGGTGGGTGGTGCTTAGAAGTTGAGGTGGGTGGTGCTGAGAAGTCGAGGCGGGTGGTGCTGAAATGCGAGGTGGGTGGTGCTGAGAAGTTGAGGTGGGTGGTGCTGAGAANTGCTGAGAAGTTGAGGTGGGTGGTGCTGAGAAGTCGAGGCGGGTGGTGCTGAAATGCGAGGTGGGTGGTGCTGAGAAGTTGAGGTGGGTGGTGCTAAGAAGGCGAGGCGAGGTAGGTGGTTGCTTGGCCTGCATCCTACATGACGCTAAATCGACCGGATGGTCCTTGAGCAGGGGTATCTGCATAGGCGTGGCTGGGACTAGCGTCATGCACGGACGACGCCGATGAACATCCTGAGACGGATGTATCCCGCGTTAATGAACTATGAACCCTGGTAATCAGACATATGTTAAGTGGGCGATCTCATATCGCGATATAGCAATGACCTTGATATACAAGGCCCCCGAAGTATGCTATTTCCACGTGACTACTCGATCTCTTTGGTCTAGATCTAAGCATCACTCTTTACTCCTTCACCCCTAGTCTCAGACTATCTCCAGACTCACTAAAGACTTCAAACAATAGAACTACATCCATTTCAATGGATCTTACACAGCCATTACAAACTCTCCCCTCAATTCAAGACCTCCTCAAAGTCACGCTCCCACAAACATCACAAGCACCTTCAGAACCCAGAAGATATGTTCCATCCAACTCTGTGGATCAGCTTTCACAAACAGAGCAGTCTCCGCCCCGAATCACCCATTCTCAGCCGACGTTTCCTTCATACGCTGGTCCGAGAGAGCCGGATATTTTCGGGCAAGGTGTAAAGGAAACTCTAGATGTTGGAGATTTCAAGAATAGCTGGGAGGATGTAAGCCCTTTGAGAAATGTTTTGATTCGTTCATGCTAATTTTGTAAGGTCTTTATATCTAGTAGCGCTCTTCAGGAATGGTCCACCTATTATACTTTGATTGTACGAGAACAACCTGCGAATACTTTTCTACCTATGTTGCCATCCGAAATGGAGGTCTTGCTTCAATATTCAAAAAACATTTTGTCATCATTGAGTAGTATACGAGACAAATTGCCCCAAAAACAGGAACATGCACACATGCGTCGAGTGGTAAGCCGAATCGTTCGTCTATAGTACAAGACTCTTTTGACGTGGAGTAGGGAGCGGGTCATGGTAGGCAATGCCACTCGTGCAATTGTACAGACACTCCTGAGTGGAGAAAGGGTCCGGACGGAACGCGGTCACTGTGCAACGCTTGTGGACTTTACTACGCCAAAGCAAAACGCAGACTTGCCGCGATGCAATCGAACCTCCAGCGATTCAGGAATACCTGTATGAGAAATGCAGCCTGCGAACGTACAGTTTAGGCGATGGTTTAAGTACTTTACCTTAGGCGTTTAGGAGGTGGGTAGACGGGACAGGAGAGCAAATATTTTTCTAGGCCTGGCATGTGTGTCGTGACAAGCCCTAATTCTCAGAAGCTTATTGGGGATGTCAATTTGTAGTAAGATATTCTAATACGTAGTCCTAGCTTGCCATCGCCGCTTGAAGAAGATAACAACACTTTTCGCGCATATGGTTGGTTCACTTGTCTGCCTTTCGACTTTTGCTAACACAATAATAAGGTTGTTGAGGTATTGGAGGTGTTGCAGGTTTGCGCAAGCCATCTTAGCTTTGGGCAAAATGACCCTTCTACAGAACCACCTGGAGGAGAAAAATCACGCATCAGGAACGGTGCCTAGACGCTCACCTGGGCAGATGCGGTGAAGGAAATGGTGGGTAAGGATGGCAGCAGGTGATCCTCATAGGGTGGTGCATGGATCGTGCAGCTCTGCTAATGCAGACTTGTTTTATTTCGAGCGAGGCTCTCCTTGTACCTAGTATTTTATTTACAAAAGCAGGCTGACATCGCTATCCGAGCTATTTATACTACTGTACGCACTTGCCTCAAATCACATAAAGTTGTCAATGGCTTATCCTCCATCTCCCCCTCCTCCTCCTCCACCACTACCACTTTCTCCACACTCAGGCACTACTTCCTTCTACCAATACCACCCTCCACGACATCCTCCTCGATATCCTCTACCTCGATATTTCTATATTTCCCCCACTACCACTATAGTTAAATCTCTCTACTTTAAACAAAATGTCTTCTACGCCAATCGAATGCGATATATGTGGAAAAGTCGTCTGTCGAGCTAGTGACCTTGCACGTCATAGTAAGATGCCGAAGTGTTAATTCCTCAACTTCAGTTCCTATACTTACTTCTATAGAGAGGACACATACCGGGAAAAAGCCACACAAGTGTATGGAGTGTGGAAAAAGTTTCATCCAACGATCAGGTCTCGTAATTCACACTAACATACATACTGGCAATAAACCTTACAAGTGTCAATACTGTAATAAGGTATAGTGACAGATTGTTAACTTAAAGGAAAGATTATTAACAATTTTTGTAGCGTTTTGGCGCCCCAGCCACTTTGAATACACATAGAAAGCGACAGGCCTGCGAACAATCGCGCACTCTTTTCGATCCTCCTATCACTTATCCGAGTCCGCCAAACTCACAAAATTTCCCATACTCACTTGAGCCAGGCCACAGCCACCTATGGGGACCACAGCCGCAGGAACTCGCGGACACAAAAAATATCACCAACTCGTTCGAGTCAGGCTACAGCCAGCATGAACCCCCTTTTCCCGAGCCCTATAGAGTGTGGCAGGAACTTGCGCGGGATACGCAAACCGCAGGCCACAGCCAACTATGGGGATCACAGTCGCAGGAACTCGCGGACGGTGTACTTCCGCCGTGCAGTCGTAATGAAGCTTTTAAGTTGGAAGAGATCCACTCATCGGAGGAACTCATATCACAGGAGCCGCACCACACATCCCTGCAGTCAACCATGCGGTCGCCATTCGTCGCGATGCCATATTGCCCACAGGTACACCGGGAGTCGGTAAAACGGTCGGAAGAGGATTTGGATAAGTCGACCGGTGGACTTTGGGTGCACTGCTCGTGATCTTCAAAGATCCCGGCAGATATGACGAGCCTGCTCAACTTGTAGGAGATAGGAATTGGTGACTGGATATTCAAAGAAGAGTTCGGGGGCCGGAGAGTTGGGACATCGAATCCGCTCAAAGTAAACTTCCTGCAGGGGATCGCGATACGGTATAGGGGAATATCTCTGGGTGTGCCAGGCACTACTTGTTCTAAACCGTCGACTATATACTATAATTAAATCTCTTTAGAATTCAAGTAGCAGAATTAAACGTTTTATAGTACCTACATAATACCAGTATACCTGAAGAAAGGTGCCTGGTTGAGTAGGAGTTGTGACCGGAACTTCGAGTGTACCTGTCCAAAACCCGTCTCGAGAAGTGAGCTCGAGCGCGTCAGTATAATTGTCCCATGTACCACGCACTTGTACACTCTTTCCAGGAAAGGATGCTTCGAAAGTTATTGTCTCCATTTGTAATTAATGCCGAGCGAGAAATTTGGTAGGCGAGGCAAAGCGTTCAATGAGAATAAACAACTTGAAAGATTAGAACTAGGAAAGCGATTAATATTTGAATATAGGCTTAAGCCTTATATGCTAGAATAAAACTACTTGACATATATAAACGTTACACTCAGCCTCGCTGAGGTACCGGGCACAACATCTCGGGGATGCAAGCCGCTATCACACCTGACCGCTATTTCCACTGCTATGTAATATCACGACCCCAAATTGCCCTGCATATGTAGGGCGAGGATAAAGTGTCATTCCAATTAGGAAGTAAAATGAACTACTGGACCTTGCCTAAACGCGCACAAGCGCTCCCAATATAACTCAAAGCGGATTGGCTTTGGTGACACGAGAAAATGTGGCTGAACTGGACATGACAGGACATAAAACTAATGCAAAACAATCTTCACAAGACGGGCAGGAATACGCCTAACCTTATAAAGGACAATTAACTTCTTTAGGAAAGGTACTGTCGCTGGATGACGCACTAACTTTCGACCTATGGTCCTCCACATATTGCCGATACCTTGGGCCGAACGGGATGAATGTCGAGTTTGCGACATATTCCGTGATTGCTTTCCTCAGCCCCAACTTCTTCGTTACACCACACACCCTTTCAACTTGCAAACGATTTTGGAATTCACAGATAATAATTTTGCTTAAACGAAGTAGGTTTGGCATCGGTTAAACAGTACTACCAGTATTCACTGATTCTCATGGGACAGTTGCCAGCTCCTCCTTGCCGACGGCACACCAAAGAAGATCGTTTACCGCGAGCCTCGTTTTGTGACCCCTCTCGACAGCTCTTCCTCGACAGCTCCCCCGACAACTCTCCCCCGACAACTCTCCCTCGACAGCTCTCCCTCGACCCCTAAAATTCTCGCCCAAGTTGCGCGTACTCAGTGAGGAAATCTTGTCGGGGTTGCGTTGCTACGATAATAACTCAATCTATTGTCAGGTTCACCATTGTCCTCACCATTGTCCTCACCATTGTCAGGCCCACCAATTATCGCGTTTCCAGGGCCGGCTTATTCACATTCGGAAATGCTAACACATTCTGCTCGCAAGAAAAGCGCCAACTTGCCCTCGGGTGAGTTCCACCTCTTGCTTTTATAAGCCCAGACTAAAGTTATTCTAGCTGAGGTGTTTGAAAGCGAAGATACTCAGAGCTTCTATTCTGGTGATTCACCTGAATCTTTTGAGGATGACGCAAGTATTTCCTCCAGTGCTGACGACCCGGATAATACCTCTACCGATAGTTCTGTGGAAGTAGTAATAAGCCTCGCTGCGACAACGGATATCCTCTGGCAATGTTATCGCTGTCCCCACGAGGGGAAGTCGCACGGTAGAGTGGAAGAGCACTATCTTAGGGCACACGAAGAAATCAAACTTTATCAATGCGAGACACATGCACACAGGTTTGTAGTAGTGTCTTCTCTGATATAATCTAACTAATTCTAATAGTTTCCTCGCTTTACATGAGTTGAGACGGCATATGATAGGTATACTACATGACAAAGAATTAATAAATGTACAATGGGCAGATGGAGACAGGAGAAAGGTTACCTCAATCGCTTGTATTTTATGTTCAACTACAGTCGAGGGCGTAGGTTTTCGTTCATCTATGCCTACTTATAAAGCTTATACTCAGTAGGCATCGGAATATCTTGAGCACTGCCGAAGAAAGCACTGGAAAGTCAAGTACAGGTGCTTGCGCTGTAAGCTCAGGTGAGTGAATTAGTCAGCGAAACCTTGCATTCACTGACATAGTATAGATTCGCAAGCCGAACAGATATTAGAAATCACCGGAATCACCATATCCAAGATGACCCGGAACAGGAGCAAAACCGACTCGGAATACTTCTAAATCATTGTTATGTAGCCAAAATCGCGAAAGCTTTGGAAGCGCTCCAGGAGTCACCGACTCGTGAGATAATAGCCGAATGGATCCTGGACAACGATCCACCTCCACCAGAACATAGACGGAGGTGTCGTGCAGCTGTATTCGCAACACTTCGAGAGAAGTTCGATAAGACTGAGGAGGGCCATTGGATAGCGACTACGAAGTCCGCAACTCGATCGCAAATTGGACGGTTAGTTGCTATTGCTTTTTACGAAAGGAACTTCCAGCACTCCTCTGAGGAACAAATTTACGAATTGATCAAAGGCGACTATCCGGGTCAATCGAAACATTGCGTTATCGATACGATTAGGGGTCACTTAACCTATACTCAATACCGATACGGAGCGGATAAGAAAAAGAAAGATCCGAATGATCCAATAACCACTTGGCATATTAGAAGAGGATTGAAGGGAGAGGTCGAATTTCAAGCAATAGCAGCCCTTAGCGGGCAGACAGTCTTTGCCGATCCTGGTCTTACGAAACCCCAACTCGTTGTGGAGGCTTTGGGATATGGCCCGAAGAACGACGTAGAACTATACCGCTGGATTGCACGCCGGTATCCCTTTCACATAGGAGCAAAGAAAGCAATTTTGGAGACCGCTATCAAGCTCAAACTTCCGAAGGCGCGAGGACGTTATTATCTGAGAGATAGCGATGTTATACAACTTAAGGGAAAACGCAAGGGAGCGCTTCCAATTAGCAGCCTTCACCATGCGGCCAAACGCATGCGGGTAAACGTCAACGGCAACGGTAATGATACCTCCCTTTTCCAATGTATTAGCAAACTAACTCCGGAATCTGACACTATGCAACGTTGCCACACCCTTTCGCCGCGCAGCGGCTCTCCACCAAACGCGGACATAAGAGGCTATCCCAAACGAAACGACCCTGTGAAAGGCGGCCATGAGGAAGACGACCCCAACCTTCTACAAAATGACATTGGGACTCCAATCAAGCCGGGAGAGCAAGCAGAAGATATGTATAGGAGACTCGCCTTACTCTATCGAGGCTCTAACTTCTATCGGAAGGGTGGTGAAGGGCTAAAAGAGATTGCCAATCAAGGAGTATCGAAATGGTTTTTGGACGAGTTAGTATACGGTTTACATGTAGAAGAGGGACAGGCTAGTGAAAGAAAAGAGTTGGGCCTTGGCTGGGCGTGGATAGCCCACATTTCGGGAGACATACTATCCAATATCCACACAGTTCTCTTCACCAAGCCCCTTTTTAAGATATTACCGCCACCTCCTTCGTCCTATGAGGGTAAAGACGCCAAATCTCTGTTTGCTGCCAAAGGTTGCTGTTTCTCCTGCCTTATAAATCACGAGCCAGCGAGTGCCTGTCAACTGTCTGCTCGTTTATGGCGACCCTACCCGTCACCTCATTTTAAGTATGATTGTAATGAGCTATTCCTTATACTTCTCGGCGAACACGCTTCTTCCTCGACCTTGTCCAAATCTATCGTACATCGTTGGTTACGACAACACCGTCCTTCAGCAACTGAGCGCGAGAGGTCGACATACATTGAGCAATTTTGCGACACAGTCGGAGAAGACGAAAACGGTGACGATATCCTAGCTTTAAAGTCTCGATTCACGCTTCAAGCCGAAGAATCGGGTAGTGCATTTCCTAATCGTACATCACCGTCCTCCGAGCCAGCTCCACAAGACTTAATACAGCCTCCAAGTTCAAATGCAAACCCGGATACGGACGTGTACGGAGATGATATCATCCCAAAGTATACTTTCGTCTCTGGTTCTATGAGTCCCGAAGATAGTATTGACGAAGTACGGGTTAATTCAGCTGTCGCTCGGCCGTCAAGTGTACACAACAAACACCGAGCTATCAAGACGCTCGAGGCCAGACCCGACACAGCGTTGACAAGTAGGCTGGCTTTCGTCACTAACGGTACAACCGTTCCTTCTCCTCATGGATACAAAAACCCCGTTCACGCATCTAGCGCAGAACCCGCACATCAAGCACGAATCCCCGGGGCGATATCAAATTTTTTAGATGATGGCAATATAGGGCAAACCCACACTTGGGGCGGTTTACGCATAGAAGGTGCTAGAATGCACTATCCAGAAACCTTGGAATGGACGTGGATGATCCAAAATGCTGGACATTCCAGCATAGCTAAAGCGAAGCGATTCACCATTCTTCATCTTCAGAGGATCTCTATTTACTACGGGAAGCTGGGAATGGGCATTCAAAAGATCAAAGACACAACTATCACCAATGCCGACCTAGCAAGGACCATATATCCACTGGCACTTGCCAATAAGCAGGCAGGATTGCGAGCGGACAAGGGGCTTGGCTGGCAGATAATAGAATACATTTCTCGAGCCATTCTCCGGAACATCGAAACAGCTCGATTCGGCTGCTCTATCTTCAACCCAAAATGGGGGGATACAGCCGATGCTGCAGTTTGTCCTGAGATAGATTGTGAGAGATTTGTGAAAATCGATGCCGAAACTTTGTTTCCGGTGGGAACAGGTTGCATTATCTGCCTGAAAGTAGACCACCTGTCTGACAACTGCCCTAACGAGCAAAGCGAAGTCGAGTACAACTTCGATGAGCTTATTTCAATGGCCTTATCGGAGGAAGATAGCAGCAACCTTCAGCTACCAAGGGCCACGATTCGCCAATGGATTGGGCTCTACCGCAGTGAGAAAGATCTCGAAACAATGATTGACGACGCTCTTGCCAAAAGGCTTGACCAGGTGCGCAACGATTTACTAGACTCGGGAGATCAAGACGAATCACTTATTACAGAGCAACTAGTAAATTGTTATCCTGCTCTCAGGTAAGTTCTCATATACGATTAAACTATCTGAGCTCACAATAGTAGATTTACTAAAGGGGAGGCGTGGCATAACGAGCGGATGATCCGCCGCTATTTCGTAGAGAAATTTACAATAATTGACATACAAGGCGATGGCGACGGTGTGTTTCGTATTCGAGTTGGGAATGAAGATGAGGCTGTGTTAGCACTTTGTCTGGATGGGACGAAGCTGCTACCAAAAGATAGATATCCTTTCAGACTCGAGAGAGATTGAAAACAGAGGGAGACGGTACCTAGTAAAAGACTCGCCGGCAGGGGAAACATGATCGTTGGTGTTGGTGCGGTAGTTGCCCGGACGAGATATTGCTCTTCATCCTCCATACTCGCTCTTCACATGGATCCTTTCTCTCCTTTTTCGTCTTTTTGAATTGTAATTTTTGCTGCTCTTTAATACCTTAGCTATCTCAAAGGCGCTGTCACCCTCTTTCGTTTGCCATGGTTAGCTCTCCCAAAGTAAGCTTTCAAGCCTTGAGCTGTGATCAACCTCTCTATCGAATATGGCGAGGCACTATATCACCTTGCTTAAGTGAACCTGCCACTGAGATTCAGCTCGACTCTTTTCCGAAAGAGGAAGAGCGAATAAGGAGAAAGAGCACGAAAGGCGTAAGTGAGGACGAAAAGTATCGTGCTTTTCTCACACCTAAAACTGTATTTATATTGCCACCGACTAACAAAAATGACTTTTTCCACGATCTCTACAATTGCTTTGTAGATCTGCAGGCGATATATATACGATATATTACCTCATTTATAATACCAAATCAAAGTTGAAAAGAACAGAAGAGAAATCACCAATCCTCTTCCAGAACCCACTCCGGATCCGCCACCAAAACAGCAAACTCTTTCAAGTTCGGCACATACTCCCTCGCCCTTTCGAATTGGGTTTGAAGCTCTCTTATCATCAAGTTGAGATAGTTCTTATCGACTTGTGCAATTGTGATTGTGGCTGGGCATGGCATAGCGTCTTTGAAGGTAAATCTCAATGATAGCGGGCCTTTGCTACCACCACGGCCAGTCTGACTTGTAAACCAAGGAAAGAAGTCTGTCCCTGTAGGGCTTAACACCCGTTTGTTATATGGGTTACTAACTTTTCCCGCTCTATCTATTTGAAGCCTAACAGTGATCTCGGGAGCATCCTGTCGATGGCGTCGACAGGGAATTTGTGTCAGGACGTCCACTGGTAAGCCGTGGGCTGGGGATAAAAAGCCCGGAGACAGTTCTGGTAATCTATCTGGCCTCGGGGCACATGATTGGGGGTTGGCCGCAATAAGCCGCGCAGTTGGCGTTATTAGGATCCTGAAATGGGCTGCATCGTTCAACTCTGATGCCGCCGAAAAAATGTCCCAGATCCACTGTTTCAGCATCTGAAAGTAACCCGAATTGCTAAGTGGGAGGCGGAAGGTCTTCGCGCAGTTCTCAATAACGTCGTGTAGCTCGAACAGGAGAGTTGAGACGTTGGAGATTCCTGTCTCTGCTAAATACCATCGATGAAAAGCTGCCGAGTCTTGCCATAGAATAACATCCACGGGATACACTCCAAACGGCGGGGTCAGGACTTGGCAATTCCTTGAGAGTTTATTACCAAGCGACCCTACTGTAGCCGGAGGCAAAGTAGTCTGAATACAAAAAGTGCTTGATGATGCTGGTGAATTTTGTCCATTCGATCGCGGCGGAAGATTGAAATCCTGCCTTTGAGAAATAAGATTTTCGGGAATCGTGCTATTCGCAGGTAATTGACCTTGGTTGCAGTTCTCTAGTCCCCACTCGTTCCGTTGACTAGACAGTTGTGTATACGATGGTGCCTGGGTCCTCGGATGGTCCACAGACTTCGGGTCGCTTATTGAGGGTAATTGGCCACCCTGCGTAGTTGAGATTGTTCCAGGGCTCCGTGATTCTGATGGGCGATGGTCTCGTTTTGCTGTCAAAGTGCTCCGCGCATGTTCGAAACTGGTTGGCGGTAAGAAGGGCTTAGAGTCATTTGGATGGTTCCTCGACTGGCTTGGTGACTCGGGATAATGATTTTCGCCTTCCCTTGCGTTCGGGAGTTCGGCGGCAAAATGATGCATGTCTGCATATGTTGAACCCTCCCTAGGTCGTGCCTGTCGGTTTCCTCCGTTGACTTGAGATCGCTCGCTACACCTAGACAAAGCTATTGGTGCAGTCCGCATGATATTGCAATCTTCACTTAAAGTTTCACAAGAGACCGAAGGAGCCCTAGACACGATCGCCAAATCTCCTTCCTCCCTATCCCTGTCCTTTCGAGCTCGTTTAGCGCAGGCAGTCCTAGACTCTGGGGTTATATCGGCGGTCCTCTACGAGAAGATTAGCAAGCGTTAAGTGGGTTGAAAGGGGTATAGGACATTGGCTACCTTTCCAGTAAGGGTATTTTCGAAACCTTCTCGGTTCGCGACGGCGCAGACGCGAGCGGGTATATCTAACCCCTCAGCCGACGCACCATTTAGTGCTATTTCTTCAGACCTGTTGGCCGGTAGCTCTGCATAGTGCCCTGGAACCTGAATGTTCTGCTCCTGCTGGCCTTCGACACCTCCCTGCGGGCTTGATGCGTCGATGGCCGGGTTCGCCGCAAGCTCTGCAGGTAGGCGGTCGTCCTCGTGAGTGGCTGTTATAGCTCTCGTGATCGCAGATGGTGAGGTGTTGCTGGAAGAGAGCGATTGAGGAGCGATTGAGGACTTTCCCCCTAGCCCTTCACATATAGACCCGCTGCTCCGACAATGCTGGCAGGTAGGCAGCGTTTCGTCGCATTTGAGTCGGCGTTGTCTGGAGATTGACTAATTAGCAATACATCCATGTGCGTAGCCTGGCAAGGTGGAAGTAACATAGAAAGCTATAGACTTACTTGCATGCTGAGCAACTAGGCTTACTCTTAGGGCGACCGACCCGTCTTTTTGGGTGTCCGATTGACTTGACCATGATGGAAACGTTGGTGTCGTGGCTGCCGCGGTAACAACCGACTATTGTCAATGATAGCTTGCGGACTCATCTTGGACATCTTCGAGCTTTATAGGTCGACTATCGAACGTGACGGATTGTCATGAAGTTGTCTAAACAGACTGGAGGGTGCGGAGAAACTAAAGGCCGCGAAATAGCCCCGGCGCTGTCCGATATTTGCCAAGACATGGATGTTATGCAGACTACAAGGCATGGTTCATTGTTTAGGGATGATCTTGGGTAATGATCCACTTGGTAGATGATCCACTTGTAGGACCATTGACTTTATTTGGCCGCGTCCTCCGTAGATGATCTATCACAGACGGGAACCTCTTCGGCATAGTAGGTGTCTTCCACACAATGTGACTCGGTTACTATAGGACCATCCTCTTCCAGATGGTCCACAGATCCAGGTGGTCTACAGAACCCCGCCGTGGAACTGGGGCTAACAAGGATCCAGAGAGCTAATGGATGGTAACTCTTCTCGTATCCGAACGCGCATTTCACAAAGTCGAGGATACGGGAAACTACACGAGAATGTTCCATCTTGATCAGTTGGTTTTTGCTAAGCGGAGTTCGTAATATTAGGATCGGGGTTTGGGGGGAGTCTACAACTAGCTTATTCACGATGCCTCCAAAAGCAGCGGATGATCCAATATCCTAGCAGGCAAAGGACAAATATCCTGATCTAATAACGGCTTCCTTATTTCATTTACAAAAGAGTCACAACGCGCTCAAGGATATAGTAATTACTGCCTAGGGAACAGATATACGTCAATTGCTATGCTGTCACGCGTCCAATCTAAGATAACAACGGCCGAGGAACGCAAGAGACGCAAGGAAAATTTCAGAAAAAGGAGTAAAAGCCTCAGGGTGTCGGGGAACGCGAGTGTCGACTTACTTGGGGAACCGTCCAATCCGCACGATATAATAGTCGAGCCTAGAGAATCCGACAATATAAACGCTGGCCCGGTTGGAGAGTCGAATAATATAGTGCTAGACGTGCCTGAGTCAGATATTGCAACGTTCCAGTTACTTGGGGAATCAGACAACCTGCCTGGGAAGGCGATGGCGATGGATGTGGATGTGGATCTAGTCTCCGCATACGATATGATGGATTTAAATATACAAGTCGGAATTGAGGTCAAAGGGCAAGAGTCAATGGAGCTACGATCCGCTGGAGGTCCCGACACATGGCAGGTGGTCAATTCCCCGAGGATGATAGAACCGCATGATCGACAAGTCTGTGGCCCGAACTTGTCGACGACAGTACTCGATCCGACAGAGCTGCTTGAGGGTTGGGACTGGGTCTTTCAAAAGTAATGTCGAAATCATGAGAATCGGAGTGGACGCCAAAGCCTGCACTGGTGGGCCGATTCTGGTGGGCCGATTCTCTATGGTAAACGAGACTCGGCACCGAGTTCATAAAAATCAGAGTCAGGAATCGGATGGCAACTTAGCATAGCAAGAATGAAAACGCGTCGCATGCCTGCCTCGCACATGCTATCAGTCCCTTATATTTTCTGTCAATTGATCTCTCTTCGGAGCACCTGATAGCCCAAAGCAGCCAGTCCAGGGTCACTTGAACACATACCCGAGGGTAATGCGATGTGAATTCAAGTTACGCCTCGATCCAATCGTATGTAAGCGGCGGCGCCGGCGTGTAAAAGCTAGAAATATCCTGCATGCACCTAACTCAACGGAAGGATTCCTGCTAGGCGAGCTCGACGCTTTACATATGGGCTGCCGGGTTCCCAAGGACAAAGCAGCTATCATCCCCCATCTTCTACATTAAACAATCAGCAGCATGTCTTCGCCAGCCCAGCAGCAAGCAAGCAACCTCGCTCGGCCTTCTATGGAGATCTCACCTGCCGCAGCGTAAGTCCACTACATGTGATCTGTGTGCCGAGTATAGCCAAAATAGACTGACCTCCCCTAGGGCTGCACGTCGTGAGCTTACAAAATTGCTACATTCTCCTCGAATCCCCCAACAGAGCTTTAACAAATTTTCAAAGCTACCGATGGAGATCCAAACCCATATCTGGAATATTGCTGCAACTCGCACACAAATTCTCGATGTTCAGATACTTCTACGTATCGACAGGTATCGGCGAACTACATATAATAAATTCGGACTCCTGGGTGCGTGCCGCGAGTCCCGTCGGATAATCCAGCAACATTTTGGTGTTAATCTCAGGCAATGGGGTTTGAGTGACTGGCTTTGCATCAGGATGCATACTAACAAGCCTGGACGTGTATATTTTGACCCTGAGATTGATATTATTTCGTTCCCGTCCTATTATCTGGTTAAGCACGAAATGGATTGCTTTCTAGAGGCATTCCAAGATGATAGTATACAAGTTCGCCACGTTGCCTGTCCTATTCTTCATTCACAACCTAGGGAATTGTCCAACAATTGCGATCGGATATTGGAGATACTTAATACTATGCCGCTAAAAGTGGTTTATATTATTAACCAGTTTAACAACATTCCCGAAGACTTTCTCTGCTTACCAGGTATATCGGAAGGGAAATCACCAGTTGATATCACATGGGAGACAGTAGAGGAATACGTTTATCGTATAGTAGAGGATAGGATCAAACAACGAGGCTGGAATCTTGATCGTCTTCCCAAGATCCAAGTATGGAGCCTCCTCCAATTTCTCACCATTGGACGTTGACGACGATAAGGAAATATGAATCGACTAGTTGGGGACAGGAGGCAGGATTATTAAGGCCCGTTGACTGCTTGGATGAAAGGCCATGGACGGTTCAGAAAATCGAGGTTGTACGTGCCTGGGCTTGTTGAGAAAAATAGTATAGGCAATGAGATTCTCTCGCAATTCTCTCCTCCGTCCGACCTTAAGTTTGAGTTTAAACCTATGGCGGCGGACACCATAATTTGAGCTTGCCCCGCTCGTCCAGAGATGCCCCTTCATTGCTGATCCAGATACTCTCATAGGCTCGCCTTACATGGGAGATCTCATCATCTGAAACCCCAAGCTTATCTTTCGGAATCCATACGACGGGACGAGAAGCGACCAGAGCCTCGTCTTGAACAGGATCCGGTTGGAGTATCCTCGGGTTCGTAGTTGAGAGCTCGTTAACCTCCCTCCTATCCTTGCCTTGGCCTCCAATTCGCTCAATTTTCTGCTTGAGAGCGTCTAGACGCAGCCAACGTATCCAATGACTACTATCTATAGTATAATGGAACAATGTAGTTAATGCGGTAACCACGATCATAATTGTTGCCTGCGTGGTGCATGCCGCTCTGCCGTCGGCATCGCGGACAAGAAAGAATAAGCCAGCCAAGCACAATTCCATAAAGTAGATGCCGGTGAAGAGCTGGTGTATTGCTGTGGGATAAAACAGCCCGCTGGTGCCAATATCAGACTCTGTGAGTTTCGGAGGATAGGATCGATATAAAATCCACAGCGCTCCAAAATAGATACCACTAAAGATTAGAATAAGTGGGGCGATCACCGAATAGATAAGACCTTGAGTATTCCTATGTTAGTTGTGTTCTTAAGCGCAGGTTAAAGAGCAACCCACCTATACATGCAACATTTGTCAAGACCGGCATCAACGTCCCCCATTTTCGCAGTCGCACATTCTCTCCCCTCACCCACTTCTGTCTAGCAGACTTGTCGAGCATAGGGGAGAGAACGAACAAATTTAGAAGTTGGTTGACACGTATCAGAGTGCAAACGACTGCCGTAACAGCACTCATAATAATATAAGAGAAGAAGTAGTTACACGCCTTGGGTAAATTTTGCGCAAGGACTGCAGGTACGGCTTGGACCGTGGTGGATAATTCTCCTACGATGGTTGTGATACCTGCTGATAAGGATATTGTAAGAAATCCCTGCACGAAGAGGAAAGCAAAGTAATAGATTTGGATATGGTTCTCGGTAGCTTGACGCGAATGAAGCCCCTCGAGGTTCGTGAGGAAGCGGATCAGGATAGGAACGGCAGCGGTAGCCACGGCTAAGAGTATTGGCGGCAACACTCCTTGAATAACCGCAACGAGCCAGATTGGAAGACTTCCTATCCGTTGCAGCCAAGGCACCACATTGGTGAGATATTTGATCTGAGAAAGTGACCCTATGATTGTGACTGGGACCGCGAAGCCAAGTATAAGCGCAGTGACGAGAAGATAGACCACAGCTGTCCGAATACACTGCCGCCACCAGCTAATAGAGACGTGAGGCCATATTGTGTCACTTGGGGTAGTACCATGTTTGAGCGTCCAAGACGGAGGGATTCGCGCTTCGAGCGCTATGGTCGCAAGCTGCGTTGAAATGCTTTGGTTAAAATGGACAAGGGAGGAGGTGGTTTGAGGGAACTTTTCCGGATGCTCCTGGTCCCGCTCGATCTCGATATTTAATTGGGCAACTTCCGTACGGAAATAACGGATTGCATCGACCTGCGCTCCAACAAATGGCAAACGACAGAGCCATGGAAATTTAGGGAGGCGAACTGATGCGCGGTCCTTCTGGTCTAGATACTTCATCCACAGGGGCATCGGATGGCGGTATACTGCGTCCATTTTATCCTTGGTACAGCCGATCCTTTTCTTGTAGTTTGCTTTCATTATTAGGCTGGTTTCGGCAATCTCCAGATTCCTTAGTGACGCATCTCGTCGGCGCAATTTGGCCTGTAAGTCGCTATAATCCCGGTTTATCGTTATGGACCGTATACCGCCTGCAGTTTTGCGGAAATGTCGCCGGATTGCCTTGGAAGAGGGCTGTTGTATCGAGCTCGTGATCAGGAGGGATGACCTACGAACACATAGATGAGAAACGCTCTGGATTCGCGCGTACTCCCGCACCTCGCGCCGAAGTACGTGGCAGACCGAAGTAACCACAAATATAGCAACCCCAAGATGGACCCAATATCTATCTGTGTGCGAGAAGCTGACGTTCGAAAAGCTAAGGCGATCGAGTCCCTTTACTCCTCCAATTTCGTCCTTGCCATCGACCACATTCAATGGGATAAGGAGAGGCGGTACAGTCAGTCCCAGCAGAAGGAAAATCCTTGTTATAGTGTGCAAATACCGGTCGAAGAAGTAGTTGTCGAGATTAGACGGATGCTTTAAGTGGGGATCTGGCCCCGGGAAGACGAGCATCCGCGGCGACAGCGAAACTGGCTTCCATTCTGAGTCGGACGTTTGACGCGATTGTGAGCTGTTGATCAGCCATATGTATGTGCCAAGGGAAGGTACACCTACTAATACTCTGGGATCCTAGAGTTAAGGAGCGAATATGCGATGGCCCCCAGCCCAAGTATAATTGCTGACGTTGTGAGAGATGCCAGAAACGTGCTTAATGACTCTCCCTGTGCCTTCTGCGCCTTTCCAGCAGCACTATCCAGTATGTCGCCAATATTACTGTCCATATTAGGGCGAATCTAGAAAACACCAGACCGTGTTCCGGGAAGGGTGGGAAATGTTAATAACACAATCAAGTCTACCAAATGCTGTGTGAGGCTTGATCATCGGGGTCCACTTAATCACTTGGAACTGGGTGATCTCATTGCGCCTCGGAACCAGAATACGCTATGGATGATCTCTATTATGGATGATCTCTGTTATGGATGATCTCTAAGTTATTATGAATGGTCTCCAATGATCCCCTACTGACATTAGGAAGAAATGAATCACGCTGCCAAATGTAGAGAATGTCTGATCTTGCTCGGTACTTTAAAATATGCAAAAGAAATAATTTGCATACACTTCTATTCTAATATATGCAGCAAACCGCAAAGAATGCGGACCCCTATATTAGCCGACCAACCCAATACATCACGTGATGCTATGTTTTAAGCAATAATGACCCGCCCGATAATCAGAGCGTAGTTGGTATGACCGGTCACAGCAGCTGGAATGGCCCTTAACAAGGACTAAACAGGGTCTAGCTATAGGCCATACGAGCTTTGCACCTAAACGCGCACAGTGGCTGGCCAGCCCCCTAGATTTAAACCCGGGCGCGCCTGGTCGAACCCTAACATAGTAGTCCTACTAGTAGGGGCACCCTAGTTAATGGCCGTGCAAATAAGGACCTGAGATGACCCTCTAAGAGAACATTTAAACAGCATTTGAATAATGTTTGAATAACGTTTGTCAAGTGTTTTAAAAAAGATTTGTATTCGAAGCTCGGTAATTTAAGAAAAGTGAAATTAATGTCATTTAACTTCAGAATAACCGTGCGCGATTAACGTGTGTGTTTCGCGACAAGAGCAATTAAAGCTTTGTATTAAATATGCCTTCGTCTGTTGTATATACTATTAATCTCTATTATATGACCAACTTTTCTTATATAAAGCTTTAATTTCTAGCTATGTCGAATACTGCTGCCCCTATACCTGAGGAGCTTCTCCGCAATTCAAGTCTCTCCCTAGATGATAAACAATATCTTTACCAGGAAGCTGAAACGAAGTATCCTGTTATTCCCCTCCCAGATGTTCTGTTGTTTCCAGACAATTCATTCTCTGTACGTATACACTTGCCAAATACTTGCTAAATACTTGCCAAATACTTGCCAAATACTTGCCAAATACTTATCAAATATTTGCTAATTACTTATAGGAGCCTACTACTTCTATGCAAGATAATGAAAATATCCCAAAAATCTTTACCAATCCTAGTTTGGATGGGCTACGAGTCTCTGAACTTTTCTATGGCACCCGTCTACCTTGGTATCCAAAAACATCAAAGTCCGGCGTAGGCTATTGTCTCTCTGCCCTTGGGTATCTAGAGTCACTAGATCTAACAATTAAAACATTAATGTACAATGTAAGTTACATAGAAATTGTTTACAAAATGTATAAATATTAATATTATATAGGTCCAGTATAGTTATTCATCAACATATCAACCGCATAATAAACTAACTCGATCCGAATTCCTAAATAATGTCCCATGTATTCGAACTACGTTCCGCTGCTCAGGAGTTAAAGTATGTACCCATCATCACGAGTCTCTTTTAGACCCGCATACGGAATGGGATATAGATGCTTGGGATAGAAAAGCAGAGCGAATGTCTGCTGTACAACGGCTATTTATGGAGGAATATCACCCTGTTGATACATACAAACCGACTCTTGAGTAAAGTGTTTACCTTCTACTTTGAAATTGTTTTCTAATTATGTAGTCTATATAATGCAGTTATGCGGGATTTCAAGAGTCCACACCGGAACGGCTGTCCATTTTCAAGTTACTATAATGATACTGGACTTAGTCGACCTTGTAGCGGTTTGCCTGTTGTACGAGAGTCTGAACATAGGGTATAGTCTTTCCAAATAATTATAAAACGTTTACTAATTATTTAATTAATAGGATTTAAATGGAAACAAAAAGTATTATATTACCTGCAATCAGGCGACATATGCAAAGAAGGCGCACCACTACTACTACTCCATCCCTACCAACGCTCATATACACCTTGCACATCTAGCCCAGCTATTAGAGTATGGCTACGATGGAGTACAAGAGAAGTGTTTTCGCACGCTCCCTCAAACATCACGAAGACGTCTTTGTGGTACGTATCTAGTATTATATAAATATTCTTCAAATGTTTTTCAAATACTTGTTAAATACTTGTTAAATAATTGCCAAATACTAACAATATTTATAGGAGTTCCGYATGATCAAAGTTCCCAGCTAATAAAGAAGATTCCATGTTCAGTCAAGTTCAACATGTTAATCCCAGTCGACTTAAAGAAGACACCGATTATTCTATTTTCCTCACATGGAATTCATTCTCATAACCCTCCTCCTCCTAATCAAACTCCCCAAGAAATTGGCGAGCTCGTTATCAAAGAGATCCAGAGGCATATTAAAGTCGGAGCTATAGCAGGTATATAATATACTTTACTTCTGTTTTTGAGACGTTTATTAACTATTTTAAGGGACTCCTGTTCATATTATTCCACCTAATGGCCATCGGCTATTTAGTCTATATATAGACCTCAAGAAGAAAGATCCACACGCTGATATTTGCACTCTTGACCCTACACTATTTAATACTAGTCGGTTTGCAGCTCTACGTCGGGCGCAGATCTACTTACAATATCCAGACGGTACTGACTGGGAAGGTTAGTCTTCTGTAAATATTTTTTTAATATTTTCTAAACGTATATAGGTGTTTGGAGTTACTATATCTCGTATCACCAAGGACAAAGTAGGAAGATCCCATATATTCGGAATATGGTACATAACGGCGATATTGGAACTATTTCCTGCGCATTTACAAAGCAAATCGAATGTATGGCTACCTGTAATACTATACAAATCGACATGTCATATAAACGGGTTCATGGGCAGTTTAATGAAATTCTTATTGGACAGTTTATGCAAGAGTTTCAACGGTGTAAGTAAATACTCTGCAAACGTTTTACAACTATTATCTAATTATTTAAGTAATGTGTTTTGGTCGAGTTTATACCAATAAGCAGTCAATCTGGGCATACTATAAGGCGTTTATGGAGTTCTTCTCAGTAGCAGATAATATACTTTCGCAAGCCGAGCCTAGAAAAGGGCTACAGTGGCACCACATACATGGCCAGGGTATCAAGGCTATTGTAGTAGATATGTGTCCTGCCCAAGCTCATGGTAAGTTTTTTAATTACTTCTCAAACACTTATCAAGTACTTGGTAAATACTTATCAAATACTTACTAACTGTCTTAGCATTGGGTCTTTACTTTTGGACAATTGATCCTGAATTCCCAAAGAGACCTTGGCAGTGGCACGTCGAGCGGACTCTTATTTACTGTACAACTCATTTCTTCCGTGGTCTTGAAGCGCGCTTTCCATCTGGCTCTGCATGGGGCGAGGTTATGCGTGAGCTATTGAACGTTAATAGCGAAGAAATGTTTAATACAATTCTAGATGAAGTTGATAAGAATTTGTAAGTACTCTCCCTTTAAGTTATATTCGTATATAATTCGTTTTATATATTATTTCTAATTCTTATTCTTATAGCCCTAATGAAGCAGCATATACAGCTCATAAACGGGTCCCGTGGATTAAGTCAGGTCTTAATCCTCTCTTTTGGAAAGGGGATAAAGACGTTTGGAATAACTGTACTCGAACAAACCAGTCTCTTGATTCGTTAATGTCGATGTCAAATCGAACTGGGAGGGGGCAAGCACTTCTACTAGCAATTCTAAAGTATGTACTTTGTAATTGAGTTCGAATCGTTTTCTAATTATATATTAGGGGCATCAACTTAGACAAAAAGCTAGTAGAATATATTGACCAATATAAACGCTATGGTATTCAGTCTTCATATACCCCTCCAAATCCCGTAAATGCGATCTACGATAAAATCAGTAAGTGGAGTTATACTAAACGATTATTAAATCAACTTGAATTCGTTTATAAAATGACTTTAGTCTATATACTAATAAATATATAGAAAGATTAGAGAAAAGGCGGCTCAAGTTTATAACTCCTTCAACAGACCCTGATAATTCTGATCAGGTCCCAGAAGTATATGAGCCACAGCCAGTAGTATCAAGTAGCGGAGGGACGAAGCGTGTAAAGCGTATAGGAAAGGAGCTGGCTCAGGATAGACTAACAAAGTCTAATAATTACGAAGAAGTCAATTGGGAAACGAAGAAGAAACRGGAAGAATGGGAACTTGAGAAACAGGCAAGGGTAGCACGCGAGCGTCATGAGACAAAAATGAGTAACCTTCAAGTCCAGCAACTAGAAGCGGAAGTAAGGATTAAACAGCTTCAGGCTAGAAAGCTTGAGAATGAACTACTTAATGTTGAGATATTACCTACGCCTTTTAGTAGATAGATAGAATCATCTTTTAATTAGTTGCAAAACATATATTGAATATATATATAATAATAAAAACTAAAATTCCAAATACTAGAAAAGAAAAGTACTAAAGAAATAATAATAAGACTAAACAGCTAGTCGTCCTCTGGCTGGATAAAATGTTGGATAATCTTGCAGTTAGACTTTTCCCAATTATCTGCAAGTATATCCGGACATTTACGCTCTAGTAGGATATTAATTAGAATTTGTTTTTAATTCGTTTTATATATACTTACTATCTGAGCGGCATAAATCACATCGACCATTATTTCTAATCTTATATAGGTGTTGGACCTGTACTCGCATTGCATTTATATTTGGCTTCTAAATATTATTAGTATAGTTTTAGAATTTTAGAGTTTTATATACCCCGTTTAAAAGAGGACAGTCCCGTATCTGAATAGAGTTGTCTGTATCGTCTTGCGCTTCTGGGCTAGCTGGTAAGCTATTTTGTTTTTGAATTCGGGCTTTTTTTGTAGCYTATATTAATTAGTTATAAAATGAATTATACATAGTTTATAAATAATCTTACTGGCTGTCCTTCTTTTCCTTTTGGCTGATTTGGATTTCCGTGTAAACGATCCTATAATACTATTAGTTTATAAAAATATAATATAATAGGAATATATACAATTATCCTTTGTGGTTGATTATTATCAGAAGGAAAGTCATCGTAGATACTCTATTATATAAATTAGTAAGATATTTTATATATTATAAAGATACATGCCTCAATAGGTAAATAATAGCAGTCGCGGAAAGAGGACAAATCAATAGCTTGAGACGTAGGGGACTAAAACAATAGGAGAACGCTTAGCAAACGTTTTACATACAGTTGGTCGAGTCCTATTAGATGCGCCTACTGATGAAGTTGATTGAGAAAGAAGCGTGTTTTGAGGATTAATAAAAGTCTATTAAAGAATATAAGTTATTAATATAATAAAGAGCTAGGGGATATATATACTGTGTGAAGCTGGGGTAGATACCCTTGAAGAAGGTCCCCCTGAAAAAGTTCATCTGGGCGTAGTAACTATATATTTTTAGATTAGTTAATAAATATATTATATATAATTAAACAAAAATACATACAAGTAGTTCAAGTTGCTCTGACTGTGACGAAGTAGCTATTGGCAGTTTCTATAATATAAATATTAGTATAATATTATTAGATATAATAGARAGCTATAGTACATACTGTACGAACAGAAATAGGACTCGAACTAGAAGGAGTAGGAGTAGTTCTCTGACCGTTTTATTAGCGATTTGAAAGTGATTTCAAGGTGAT